GCTCATACAACAGCCTTCGACCGCTTTGACAGGTCTTCCATTTGACAAAGGGCGCTCCTGTGCCGTTGGCCCCACTATGCACTGTTTCTTGTGCGTAGCAGCGTACTATTAGTACGTGAGTATGTCTCATGGATATGAGGTACGTAAACGTATTCATGCGTACAGGACGTACTCACAATTTGCCCTTGGGGGATGAGTTACGACGGTATGCGTATCAATTCCGAGCGCAACATATGGCGCAGCGTGTGGGTAATCGCGAACCTAAATACACAGCTGCTTCTCAGCTGCCCTTGAACATGAGGCAGTAATCCCCTAATACAATGGCGCCGTTCGGCGTGTACCGACATCGCATGGACATGCCTCGCGGTTAAAACGGTGCCCTCTTCTCAACCAAGTCGACCTGACCCGCCGCGTTCTCGAGTCGCTACCTCCACTCCAGAGGAACATCCATCCACGTCTCGAATCCGAGTCCGTCGCGGACAACGCACCGATCGTCAATTTCGTCATTGTGGCTGCATCTGGATCGTGTAAATCTAGTCCTGAATCCTGTCCGAACAAAAAGCGCGAGCTAGCTAGGTAAGCTGTGTGCGGCATAAAGAGTATGTGATCAAGTCTAACGTGGGCATACCTGGGACAGTGACTACATAACGCGCAAGCGGTTCGCCTTCAATCTCACGACAAGCAACGCTCTGAAGCAGCAGACCTCAATTAAGCGATAGTGCAAGCGGTGCGTTTGGTATACTCATCTTTCCAATGTGATTGAATTGTATTGACTCATTTGCTATTTAGTTCGATCACGGCGGCTGCGATGGACGATCCGGTGGACAAGATCGAGCGCATCGAGGAGGAGATTGCTGATGCAGAGAGCATCCCTGACAAGCTGACGGGCGAGGATTCCGGGAAGGAGGAGAAGGACTCAGGCCCAGCATCCGAGCGGCGTTGGACGATTGAGATTCTGTTCAGGCAACCCATATACTCCAGGTGCGTGACCCAAGGCTGCTCCTCTCTCGGAGGATCGGGATGGATACGTGATTTATGGCTTTGTGTTTTCAGCGATACGGGTCCACGATTGCCACAAGAGCTTATTGAGCGTATCTGCGAATTCCTCTGGGACGAACCGGTCCAGCTAGCGGTCAGCTGCACGCGCATTTGCCCCGCTTGGTATCATGCTGCACGGCGACTTCTGCCAGAGCATGCCACCATCACCTGTCGAACCCGAGAGGCCCTGCAAGACTATGCGCATACACTCACATCCCATCGTAATGCGCCATATCGCAACCGGTTCGAAACATTGTCGATCTACAACAATGCCAGCAAGCCGTTCGCGCACGTTTGGCCTATTTTCATTCCTGGATGGATACTGCCGGTACTGCGTTCCGTAACTCTCAAGGACCTTGACTGGTCAACCAAGACACCGCATGATAGCTTCTTCGTCTATCTGTCTTCTTACACCAGCATCTCAAGCCTACAGATGTACGACTGCAGGTTTCGCAGTCTACCGGATCTTCGCAGGGTGATCAATGCCCTTCCCAGCCTTACGTGGCTGTATTTTCGCAACGTAACACTACAGCACCCCCTCAGACCGGGATCGGTTCCCGACTACATCGCTCTCCGAATCCGTTCACACAAGCTCGAGTCTATTGATCTGTGGTACAGCAGTGGCGTACCAGGGCATCCTGACATGTCCTCGGACTACCAAAGATCAACGGCCCTCAATTGTCAAGCTCTGCTGCATATGGTAGCCGCGAACTCATCCACTGTTACCCGCCTCACCCTTGACCTGCGATTCTTTACTTCGGCCTCAGCTCTTTGGCAATGGCTAGCGCATTTTGGCCGTCTGACCTCATTCACAGCACAGTACCAATTTGCCTCGGGCCCAACGATCATATTCGATGATCCAATTCCTGCGCGGACAGGGAACGCGTACAAACACTCATGGTCAAAATTTCTCCTTTCGAACGTCCCCGATCCATGTGCACTGCAGCTTCTGCAGCTGCTTGTTACCCCGGAATCGTGCAGTGAACTGGAGGAACTTGAATTCTATCTTACAGGCCGGCCATCCGCCACACTTGTATCAGGTACTAGCCGTGTGCTCCATACATCCGGCCATCGGCTCAGGAGTCTCGGGTGGAGATGTTCAGCAGACCCAGGTCAGTTTTCCATGTGTAGTACGCACATGTGTCTGACTGCCAACTGATTCCATTTGTAGATCTCGAGGTCACTCCGTCACTTGCAGGGAATACGTCTCTGCAAAGGTTAATCATAGACTCATCGCCACAGAAGATACACAGTGCTCTCACCGCCGTGCTATCAGACATCGTCAGCGTGGATCTGCAGCACGTGTTGATTCATTTCACTCTAGCTCACCTCGAGCCTGAGGTGCTTCCACAGAATCATGGACGGACGCCCGTGGCACCAGATCCTGCCGAGGCCATCTCTGCTTTTCACACCATTCTCTCGCGCGAGATATTCAATGGGCTTCCGCTGCGCACTGTCGACAAGGGCGTATGGGTTGTTTTCGACGTCAGAAACATACAGGACAATCCCGTCGTGGTAGCCACGATCAAAGCCTACACGATCAATCTATTGACGCCGTGGTTGGATCGTGGAATAGTGTCGTTGGACTTCTATCCGGCGGACAGTTCGGAGATTATTACTTGTGTGCCCATGGTAAGTGGCCCAATGTCATACCTCGCAACGGTGCACTTACAAACCGGCCATTTGCATGTTCCCGTAGAGGACACATCGAGCGATCGCGGAGGCGAGGATGTCGAAGAAAACACACCCGTAGGAACGGAACAGTAGAACGAAGCTCAAGAGGGAATTCGGAGGGAGACGGACACTGGCATGAAGGGGTCGGGCGGACGCAGTTGGTCGCGCTGGATGTTGTACGATACACGGTCAAATTCTCAACGACGGACATTGTGTTTAGGACAACAGATATCACGACGACACTCTTGGTACAAAGCATAGTCTTGAAGGAATTAGCTTATTAACGCGTCTCCTTCCGTGTTATTCGCGCCGTTGCATGTCCGGATCAAAGCCATTCAATTGCAGATATTCGACAGAGGAAGGACCCGGTAAGACGCTGAGTAGCCGTCGACTGGACTCGTCGGGCCACCTGCACCATGCCTCGACGAGTAGCATATACCATCTACTGCGACGATGCCGACTGAGTGTCAATGCGACGAGAAGGCAGTACTAGTGCTCACGGATGCGTACAAGCACTCTTCAGTTGTGAGAGAAGCACTGCGGCGTCGCAGACAATTGGACTAGAAGAGACGGGCTGATCACGACGATCTTGTCCATCGGCCTCTCGACCGAGCCATCGTCGAACTCCTGGGGAATCGAAAGCGAGTAGGTGCAAGAGGTCGTCGGTCAACGATAGACGACTAACGGGGTCTTGCAGCAACACGGCAATCCCAGGACAACGGTTGCAGAGCTCACCTGCAGGAGTCGGGAGCCTGGCGACTCAAGACGGAGGCACCTGCGAGTGTCAAGCGAAGGATAGTGCTAATGCGAAGGTACAGCGTGTCCCTGCAGCCGTCGCCCGCGCCTGCTCAGAAATCGCCCTATAGCGGAGCATGTAAGCGCATACTTGCGTTGTCAGTGACGACTCGCACCTCTCGACGGGCCTCGGAACTTCCTTTGCGCCATCTCCCTAGACGGGCGGAGTAGTTCGGGAACGGCTTCTGCGCGGCGTGATACGCAGGTAACCATCGTCTTAAAACCGATCTGGACAGGCCGGGAGACCTCAGCACGGTGCCGATGAGCAAAGGTATGGGCCTAGTCAAAGATGGCAGCACATGTTGTGACAGGTTCAAATGTTCCTCTGAAGACGACCTGCGCGTGACGGTAGTGTGCCTGCGCAAGCAATGGAGCGAGCTGAAACACGCGTGCAGAAATGCGGGACTCACGTTCGTAGGCGAGATGCACGGTATGTGTACAGGGATCATGGTGTATGTTGCGAGTGAAGTTGTGGGGCGTTGACAGGTTGACAGAAATGTCGCGGATATCTGCACATACACGAGACGAGCAGGAGACTCAGTGAGCAATCGCGGAGCACGGTGTAAGAGGCGAGGAAGGTCAGCCAAGCCCAAGTGTAGCGGCTCACCTCCTGACGGGGCCAGTAAACCCGGCGGTGCAGCCATTCGGGGAGGCCGACGACGGGGTTCTCGATGTATTCGTTCCGGCGTATGTTGACATGTCGCGTCATGAGTACCAGAGAATGTAGATGTGCTGTGTAGGTAGGAGGACAGAGCTGAACCGGACAGTCGGAGACGAGGCCGTCGGCGATCGGGAGGAGCGAGACGGAGACAGGGACGATGGGCAGCAGCTGGTGAGTGAGCACCGATGCGGCGCTGAGGAGAACGAGGAGGAGGAACGACGCAGCTGGGCGACCTTGGGGCGGCGAACGCGCCCATCACGTGCGCGCGTCGCCCGTCATCTTCTCCTCCTCACACACGACCGCCTCCTCCTCCTCCTCTGCACCTCCCATACTCGGCAGCCACAAAGCCGGATACCACGCATCATCAGACTGTTTCGCTACGCGCGCTGCAGTGGCTCACCACGACCTTCTCCTACAATCTGTGCTCCTCGTCGTCGATGCGCGACGCCACGTTCCTGGTAGGAAATCCTGAAGGCCGTACGACGCTGCATGGAAACTGACACTCGCGCGCAGCGGTTGCTGTTTTCAGGGCCAGGCGACCGGCGGCCTGAGGATTGACCGACCGGTCTTCGCAGATCGACGCGCTCGACGCAGTATGGAGTTCTATGAGCAATTGCATCTGCGGAAGGTGCGTTTGATTTTTTGTCGCTCCGTACAACTTGTCTCAGACGTAGAACAGCGACCAGAGTTTTTCAGGGTGCCGGAGGAAGGGATGGTCAATAGAGTCGCAATCTGGCCAACCATCTGTCACTGTGCCAGGTGCGTATATTCAACATCGTACCTCTGTACAAGCACTAACGCTTCGAATACTCTCCCCTTCAGCAATGCATTGACCCCCGCTACTAGAGGCCATCGAACTGAATGCGCACATTTCTCTGTGACAAGCCCGCGCTGCTCGCCCAGTGCTGCCTCGTTTTCCGCGCGCGATGACAGACAGCACCGCTCCCATGCATGACCTCATGTGCATGCTCCTGCCTAGGTAGATTATGCAGTTGTGTACTCGGGGAACTCGAGTACGCGTGTGCACGCCACGCTTTCGCCGTGCGCATTCCCGGATGCTGCCCCCCCCCCCCCCCCCCGCGCTGATGCACCTCCCGTTTGTGCCGCTCGACTCGGCGACACACGCGAGTCCGAGGGCGCCGCACTCCGTGCTCCTCACATACTTTTTACCCGCCACTCGCTAGTCCCTCTGTCAATGCCACTTTCATCACGCAGACGTCCTCCGCCTCATCGCCGGTGGGTGCCCTGTCTAGTCTCGAGCCGTTGTATCTCGATAGCTACGGTTCGGTTGGCGCCGTGGGACGCGGAATGAGGCCCTGGTAAGTACTCCAAGCAAGCAGCTCTGTGAGTGATAAGTCATGCTTTCGGTTGGCCGCGACTATTGCTTACCGTCTGGTCACACCAGACCCTCCTAGACGTCGTGGTCGCATACAGGACACTACTGTTGGCGCGCCTCTTCCGGACATGGCTCAATCCTCTCGCCTGCGCCGCTTCAGTCCTCCACGCTTTCCACGACCCTCCAACGCGACCATCTCCACACCGGTCGATCCCAACTGGGGCGCTAGTCTTAGCAGAGCTTCGTCTCCCCGCGCGACGTCTTCCTTCCCGGGATCCTCGCCCGTCAGCTTGTCAGGGATGCTGTCTGTATCAACAATCTGACACCTCGCGTTTTCGATGTTGTTCACTGGATCGTCCATCGCAGCCGCCGTGATTGAACTATATGGCATCTCAGTCAGTAAGATCAAATCCCATTGGAAAGATGGGTGTACTAAACGCAGTGCTTGGACTATCGTTAAACCGAGCTCTATTGTTTCAAAGTGTCACTTGTCGTGAGTCTGAGAGTGAACCGTTTGCCCGTCAGCCTCTGTTCCGGGTACGACTATGTCAGACCTGATCACATACTCGATTACGCCGCACACAGCCTACCTAATCAGCTCGCAGCACTCGTTCGGACAGGTAGCAAGACGGAGCTGATGCGCGACCCGGATACGTCCACGTTAGTTATATTGACGATCGGTGCGTTGTCCGCGACGGATGGGAGACGTGGATAGACGTACCTCTAGGGTGACAGTAGCAACTCAAGGACGCGGCCGGACAGGTCGACTTAGTCGGGAAGATGGCACTGTTTTAACCGCGAGGCATGTCCATGCTATGCCGGTACATGCCGAACGGCGCCATTGTATTAGGGGATTCTTACCTCATGTCGTGCTGCTGAGAAGCAGCTGTGCTTTTAGGTTCACGGTTACCCACACCAAACCCACACGCTATACGATACGTTAGTTTCCGAATTGCTACACATAGCGTTGGAGCTATCTACCAAGGCCACACTGTGAGTACATCATGTACGGATGAACACGTTTACGTACCTCATCCATGATACGTGGTCACATACGAATACACTGCTACGTACAAAAAACAGTACAGAGAGGGGCGGGCGGCACGGGAGCGCCCGTTATCAAAAGGATGGCCTGTCAAAGTGGTTGGAGGCTCTTGTATGAGTATTGAGTTTGAGATAGAAGGCCAGTACGTAGTTTCGCACCGTGTGTCTCCTGACAACGCATAAACCACACAGTTTCGAAGCAGCGATTTCTCAGGCCGCGCACATGCAACCAGGGAACTCTATGCGACGGGCGGATGTCGGTCTGCTCGATAGCGCGACATTCCGGCGAAAGGGGCTTGAGACACTCCGTGGCGATCACCGAGGATACGTCCAACAGCTGTGCTACACATCCACATAGCGCCTGAATGTATAGAATGACTCAGGCTCAGCATCCAAGTGCCGTTGGATTGTAATTCTGTTCAGGCAACCCATATACTCAAGGTGCGTGGCTCACGGCTCCGAGTCGGAAGTCCTGAGCGATCGGGGTGGATACGTGACTTATGACTCTCCGTTTCCTCAGGGATACAGGTCCACGATTCCCTCAAGAGCTGATCGAGCGCATCTGTGAATTCCTTTGGGACGAACCGGTCCACCTCGCAGTCAGCTGCAGGCGCATTTGCCCCGCTTGGTATCATGCTGTACGGCGAGTTATGCCAACGCCAGAGCATGAAATCACCTGTCGAACCCGAGAGGCCCTGAAAGACTATGCGCACACACTCACATGCCATCGTAATGCGCCATATCGCAAACAATTCCAGGGATTGTTGATTTTCGATGATGCCAGCAAGCCATTCGCGCACGTCTGGCCCATGTTCATTCCTGGATGGATACTACCGGGACTGCGTTCCGTGACACTTGGTGGCATCGACTGGTCAACCAAGATACCACACGATAGCTTCTTCCTCTACCTGTCTTCTTACACCAGCATCTCGCGACTCGATCTGCGGGACTGCAGGTTGCGCAGTCTGCCGGATCTTCGCAGGGTGATCAATGCCCTTCGCAGCCTTAAGTTACTGGGGCTCTGCAACGTAACGCTACAGCACCCCCTCAGACCGGGATCGGTCCCCGACTACAGCGCTCTCCGAACCTGTTCGCACAAGCTCGAGTCTATTGTTGTCGAGGGCCACACCGCATCAGAACATCCTGACGTGGCCTCGGACGATCAAGCAATGACAGCCCTCGATTATCAAGCCCTGCTGCATATGGTAGCAGCGAACTCATCCACTCTTGCCCACCTCGGCCTTGATCTGCAATTCTTTACTTCGCTGTCAGCGCTTCGGCAATGCCTAGCGCATTTTGGCTGCCTGATCTCATTCGGAGCACGCAATCAATTTCTCTCAAGCCCGATGATCACAGTCGAGGAAACAATTCCTGCGCGTACGGAGAACACAAATATACACCCATGGTCAACGTTTACCCTTATGCACGTCCCTGATCAATCCGCACTGCAGCTTCTGCAGCTGCTTGTTAGCCCTGAATCGTGCAGCAAACTGCGGGAGATCGATATCCGTCTTGCAGGCCGGCCATCTGCCACACTTCTATCATGCACTAGCCGTGTGCTCCATGCACTTGGACACCGGCTCAGGACTCTCACGTGGGGATGTTCGGTGGACCCAGGTCAGTTTTCTGTGTCGTGTATGCACATGTGTCTGAAAGCCAACTGCTTAGCACATTTATAGATCTCGAGGTCACTCCATCACTCGCAGGGAATACGTCTCTGCGAAACTTGCTCATAGATCTTGTGGAAGTTGCCCCATCACCACAGAAGATACATAGTGCTCTCACCGCCGTGCTGTCAGACATTGTCAGCGTGGATTTGCAGCACGTGTCGATTTGGTTCACTCTAGCTCACCTCGAGCCTGAGGTGCTTGCACAGAATCACGGACGGACGCCTGCGGTACTAGATCCTGCCGAGTCCATCTCTGCCTTTCACACCATTCTCTTGCGCGAGATATTCTGTGGGCTTCAACCACGCGGCTTTCACACTCATCCTATATGGGTTCGTCTCGTTGCCAAGGACATGCAGGATCCCACCGCGATAGCCACTATCAGAACCTACATGATCACTCTCTTTACGCCGTGGTTGGATCGCGGAATAGTGGAGTTGCGGTTCGATTCAGAGGACAGTTCGGAGAGTGTTTCCTGTGTTCCCACGTCTATGAGCGGTAAGTGGCCCAATGTCATACCTAGCAAAGACACACTTACAAAGCGGCCATTTGCATGTTCCCGTAGAGGACACATCGAGTGGCTCCAAAGTCGAGGACGTCGAAGACGACAAACCCGTAGGAACGGAACAGTAGACCGAAGCTCACGAGGAAATGGGAGAGACGGACACTGGCGTGCACAACCCGGGCGGATGCAGTTGGTCGCGCAGGACAGCCGCACAATGTTGTATGATGCACGGTCTGGTATTCATGGACGGACATTGTATTTAAAATGACAGGTCACGACGACACTTCTGAAAATTTAGTCTTGAGAGATTAGCTTATCTATGCGTCTTCCTCCGTGTCGTTCGCGCCGTTGCATGTCCAAATCAAAACCATTGAATCGCGGAGATTCAGCAGAGAAAGGACCCGGTGAGACGCTGAATACCCGCCGACCGGACTCGTCGGGCCCCCCTGCACCATGCCTGTACGAGTACCAGATACCATCTACTACGAAAATATTGGATGTGTGAACGCGACGAGAAGGAAGTATCAGTGCTCACGGATGCGTACGAGCGCTCCTCAGTTGTGCGAAGAGCATTGCCGGCGTCGCAGACGATTGGACTAGAAGAGACCCAATGATCACGACGATCTTTTTCAAACGCCTCTTAACCGAGCCATCGTCAAACTCCGCGGGACTGTAGGCGAGCGACAGGTCGCCGGTCAACACCAGAGGGGCGACGGGGACTTGCAGCGGCGCAGTGACCTCAAGATGTACAACGACAGCTGCGGAGATCACGGGCGGAAGTCGCGAGCCTGAGTGTGGCTCAAGATGGCGGCACCTCCGAGAGTAAAGCAAAGGTACATGTCCCTGCGGCAGTTGTCCGCGCATGTTCCGAATATGCACTACAGCGGAGCATTTGAGCGCATATATGTGTTGTCAGTGATGACGCGCACCTCTCTACGGGCCTCGGGCCTTCCTTTGCGCCGTCTCACTGGGCGGGCGGTGTAGTTCGGGGTCGGCTTCTGCGTGGCACGATACGCAGGTAGTCATCGCCGTAGAAACGACCTGGACAAATCGGGAGACCTCAACACGGTGCCGATGGGCAAAGATTTGAGCGTAGTCGAGGATGCGAGGATGGAGGCACATGCTGGGACGGTTCGAATATTCCTTTACGCGTGACGGTGGCGTTGTCGGCGCAAGCAGTTGGGCGAGCTGAGACACGCGCGCAGGAATGCGGGACTCACGTTCGGATGCGCGATATGTGTACAAGGATCATGATTTATGTTGCGGGCGAAGTTGTGGGGCGTCGGCGGGTTGACAGAAATGTCGTGTATATCTGCAGATATACGAGATGAGCATCAAATCGGGTGTGCAATCGCGGAGCACGGCGTAAGAGGCGGAGAGAGTGAGCCAAGACTAAGCGTAGAAGCTCACCTGGCTAGGCCATGTCTTGGATAACCTAGGTCTCATGCGGGTTTGTGAGCGGACGGACATGCAGGGTCGGTCGATCGCGCGTCGGACTGTACAAGTGATGGCCGCAGGTAATCTCGCCTGGCAAGACAAACACGCACCTTGTAGTATCCTGGCGCATACCGTTTGTAGCCCAATACGGCGCCGTTGTAGAATACGGTCTGCAGAGACTGGAGGTCCATCGTTAGATTCTTCTGGATGTCAACCGCTTGTGTGCGATGCGAGGCGTAGGAGCGAGACACAGGACAGTCGGAGAGACACAGGGTCTGAAGATCTGAAGAGGGAAACCCGGCGGCGCGTGCGTTCAGGGAAGTCAATGACAGAGCTCGTTATTCGATTGAACGTATGGTGTCGCGTCATAGGTACCAGAGGATCTAGATGTGTTGTGTGGGTAGTGAACTGAAGGAAGTCGCTCGAGCCTGACGACGAATAGCAGCCAGTTTGAGCACCCATGCGGCGCTGAGGGGAACGACGACGAGGAGGAAGGACTCGGACAGCGGACGCGGCCGCAACCTGAGCGCGCCGATCACGTGCAGCGCGCGTCGTTCGAGTCGTCTTCTCGTCGTTCTTGCGCACCGACCGCCTCTTCGAGTGTACTTTGCTGCATGCGCACTACCCCGTCCTCTGCGCACAGAAAGCCGGACGGAATCTGCTCCATCGTAGTACTTCGCGAGTTCGCTTTCGCGCCTAGCTTGATAGACACCGTACTCCCCCGCCTCGCTCCTCCAATATGGCTCTATCCGCCGGGTGTCTAGCAGAGTGCGTGCAACGCCACTTGTGAGCCATCCTGACAAAGTACCCAAGCTCTGCGAAAGTTGAAATTCACGCGCAGCGTATGCTGACCCAAGGACCAGACGACTGCAGCCTCAGTTCGCAGGTAGGCTCGCTGGACGTGGCATACAGCTCTATTAGCCGGTCTACATGACAACTGTGCATTGAGTCACAGGCAGGGTCGTCTCACATATCGCTCAAGACCAAGCCTGCAGGATGTTAGAGGAAAGGACGGGTAACAGGACCACATTTCGGTCACCCATCTGTTCCAGGTGCGTTCAATCCACATTGATCTTCCTCCAAAGCTGAAGCGTCTCGAGCACCTAGATCTAGCGATGCGTCGCCCGCCCTTCCAAGGAGCTCGTCCAGCGCCTCGCGTACTGTACCCGGTTGCCCGGTGCTCCCTCGTATCCCGGCGTGGACCTTGCCCAGCGCGCAACGACAGGCAGCACCCCAGCTCTGCGAATGACTTCGTATGCGGCTCATGTCCGGCAATCCTACAACTGTGCACTCAGCGCACTCGAGCTCCTCGAGCGCGTAGGCACGCTGTATGCGCGTACGTTCTCCATGCGTAGTACGTACCCGGCAGTCGCCTCCCGGCGCTGGATCACCTTGCGTTGGCACACTTAGGCTGGGCAGCATCCCCGAGGGAACCCCTCCCTGTTCGTCGGCTACCTTACATCCTCAAGTCCGTCACCCGCTTGTTCCTCTATGGGTATCGCCTACGTGGCGCGGAGACCTCCGGCCATCGTGATTGCTTTGCCCGGTCTACAGTTGCTCTGTTTCTACACCATCACTTCCCAGTCAGCGCAGCGGGATCTGGACGATGTACAGAGGAGCTCCCGCGACCCCGAACCAGAGGCTATCAACATTATATGGCTCTCGGGCCCTGCCTACCACGACTATCACTCGTCAGCTCGTCTCGCTGAGCACCTGCGCCGGGGCCTTCTCAACGTCTTGGTCGCGTATACGCGTTTAAGCATGCTCATCCTCGGTACGGTTCGTTTGCGCTCCTCTAGTCGTTCTTCTCCGCAATCCCGAATCTCAGACGTGGCAATGGATCTTACCTGGGCACTACACCTACTAGAATCCCGTCTCGTCGCTCGAGAAACGCAACGAAGGTGTTCAGTACCCTCAGCGTTCGTCACGGATGGCCTCAATCACATCTGACTGGACTATCGCGCTGCTGGGTTGCTCGGCCTCCGTCTCTAGGACTTCCCCTCACCCGTACTGCGGTATGCCTTCGGCGCGGTGCTGCGAGAGTCGTCGGCGACACTCAAGAGACTCACTTCGCCGATACCGAATGCCGTGCCATGTCCCGAGAGAAGTAAACTCCCGCTGCCCTCAAGTCAGGCGCTGTGGCCTGCAGTACTTGCCCTACGTCGTTCCCCTGCTTGCGTACGCCATCAAGCTAGAGGCGCTGGAACTGCGGTACACACTAACGTCGCTGCTGAGCACGACATGGTTACAAAACCCCTGCTGGCGCTGTTATCGCAAGTGACCTGCGGGCAGCGGCCCTGCGGAGTGCATCGCGCTCTGGTCAAGGTCTCGGAAGTCGATCTGGATGGCCCCGACTCGAATGTGTTCCCGTGTCGACTCAAGTGGGCTTGTCACCTACATAGCAGTCACCATACATGATCAGTCATCGTCCTTGGGATCGAGACGACTTAAGCATCACGCAGCCGCTCACCGCGAATACGTCGCTGCGGGAGTTAGGAATTGCATCCCGATTCGTCAGTCCATCCCTACAAGGCATCTAGCGGATCCTCAACACCGTGCTGTCCGGCATCACCAGCAGAAACCTGCAGACCCTGGATCCACCTCTCATGTGCGGGTCTACGGATGGGCGAGACGTCCCTTACGAGCCGCATCGATGATGTCGATTTCACCGCCGCATTTCACGACTTGCTCTCACACGACGTCTTCGACTGGCTCCCAGCATCGCAGACAATGCTGTCTACATTGTCTTGCGCGGAGGGCGATGCCGCCGTGCAATTGACATGCTTACACCGTGGCTCATGCGTGGACCCGTGAGATCGGTACTAATGGATCACCTATCACGTAGGCAATCGTTTGATCGTCTTGGAGACTTTGCTGCCTCCGCCCTTCATGCGAATCCAACCAGTACGTCCCGATCAATGTTCATACCAGGCAGATATCGCCTGACATGTTTTTGACATTGTAAGTAAGAGAGCCGATCTCGGAGGTCAAAATCTGTCTGAGGACACATGCGTCGTATGCATCCTTGGCTGATGCACTTGTTACGGGAGATGGACCTCCGGAGGATGGAGTGATTGGGCATGGAGAGTCGACGTCGGACGGGCGCAGTCGGACAAGGACATGGGCACGGGTACGAGTCGCGATGCGGTTCAGTTACGCAGGACAATCGGTACGATGAAGACACATGCTCTTTGACTCCCTGTTTGTGGACCGGATGATGTTTGACTCGGACGATGCTTGTGCCGCAGAGGAACAAGTGAGTCAATTCGGTTGATTGTTGTGAGTTGTGAATTGCTTGTAATATTGGGAGCTTATGGGCGTCGAAACCTGTACGGATAGGACACTCGCAGATATCAATTAACAGTCCTCCCGTCTGCCCACAACGCATGTATTACACAGCGACATGCAACAGCTGGCTGCGGACTGGGACGTGCTGATATTAAGCACCTGTATACCACGAGTCGCACACTGGAGTGCGGCTTTACTCAGTAGTCAAGCGCAGCTGCCAATGTCGTAGGTCGACCATCCGCGACTTTGCTTCATGACGACTTCTCGGTATGGTTATCGAGAGTGCATGCACAGTCGACGCCTGTTGATTCGCACAAAACTGTACAAGATGACTGACTATGCAACGAGATCAATCAATAGCAAAACCCTACTCGCGAACATACAATGATCGCAGATGACATCAGAATATAGACGGATCGCGCACGGCGACATAAGACAATGCAGCGCAACTTCGCAACGCTCGTCTCGGCGACGCAGACGATCGACATATGGTGGATTGGCAGAGACGCACCGATCATGACAGTCCTCCCGGCCGGCCCTCCTCCAGACTCCCGGGGGACTGAAGGCGAGTACTAGGTACAAAGGATCGCCGGTCAACGACGAATGGCTGACCGGGACTTGCAGGGGCACGGCAACTTCATGACGTATGAGAACAATTGAAGATAGCACCTGCGGGGAACACGAGCCTGAGAGCGATTGACGACGACGGCATCTCCGAGCGACAAGCGGAGGGCGGCGTGGAACTAGGGCATGTCCTGGCAGCAGCCGTCCGCGCGCGGAGCATGTAAGGGAACATACATATTGTCACCGACAAATCGCACCTCTCAACGAGCCTCCTAGACAGCCTTCCTTCCTTTGCGTTGCTTCACTAGGCGGGAGGAGCAAGTATGGAATCGCTTCTATATATCGTGATATGCGTAGAATCATTACCGCAGAGAGGCGATCAGGGCAGACCGGGAGAGCTCAGTACGTCGAGGACGGGCAAAAGGTGCGAGCCAAGTCGAGAATGGCGGCACATGCTGAAGTGTTTCGAGGCACTTCCGCAAATAAGACCTGCACCGGATGAAACTTTCGATCCTTCAAGTGAAAGATCGATAAAATTGACAAAATCTTTTTCACGATATTTCGTATGAAAGATTGTCAATAAAAGTCAGAAATAATCAATTAATCATTCAGACTCGAAGTATCAGGAACAGATCACAGAAGGATTCATTGACAAGTGTCTTTGATCTGTTTGTGATCCTCTAGGCAAATGATTGAGAACATGATATTCAAAAATTCTTGAACACTATGTGGCTCAATTGTTCTGAAAGGATTGAAAACAGATTGTCACATGGGGTGTTACAATCTTTTCTCAATTTTTCAGGCTGTCACAATCTGTTTCAAATCCTTCCAGCTGTTGATATCTTGGTGAGATTGGAAACAATTTGTATCCCAGGGGTTCAAAACAATTTGCCCAAAAGGATTGACAAGAGATTGTGACACTAGCTGTGACACTGTGCCACTTCCCTATGACAGAGCAGTGAAGGCAATTATGCCAAACCTATGATAAGCTGCCTTCTGCTGGTATGCTCAGTCATTTTTGGTCCCTCTTTCATTGCATCTGGACATGCACAGGTCTGGGACATGTTCATTAGTCATACAATGAGATGCACATCTCTAGGAATGTACAATCACAAGTACAACCCTGTACACTGAGTGCATCTAATGAGACTCATGTGATGGCAGGCAATGAATGAGGGACCAAAAATGACTGAGCATACCAGCAGAAGGCAGCTTATCATAGGTTTGGCATAATTGCCTTCACTGCTCTGTCATAGGGAAGTGGCACAGTGTCACAGCTAGTGTCACAATCTCTTGTCAATCCTTTTGGGCAAATTGTTTTGAACCCCTGGGATACAAATTGTTTCCAATCTCACCAAGATATCAACAGCTGGAAGGATTTGAAACAGATTGTGACAGCCTGAAAAATTGAGAAAAGATTGTAACACCCCATGTGACAATCTGTTTTCAATCCTTTCAGAACAATTGAGCCACATAGTGTTCAAGAATTTTTGAATATCATGTTCTCAATCATTTGCCTAGAGGATCACAAACAGATCAAAGACACTTGTCAATGAATCCTTCTGTGATCTGTTCCTGATACTTCGAGTCTGAATGATTAATTGATTATTTCTGACTTTTATTGACAATCTTTCATACGAAATATCGTGAAAAAGATTTTGTCAATTTTATCGATCTTTCACTTGAAGGATCGAAAGTTTCATCCGGTGCTGTGTGTGACGATAGTGCTGATTGTGCAAGCTGAGAAGCGCGAGCGCGAGCGCAAACACGGACACTCACTTTCGTAGAAGAGATGCATGGTATGTGTACAGGTGTAGATTGCGAGTCAAGTCGTGGAGAGCTGGTGATATGGCAGCGACAACGCATATATGTGAGCAGGCATAAGATCGAGCGAAAGAGCAGCTCTGAGGGCACGGCATAAGAGGCGGGCAGGGACGGTCAAGCATGAGTTTGAAAGCTCACCTGCATATCCAGGCCCCGAGCCACATCATGACTGGACAGACATGCTGGGTCAGTCGTAGCATAGGTATTACGCGATGATCTGTGGAAGCAGTAACTACAGGTAGCCTCGTCCAGAGACGCACGCACGCACCTGGGGATCTTGAATCCCTTCCATGTCACACACCGCGTGATCCGCTACAACGTCGTGGTTGGATATGGTCTTCAGAGATGGAAGGGCCATCGCTCGACCTAGCATATTGAGCAACAATATCTGGAAACACGAGTAAAGAAGAGCCTAGCTCACTGTGCTAGCCATATTGAACTCTGATGTGATCTTCCAATTGTACGATGGGAGGCCGGAAGAGGAAAATCCGGTAGTGGGCCCGTTTGAGAAAGTGGGCGACAGAGCTCTCAGTCGTCTGAGCCTAAGTATGTGTCGCGTCATATGTACCAGAGGATCTAGATGTGCTGTCTACGTAGGAGGGCGGAGCTGAACCGGACAGTCGGACGGAGACCTCACAAACAAGCCCAGGGCGTCGGCGATCAGAAGGAGCGGAACTGACTGAGAGGTTGGAGTTCCTGTACCAAATGAAGTCGCTTGAGTCTGATGGCAGTGACGGGCGTAGCAGTACTGAGTGCAAACGGATGCGGCGCTGAGGAGAACGCCTTGGGCGACCGCTTTGACGCGTCTGTCACGTGTAGACCGCGTGTTGCGTTGTCAGCGCGCTGATATCATCCAACTTCCTCTCTGCGCGCACCTTTCCTCGTCCTCCAGGATACACTTACTAGCTGTCCATGTATCTCAAATCACATTAGGGGACTCGAACACATATCGCAGGACACCGTGGGCTCAGCAGTCTTCTATGTGCGCGGTCTGATGAATCACTGCCCCATAAATGTAAGTGAGTTATGCGTTGTCGGGGCTCAAGACACGGTGCGGAACTACTGGCTTCTATCTCGAACTCAGTGCTCATACAACAGCCTTCGACCACTTTGACAGGTCTTCTATTTGATAAAGGGAGCTCCCGTGCCGTCCGCCCCACTCTGTACTGTTTCTTATGCGTAGCAGCGTAGTGCGCGAATATGTCTCATGGATATGAGGTACGTAAACGTCTTCATGCGTACAGGACGTACTCACAATGTGCCCTTGGGGGATGAGTTACGACGGTATGCGTATCAATTCCGAGCGCAACGCATGGCGTGGCGTATGGGTAATCGCGAACCTAAATGCACAGCTGTTTCTCAGCTGCCCTTGAACATGAGGCGGTAATCTCCTAATACAATAGCGCCGTTTGGCACATGTCGACATAGCATGGACATGCCTCGCGGTTAAAACAGTGCCCCTCCTCGACCAAGTCGACCTGGCCCGTCGCGTTCTCGAGTTGCTACCGTCGCCCTAAAGTACTACATCTATCCACGTCTCGCATCCGTCGCGGACAACTTGAACGCACCGATCGAAAATCTTGCCATTGTGGCCACGTCTTGGTCGTGTACAAGATCAGTCCTGCTATCTGTCCGAACGGAAACCGCAAGCTAGCTAGGTAGGCTGCGTGCGGCGTAACGAGTATTTGATCAAGTCTAACGTGGCCATACCCGGGATAGGGACTAACGCGCAAGTGGTTTGCTATTAATCTCACGACAAGCAACACTCTGAAGCCACGGACGTCGATTCAACAATAGTCTAAGTGCTACGTTCGGTATACCCATTCTTCCAATGTGATTCAATTGTATTGACTGAGTCGCTACTCAGTTCGATCACGGCGGGTACGACGAACGATCCGGTGAACCACACCGAGGGCATCTCTGGCAACTTGACAGACGAGGAGCCTGGGAACGAGGAGAAGGACTCTGACTCAAAATCCGAGCGCGATGATTCCTTTCAGGCAACCTATATACTTAAGGTGCGTGACTCACGGCTCCTCCTCTCGGAGGATCGGGGTGAATACGTGATTCACGGCTTTGTGCTTCCTCAGCGATACGGGTCCGCGATTCCCGCAAGAGCTGATCGAGTGCATCTGCGAATTCCTCTGGGACGAACCGGTCCAGCTAGCGGTCAGCTGCACGCGCATTTGCCCCGCTTGGTATCATGCTGCACAGCGACTTCTGCCAGAGCGGGAGATCACCTGTCGAACCCAAGAGGCCCTGCAAGACCATGCGCATACACTGATACCGCATCGGAATGCGCCATATCGCAAATATTTCGAGACATTGTCGATATACGACAATGACAGCAAGCCGTTCGCGCACGTTTGGCCTATGCTCATGCCTGGATCGATGCTACCGGGACTGCGCTTCGTAACTCTCGAGGACCTTGACTGGTCAACCAAGCCACCACACGATAGCTTCTACATCTACCTATCTTCTTACACCAGTGTCTCGAGCCTACGGTTGTACAACTGCAGGTTTCGCAGTCTGCCGAATCTTCGCAGGGTGATCAATGCCCTTCCCAACCTCACATCGCTGCACCTCAACGACGTAACATTACAGCACCCCCTCAGACCGGGATCGGTTCCCGACTACATCGCTCTCCGAACCCGTTCACACAAGTTCGAGTCCATTGATCTCCAGTACATCAGTTGGCATCTTGACGTGTCCTCGGACTACCAAAGAACAATGGCCCTCGGTCGTCAAGCTCTGCTGCATATGGTAGCCGCGAACTCATCCACTGTCACCCACCTTACCCTTGACCTACGATTCTTTGCTTCGCTCTCAGCTCTTCGGCAATTTCTAGCGCATTTTTGCTGCCTTACCTCATTCACAGCACGGGACCACTTTGCCTCGAGTCCTATGATCACATCCGAGGAGACATTTCCTGCGCGTACGGAGAACACTATACACTCATGGTCAACGTTTATCCTTAGATACGTCCCCGATCGGTCCGCGCTGCAGCTTCTGCAGCTGCTTGTTACCCCTGAATCATGCAGCAAACTGCAGGAGTTCATAATCTCTCTGGCAGGCCGGCCATCTGCCACACTTCTATCATGCACTAGCCGTGTGCTCCATGCACTTGGACACCGGCTCAGGACTCTCACGTGGGGATGTTCGGTGGACCCAGGTCAGTTTTCTGTGTCGTGTATGCACATGTGTCTGAATGCCAACTGCTTAGCACATTTATAGATCTCGAGGTCACTCCATCACTCGCAGGGAATACGTCTCTGCAAAACTTGCTGATAGATCTTGTGGAAGTTGCCCCATCACCACAGAAGATACACAGTGCTCTCACCGCCGTGCTATCAGACATCGTCAGCGTGGATCTGCAGCACGTGTGGATTCAGTTCACAGCTCACCTCGAGTCTGAGGTGCTTCCACGGAATCATGGACGGACGCCCGTGGCACCAGATCCTGCCGAGTCCATCTCTGCCTTTCACGCCATTCTCTTGCGCGAGGTATTCAATGGGCTTCCGCTGCACACTCACAGGAAGTGTGTAAATATCAGTTTCACTTTCCGAGACGTACAGGAGGATCCCATAGTGGTAGCCACGATCAAAGCCTACATGATCAATCTCTTTACGCCCTGGTTGCATCGCGGAATAGTGGAGTTGCGGTTCGGTTCAGCGGGCGTTTATTATGAGCGTATTACATGTGTTCCCGCGTCTATGCCCAGTGGTAAGTGGCCCAATGTCATACCTCGCAACGGCGCACTTACAAACCGGCCATTTGCATGTTCCCGTAGAGGACATATCAGACGATCGCGGAGGCGAGGATGTCTAAGCAAACAAATCCGTAAGAACGGAACAGTAGAACGAATCTCGCGAGGGAATGGGAGAGACGGACACTGGCGTGAAGGGGTTGGGCGGACGCAGTTGGTCGCGCAGGACGTTGTACGATCCATGGTCGGATATTCATGGACGGATATGATTGTTATTTACAATGACAGGTTACGACGACACTCTTGATCAAAAGCATAGTCTTGAGGGCATTAGCTTACCTACGCGTCTCCTTCCGTGTCGTTCGCGCCGTTGCATGTCCTGATGAAAGCTACAGTATTTAATAGCAGAGGGCCCGACAGAGGAAGGACACGGTAAGCCGCTAAGTAGCCGCCGGTCGGACTCGTCGGGCCCCCTGCACCATGCCTTGACGAGTAGCAGATACCATCTGCTGCCGGGTGAGTGTCAATGCGACGAGAAGGAAGTACTAGTAGCGCTCACGGATGTGTACGAGCACTCTTCCGTTGTGCGAGAAGCACTGCCGGCGTCGCAGACGACTGGACCAGAAGAGGTGCACCGGTGTCGACGATCTTGTCCAAACACTTCTCAACCGAGCCATCGTCAAACTCCGGGGGACTGAAGGCGAACGGCAGTTCGCCCGTCAACGCCAGAGGGGTGACGGGGCGCGGTGACCTCAGGACGTACGGCAACAATCACAGAGCTCACCTGCGGGAAACGGGAACCTGACGATTCAAGGAGGCACCTCCGAGCGTAAAACGAAGGACAGTGTTAGTGCGAAGGTATGGCGTGTCTCTGCAGCCGCCGCCCGCGCCTGTTCAGGAAATGCCCTACAGCGGAGCATGTAAGCGCATATATGCGTTGCCAGTGACGACTCCCACCTCTCGACGGGCCTCGGACCTTCCTTTGCGCCGTCTCACTGTGCTTGCGGAGTAGTTCGGGATCGGCTTCTGCGTGGCGTGAAACGCAGGTATTCATTATTGTAGAGACGATCTGGAAAGACCGAAACTCCTCAGCACGGTGACGATAGGTAATAGTTGTGGGCCTAGTCGAGCACGGCGGCACATGCTAAGATATGTTCGAATATACTTCAAGAGTAGATAGAACCTGCACGTGACGGTGGTGTTGCCTGCGCAAGGAATTAAGCGAGCTAAGACATGAGTGTAGCAATGCGGGACTCACGTTCGTGAGTGAGTGAAGTTGTGGGGCGTTGGCGGGTTGACAGGAATGTCGCGTATATCTGCATATATACGAAACGAGCATAATATTGAGTGAGCAGTCGCGGAGCACGGCGTAAGAGGGTGGAGAGGGTGAGCCAAGACTAAGCGTAGAAGCTCACCTGGCGGGGCCAGGTCCTGGATATCCCAGGTCTCAGGCGGGTTTATGAGCGGACGGACATGCAGGGTCGGTCTATCGCGCGTCGGACTGTGCAAGTGATGACCACAGGTAGCCTCGCCTGGCAAGACATACACGCACCTTGGGATATTGAATCACTCTCCTGCCGCACATTGCCTGTAGCCCCATACGACGCCGTGGTAGTATCTCGTTTTCAGACACGGGCGGTTCATCACCCGACCTCACGTACTTAGCAGCGACTCTTGAGAGCATGAAGAGTTTGAGGTATAACTTCACACTGGTGCGACGAAGCTGCGTTGGCTTCTGAATGTCGACCGCCCGGTTTACGATGCGAGCGAGGCTCAAAGAGGGAGATCCAATAGTGCCTCCATTCGGGAGGCCGAGGATGTCAGTTTCTGTTCTATGTACGAGTGTTGTCTGAATGAGTCTCGCTGGGAGTACGAGGCGATGAGGCGCGTAGGAGCCTAGGATGGGTCTGAAGAGGTGAACCCGGCGGTGCGTCCATTCGAGGAAGTCAATGAAGAGCTCTGTATGATATTCGTCGAACGTGTGTGTCGCGTCATAGGTACCAGATGGTCTATATTTGCTGTATAGGCAGGAGGAGGACGGAGACCAGGCCGTCGGCGATCGGGAGGAGAAGAAGTGAGAGGTTAGGGTTCCTGTGCCGAATGAGTTCCCTTGAGCCTGACGGCAGTGACGGGCGTACTAAGTGCCGACGGATGCGGCGCTGAGGGGAACGACGACGTTGAAGGCTTGGGCGACGCGTCGGCGAACGCGCCCATCACGTGCGGCGCGCGTCATCTTCCTCTCGTCCTCGCGCACGATCGCCTAGTCCTCCATCCCATACTCTGCAGCCACAAAGCCGGATACACTAGGCCACACCATTCCACTAGTACCCTACGCGCGCTGCAATGGATCACCAAGACCGCATTCCTAGCCTCTGCCATGCCCCTCGCCCTGCTCTTTCCACTGGGGTCGATCCGCCGAGTGTCTAGCAAGGCATCACGCTCCCGGTGAGATAGCCTTGTTACTGTACTACGCTCGCTCGAAACTGACACTCGCACGCAGCAAATGCTGACCCCAGGGCCAGGCGAGCGATGCCCTGCTGATTGCCCGGTCTTCGCAGATCGACGCGCTCGACGTACTATGTGGCTCTCTTAGCAGTGCCATCTGGGAGAGGTAAGTTTGATCACCGGACGTGTCTCTGTGATACTGTAGAGCTCGTCTTATATTCAAAGCAGTGGGCAGAGTCCATCCATATGCCGGAGGAAGGAGTGGTCGACAGAGTTGTATTTCGGCCAAGGATCTGCGCAGGCCTAGGTACGTGTACTCAACATCGTGCCTTACACAAAGAACCAACACGTCGATTTCCCTTATCTAGCAATGCCCCGCCCGCTCTGCTACAAGACCTCATCGAAGTCATTGCGCGCCTGCCTCTGCGACGAGCCCTTGCTTCTCGCCCAGTGCTGCCTCGCATGCCGCGCGTGACGATAGGCAGCACCGCCGCTCTGCATGACTCCATGCGGGTGCTCATTTTCAAGCAGCACGAGCCGTCCTACAGCTGCGCGCTCGGCGAACTCGAACACGCGGGCGCACACCTTCGCCGTGCGCGTTTGCGAGTGCCGCCTCCCGCGCTAGAGCACCTCACGTTCGCGCTGCTCGACTAAGCGGCGCCCCCGAGGGCACCGCACCCTGCCTCCTTCAGCTACGCCATATGCCCCATGCCTCCTGCTCGCTTGTCCCACCGCCGGTACCACTTCCATCGCGCAGGCGTGCTCCGCCTCGTCTCAGGCGCGTCCTCTCTGGTCTCGAATGAATGTGTGTTGACATAGTCACGGCCCAGTCAACACTGCGGGACGTGGAAGGAGCTCCCGCTACTCCAAGCAAGAATTCTGTGAGTTCTTGCTCATAGTCTCGCTCAGCCGCGACTATCGCCCACCAGTTCTTCTCGCGGTGCCGCCGCATCAGACCCTCCTAGACGGTTCGGTCGCATACACGCAACCCTTCGGGACTCGACTTTGCATGTCTTGTTCGTGCCCTTTCCGTTGTTCCTCCGTGCATTCCACGACCTCCGACACGTCCAGTCTCCGCAACGACCTCGATTGGGGAGTTGCGCCCAGCGAAGCTCCGTCTAGCCACACGGCGAACGCAGCCCAAGCGCTCCGTGGGGATGCGGTATCGCTCTGGGACGTCTCCTCGGTATTCAGCACGGAGTGCTTCCCGCGCTTTTGGCAGGAGCGTCGCGCTGTCGAGAAGATAGACAGCCGTCCGTCGAACTCGCATTCCCAGGTACTGCGTCACGCCTTCGTTGCAGCGCTGCGGCGATCGGAGGCTGCACCCAAGAGGTTCGCGATTCTCAAGACCTGTACGCTCGTGCACCAGAAGTATGTGTCCACTGTCCAAGCCATCTCTTCGTCGCATACTAACGTGTCAAAGCTGTAGGCTCCGCAGTGCCGGCCCGAGGCCGTTCCTCCGCTCACCTGCGCCATTGAGCCGCAGGTGCTTCAGTTGTCGTATGCAGTGTCCTCGCCATCAAGCGCGACGCCGATCCACAGCACTTTCCCCTTGCTGTTCTCGCCCCATCGACGGCACGCAATTGCGTCGGTGCAGGATGCGCGTCGCGGTTTGCTTGGATCACCAACGCATGTGGGTTCAATGTGCACGCGCATGCGGTTGGTACGAGCCCGGTCGCTGCCCAACGCTAGGTGCGCAGTTTGTATGGACAGCTGGGATTTTCTTGAATACGAACCGTTCTGTGCGTCAGGTTTCGGGCCCCTCATCCGTGGATGTCTGCTACCCATCGAGGTAGTGCCACGCCTGTTACGGCCTTGAGCCGAGCAACCCGTGGGAGTCATACAATCCTCAAATATCGCGGCTGTGCGCACCAGAAGACTGGTGTGTATGCGCGGTACCGAAGTCTAGATGGGCGATACTAGAAGGCGGAAGATGCGGCGATATCTTCGTTGCATGAGGACTCGCTCAAGTGCTTGAGCTGCGTGGCGGACGGGGCGCGTTGTCAGCGGTCCGACATCATAAAATATCCCTTCGTTGCATTCGAGCATCGCCACCCCTGGTCGCATTCAATTGAACCTGGACTCACTATGTACAGGGCTCGTGCGGCTTTCGTAGTAGTGTCCGAGTGGGGAAGAAGGCTGTATATACGTACCACTTGAGGCAGGTCACGAGCGATAACACGGCAGTGAGTCGAAGGATGGGGAAGGATGGATTATGAAGACGACATGAGCTGGATCTCAACACGAATGGGACACCAGCAACATCGAAATTGAAGCGCATATATGCGGGGCGAACACACAACAAGGGGAAGGAAGAACTCGACTTTTGGAGCGCGTTGCAGACGGAGCAAGCGAGAGAGAAGAGATATTTAACGAAGGCTCACCACCCAGTGACATCCGAAGACAACGGGAGCATCGCACCGAGCGGGTACACACGGCACTGCGTCGGTGGTAGCCTGTAAAGTACGAGGTGAGCCGTTGAGTTCACTGAGACAGAGTGAAGCCATTTGAAGAGGCAGACACGTACCCATCAGTAGCAGTACGTCGCCTGTCTTGTCGCGTGGTTTAACGATTCTTTCGACGGCGTCGGGGAGGGCTGCACCGCGCGGTCAGAAGGGGACCTCTGTCGGAAGGGGCGAACCCTGCGCCATCTGCAATCGGACGATTGGTGAATGGTGATAGAGGGTGCCCCAAGCTACTAGAGCTGCTTTACAGAAGACGCGTTGTAGTGATGAGAGACTCAGGAGACGGTACGGCTTGGGTACGGCGTTGAACGTTGACCAGTCGGCGAGTGGATAAGACGCGTCCGTCATGTGTGGACTGCGTGTCGCGTTGTCAGCGCGCTGACATCATCCAGCTTCCTCTCTGTGCACCATCACTTGCGCACTTATTATCGTCCTCCAGGATACACTTAGCTGTCCATGTATTCCAAATAACATAAGGGGACTCGAAGACACGTCGCAGGACACCGTTAGCGCAGCAGTCTTCTATGTGCGCGGCCTGAGGAGTCACTGCCCCATAACTGTAAGTGAGTTCTGCGTTGTTGGGGAGACACACGGTGCGGAACTACTGGCCTTCTATCTCGAACCCAGTGCTCATACAACAACCTTCGACCACTTTGACAGGTCTTCCATTTGATAAAGGGCGCTCCTGTGCCGTCCGCCCCACTCTGCACTGTTCTTGTGCGTAGCAGCGTAGTACGCGAATATGTCTCATGGATATGAGGTACGTGAACGTCTCCATGCGTACAGGATGTACTCACAATGTGCCCTTGGGGGAGGAGTTAGGACGGTATGCGTATCATTTCCGAGCGCAACGTATGGCGTAGCGTGTGGGTAATCGCGAACCTAAATGCACAGCTGCTTCTCAGCTGCCCTTGAACATGAGGCGGTAATCCCCTCATACAATGGCGCCGTTCGGCGTGTACCGACATCGCATGGACATGCCTCGCAGTTAAAACGGTGCCCTCCTCTCGACCAAGTCGACCTGGCCCATCGTGTTCTCGAGTCGCTACAGCCACCCCAGAGTAACATCCATCCACGTCTCGCATCCGAGTCCGTCGCGGACAACACACCGATCGTCGATTTTGTCATTGTGGCCACATCTGGGTCGTGTACATTCAATCCTGATTCCTGTCTGAACGAACACCGCGAGCTAGCTAGGTAAGCTGTGTGCGGCATAACGAGTATGTGATCAAGTCTAACGTGGGCATACCCGGGACAGTGACTACACAACGCGCAAGCGGTTCGCCTTCAATCTCACGGCAAGCAACGCTCTGAAGCAGCAGACGTTGATTAAGCGATAGTGCAAGTGGTGCGTTTGATATACTCATCTTCAAGCTGCCAATATGATTGAATTGTATTGACTCATTTGCTATTTAGTTCGATCATTCACGGCGGCTGCGATGGACGATCCGGTGGACAAGATCGAGCGCATCGAGGAGGAGATTGCTGATGCAGAGAGCATCCCTGACAAGCTGACGGGCAAGGATTCCGGGAAGGAGGAGAAGGACTCAGGCTCAGCATCCGAGTGGCGTCCTGATACTGAGATTCTGTTCAGGCAACCCATATACTTAAGGTGCGTGACCCACGGCTCCTCCTCCCGGAGGATTAGGGTGAATACGTGATTCATGGCTTTGTGCTTTCTCAGCGATACGGGTCCGCGATTCCCGCAAGAGCTGATCGAGCGCATCTGCGAATTCCTCTGGGACGAACCGGTCCAGCTAGCGGTCAGCTGCACGCGCATTTGCCCCGCTTGGTATCATGCTGCACGGCGACTTCTGCCAGCGCATAACATCACCTGGCGAACCCGAGAGGCCCTGCAAGACTATGCGCATACACTCACATCCCATCGTAATGCGCCATATCGCAAACGGTTCCAACAATTGTGGATCTACGACAACGCCAGCAAGCCGTTCGCGCACGTTTGGCCGATTTTCATTCCTGTATGGATACTACCGGAACTGGATTTCGTGCATCTTGTTGACCTTGACTGGTCAACTAAGACACCGCACGATAGCTTCTTCGTCTATCTGTCTTCTTACACCAGCATCTCAAGCCTACAGATGTACGACTGCAGGTTTCGCAGTCTGCTGGATCTTCGCAGGGTGATCAATGCCCTTCCCAGCCTTACGTGGCTGTATTTTCGCAACGTAACACTACAGCACCCCCTCAGACCGGGATCGGTCCCCGACCACATCGCTCTCCGAGCCCGTTCACATAGGCTCAAGTCTATTGATCTTTGCGGTTCCGGACATGGCGGGCCAGAGTATCCTGACGTGTCCTCGGACTACCAAGGAACAACGGCCCAAGCTCTGCTGCATATGGTAGCCGCAAACTCATCCACTGTGACCCGCCTCGACCTTGACCTGCGATTCTTTACTTCGGCCTCAGCTCTTTGGCAATGGCTAGCGCCTTTTGGCCGCCTCACCTCATTCACAGCACAGTACCAATTTGCCTCGGGCCCCATGATCACACTCGAGGAGACAGTTCCTGCGCGTACGGAGAACACGTATATACACTCATGGGAAATCTTTGCCCTTATGGACGTCCCCGATCGATCCGCGCTGCAGCTTCTGCAGCTGCTTGTTACCCCTATATGGTACAGCAAACTGCATTATTTCCGTATCCATCTTGCAGGCCCACCATCTGCCGCACTTCTATCATGTACTAGCCGTGTGCTCCATGCACTCGGACATCGGCTCAGGAGTCTCGTGTGGATGTGTTCGGCGGACCCAGGTCAGCTTTCCATGTGTAGTACGTACATGTGTCTGACTGCCAACTGATTCCATTTGTAGATGTCGAGGCCACTCCGTCACTCGCAGGGAATACGTCTCTGCAAAGGGTATACATATCCCTTCGGGACGTTGCCCCATCGCCACAGAAGATACACAGTGCTCTCACCGCCGTGCTATCAGACATCGTCAGCGTGGATCTGCAGCACGTGTCGATTTGGTTCACTCTAGCTCACCTCGAGCCTGAGGTGCTTTCACAAAATCATAGATGGACGCCCGTGGCACCAGATCCTGCCGAGTCCGTCTCTGCCTTTCACACCATTCTCTCGCGCGAGATATTCAATGCTTACGACAAGTTCGTAGAGGTTGTTTTCTGCGTCGATAACATACAGGACAATCCCGCCCTGGTAGCCACGATCAAAGCCTACATGATCAATCTCTTTACGCCGTGGTTGGATCGCGGAATAGTGGAGTTGCGGTTCGCTTCAGCGGACGGTTATTATGAGCGTATTACCTGTGTTCCCGCGTCTATGCCCAGTGGTAAGTGGCCCAATGTCATACCTCGCAACGGCGCACTTACATTGCATGTTCCCGTAATGCATGTTCCCGTAGAGGACAAATCAGACGATCGCGGAGGCGAGGATGTCGAAGAAAACGAATCCGTAAGAACGGAACAGTAGAACGAATCTCGCGAGGGAATGGGAGAGACGGACACTGGCGTGAAGGGGTCGGGCAGACGCAGTTGGTCGCGCAGGACGTCGTACGATCCATGGTCGGATATTCATGGACGGATATGATTGTTATTTACAATGACAGGTTACGACGACACTCTTGATCAAAAGCATAGTCTTGAGGGGATGAGCTTACCTTCGCGTCTCCTTCCGTGTTATTCGCGCCGTTGCATGTCCGGATCAAAGCCATTCAATTGCAGATATTCGACAGAGGAAGGACCCGGTAAGCCGCTGAGTAGCCGTCGACTGGACTCGTCGGGCCACCTTAGACTGCACCATGCCTCGACGAGTAGCATACACCATCTACTACGACGATGACGGCTGAGTGTCAATGTGACAAGAAGGAAGTACTAGTGCGTACGGATGCGCACGAGCACTCTTCCGTTGTGCGAGAAGCACTGCCGGCGTCGCAGACAATCGGACTAGAAGAGACGCACCGATCACGACGACTTTGTCCATCAGCCTCTCGACTGAGCCATCGTCGAACTCCCGGAAAATCGAAAGCGAGTAGGTGCAAGAGGTCGTCAATCAACGATAGACGACTAACGGGGTGTTGCAGCAGCGCGGCGACCTCAGGACAACAATTGCAGAGCTCACCTGCGGGAAAGGAGAGCCTGAGAGTGCGACTCGAGACGAAAGCACCTCCGAGCGTCAAGGGCAGGATAGTGCTAGGGCGAAGGTACGGCGTGTCTCTGCAGCAGTCGTCTTCGCCTGTTCAGGATATGCCCTACAGCGGAGCATGTAAGTGCATATATGCGTTGTCAGTGTGCCGACGCGCACCTCTCGACGGCCCAGACCTTCCTTTGTGCCGTTTCACTAGGCGGGCGGAGTAGCTGGGGAACGGCTTCTGCATGGCATGATACACAGGTAATCATCGTCATACAGACGGATTGGGCAGACCGGGAGACTTCAGCTAAAGGTATAAGCCTAGTCAAGGATGGCGACACATGCCGGGATGTATTCGAATATGCCTCTGAATAGGACCTGCGCGTGACGGTAGTGTTGCCTGCGCAAGCAATTGAGCGAGCTGAGACACGCGGGCAAAGGCACCGGCACTCACGTTCGTAAATGAGTTGAGCGATATGTGTACAAAGATCAATATGGTCTATGTTGCGAGTGAAGTTCTGGGGCGTTGACAGGTTGACAGAAATGTCGCGGATATCTGCATATAAACGAGACAAGCAGGAGACTGAGTGAGCAATCGCGGAGCACGGCGTAAGAGGCGGGGAAGGTCAGCCAAGTTCAGTGTAGAGGCTCACCTCCTGGCGGGTCCAGGTCCTGGATATCCCAGGACTCAAGCGGTATTGTGAGCGGACTGACATGCAGGGTCGGTCTATCGTGCGGCGGACTGTGCAAGCTGACCGCAGGTAACCTCGCCAGTAAACTCGGCGGTGCATCCATTCAGGGAGGCCAACGACGGAGTTCTCGATGTATTCGTTTGGGCGTATGTTTACATGTCGCGTCATCAATACCAGAGAATGTAGATGCGCTGTGTAGGTAGGAGGACAGAGCTGAACCGGACAGTCGGAGACCAGGCCGTCGGCGATCGGGAGGAGCGGGACAGAGAGGTTAGGGTTCCTGTACCGAGGGAAGTCGCTTGAGCCTGACGACAGGGACGATGCGCAGCAGTGAGTGAGCACCGATGCGGCGCTGAGGAGAGCGACGAGGAGGAAGGACACGGCCTTGGGCGACCCAATCCGAATCGGAGTGAGCGCGCCCGTCACGTGCAGCGCGCATCGTCCGAGTCGTCTTCTCGTCGTTCTTGTGCACCGACCGCCTCTTCGAGTGTGCTTTAATTGTTGCATGCGCACTATCCCGTCCTCTGCACACAGAAAGCCGGAGGGAATCTGCTCCATCGTAGTACTTCGCGAGTTCGCTTTCTTAGTTCGATGGACTCCGTACTCCCCCGTCTCGCTCTTCCCTTATGAATCCATCCGCCGGGTGTCTAGCAGAGTGCATGCAACGCCCCTGGTGAGACATCCTGACGAATTACCAAGCTCTGCGAAAGCTGAGATTTACGCGCAGCGGGTGCCGGCCCAAGGCCCAGACGAGCGACAGCCTGAAACTTCATCGCAGCCTCAGTTCGCAGGTCGGCTCGTTGGACGCGGTATACAGCTCTATTGGCCGATCTACATGACAACTGTGCATCAAGTCACGAGGGTCGTCTAACATATCGTTCACGACCGAGCCTGCAGGACGCTAGAGGAAAGGACGGGTAACAGGACCACATTTCGGTCACCCATCTGTTCCAGGTGCGTTCAATCCACATTGGTCTTCCTCCAAAACTGAAGCGTGTCGAGTACCTAGATCTAGCGATGCGTCGCCCGCCCTTCCAAGGAGCTCGTCCAGCTCCTCGCGTACTGTTCCCGGTCGCCCGGTGCTCCCTCGTATCCCGGCGTGGACCTTGCCCAGCGTGCAACGACAGGCGGCACTCCAGCTCTGCGATTAATGACTTCGTGTGAGGCTCATGTCCGGCAATCCTACCACTGTGCACTCGGCGCGCTCGAGACAGCTCCTCGAGCGCGTAGGCACGATGTACGCGCGTACGTTCTCCATGCGTGCCCGGCCGCCGCTTCCCGGATCACCTCGCGTTCGCGCACTTCGACTAGGCAGCATCCCCGAGGGAAGCCATGCCCGCGTTTGTCGGCTACCTTGTCTACCTCAAGTCTGTCGCATGCTTGTCTCCCCATCGGTGTCGCGCACGTCGCGCGGAGTCCTCCAGTCCATCCTGACTGCCTTGCCCAATCTAGAGTTGCTCTGTTTCTACGCCATCACCGTTCACTTGGCACAACGCGACCCGGACAATGTACAGAGGGGCTCCCGCTGCCCGGAACAAGACATTACTATGTAAGAGATGGCTTATAGGTTATCTGCTGCGACTACCACTCGACAACTCGTTTTGCAGAGTATCTGCGCCAGAGCCTTCTCAATGTCCTGGTCGCGTACACGCGTTTCAGCACACTCTGTCTCGATACAATTCAGCTCCCTTCGTTTGCGCCCCTCCAGTCGTTCCTCTGCGCGTTCCCGAACCTCAGATGCGTCGACCGCTCAAATGATCTTGACTGGGGCGTTACACCCGACGGAGCCACGTCTTGACGGTCTGGTCGCTCGGAGAACCATGTAGGCGCCCTGCGCGATGTCACTCTCGGACGCGTCCTCGTCATCATCTTCGGATGGCCTCAATCACCTCTGGCCGGACTATCGCGCCGTCGATCTGCTCGACCTCCGTGTTTGGGACTTCCCCTCCCCCATATCGCAACAGGCCGTCGGTGCGATGTTGCGAGAGTCGTGGGAAACATCCAAGAGTCGTGGGCAACATCCAAGCGGCGTGGAAGCACAGATACCGAATGCCGTGCCATGTCCGGAGAGAAGTAAACTCCCACCGCCCCCAAGTCCGACGTCGTGGCCTGTACTGCTTGCCCTGCTTGCGTATGCCATCAGGCTGGAGCCGCTGGAGCCGCTGTATGCTATATACGCGTCGCTGAACACAACATGGCTTTTCAAAACCCTTCAGGCGCTGTCATTGCAAGTGAGCTACGGGAAGCTATTGTCGTGCGGCCGCATGCTGACGTTTACCGCAGGCAACCAGTGTAGGACGATCTTGGACGACCCTTGACCGATGATAGACGGTTCTCCCGGTGCACGAACAGTTTCCTAGATTGCGATGGGCTGATGTTTCGTGTAGTCGTGTGTTCGCTACAGCTGCTCGTGATGACTTGTAAGTTATGCTCCCGGAGATCTTGATGCATACATACGGGCTTATCGAGTGTGTGATACAATACACTCGTGTTCGCCGACCAGATTGCCTGGAGCTTCCGCGACGGAGTGTTGCTGTCTATTGTCTGTATCGTATTGTATTCCAGTTCGTGCGATACGAAACCGCCTCCCGTACGTCTGCTTAAATTGTTGTGAATATCATCGCACTTCGATATAACATACGATGTTCTGTTGAGCACATTGCGACAAGCAAGAGGGGATGTGAACGAAAGTCATATTTCCAGGTCTGAACCTACTTCGCGACGACCGTTACAATCGGTGACACCGCATTCACGAGATCAAAACCCGAACGGCCGTGTATGCTACCCTTGAGATAGCAATGCTCGTACCTCGCGCCCGGCCGACGGGCTTGCTTCTGCCGCCGCTGCACCAGCAGCTGCGTAGACAGGTAAGCTGCCAGTCAGCACTGTATGTACTTGCTCGCATATCAAACAATAGTACTCACAGTCTCGTCACTCAGTCATCACCGCCTCCCGCTCTCACAGGGCTCCCATGCGTCGACTCTGAGCTCTCCCGTCTTCTCTGCCTGGACGCCTGGCGGAAGGGCGCCATCTTCAACGCGGTACCACTTGACCTCACTTGACGCGACTATTGAGAGGGCAGCTGGTTGAGGCGAAGCGCGTGTTCTGGTCGCAGCGACCTGTTCCGTCGTGCGACCCGGGCGATACGTGTGTACCTCTTGGTGTTATTGACTGAAGGTACCGCGCGTTGTTTTCTTCGAACAGGGTAGCCTGAGCCTGACGAGGCATAGCAGTGAGCAAGAGCCGATGCGGCGCTGAGGAGGAGGACGAGGCAGAGGACGCCTTGGGCGACCGCCTCGTCGGCGAACGCGCCCATCACGTGCAGTACGCGTCGTCTTCCCCGGCCCTCGTCCTCGCGCACGACTTGCGACCGCCTCCTCCTCTGCATGCCATCCTGGCCATAGTCACTCTGCAACGGCATCGCCGGACACGAGGCACACCATTCCACTGGTGCCCTATGCACTCTGCAACAGACACGCTAAGATCGCCTTCCCAGGTTCTGTTCTCGCCATGCTCGCCGCTTCCCACTTGCCTCTATGCGCCGGGTGTCCAGCAACGCATCTACCGATCCTCGGCATCACGCTCTTGGTGGGATAGCCTGAAGGCTGTAGTCTAAGCACGCTCGCTGGACACTATTATTCGCGCGCACTGGCTGATCCCAGAGGACTGACCGGTCTTTGTCTCCTGCTCTTATGCCTAGAAGGTTCGGCGGCGCATCCGGTGGCGTGGGAGCGAGCCGCCTCGCGGAGGCGGCTCGCTCCCACGCCACACGCTCTTGCCGGACGAGTGACTCACTCTGTCGGCAGGGAGGGTCCCGAGTCGGAGGAGCATTGAAGGAGGGCATCCCATCCGGGCGTCGACAAGCTCAGGCGAAATGGGCGTAGTGGGACCGAGAACTCTCGCATACGACCGCACAATGAGAGATAGAAGCAGCATAGAATGTTGACAAGGCGGCTGGCGCAGAGGTGTGGAGCACGTGGAGGGCCGTATTGAAGCCGTAGGCAGTGCCGGTGGCTGGTGGCAACCTGGGCCCGTCACGCCCTGGTCACGCCCGTCCCTTTATGTGGTGCTCCGACTGTTCGTCTATCCTCCGGTCTTCTCCTGACTTACAAGAGGACTTCTTACATCTGCCATGTCTACAACCCCTTCCCGCCTTGCCCTTCAATCCCCCCTCTCTCGTTCCCCCAGCCCTCAGGCTAGCCCCCTCTTGGATGTCGAGCCGTTCAGAGATAATGAGGTCGACTCGAGGGACGGGGGCGCTCAGAGATTCTCTCAGCTCCAACTCAACTCGTGCGGTGACCACAACTGCAAGCCCGCCGAGAATGGTGAGCTCGTTAGACGATGGGATTTGAGGTCATAACCAACTCACATATGCAAGTATTAGGTCCCAAACAAATTTTTTGTCCTCGGTCCAAGATCGTTCAACCTACCAACGCTCAGCCAGGTGTGTACACAACAGTCTGTGTCAAGCACCCTCAGCCAACATCCAGGACGATAGCACAAGCTGCCCCCAAGAAGGCAGAATCACCACCGTACAAACCAACACCGATCTTCCCCAAAGAGCTGTTCCCCGACGTCGTGCACAAGGTCTTTGGCGAGGATCTTGACATAGTGCTCCTACACTTTCAGCGTTATTACTCAAAGGTGAGCCAAATGGTGGGCCGCAAAGCGTCTCATTTCTGACAGTGCGTCGCATGCGCAGACCGTCAAGGACTTCAGCCTAAGCGACTGGCAGGAGCTCTGCCAATTTTTGGACGAAGAATTCACATTCAGTTACCTTGAGTAAATTATTACATAATCAACTCCAATCTCTGTTTCGCTAATCAGATTGGCGCAGGTGGGAGTACTGCACGGACACTCAAGTCCTCATGGTTGTATCACTCAGTCACAATCATCAGGAGATGGTTAGCATCCGTAATGCGCACATTGAGGACGCACTCGACATTATCCACCCGGTCCCAAGAGTCCTGAAGAGAATCATGGCACCGAAGGTGGTTTTCGGCGGAGATACCACACAGCTCTACTCCGACGCAAAGAGTCATAACGTCCTTACGCAGAAGGTTCCCGACGTTTTGACGACACTGCGCACGAAGCTCACGGATGACCTCGTGAGCCTTGATGAGATCATGTTCTCACAGCCGGATTACACGCCTGAGCCGAGGCCGCGCAAGGCGACGGCTGCAGCGACGGCTGCACAGGCAGATGGCTCAGGGACGATGAACGTGAAACGCCCCACTAGCAAGGGAGGGTTCACCAAGGTAGACCTTACAATCGATCAAACAGTTACCACCGCTGACGCTAAGTAGACCCTGATTTACATCAAAGACCGGGCGACCGCGATGCGTGAAGGCAGGACAACCCCTCTCGAGAAACTGTGCTCTGTCAACGTCATTGCGTTGCGCGAGACGTTCGAGTCGAGCCTGGCCAAACCCTATCGATCCCCTGCCGGGAAGTCGAAGGAGTCGGCTCAATATCGGAATGCCTCATTGTGCAAGGGGGAAAACATGGAGCTCAACGATGCCATGTTCAGACGGATGCAGACCGATCATCAGCTCGACAAACACAGTTTTGACTACAGCAAGCACTTGATACAGGGTGCTGGACCGTGGGTCTGCAAAGCCGAAGGACATTCGTACATCTGGCACGGTGCCATGCGGGCCTATTGGGTCCACGTCAATATAGCTGACGACGATCAGGTGCAGAATTTCACTGAGCTAGTGGAGCGCAAGGCCGACATGGTTGAGTACCTGGAGGCGGGTCTTGGAATTGTAAGTTCAGTCGTTGTTGGGATCACTGCCTAGCTGACAGCAATGTTTAGGCTCTCCTCAATGAATACGAAGGCGCCGACCAGGAGCGTCGTGATGTTTTCCTGGGGAACGTCGCGCGCGATTACCAGAGGCAGCTCGACTGTCTTTCAGAGACCTTCCAGGACCTGTTCTTTGAGAAGGCGATAGAAGAGGTCGCCCGTCTCCCGAGTCAGGAGGACCTTGACGTTCTCCATGCCCACATCGAGGACTCGGATGTCGCCAAACCCATCTCGCACTCGGACACGCAGGAAGGAGCATGGGAGGAGATGGAGCAATACTGGAAGGCAATTTGCGGCCGCGCTGCTCAACCCATCGACTTGCGCATCAACATGCACAAAATGCTGCAACGAATGGTCAAGACACTGCAGACCAGCTCCAAGAGCACCGCCCAGTGGCGAATTGAGAAGCACATCGGTGAGGTACAGGAGGCGGTGGTACAAGCGGCGAGGCCCTCGGCACGTCCCAGGTCGCCCTTCGAGGATCAGTTCGCGAGAGCCAGGCAAGCCTTGAAACGCAAGCGAGGCACCTCAAACGCCGCCGCTGACGACGAACGTCGCGCTGGCCCGAGTGCTGGCCCGAGTGCTGGCCCGCATGCTGTCGATGGAGATGTGAGTCGCTACCAATCTCATACTTGTTGTCCGTTCATCATCTCATTGGCATGTCAGTGCGTCATCCGGGTCGTCTGATCATCATCGCTATTCTTCTATCGTTGCCTGCAAGTCATGGACCAACCTGGTATTTACCCTTCCCCTATCACATTGACACCTTTATATATTACGAGCTATCGCTCGTTGTACAATAGAGCACCCTCTTCTTGTGTTACCCTCGTGTTGTTGGTCCTGATTTGCGCTGTTGCTGTGTTTGTTTGCTCGCGATACTTGTCCGCGCTGTCTACGCTCTCGATTCTCGCTCGCGCTGTATACGCTCTGGATTTTCGCTCATGCCTGCCTTGTTGGACATTGTAATATGACATCAGTGTATGGGTTTGTAGCACTTTGAGTTGTTATAGAACATGAAAAAAAAGAAACGAGATTATATCCAGAACATACATTCATGGCAAATCGGCAGTCACGTGACTGACACGTAACTTGAAGCTTTCAGCTCAGCAATACTCTCAACTCTCTGCAGTAACGAGCTCATCTTTCTAGTGTCGGCCTGCTATCCAGTACGTAGCAACCCCTACCAGCCTCTGATCATATTTGTTTAGGGCATCTTCGACCATGGAGGCGACGGGAGGGAGCACAAGCACACTGGTCTTCAAGAGGCGCCCGCCCAGCGACCGACGGGAAGACTTCGCCCCTGTCCTTCAACAAGGCCGAAACCTTCTAGTCTCGGCCTGCTATCCGGTACGCAGCAATCCCTACCAGCCTCTATCATATTTGTTTAGGGCATCTTCGACCGTGGAGGCGACGGGAGCCAGCGCGAGCACGCTCAGTGACGTGTAAGTGAAGACAGTCCCTCGAGATCGTACCGAGGATCGTACACGATTCCGCATGAGTTTTCACAGTGAACGCGCGACAGCAGACTGATACTAATCTATGAAAACGAATGAGCAGTGTCTTCGAATTTAGCACCCGTCAGAGCATGCTTCTGATCCACAGCCGAGGTTGACGACTGACTATGTCCTACGTTTGGTACGTGGTGAGGGAAGGACGGACAGGTACAAAATCGAATGTTATGGCCAGCTGGGTTCCGCAAATGTTCTGTCCATTCCGAAGCTCAGACCGACACCGCAACAATGTCTAAGGGACGCGCACCGGATGTAGCAACCCACTATATGTGCTTCGGCACGCTCGGCTCCTCAGAACCTTCGACTCTCCACATCCGCATCAATGTGTAGTGAAACTCATTGACAGTGCCGCACTGCCTGCGCGAGAGGAGCTACAGTGTGATATATCAGTGGCATACTTGACAAGATAGCCATCACCCATAAAAGATGCTCACAGGTGTTCGCGCTCACAACCTCCAGCTAGAGTAAACACTCGCTGCGCAATCAGCCCCCGCGTCTATTCAATACCTCTCGTGGCACACACAACAGCCTGCAAGGACAGGAAGACGGATAGTAGTGCCTGCTCGCTACTTGGCTTTGCGTCGTTGTCTGAACGCCTGAGTCGTGACACACGACGCGCTAACATCGCCCATATCATCTCTGCTCGCAAAAAGTAGAATAAGCTGAGAGTGACTCACCTAGTAGTTCCACCTGAGACGGCGTCACGCGCCTCGCCGCCCAGCTGCCTGTCTTGAGATGTCCACTGCAGGACACTGAACAGACGTGGCGAACAAAGTAGAGGGGCGCCGGCGATCATCTAGGTACGCGCTAGATGCTCCGCCCTGTGCCTCGCAGAAAGACGAAAGACAAGATGTGGTAAAACCTGCAATAGCGTGCGCGTAGGAGGCTACATGAGTGTTGTTTGAGTTAGGCGGAGGTATACTCACGTAATATGGTTAAGTGAGTCGTGAGTTGAGGTAGCGACCACGTCAGTGATGCAAATCGGAAGCCAGTAGAGAACCAGGGATGTCAGGGATGGACTGTGTGAAGGCAGAATGAGAACGAGCTACTTACGCTTACCGCACTAATCGCGTCCGCTATCACCTTCACTCCCGGACAATCATCCACCATCAGAGAATCCAGGGTACGCATTCAAACCGTCGAGCCGTTTCATAGTGATGACTGCCATCCGAGCTACGCAGGTAAAACGGACTGCACGTGCATAGGAAGTGATAGCGACTCACGAGCGTTCTAGAATCAACACGGACCCTTCGTACGGGGCCCGGGCTCACAGTTCCGAGTCCCCTGTCGTGATCTCCCGTTTGAGTGAGCATTGCAGCAATGCAATCGAAGGCCATGCAGATTGTATGCAGCAACATTTCATGCAGCCGTCGACTCAAATGGGACGCATACAAGGTAGGGCCCGTTTCATCCCGTAAGACTCGAGAGCGGTCTGGTATGGCGGCAGTGTAGACAGTGGGGTAACAGAGCGAGCATCCACTGATGTAGCGGGAGGAGCGCAGTCATTATAACATTCGCCAGTGTCGGTGCAGCAAGCATAGTAGCCCGATGAGAAGGACGTAGTGGCGGCGCAACCGCCAGGCTTTTGCAGGGTGGGCACGTCCATCACGTGTCCTCCGTGTCGCGCGTTGTCAGCACATTTGACAGTACTTACTGACACTCGCGCTGCCCATCGCCCGACCATCGCCCCTGCCTGGTCTGCCGTCCACCATGTCCGCCCTTGCTCTTTTCGAGTCTCCTCCCCATTCCAGTACTCATATCTCTCAAAGTGTCACTTACAACAGACGACCTGGAATACACAACCAAAGGCCGCCTTACTGTGCGCGGCCGTCGAGGTAACGCCTGGCGACTCGGAGACGAGCCTCAACAGCCCTAATACAACATACAAAGCTCCTAAATCAGCACGACGCGCAAGCAGCCAGGATCTCTCCCAAAAATCAAAACTCGGTTCTTCTGAGACCATACGACGGACGGGGAGGATGTGAGGAGGGCTCTACGTCGGGGATGCCATCACGGAAGTTTTCCGTGGTACATCGGTATGTCTGCGCCGTTGTCGTGTGCTAGGAGTGCTCACCTCAGAGACTGTACTCCTGCTCACAGCGAGCGTTCAGGGCCACTACTTGTTGGCTCTTGCGTAGCACCTTTGCCTCGGAGCTGTCGGCGTTGGAGCACCCCGCGTTCGTGCTGCTCGACTAGGCGGCGCCCCCGAGTGCGCCTCACTCCGCGTTCTTGAGCTACCTCGCATACCTCATCCTTGTCACCTCTCTATTGGTACCACTTTCGTTACGCAAGTGTTCTCCGCCTCACCATGGGTGCCCTGTCTAACCTCAAGTCGTTGTCTCTCGACGATCACACTTCAGTTGGCCCCGCGAGACATGCAAGGAGCCCCCGCTACTCCAATCAAGCTCTGTGAGTGATAGCTCATGGTCTCAGTCGATCGCGACTACTGCTTACCAAGTCGTCTATATGCATCAGACTCTCCTAGACGACCTGGTCGCATACACCCTCATAGTCACGTTGCTTCTGGACACGACTCATTTTTCTCGTTTGCGCCCCTCCAGCCGTTCCTCCGCACATTTCACGACCTCCGACACGTCCAATTCCACAACGGCCTCGACTGGGCGCTGCGCACCGCGCAGCTTCGTCCCGTTGCGCGGCGGACACCGTTCAAGCGCTCTGTACGCGTGCGGAATCGCACTCGGACGTATCCTTGGCATTCGCCATGGAGTGCTACCTTTTGCAAGATTATCGCGCCCTCCAGCGCATTGCTCTCTCGGACTCGCACTCCCCGGGACTGCAGCGTGCCGTCAATGCAGCGCTGGCAGTCGGGGCGGCACCTAAGAGGCTCGTATGGGAGCACCACTCCTAAGCGCTGTATGCTCACGCACCTGAAGTGAGCGTCCGCTGCCCACGCCATTTGTTCGTCGCATACTAACATGACAACGTCGCAGAATCCGCAGTGCCCGCCTTACTCCGTGTCTCCACTCGCTTGCACTATCGAATTGCAGGTCATCAGGAAAAGCCCCTTTTCAGAATATGTCAAATTGCGGAATATTGTATGGAATAATGAACAATTTCAACTATTCACCTGTTCGGAATATTGTAGGGAATTAGCTACCCCCCCGAACTTCTGTACGAATTTCAGATAATATATTGACTATGTGAGTGCATTATGTGTACCTACCTCAATGTTATGTGTCACGGATTGAAGAATATAGCACGTATGATTCATCATTATTCATGTTGTCATGTTGTCAGAAGCCTCACACAGACAGAATATTTCAGGAAAATCAGATGAATTGCGAGGTAGTACTACTGTCTCGTTGGAGCGAGTACATGTGACAAACGTATGAAGTACTATTAGCAAGCCTTAAATCTATTTTGTGTCCTTGCGTCAGCATCCGCCGTCTCTTGTAGGTACTACTCGTCCGGCATCTGCTCCCAATCAAACCCATTGTCATCGCCGGACTGTGACAGCACTTGGAGGTTGTGGCCGAAGCTGAACAAAGACAGACGTTAGGGAAGACAAATAAGGAAGGCTCAGAAAAGCGCACATCGCAGTTGTGAAGAGCGAGTGCATGACTCGACGGTAGCACTTCGGCCGTTGATAGCGAACTCCGCAAAACGAATCATTTGCGCGCATCAGAGGGTATGATGAGAGAGCCCAGATCCGGAAGACTTCTTCAGTTAAAGGTGCGCGTCCGATATGACAGCTTCAACCTGATACAAGTGAAGTGCTCACTAAGCATCGCCAATACTAGAAGGGATACCATGACATACCGCGGTCAGAGCCAATGCCAGCATCATTGGCGTGATTTCACGTTCAGACAGGGCAGTTGTTGCCGGGCGCGGTTCGGAAGACATGGTATACAGCGCGGGAGCGATCGGGGAGGAAGTGCTACTCTTGCCGGCGCGGTGGCCCCCACCTCGTCTGTCGGCGTGTCGGGCGCGAACGCGAACGCGAAGGGGTGTTAGGCACGGCTGATGGTCAGGGTCGGAGTGAGCGGGCACAAGAGAGTGAATGCCGGGGAGGGACGCACTGGTGTATCTCCTCTCGGTACTCTTCTGCCTCCTCTCCTGCTCGAGTCCTTGGCGCCCCTTAACACACCCTCGAGCTTATTCCTCAACACCGTACCGTGCGAGGTAACCACTGGTGCGCGCTCGGGCGACGTCCTTTGCGCCTCAGCCGCTCGGCCAACATGCGGTGCCGAAGGGGCCGAGTGCTGCAAGTGCGCGCGTGCGGGAGAAGGCGAGCTTGGGGTCCCATATGCCCTGGGCGACCGAGTCCGAGTGCGCGCCAGCTGGATAGGCGGTGACGTGGCGAAAACCGGACAAGACACACGCGTCATAGCGACGCGGGCAGGACTCGGCCGGAGGGTGGAGGGAGGGTGAGTCAAGCTGTGAGGAAGGTCAGCAGCGCGAACAGGACATACGGCATACCTTTGGTGCAGCCTCTCAGCCGCGCCATCCCTCTACTCCGTAACCGTGTCCTTTGTGAGCGCATTGACGACGCTTTTGCAGCGTCGTCGGTGCTCTTTAAGTGCTGCCAGCTTGTCGCTATAGACGCGTGTTGACGTGTCGAACAAGCCGCGGCGTACCTGTACGTATGACAGGCCCATGAGTCTCTTCATGGAGCGGCCGCCCTTCATAATCTTGAGGCGCGGACGAGTGGCAAACAAGCGGCGCAGGGCAAGATCGTGGAGGAGGGAGTGAAGGGAGGGTCAGCACTTGCGCGCTGGCAGTGGACGGACGCAAGCGCTGTCGGACTTGCCGTATGCGGCCTGCATCGGCAGATCCCGAGCTGGGCGCTTAGAACTTACTCTGCGCGCAACTCTCGCGTCGATCCTCCACCTCCACGTCTCCCGCGCCCGGATGCCCACTCGACCGTCCAGCCCCGCGTCAAGTCGACAGCGCATGTGAGTACACGGCGCACAGCGATGACAAGAATGCGGGACAGAGAAGTGGTGCATGGGCGACATGGTCCTCAACTGCGAGGGCGTGTGGAGCATCGTCCGGCACCCCAAGTACGTCCTCGTCCCTATATATGCTACGTGACGCAGCCCGCTCACACTGACGCGCCCCACAGCTACCTCGGTGACGCACTCACGCACTTCCCCTTCCCCGTGCTGCCGTGGAGCACAGGCCTGCTGCGCCCGCTCGCGCCAGCCATGCGCCCTCAAAGACCCCGCCTTCTCTTCAGCCTCTCACCTGCACCCACCACATACAATCCATGGCCGAACAGGATCGTATCGTTACGTACCCGTCTCCCTCCCACTGTCTCTCCTCTGACCGCCATCGCGTCTAGGTTACAACGCGCACTTCACCATCCAGCGCGACAGCCCACTCAGCGTCGCAATGACCGTTGGCATCTTCAAATCCACCATCCTCCCCTCCTACGGCTTCCACACCGGCCTCTCCCTCATCGACTACGGTGTCTCCCACTACGCCGACCGCGCCGACGGCAAGGACTGGCTCTGGCCCACGAGCCCTGTCGCCAATGCCTGGTGGAGCACCCTCAGGCTCGGCACGCGCGTTGTTTACGACGGGCTCTCCCTCCCCGCCGCCTGGGCCCAGCTCACCTACTGTGAGAAGCTCCTCCTCACCGGCGTGACCACCTGGGGTATCCGCCCCTTCTACCGCATCGCGTCGCGCTCGCTCCGCTGCGGCACCGATGACGGCCGTATGCAAATATAGCTGACGAGCACACCACGGGCACGGGCATGACGGCGTGCAGGGAGGGCTGCCAGCACGCAGACCCGGCTGCTGAATGCACGCGCACACGGACAAGCAGGACAGAGGGCAGGTACACGCGCGGCGACGACAAGCGTGCAGGGCGAATGCCCAGCACGCTAACACGATCGACGAACGGGCCGCATGCGCACGAGGAAAGAACGGGCAAGGGCAAGTGATTCGTGAAGGGCAGTGGGCAAGAATAGTAGGCGGGCGCAAGGCTCGGAGGGTGAGTGAGCGGGGAGGAAGGCTGGACCAGAACAGTAGGGATGGGCGAGTGGGGAGGAGGGCCAGAGACCGGCGGGCGCAGACGCAGTGGTGCCGCATTTCCAGGGCCGTGCAGGATGACCCTTGGACCGCTGGAAACCCTGATCCTATTTCTAGAATAGTCTGAACTGTCGAAGTACAAAGGACTGCACTCATGTAATGTACACCGAATCGTAGAATTGATACAATTTTATCAATGTTCTTCGGTCTGTATCACTTGTTCAACACTAAGACATATATTACTATGTCATGTACAGCCCCACAATGGATTCTCAGCAATCCTTTGGTCATGCCGATAATACTGTGGAATGCATCATCATTAGCTATGTTGCGTAGAATGCATTGATCGTTAGCTATGTTCCGTAGAATGTGTCGCCATTAGCTTTGTTCTGCATAATATTCATAACTTCCCACGAATTCTCAAAAGGGGGTTTTCCCGATGGTGCGCAACTCTCGTATACCACTCTGTCCTCGCCTTTGAGCACATCGTCGATCTACGACTCTCCTCATGCTGTTCTCGCAAGTGAGAGGCACGCAACTGCGACGGTGCGCGGTGCACGTCGCGTTCTGGTTGGATCCAGGTCCTCTGGGTCAACGCGTGGTTCAACGTACACGCAGACGCAACGGAAACGGGCCCGGTCGTTCCTCCACACTGTGGCTACTGCCGCGAGATGTACAGCTCACATAGACAGTTGGACTTCTTGGTAAACGCGGAACGCCCTGCATGTCTGCTTTCGGGTGCAGCATACCTCGATATCCGACTGCCCGTGAAGCCAGTGCCACGCTCATTGCTTGCATGGCCCGGCAGGTATGCGCTAGATGCCCCAGAGTGAGCGTCGCAGCAAGACGATAGAGGAGATCGCGGTAAAGCGTGGCACAGCGTGCGCGTTAAAAGCTACATGAGTGTCATTCGTGCGTGTCTGCCGACCACCATCCGCCCTTGCGTCGTGTAGCGGGCCTGTATACATGAGTAGCGGCCATCCTATATCATACTATTTATAGCTGTGATTTCAGAGCACCCTCTGGCAGTGGCTACATAAGTACACAGCGACACGGCGCAGTGCTCAAGTGTCCCGTGCTCGCAAAGGGCCGCAGGCAGCGCTGACGTCTATGACGTGCGGTCGCAGACGAGACAGCGGGCTGCCCGCTACGCCAGCTGCGACCGCACGTCATAGGCATCTGCCGCCCGATCGAGCACACCCATCGCCCAACCGCCGCCCACCCAGGATTCCCAAGAGGTCCTTGGGAATAAGTGCCGTTGTGCACGTGCCTGCCCATCCCAACGAGTCGTGTCGCCGCTGAATGAGATGGTAGTGAGAGAAGGGAGCAATCAACCTGGGGAGAGAGTGACTAGATTGTCTGGCCTCCGTTTGCAGTGTCGAGTACGGAGACATGGTGTCCCGGACTCAGAGTATGTCTTGACTAGGAAGTCGGACAGCGGCGGGGCGGGCTGCGCTCATAGGCGATTCGTCACAAAGCATCAGGTTTTCGTGCAAAACCTCTGAGGGCCCCTGTCAGAGGAATCAGAGACCCTCAGGATGGTCCAGAACGCATCAGTAGCACTCATATGATCAGTTCTCAGGGAGTCGAAAAAATGAAGAATTCGTTCGTCAGATAGATATTTTCAGATGATTCCAGATGAATTCAGACAAGTCAGAAGATCACAGCTACTCAGAAACGCTCAGATCACACCAGGAACTTCAGAAAACAGAGATGCATTGTTCAGCTACCAGTAGATGAGTACCGGAAATAGCGTAAATATCAACCGAGCTGTTGAAGAAGGGTTGTGCACAGTATGCATCAGGAAAAATACCTCTGGTGAATTAGCAAGAACATCATGTTATTCCATGATATTGATAGTAACGACGATTATTCTTTCTGTTCTCGTAAAGACAAAAATTCCCTGGTCCCGGTGGGTTGAAATATGAATACTCCGTAATACATGTAATTACGAAGCATTTGCTTGACATACCTATGTAATGAGCAATCTGTTCTGCAGTATTCCGTAGACATTCACAACAGTCTAGCATCTTATTTGCATTCACGCAGGATACTGAAGAGAACATAATGTGTATTGCACTGCATTCGAAGGTACTACTACATAAGTGCCTAATGAGAGTCACACTACGCAGATACAGTCATTACGGGAGCACTAGGTAGTAATCAGAGAGAACAGTCACACCGAGACGAGCAAACGATAACAATAGCAACATGACAGAGTACGTTATCTTCAACAACGTTATATGAACTACCCACGCTGGCCAGAGCGGCGAGACAGGCGGCCTGTAGGGCGAGGCGGAGGAGACGGTTGACGGAAGAGAGCGCAGATATCCGGACACAACAACGCAAACTCACCGCCGCCGCACTTGGCTGCGTGTCGTGGGCGTGCTCACATTCGCGCATGGATACAAACAATTTCAGGTGTACAACCATTTCCAGAGGAGAACGGGAAAGACTCACTTAGCTGGTGTGATCAGTCCGACATGGCAGCTGGGGTGCTTGGCCATGGCCTGATCTAGGCGAACATCAGCTGCGCGCTGTCAGAGATTGTGTTGCGCGAACAGCGCGCAAGTGATCACGCCGAGCTGGTCCCTACGACAGTCATGAGCAGAGTACGGATGTACATGTACTTGTCAGTCTACATACCTGATGACTCATAAGTCCGAACGCGGGTTTTGAGGCGAGGACGACAATCTGCAGAGGAAGTGAGGATGAATAGAACGAGACGTTATGTGAGATTCGTACGGGATACCGAAGACGGTCGAAGGTTTGGGCTGGGCCCTGTCGGAATGAGGTAAACGTAGGAATAGTCCGACGACGACGCATAGTTCCAGTAGCCTTCAGTTACGTAGTAGAGGCTGCGCGGTGGCTGCCGGACTGTGGGGCTCAAACTGCCAGGGAAGTGGCTGGGATGTGGGCCGATCAAGCGCAGTGACAAGGTATTGTCGTGGGCGAGACATGGACAAGTAATGCCGGTGAGCGGGCAGGAGACGGCAGACAGCGGAGAGTGGTCGTCGAGGTAGGACTCAGAGGACCAAGGTGGGAGCGCCTGACGTGGCGGTGGCATCGTGGCACGTGCTCTCCTCCGGTCGAGACCCGGGCGTTAACGACTTCACGACTGAGAGCTACTGTGACTGTTGTCTCGTCATCAACGTCTCTGAGCCGGGCTCGCCAAAGGTGAGTAGTGTCTCACCGCGAGCTCGTTGACGAAGAGATATTGGTAGGACCGGTGCCCATGCGTACTGAAGGTCTCGTCGTGGTCATGCGCCACGCCCCTCGCCCCGCGCAGGCGCACACATACCCACCCACCCACTCCTGTCGACCGCCCACCTGCGCGATCGCACACCCGGCGCGCTCGCATGCACGCACGCGGCATGCCTGCCCGCCGCCGAGCTGCCCGCGCAGGCGACACGCACGGCAACCACAAACGGGCGCGGCAAATGCCCAGGGCGCAAGCACGGCCGGCGACCGGACACCACGCACACAAGGTCGCGAGCGAGCGAATGCCAGCAGGGACGGGTGGGGGCGAGGCCGAGAGCGCGCAGGCAGGTGAGTAGACCGATGAGTAAATAGGAGGGCAGACAGATGATAGATGGGGAGGCAGGCCAGCAGGTGAGTGGACCGGCAGGCAACGGGTCAGCCTGCCCGCACAGGCAACGCACGCGGCGACCAGCAGCGGGCGGGGCAAATGCCCCACACACAACAATGGCCGACGAGCGGGTGACATGCGCGCAGCACGGGCTGCACGTACCCGGGATACGCACGGCAACTGGCAGCAGGCAGGGCCTACCCGTCCACTCATCTATCTACTCACTTCAAGTTGCTCCTCGCGCTTGCGATTTCCCGCACGCATGCCCGCACGCCCACGCCCTGCTTGCCCGCGCGATTGCGCGCGTCCTCGCACGCTCACTCGCCGTCCGCCGCTCTCCTTGCCCGCTTGAGCCGTCGCCAATCCCGCACCCGCGCCAACCTGCGAGACCCGCGACTGACCCGTACCCGCCGGGCGGGTACCACCCTCGCGGGTACGGGTACGGGTAAGCCTCCAGTACATTGGATGAGCAAGAATGTCCTCGATGAATGTACTACATTCTACCTACATCACTAGTACCAAAGCCTTTGACCTTGTATTAGTACCACCATGTTCGTTTGTCACTGGAATATAATGCTTATTTCTGTTCTGTATGTGAACCTGGCGCCTGACGCAGTGAATGACGTCAATGACGCGAACATTACTTGGTATACAGAAACGGTTCATATCTTACGTAAGAATTCGCATTAGTATTGAGAATGTCACGAATGACTTTTGCAATGCATAGTAATCACAAGTATTCGCAGTAATACTGCGAATGTTGCGGTGTTGATGCTAATTCCGAGGGGGGGATTTTCCTGATGTGTAGAGTATGCGAAGCACGAACACGTAGGGATTCATACACTATTGAACACCATCCTCGTGGTCGGATTGTGGAGGGGTCTCAGGATCGCAGACAGAGATGTCATCATCGTCATCCACAACGTGTGGCATCCACGAAGCCTCGATGTATGTAGCGGCCAAGTCAAGACACCGCTTGTACTTGCCGCGGGCAATCATCTTCGCCACTGACTTCGCGTACCAGTAGTCGGTGATAGAGCTGTAGGTATCGCCGTTGAAGGCCAGGCTCTTGTCGAGGGTTCCTGTCCTCCACGTAGTGAAGACGTACTGTACCTGTAGATGATTTGTCAGGTTACAATCGTGCAATGGGATTGTAGTATACTTACCGCAGTCGCTGCAAGTGCAAGCGCACCACGTGCCGGCCCCATTTCGTGAGGCTTGATGCGACTGCCTTGTATCGCAGCGAGATGCGCAGCGAACGACTTGAGGACATACGGAGATTGTAAAGCGCCACTGGCGGTATCCGTCTGTGATGTATCAGCCAGCAGCCAGGCCACAACTGTTGGAGTCTGGGTTAGGATTAGTATAATACTTACTTCAAGGTAACCAGTTACTTGAAGTCGAGCAATAGAGTAGAGGATGTCTCCTTTGTTACAGAGGAATAGTAACGAAGTTGTATGTTTAAATGAATAGATTACCGAGGTATTCAATACTCGGTAACTCAGAAGGAAGCGTCGGTAATGCTTAAGTCTAGTAGAGCAGTTACCGAATTGTCGGTAATAAATGATTACCGAGAAGCGATGTTAGAACGTTGATCAGTATGATGAACCTTCTCCGATGAACCCGACTCTTGTAGTCAGTTGAAGTTACTTAGACCTTACTAGTAGCGCGAGGACTGTACTAAGTAAGGTCTCACAATCACAGGTCTTAGAGCGCGTCGGTAAGAACTCAGTGAGAGTGGTCGAGTGGCTAGTATGGCTAACTTAGCACTCGGGGCGAAGCAAGTCTTCGTGTGGCACACAAGGTGAATTTCGGTAAAGAGTGTAGATAGATTGCCGCAGTCTTTCGTCTCGTCTTATATACATTTCCGAGTCCTCAATCCTGTGTACTATAAGCGGTTCAAGGCTATCCTACGTACTGTACTTGAGACGTGTCAGAATCCACAGCCTAAGTCCTCACCGAGCTAAGTCCGAAGTGTCAACCCTGCCTTCCTCGGGGATCCTTCGGTGTTCCCATTACCGATGGTCAATAGTCCTCGGTGATCCTTCGGCGATTCCTCTATTGGTAGTTAATAGACTTCGGAGACTCGATCCCTCCTACCCTCGGTATTGAAGTCCTAAAGCGCACTTCGGCAAACTCCGTAGATTACCGGTTATTGCCGAGGCGCGTCCTCAACCAATAGTCTAGGAGTCCATTGTGCTTATCTAATGGACCCTTCCGACAATAGCGGAGATTCTAACAATAGCTTGTGAGTTGAGGCATATAAGGCGGACTTGGGATTTCGGAGATATTCCCATAACATATCCCCCCTTGCCTCAACTCACTCGCTAGAGACTTCATTTCCCGACTCCGCAAAATGGTTGGAACTCTCTCCTTCGGCGACTTCCTGAGTCTTCAAGCGGCTGGTCTGATAGGTCTCCCCGACTACTCCCCTGATCACGTGGACGTGCACATTCTCGACGGTCTTGACCGTACCTTTAGGTCTCTGGTAGAGAGTCCCTTCGACTGGCATGCTATTGGGAATATAGCATTCCACATCTTGTCGGTAAGTCGTTTCCTTTGCCGATTCGGTATTGCTCGTATTAATCGAGGGTTCTAGAACGATCACTTCATGCAGACCTTAGATGCTTGGATCGAGTCTCAAGGAGGCGAAGTTCAGCTTCCTCCTTGGGTTGAAGAATTTCGGGAATGGCAATATCCCGAGGAAGATTCTTCCGGTAATGCTGTTCCCGAGAAGTCCCTTCACCGACGTCTGGTTTCAGCCAGGTTGTGGGATGACAAAGATGAGATGAACGAGCTAGAGTCTCGTTGGACTTCCAACGGTTGGATGCCCGTTTCCATCGGTAAGTACAAGCCTTTCTCCATTATTCCTGACCTCTTCACCTGTCTTCCTTATAGGCGAATACTTGGAGGTTGACGCAAATCGTCAACCAGAGGCTGATCTTGCCGAATGGCTGGCGGCTCATCCTGACGTCGAGTGCTTCCCTCGTGCTTGGTGCACTTCAGAAGATGGGACGCACTCCGTCGGTAATGCCGAGGATTTCCTTGATGTCGAAGCGCAAGAGGACTTCAACATGCAGGAAGATGAGCAAGACGAGGATGCCTTCGACGACCTTGGCGAAGACGTCCAATCAGGAGCCGAGATTCTCGTTGAAGGGTCTATCGGTAACGACCGCTGGTACTTGAACTCTCAAGGCCAGTTCTTCATGAACAACGAATTGTATCCCAAATCAGTAAGTCTCAAAAATGAACCTTTTGCCGACTGATTACTGACACATCTTTTTCAGAACTTTGGTGAAGAACGTTGCCTAGCCTGCAAAAAGATGGGCTTTACCGAATGTACTCGCGAGTTTAGCGGGTCGTCGTGCTGGAACTGCCGCGATCGTAAGGTCAAATGCAGCGTATCCGGTGGAGTTCCCGGCTCCAAGTACGCCCCTATTTACTCGAAATGCTTGGGCGTGGGCTTCGACCTTGAGATTCATCAGTTCGGTAAGTATTCCTTCCTTTGCCGAATACGAGGTTTAATCAACTTGATTAGTGAGACCTCGTCCTGTTGATGCCGTGAATACTCCAAGCTCGAATACTTCGGCATTACCACCTCCGTCTACGACTACTGAGGGTTCGCGGTCTTCTCGCCGTAGTAAGTTCTTATCTATATTTTCGGTATTCAATTCTTTACCGATGATACAGATTTGCCGAGTCACGATGAAGTGGCCGATGATGACCTTCCGGTCGTCCTCAATCTTCTTCGCCGACAGTTGGATGTTCAGCCGGACGCCTCTGGCAGCGGAGCGGGTCCTGGACCTTCAACACAGCAACATTCTCAACAGAATGTAAATCTTCAAATTTTGAACGCTCTGGAACGCATCAACCAGCGTTTGGATCGCATGGAGACCGAAGAGATTTCTCGTCCTGTGCGAAGGTCAAAGAAAAGTCGCGGCAAAGGCAAAGGCAAAAATAGCGGGAAGGGTAAAGGGCGCGCTCAAGAGGATTTCGACGACGACGACTATGAATGATCTTGTCCTTGTAGCGATAGACTGATTTTTCTTGAACTTGTACTAGTAGACTTTCTTGATTCTTACTTGCCTGTAGATAGCCCTGAATGACATGTCTTTTACTCGGCTTTCAATGATCAAAAAGATTTGTCATTAAATGCGTGAATAAAAAGAAACCGGCCACCAGTACAATCAAGCGCAGAATACAAGTACAGACGATCGCTTCGGCGAAGTATTACCGAGATCATTACCGACGACACTTTATTGAGCTTAATTAGTGTCGTGAATTCCCCCTTGTACTCCCCCCTTCTCTACGAGGACAAGATCATCTTCGTCGGCTATCCCAGCTTCGTCCTCGGTAATGCGATTACCGACGTCGGTATCGTTGTCACTACCGAAGATGTCCTGTTCGAGCTGCGACCATGTGAAGCGACGAGGACTATCCGGGTGATATTCAGAGTCGGGCGACAGTATGACGGTGGGTCCGTTCGGCGAAGTACTCCCACCACTCTCTGTATCCATCTCCGAAGGACTGAACGGAGCGCAGCTGGTGTCCTCGTGATGATTAACGCGGCAAGAGTGGCATCTTCCGCGAGGTCGACCGTGACCTGGAGGCACGATAGCTGAGTCCGTAGGAGCTTCGGCATTCCTAGGGCTCAGGATTACCGAGCGCTCGGTATTAAACCGACTGGGATGAAGGATAACTCGACCGGTATTGGAATCGAGCTGAAGACGCGAGCCACTAGGATCGTAATGACCTGGCCACCCAATGCTACGCAGGTACTTCAGGAGTGGGCGATCAATTCTGGGCGTGCCAGTAAGCCCCGTGCGGATTCGGTAAACTCCCCGAACGAACTCTCCAGCCCAGCGAATTGCCTGGCTCCCGGCTGCTTGCAATCCCTGGAACACGGCCATAGCGTCGTCGACCGTGGGGAAGCAGCAATTCAAAGGGTTGAATGCCTCGTGCAGCGGGTTGCGCAACCAAGCGGGCGGCGGACGAATACCGACGGCTTGAGCAGCGTCGGCAATGGCGTCGTTAACGCTAAGCTGGGTGTGGATAATCTGGAGGGCTGTCCACAGCATGCGCGAAATATCCTCTTGCAGGACGACGTAGTGGGGAGGATCGGGACGGACAAGGAAAATGTTGAAAGTCGGACGCCAGGTGAGAATATTCCCGACGAACATCCCGAAGGGCTGCTCAGGGCGAGTGAGCTCGGCGATGGGATTACCGGGGCCCTCGAGGACAGGGGATTCCGGCAATCCCGACGGGTGGAGGCGAGGCGTCTGGATGCGAGATACGACAGCCATGGTAATGAAACAGAGAGTTGAATGGGTGTGGCGAGTGTTTGAGAAGAGTTGGAACTTGGTGAGGGAATTAAAGCGAGTTGAGGCGTCCTTTTATACGATTACCGATGACCATTACCGAGAGGGTTCCGGTGAGTTCGACGACCAGAAAGCCTTTGTTCGATGAATACGGCGGGCCACGCAACCTCTGAAGTTACACAATGCAAACTTCGGCAAGTCGAGCCGTGACCTGCTTCTTGCGTTTGGATTGTTGCCACTCCTTCATAATGAAAGGTGCATTGGTCAAGTCCTTTGCCGTAAGCCATTCATCGTAAGAGGCGTCATAGCCAATCCAACGAACCTTGAATTCCTTGCGCGATCTACCATTGCGAGTGGGCTTGGATCGCTCGGCAAGAATTCGTTCGACTTCGTATTCCGGTAATGCTTCAAAATCCGCTCGGGAAAGATTTCGGTGAGGTCGATTACCGAATTCAGGCGGGGAAGCGTTATAGCTTTCAAGGTGCGCGATGTTAATTACCGGATGAATGCCGTAGGACGCCGGTAGGCGTATCTGGTAAGCGACTGATGAAACTTTGCGTATGACTTCAAACGGTCCGTCATATTTCATTAGTAGCTTTCTACCGCGTCCTTTCTCACTTCGTAAGAGCTGAAGTGAGTCGACATTTAATACCACTTGATCACCTTCCTTAAATTCGGTTACTAGCCGTCCCTTATTATAAGCTCGTCGTTGATGCATTTGTCCTAGTAGCAGAGCTTCTTGAGCCTCTCGTCGATCGGCTTCAAAAGCTTGTACTAGGGACGAAGCTTCGGGATGACTAGCATCCTCAATTATCCTCGGTAAACTGTTTGCCGAGTGAATTAAGGTGCTGCCGGTGACCGGATGATATCCCCGGAGTAGAAACGCTGGTGCAAATCCTGTTGCAGTATGCGGGTTAGAGTTGTAAGACAATTGCAATGCCGACAGGTGGTCGGTCCAATCATCTCGCTCAGGACCAATGTAGGCTCGCATTGAAATTTCCAAAGTCTGATTCAAAATCTCAGTTTGGCCGTCAGACTGAGGATGATAGGCCGTAGTCAATGCGCGCCTTGTTCCTAGTAACCTGCATACTTCTTTCCAGAATTCGCCCTTCCATCGTATATCTCGGTCGGAAATGATTTGCCGAGGAATACCGTACTCCTTGAAGACATGATCGAAGAGTAATTGTGCCGTACCTTTCTCGGTAATAGTCGTGGTAGTAGGAATGAATATTCCGTACTTAGTGAGCTTATCCACGACTACTAAGATATTGTTACACCCATTAGAATCCGGCAGTTCGGGAATGAAGTCCATTGTAATGACTTCAAACGGTTGGGTAGGAACTGGAATAGGTTGCAACAATCCCACAGGAGCGTGCCTTCTGGGCTTGGCTTTCTGGCAAATATCACAAGTACTGACATACTGCTTGATGTCTCTCGACATACGAGGCCAATAGTATGTGCTAGCGATGCGGTTATAGCACTTGTGATATCCGCTGTGAGCTCCTTCCGAGATTGTATCATGGCATTCCTTCATGATCTCTACTCGGCAATCCTCAGGTACGCATAACCGAGAATTACCAAGGTTGTCTTCGAAGTACAGCAGACCGTTCTCCTCGAGTCGGTAATTAGGATAGTCTGAGAGACTCCAGTCGGTAACGCTACCAAGATGTTCCTTGATTTCCTTGAGATGCTTATCCTTCTCAAGTGCGCTTTTCCAACTGTAGAGTTCTTCGGGAGAAAGGCTAACCAATACCGAATAACTCCTGGAGGTTGGGATATCAGCGGAACAGCCGTTGTCGGTAATGCCGACGTTCAATACGGTTGCTTCCACTGCTTCCTCTTCCTCAAACAGAGTCTCGGTAAACCGACTCGCTGTAGTAAGGAGTCGCTCTTCGAATTTCTCGCCGAGCTCGGTAAACATATTGCTTAATGGATCCTCTAGTTCTTGAGAAAGCCGAAGGGCTTCTGAACTGTCTTGAGAGGGCCCATCTTGGAATGGCACTCGCCGGCGCAACCGTGAAATGGGGTCAACATTTGAATGAACCCTTCCTGCCCGGTGAACAATTCGTAGGCCGGGATAGGCTGCAAAAACTGTTCCCCAGGTAAGAAGACGTCGATTAACATTCTGGAATGTCCTACTCCAAGTCAAAGCCGCGTGGTCGGTAATTGCTAGCACTTCCGCCCCTTCTAGGTAGGACTGATATTTAATAAGTCCTTCCTTCAGAGCGAGTGCTTCACGTTCCGTCGGCGAATAATTCCGTTCGGCTGCCTTGAGAATCCTAGACCAATAAGCAATGACTCGTTCAACGTGCACAGTAGTATTCTCAAAATCCTTATCCCACTCACCTTTGGGCGGTACGTCATGAACGTCCGAGTTTACCGAGATTACAAGGCTAGGTATAGGTTCACCCTTCTTGAAAGCCTTGTGTAGTCGCTCGTATACCTTAGTACCCTTCAGATCTCTGATCTTGACGGGTTGAACCTGTTGAAGAATAGCGGCTAGTCCGTAGTCGCAGGCGTCGGTATACAATCGGTAAGGTTTACCGGGAATGGCGTAAGCTCTGACTGGTGCGTTAATCAGGACCTGCTTGCAAAGGTTGAAGGCTTCCTGTTGTTCCTCGTTCCATTCCCAGCCATTACCATCCTTCTTGAGCAACTTGAAAAGTGGAGCGGCAATCCAGGCGTAAAATGGAACATACGCAGAGAAGTATACCATCATTCCTAAGAACGTTTGCAATTCCTTGACGTTTCTAGGTTCAGTAAGACTGACGATGGCGTCCACCTTCTCCTTATGCGTAGAAATGCCTAGTCGGGAAACCTTCTGTCCGAGTAATAGCAGTGACTGGTAGGCTAAGTGACACTTGCTCGGTGATAAAGTAATACCGGAGGTCCGTACCGCATTGAATACCGAGTCTAGATGACTGAGATGTTCTTCAAACGTAGTCGAATATACAACGATGTCGTCAATGTATACCAATGCAAAAATCCACAAGAAAGGAGCGAGGATATTTTGCATAACACGTTGAAAGACACTCGGACCGTTCCTAAACCCGAAAGGCATTCTCTTGAATTGATGAAGACCTCGGTGAGTCCTGAACGCTGTCTTCTCCTTATCTCCCTCAGCCATTTCTAGCTGAGTGAAACCGGATAGAGCGTCCAGCGTCGAAAGCCATTGTGCCCCGGTGAGAGCCTGAAGAATATCCTCCTGCTTCGGCAATGGAAATTCATCGGGAACGACCTGCTCATTTAATTTCCGAAAGTCAATTACCATGCGTGGTTTGGCATTTCGGTAAACTATGAAAGCGGGGGCGCCCCACGGACTCTTAGAAGCCTCGATAACACCGAGCTGTAACCAAGAATCCATTTGCTTGTCAATGACTTCTCGCTTTGCCGGTGACGAAGGGAAGGGCGGTAATGAAATTGGAGTTGCTCCGGGTTTGAGAGGAACTTCGACCTTAGCATCGTAATGACCTAGTCGTCCGTTGAGACTAAAGGCCATTTTATGCTTAAGTACTACAGCTTCTAATTGCCGACGCTGTTCGGTTGAGATGTGAGTACTCAGGTCCATTTCCTGGATCAAATCCGATTCATTAATCGCCTCTTCAGGTACTTCAGCCGTCTTGGGACCTCCTTCCAATGGTTCCGTTGAAGAAGGATCTTCCTCGGTATCCTTACCGCGACTGGTTACCAGTTGATCGACCTTACTAGTAACGGTCTGTGCTTCTTGAGTAGCGCTAACCGTTCGTAGTAATTGGGAGTAAACATCGGCTTGATTTCGTTGCTCCTCGGTAAATTCGGTAATGTCATCCAACCATTTCCGAGGATCATGCGCCTTTCCAAGAGCATGTCCTGCAGGGATTACCACTGGTTGTTTCCCGAAATTAGTGACGTGAAGGTAGGGCTGGTCTTTAGAGATCAGTGAGTCAGGCTGAGAGAATATATTGTCGACATTCTTGTGCGATTGGAAATGTCGCTCGACAAATAAACATTCTCTGTCCTTCCAGGGACCGTTGACCTCTACCTTCTTGGAGCTTTCGGCGGGAATGACTGTAAGCTTTGAAGAGCGAACCCAAGGGTCGTTCATTCTTTTCTTAGCAATCTGACTCCGGCGTCGTCGTACATGCCGAAGTCGTTTCCTTTGCCGAACGTCACTAGAACCAATCATTACCTTGAACGCATGTCCTTCATCGTCAACGAAGGAGCTGGTTAGGGAATTATTGGTTTCAAGACTGATGCCTGAATTACCGAATTGAACGAAACTCTTCCCGTCGTTCCTCAGGATCGAAAGCGAGTATTGATCAGCAAAGTCATTACCGAGAATGAAGGGAGTAGTCATTCCTTTAACGACGTAAGCTTCTACTGGAACCTTCAGTTTACCGTTAGGCGTATTGAACATTAGATCCATGGGAGCATATCCCGAGATCTTAGCCTTGCCGGTAACTTGAACTAAATTGATTTTCTGTCCAGTTTTCAGCTTAGGAGGAACCTTCATAGCTTCGAGTGTCTTTGCCGAAACAAGCGTAATATCCGATCCTGAGTCCACAACGATCTCTACCGTCTCTGGTTCTTGAGGACCGAGAAATGCCGACAGTTTAGTTGCCGAGGAACCTAAGAATGAGCTTCCCGGAGGACGGGCTAATTCTTTCTTTAATTCCAAGACCTTTCCGCTGTCGTTCTCCTCGTTCGGTAATGGATGAGTGGTCTTCCATTGCCGAGCCATCTGTCGACGGCCCTTCCTATTAATTCCAGAGAAAATATTATTCGCATGAGCTTCGTTCACCGAGACATGGTTTACCGTTGCCGTGATGGATTCTCCCTCCAGGGCCGACTCTACTCCATCCTTAGTCTGCTCAGGCTCGAGCACGACTTCAGATGGTTCGGTAGTCTGAAGGGATTTATGAAAATCCTGCTCATCCTCGCTATCGAGTCCGTAGTAGGTGTCTTCATAATCACGTTCGTCTTCAAGCTCATCTTCGTTCAAGAGAGCGAGGTTAGCTCGGGCAATACGTCCGCCTTTCCGGGAATACTTGCACTCATTATCCCAGTGTAAAGGACTGTCGCAATGCCGACAAGGACGTTTACCGAGCTCTTGAGGAGTTTTTCGGTTAGACTTTACCGAGTCATCCCTCGGGAAAGGAGCTTTGCGCTTCTCTGGTTGGCTTCCAGAGAGATGCACCCTGGCGTCGGGATACTTTCCTTTCCCTTGGAACTGATCCCGACGGTTATTATCATTACCGAGCTGCAAAAGCGTTTCTTCGTAGTACCGAATAGCGTCTTGCAGATCGACTACTTTCTCATACAGGTGAGGCGTGAGAATTGTAGTCCAGATAGTGGGTGCTCCGTCGAGGATTTCGTTGATCAATTCCGACTCGGTATAGTCGTAAACGAACTCCAATAATTCCAGCTTGCGAATGTAGTACTCCGAAGGAGACTCTCTAGGAGCGGCAGAGTCTCGGTAACGAGCACGGTTGGCTTTACTCTTCTGTCTATCAAGCCAAGCCTTATTCATGTAGTGCTGACCTATGGCTGTCTTTAGGTCACTCCAACTACGCTGAATTCGCTCTCTTCGATATGTCGGCAAAGAATAATACCAGTTCTCGGCGCTGCCTTTAAAGCGTTGGGGAACTACTGATCCCAATTGCCGAGCGACTGTGCGCGATCCTTCGGCAAGCTGGTTGACCTTAAGGATCCATCGGGCGAGGTGGTCGGTATTGCCGTCCCAAGTAGGTACGACGTCCATCTTCAGCTTGAGGTCAAAGCGGGGTTCTTCTCGCCGACCTTCGTCATCTGAATTATCGTCTTGCCGACGACGACGTCCTCCGGGACCGGCATTATTACCGCCTCCTCCAGGTTCTCCTGGGCCTCCTGGGCCTCCTGGGCCTCCTGGGCCTCCAGGACCACCTGGACCTCCAGGACCTCCTGGACCTCCTGGTCTTCTCGAACCTCCAGAACCTCCTCCACCATGGGGCGGTCGGTAATCATCAGATTCATTACCGTCGTCTCCTCCCCTTCGCCGAGGTGGACCTCCAGGTGGACCTCTAGGCGGATCCCTTGGTGGTCGTCTAGGTGGTTCGTCATCTGAGTCGTCTGAGTCGTCAGACGGTTCGCTAGGTTGATACCCCGGATAACGCCTGGTCATTCGAGGGAGTTTCTTACCAAATAACTCGGTAAGCCGACGACCTGCTCGGTAAGGCGTACTCTGCGGTGCTTCCCGAGGAGCGGTCCTCATGCCTGGTACTCTGGACTGAAACTCGTTGGTTGTTTCACGTCGATCATTCTCAGAGCGGCGGCTTCTTCTTCCCAAGTCGACCTCTACTTCTCTCTCTTCTTCTAACTCCTGATGAGGACGTCCTCGGTAAGAACTACGATCCTCGGCATTGGAGCGATCGTCTTTAATGGACTTCCTTACCGAGAGCGGAGGAGAAATGTGAGGGGGTATATCCCTGAGTGGGGTAGCCCGAGGAGTAGATGGTCGGTATTCAGGTTGAATTGCCGAGGGCGTAGGGACTCGTTGAGAGATTACCGGTGGAATGGGTGGCTCCGGGTTAGTGAGATAACTTAACCCAGTAGAAGCCCGTTCTATGGGTGAGGGTGGAGCGGCCATGTTCATATCGGTATAACTTAATTCGTGTACTCGGCAAAAGTACTTGACCATCATCTCGACTTCATATCGGTAACAGCTGCTTAGAATAACATAGTCGTTCGGGGTGAAAGCGTAGTTATCATTAAGGCCGTGCCGACCGAAGCGAGGCATAGGAGGAGCGGGTATCTTACTTTTGTAAGTGTAGCCGCTAATAGAATATAGGATCTCTCCTAGTCTTGTAGAAATTCTGTGATAATAAGTCAGTTTGGGAAGCAAAGCGACGATCCTACCTCGGTAACGAAATACCGTAGGTCGTTCAATTACCGAATCGAGCCACGCCAAGATTTTCCGCCAATCCTTTAATTCTGTGCGGGTAAATGGAGGTGATCCAATCTTTACCGGAAGAGTGCTAGGGTCCCTCTTTAAATACTGCCAGCCCAGTTTCCGCGCACGTTCGCGTTGATCGAAAACTAACTCAGGGCTCTTAATTAAAAGTGCCCGAGGAGGTAAAGCAGCGGGGACGTAAGCCCACTCGAGCGAATCAGAATCCCAATCTGTGAGCTTTAAATCAATCGGTCCGTCGACCTGCTGGAGATCAATTGCCGATAGATCCAATAACTCATCAGATCTGTGCGAAGAATGTGCCGAAGCAGATCTCCGGGAATTCCGTAGGCTGTTATGCTCGAGTTCTTCTAGCTCCATTTCGGTTTCAGACTGATGATCCATACCTTGCTCAGGTTCAGGTTGTTGGATATTCTCTTCAGGCGGTGTTCGGTCGATTTCGGTAAACGGACTTGCAGAATCCATTTTCGGGTGTTCTAAAGAAAATAAGAAAAATGCTTGTTAGTCGGATTGTTCAATTAAAAGAGAAGATTCCCGGACATGTCCACCAATGTTGGAGTCTGGGTTAGGATTAGTATAATACTTACTTCAAGGTAACCAGTTACTTGAAGTCGAGCAATAGAGTAGAGGATGTCTCCTTCGTTACAGAGGAATAGTAACGAAGTTGTATGTTTAAATGAATAGATTACCGAGGTATTCAATACTCGGTAACTCAGAAGGAAGCGTCGGTAATGCTTAAGTCTAGTAGAGCAGTTACCGAATTGTCGGTAATAAATGATTACCGAGAAGCGATGTTAGAACGTTGATCAGTATGATGAACCTTCTCCGATGAACCCGACTCTTGTAGTCAGTTGAAGTTACTTAGACCTTACTAGTAGCGCGAGGACTGTACTAAGTAAGGTCTCACAATCACAGGTCTTAGAGCGCGTCGGTAAGAACTCAGTGAGAGTGGTCGAGTGGCTAGTATGGCTAACTTAGCACTCGGGGCGAAGCAAGTCTTCGTGTGGCACACAAGGTGAATTTCGGTAAAGAGTGTAGATAGATTGCCGCAGTCTTTCGTCTCGTCTTATATACATTTCCGAGTCCTCAATCCTGTGTACTATAAGCGGTTCAAGGCTATCCTACGTACTGTACTTGAGACGTGTCAGAATCCACAGCCTAAGTCCTCACCGAGCTAAGTCCGAAGTGTCAACCCTGCCTTCCTCGGGGATCCTTCGGTGTTCCCATTACCGATGGTCAATAGTCCTCGGTGATCCTTCGGCGATTCCTCTATTGGTAGTTAATAGACTTCGGAGACTCGATCCCTCCTACCCTCGGTATTGAAGTCCTAAAGCGCACTTCGGCAAACTCCGTAGATTACCGGTTATTGCCGAGGCGCGTCCTCAACCAATAGTCTAGGAGTCCATTGTGCTTATCTAATGGACCCTTCCAACAATAGCGGAGATTCTAACAATAGCTTGTGAGTTGAGGCATATAAGGCGGACTTGGGATTTCGGAGATATTCCCATAACAACAACGCATCATGATCGTGATGGAACCAACTCACGTCTGCATCGTATGTCGCCCAGAATGCCAGCCCGGTGCTGCGTGACAGTGCGCTCTCCACGAACACGCGGATGTTCGCCGCTGAGCCCTGCTTGGTGAGCTCTTGCTTGACGGCTGTCTTGATCCGCATGGCAAAGCGGCCACGCCAGTCAATCACCGCCTGACGTGCCTATGCTTCGCATCAAGAGAGTTGAACACAGACAGTAGGACGTGTACTCACAATCTTATATACCTTGTCACTTTTGTTGACGTCGTAATGCTCCGACGGCCAAAGCGAATCTATCAGCTTCTGCACGAGTGCCATAAGGAGGTTGTCGTCGCCAGTAGAGGAGCTTTTGCCCCTTGCAAACACCCAAGGATGCTCGCTTTCACCGGTCAGCTGAAGCAACGTAGGAAGAAAGACCGTCTTCCAGTGCGGGCGGATGAACGCAGGCAAAGAAGTTACCGAAAGCGACTTCTCCTCCGACACCGCACTCCTCGCCCGCCGTTTCTTCTTCGCACCCTCTGTCTCCCGCTCTTCACTCTCGTCCCGTTTATCTGTACTTGAGACGACCTGTGCAAGCTGGGTGGAGCTGCGTCGTGCAGTACCTAGGCTGACCGTCACGTCGCTATCGGTGAACCCGCCGATGTACTCGAATGAGTTTTGACGCCGAGTGCGTTTGGCATTTGCTGCGCGATGGGCTGCGGCCGAGTTCCTCGGTGCAGGGGTTCCCTGACTGGATGACGCTGTTGCCGGTGAGTCAAATCGCGCAGAAGAACTGGCTTGGGACTTGGACGCTGGGGTTTGCGACCGGCGCGAGACGGCAGACTGCCAATCAGCCTTCAATCCCATTGGCTCGAGAGAGATGGAGGGAGCTTTGGAAGAGGACTTCGGAGTGGTAGATGACTTGGCTTTAGAAGATTTTGATGCAGAGGCAGACGTTGGCTTAGCTGTAGACTTAGAGGTCGACTTGGCGGTTGACTTGGGGCGACTCGGACTGTCCGGCCCAACAGCCTCAGCTAACATAACTAGTTATAATTGATTATTTAGCCATGAATAACTAGTTAACCTATGACTAATAGTCGACCTCTTGACACTTCAATCTCTCCATAATGGCTGATCCGTCCATAGTAACAAGTATCATTGAGCACTCCAGCAATAATAGTCAACATTAAGTAGTCGTACAAAGGTAGTCAGATATGGGTAGTCAACTGTACATAGTTGGATATAAGTAGTCATACTTAATTAGTCATACGTAACTAGTCATACTTAACTAGTCAGACATAGGTAGTCATACTCAAGTAGTCAAACATAAGTAGTCGTACCCAAGTAGTCAGACATAAGTAGTCGTACATTAGCAGTCAAGCACAATGCGGGAATGCGGGAATGCCGAATGTGTGTGCTATCGTAGATCGTGTGTGCGAGTGACATACCAGGCTCAGGAGCGGGAACCAAATGTAATGAGTGTGGGTCGGGTCCTCGCCCGCCTCAGCCTCCGCCCTCGACTACAGCTCCTCGTGCTTGTTCTCATCCTGCGTCAGTTTCGCAAGTGTGAACAGCGCCTCCGCCAACAACGGCCTCACGTCCTCCGCCTGATCGTTCTCCTCTCCGCCGGGGAGCTGCCCCTTGGCACGCTCAAAGAAGTCGATGGCCTTCGCGAGGCCCTCCCTGGCTTCGCACGCCTGCGCGCCGTCGAACACGTCCGAGCGGCCCGCCTTGAGCGCCGCCCTGACTTCCTTGGAGTGCACGCTGCACATGATGAGCTAGCAACGGCCGCGCGCGGCGGTGAGCGGGGCGCGCCACGCGTCGTGCGAGGCCTCTATGTGCATCTTCCTGAAGACGCTGTCCGCCCAGCTCGCCCAGTACGCACGTTGCGCGCTGTCAGGGAGGCGTCCACGCATTATGGCGTGCACGAGAGGCCATGGCTGGGCACTACAATCACCTGCGGGCTTTCTGGGGAGCTCAACATGACGATGACGATGACCTCTGAAGTGTCGTCGTGAGGTCGAGTCGAGTGTGTTGTCGTTGTAGAAGTCATTCCTTCTTTTGCCAGTGGTGTCAAATTCGGTAGTCTCCTTGTACTCAGCTATGACTAGTCTATGTTTCGTAGTCATGCATCTCATAGACCTTTTAGTCAATATCCCATAGTCGAGCAAATTTAGTCAACTGTATCCAGTCAACCATATCTAGTTGAACAGACTTAGTCATTCAAATCTAGTCGGCCATACCTAGACATCCGAATCTAGTCGACCACATCTAGTCAACCATATCCAGTCATTTATGCCTAGTCAATTGTATCGGTTTGACCATATCTAGTCAAACATAAGTAGTCAATAGTGCCTAGTCGTGGTATCTAGTTTACTGTATCTAGTATACTATAAGGTTACTAGTCTGACTTATAGTCATTGAATGACTAGTTATGTTTGGCTAAATAGTCAATTATAACTAGTATGTTAACTGAAGTGGCTCTCCGGCCAGCGATAACAGGAGCATCAGATCTTAATCAGATCTTATCTCGCCGTTGAACGCACCGTGTGGTCGAGTCTGTCTCCTCCGGACCCAACGTCTTCTTCGTCTTCTCAATCTCAGCCAACATCTCCTCTCTGATCTCCTTGTTCATCCTTCGCTTCTTCTTGCTTGATTTCTGCGCCTGCGGAGAGGGACAAACATGGTCTAGGTTTGTTCGGTACATTTCACTTGAATGAGGCGCTCACCTTCGCTTTACCAGGCTTCCTCTTCGCCCCAGTAGCTGCCTCGTCATCAGAACCATAGGATTCTTGGGAAGACTCCTTGTCTGAGTCGTGCTTGCTCTGCCGCTCACGGTCATCAACATGGTCTTCGTCCTCGTCCGATCTGGAGGTAGCTTGCGCGATGATGTCTTGATCTACATCAACAAACGGTCGGTGAGTATCAGTCTTGGGTAGTGAGTTTGTTACTCACCTTCGACCGCATCCTTCTCGAACATCTCCTCGTCCTCCAGAAGCTTCTCCATTGTACTCTTACCTCGACGCGCTTTCAGAGATCGCTCAAGCTCAGCCAACTTGAGTACACGCTCCTGCATCACAAGCTCCCGCTGCTTGAGGTCAGCCTCCTTGCGACTGTATTCGGCATCCTTCTCGTCCCGCTTTCGCTGCGCTTCCTTGCGTATCTCCCCTTGTGACTTCTTCCCAAGCCCCACAGAACGCGCGGGGTGTGGATCGTTCGTTGCGCGAGTGGCATACCGGCGTGTCTGCGTGTTGTCAGACAGAGGAGCTTCTGCTTCGTCTGCTGATGGCACAGTTTCAGGACTCCCGGTACGTGTGTCGTCAAGCTCGTCTTCAGAATCTGCCGAATTAACTACTCGTGTCCGGGCTGAAGGAGGCATCCACACGGCTGTGAGAACAGGTAGCTTTGCCTTCCCAGGGAGATTGGGCGTTCAGAGAGTGCCAGCAGGAGACGTGATAGGGAAGCAGAACAAAGACACGCCACACGGGTATAGTGGACAAAGGCGCGTATACAGCGTTGTTTGTGCGCCCTTTGTTTGTCTAGCGCACGACTGCAGTCCCACATCCCAACCTGCATCTCCCCGTCTGTACTTTATTCTGATTTATCTTAATCTTAATGCCTCGACCACGCTCTTTCTTCTGTATCCACTGCAATGCAACGTTCGAGTCGCGCCGTGATCTCAACTTGCATAACACTCGCCAACATGGCCCATATCCTGGTTTGATCGCGCCGAGATCAACGTTCCGATACCACCCTCATCTCAACGGTACGAATCAACACTATACTGTCACTCCAATGTCTGACTTCTGTAGGCCGGCCTTGTGATTGCCACGGCACCTTCCTTGATGCTGGTGCGCCTCCACCAGAGAGAGAACCAGTTAACTCATACAGACCTTTCGAGAACCGCGCTGCGTTTCAGTTTGCAGAGCTTATCTTCAAGAAGATCCAAGCATCATACGGAGATGTGAACGAGTTATTGAGGACTTTGGCCGCATACAATGTGTCTCAAGGTGGCGGCGAGCCACCTTTCGAGGACGTAGATGAACTGTACTTGGTCATAGATGCGATTCCCTATGGCGACGCCCCATGGGAGTCCTTCACTGTCCGCTATACGGGCGACGTCACCCCTGATTCGCCGTCCTGGCAGCGAGCGGACTACACGGTACATTGCCATAATGTCCGACAGGTTGCTCACAACATGATTGGAAATGAAGGCTTCGACGACAGCTTCGACACAACACCATATCAAGAGTATACTGCGCCTGGAATCACGCGCGTCTCAAACATGATGTCGGGACAGTTCGCGTATAGGCAGGCTGTATGAGTTTTCAAAGTGGTTCACGCTGTAGCCGTGCCTGACTATGCTCTTCACAGACAACCATCGCGCGCGATCCAGCAACTCATGGCTCAATGCTTTCGCCAGTAATCCTTGGGGCTGACAAAACAACGGTTTCCGTTGGGACAGGCGGCCAGGAGTTTCATCCTGTATACATGTCATTGGGTAATGTTCACAACTCGGTGAGACGTGCGCATAAGGACGCGATTCTCCCGGTCGCGTTTTTGGCAATCCCCAAGGGTGCGTTGCAAGCTTACTGATGGTATCTCAATGTGAGCTGATTATCTAATCATCAACGTCACAGCTGCGCGCGGTGAGGCCGAGACGGATGAGTTTCGAACATTTCGCAAGCAGCTATATCATGCCTCGATCGCCCATATCTTGGAACCCCTTCGACCCTACATGGAGACTTACGACGTGGTACGCTGCCCGGATGGACACTTCCGTCGTGTTATCTACGAGATTGGGCCGTTCATTGTGGACTATCCTGAGCAGGTAGTACTATCAGGGATAGTCAGTGGTTGGTGCCCGAAGTGAGTACTTCACTTCACGTTACTCGGCTCCAATGAGCGGATGCTGAACACTCACTAGGTGTCTTCTTCCTCCTGACCGTCTACATGCGGATGGAGGAGAGCCACGCTGTCGCAAACACACCGAGTACCTCGCTGGTGCCTTTCCTGCGGAGATAGCTTGGATAACATGGGGTGTCGACATCAATATCATTGTACGTCTGCATTCATGTTCATTCCTATGAAATTCTTCTCATATGCTGCATGATTTGTCAAGCCATTCACGACTTACTTTCCCCGTGCCGACATCTACGAGCTCCTCACCCCAGACCTTCTACACCAGCTCATCAAAGGCACGTTCAAGGATCATCTAGTTGAATGGGTCGAGAAGTACCTGTACCATGTGCATTCCAAGGCAGAGGCACGACGTCGAATGGACGACATTGATCGCAGGTGAGATTTCCGACTTGGAGAGCCATACCGCTATATGTATCATACTGATATGATCGACTTGAAGGATTGCGGCGGCCCCTCAATTCCCAGGTCTTCGACGGTTCCCTGAAGGCCGTAATTTCAAGCAATGGACAGGAAACGACTCGAAAGCGTTGATGAAGGTGCGTTTGAAAGCATTTCTCGTTTGCATGATACTTACCACGTACATTCACAGGTCTACCTTCCCGCAATTGAAGGACATGTACCCGATGACGTTGTTCGCTGCTTTGCGGCATACCTCGACTTTTGTTACCTAGCCCGACGGTCGGCTCACGACGACAACACTCTGGTAGCCATGCAGGAGGCACTAGAACGCTTCCACCGATATCGCGTCATCTTTGAGACCGTCGGCATACGCCCTGACGGGTTCTCGCTCCCCCGGCAACATGCCCTTGTCCATTATATCGTCGGTATCAAGCTCTTTGGCTCTCCGAATGGCGTATGTTCATCGATCACCGAATCTAAGCATATTCGTGCAGTCAAGGAACCATGGCGACGCTCAAGCAGGAATAATCCCTTGCCGGAGATGCTGCGCACCAACCAACGGCTGGATAAGCTGGCCGCGGCGCGTGCGGTGTTCACGAGCCGCCGCATGCTCGACGGCGATGTTCTTGCCGATGCATTGGACTTGGGCCCTTTCACCGTGGAAGTCGACGCGGACGCGGACGCGATCAACGAGCCAGAAGACGAGGCGATGGATGTAGATGGTCTAGTGCATGGCATGGTGGAGCTTCCGAGCCGACAAGGTGCGTTGACACCCACCATCATCTGCGCGCCCCGCATAACGAGACTTTTTGTAGTGTATATGCGGACCGTCCAGGATCTCGCTATGGAGTATCAGCAACCTGATCTCCTGGCTTTGATTCGTCGGTTCCTCTTTGACCAACTCAATGACTTAGACGAGGTCACCTCGGACGACGTAGACTTGTCTGACTGTCCCCCATTCTTCGGCAAAGTTGCAGTTTATCGGACGGCACAGGCAACGTTCTTTGCGCCGAGCGAACTTTCAGGTAATCGCGGCATGCATCGCGAGCTCATTCGTTCCAACCAGTCGTGGCGCGGATGGCCCCGGTACGACACGGTCCTCATCAGCCTTGATGCAGATGCACCCGGGATGCAGGGCATGGCTGTCGGACGGGTCATGGGGCTCATGGCAATCACCTACCGCGGGGAACGTTACCCTTGTGCATTGATTGATTGGTTTGAGGTTACAGATGATCCTAATGACGTGACTGGTATGTATATTGTTCGTCCCGAGATGGAGGATGGGCGGCAAGCTTCATCCATAGTTCACCTAGACAGCATCGTCCGTGCTGTCCATCTCATGCCAGTGTATAAGGATACATTCATGCCGCTTACCTTCCACTTTTCGTATACCTTAGATGCATTTGAGTCCTTCTACATCAATAGGTACGCTGACTACCATGCACATGAATATATATTGTAGTCTTTGAAGGTCTATGCCTCGTATCCTCGCATTGAGACACTGCCAGCCCATTGGGTAAGTTGTTTGAATTCACTACGACTAGTACGAGCACGCTATGGTGTAGGGGCCACTGCGTAAGCGCCCGCCTTAACGTACCTCCTCGCTTCAGCGTGGAAGATTAAGACTCGAAACTTGGACTGTGGACAGTACATACCTGAATCGTGTGGACAGTGCAAAAGAATAGCTTCGGGAATCGCAGTTGCTCACACAAATTCAATAGTCTGGCCGAGCAACTGCGCCACCGCGACCGGCGCTTGTATCGCACTCACCGCCGTGCTGACTCTTTCCACAACCATCCTTCTCACTTCTTGAATTCACGACCCCGGCCTTCGTCTCAGGGCTATCGCTCCCATTTCTGGTCAACTCTCTCGAAAGTATGCTCCGTAATGCGCCATGCCACGGCAAGTGAAGACGGACGAGCCCGCATTCTGTGAGCAGTTCTTCTACCTACTCCTCACTAATGTACCATCTGCTTAGGTCCCTACGCCTTCATTTGTGTGTTCAACGCATGGCACATATGCATCGCCGTCTCCCGGGGTAAGCCGACATGAATGACCCTGCACGGAATGTTTTTATCGACCACCGCCTCCTCGCTATCTACGGCAAACCTCATGACCCAGGGCGATGGACGACTGGCTTCGGACGTACGGATGTGGGTAGAGGGTGCGGATCGTGTGGATGTGGAGAGGAAGTGCGAGCCGAGGTGCGTGTACCTCTACGACTCTGCGATGCTGACTTTATCTACTCCCTGCCCTCCGCTCTCCCGCCGAACTTCCCCCTCCCGCCGACGGTGTCGCCCGCTCGATCTCGCGTTTTTCAACGTCTACACCGTGCTGGTGCTCCCTGCTGGTGTCTCCGTCTTGCGCCAGCTCTGTCTCGCGCCCGGCTCGCCGTTTTCCACGCGCAGATGCTCGCGCTCGTCGCCCCCGCCCTCACCGCGCTCGACCACGTCCAACGTCGGACGCAACACCTGTACCGGGCACACCAGAGGCTGCTTCCCGGGCCATCCGACGTCTCTGACTGCTACTGTACGTACGTCGCTATCCGACCCGCATGTTCTCGCCTCACGCTGCCAATTGCGCAGGCAACCGCTTCCGCTTCACGTCAATGGATCACCCCGCACTGCCGCGAACCGGCGACGACGGTGAAGGTACTGGCGCATCTGGGCTGTGCTTGCATGGAGAGGACGTGAACAACGGGGAGAGGACGCTGACAGGCATGGTACGTCCTGCGTTCGTGTTTGTTCTGTCTGCAGCAGCCAAACTCACTCCAGCGAGCGACGTCCCTGCAGGCGATTGCACGTGCACAACTCGGAGGCCTCACTTGCGCATCGGAACACCCTCAGCCATGTTGTGCGCGATAAGATGTACCAGACAGAATGCTCGCACACCGAACACGAGCACCGACTCGGACGCACGACGCGCAGCCCCGTTCTCATCATTTCTTCGACGCTCAATTCGTGAGCTACGCACAGCAACATGCAGAACAGCCGCGCCCTGCGAAACTCGAGGCGGGGACGTACTTACCACGACCAGCATCTCGCGCGGGATGTTTCCGCGAGATGATCGTGCCACCTTGCGCTGCAGCCGTGGAAGATCCTCACATCAAGCAATGGCGACCTCGCGTTCCTCAGCGGGTACTGCATCTTCATGGGCCCCGCCGCCGCGATCATGATCACGGACTCCTAGTTCGTGCGCCGCGGCAACATCACTATCATGGATGCATACTCATCCGAGAAGGGCACGACGTACATGTAGTACTCCCATGGGCTCAACCTCAAAGTGTGCGTCGCGTACTTTTGCCGCATGATGCTTCCATTCGTCGGTTTTGCAGGCACATTGGGCTTGTCAGTGCACGAGACCTTGACGAGCTCGACGAGCATCGACAAGCAAGACATCGTCACCTTGCAATGCCGCCCGCCGTTTCCGCAAACGGCGCGAACGGACACGCCTATGACGTGGTGCAGTGGAGCGCGGGCGTGTCGAGCAGCGCGATTGTGACGGATAGGCATCACTATGCCTGTCCAGTACTATAGATTATGAACCATCTAGTGTAGATAAGATTAGATCGTGCATGTACTTAGCCATCTGCCTTCCCTTTTGGGAAGGAACTGATCTTAACCTTCTACTGCCACCTCGTACGCGTGCGAATCACCGCACCGTCCGAGTGTGGAGTCTTGTCTCTAGTCGAGAGTGCTCCTCGCACTCTGACAAACAGTGCGAGCTCCTCGCCGCGCTGAGGAGCACGGCTCCTCGCCAGCTCGTTGCTCTGGGCTCCTCGCCAGCTCGTTGCTCTGGGCTCCTCGCCGTGGGCTCTCCTCGCAGGCTCCTCGCCAGCGTACGACTACAGCCGGCTCCTCGCCTTGCTGACGACAACAGCCGGCTCCTCGCCACGCTGACGACCCTCGACTAGGCTCCTCGCCCGTCTAGGAACGACCCTCGACTGGCTCCTCGCCCCGTCTAGGACTCACCCAACAGCACTGGCAGCAGTGCACCAAGGTCGCCCCTGGCCTATAGAGCCGTGAAGCCCGTTCACACCCCTGAACAAGGCCTCCCAGTTAGGCCGAGGTCTTACATTGGTGGACATTCAGGGAAACGGTCCACTTCCCTGCTCTATTACGGCCAGCTCATCATTCTAATCATTGTCTAATCATTGCCATTCCCTTGTGCCCTATTGGTTCTACTTTAATGCCTTCATCGACGTGGCTTCCCAGGTCCCAGTGGGATGCCCTGTCACCATTCCGGGAACTCGAGCGCGCATTCCCGTTGAACAGCGCGCGCGATTACAGCGCCCGCACCCTCTCCTCGACGATCGCGCCTCGAGGCTACCCTCCACCCCTTTCCGCCACTCCCCGCAACTCGCCAGCCTCTCCAGTGCCCGTTCCGTGCGTCTGGAGGTCCGTGGGAACTGAGCCGGTGCGTAAGCGCCGGAGCGCGTTGTACGCGCGGCCCTCTGTCCTCGACTCTCGCGCCGACCACTCTCTTCCGCCCCTCTCGCGCCCGGCCGACGACCCGACCGTTCAAGGCACCACCACCCCGGCGGGCAGCCCTCAAGCTGAGTACCGAGCTGTGCGAAGCTGCCGCGCGCTCGGTACAGGTAGCTGCCCCGCGGTTGCCGGCGCAAGACCCGCGGGCGAGCATCCGCGTGCTCTGCGCGACGGCGAACGCGACGCGTCAAGGCGCACGCAAGTGCACCGTCCGGAGGTCCTTCACCCGACGCGGACGGCCGAGGCACTGCGCTTCCGCGACGACGACGCACGCCCGCGCGCTGGGCCCACGAACAGCGCGTCTCGCGCTTGCAAGACCGCCGCGCGGGACGCGTCGACACGCAAGCCCATCGCTCCGGCCGCCCCAACGCGCAGGCTATCGCCCCGACAGGGGCTCCCTCACCCGACGCGGACGGCCGAGGCGCTGCGCGTCCGCGAACTCGAAGCATGCCCGCGCGCTGCACACACGAACAGCGCGCCTTGCGCCTGCGAGACCGACGCGCCGGACGCGTCAACGCGCGCGACCGCGCTCCCCAGGGACGCGCAGACGAATGCGTGGTCAAGTCACCACGAAGGAAGCAGCAGGGAGAATGGCAGAGAGGATAGGGCTCTGGTGAGTACCCCAGTCCCTCACCCTCCATCCTCTCCACCTCCCCCGCGCTATGTGCCCTTGCCCTCGCCCTCGCCCGCCTCTGCTCGCTCATTCGCGCTGCGGACCGACGCGCTCTCGACCGATCCGCGTGCGCTCCGCGAACGCGACCCGCCGGCTCCCTTCGGACACGCCCGCCGTCTGCCGCCTCCCTCGCGCTCGCACCTGCCCTCGCTCGCGCGTTTCGCGTTCGTACCCGCCGCACTCGCTCCTCCCTCGACGCTGCTGCCCGCCGCGCTCACCCCGTCCTCCGCACGCTCGCCCTCATTCCCGACCGACGTGCTCCCGATCGACGTGCCTGCGATCCGCGAGCGCGTTGCGCCGTCTTCCTTGGAAAGCACACGCCGGCCGCCGTCTCCCGTGCACTCGCACCCGCCCTCGCTCGTGCGTCTCGCGGCTCTGCCCGCCGCGCTCACTCCGCCCTTCGCTCGGGTGCCCTCGCGTGTCGACTCACCTCGACCGCCGTCACCCTCGCGCCCGGTCGACCACCCGCACGTTCGAGACACTACCCCGGCGGGCGGCCCTCAAGACGAGCACCGAGCTGTGCGAAGCCGCGCGCTCGGTGCAGGTAGCCGCCCTGCCACGTCCAGCTCCAAGCCGGAAACCGACCAACCGCGCGCTCTGCGCGATGTCGAGTCCGACGCGCCAACGCGCACGGTAAGGCCGCGACAGGAGGCCTCGTATCCGACGCAAACGGCCGAGGTCCAGCGTACCCACACACCCGACGTACCGGCTGGTTCGACGCGCGCAAACGCCAATGCAGACGATGGGCCGCGCGTCGCGCATACGAACCGCGCGTCTTGCGCACGCAAGATCGCCTGGCAGGACGATTCGGCCAGCCAGCCGGCACCGACCCACCGCGTAGGGACGAGCATGGGTAGCGGCAGAGAGGAGGGGAGAGTCAGGACGACTCTGGTGAGTACCATAACCCCTCACCCCTCGTGTGCTCCGCCGCCCTCGCCCTCGCCCTCGCCCTCGCTCAACGTCCACTCGACCGCCTACGGAACCACCCCGGCGAACGGCCCTCAAGCCACGTACCGGGCTGCGCGAGCCCGCGCGCTCGGTACCAGAAGCTGCCCCGCCGTCACCGGCTCCGCTGGGCCCGAAGTCGAGCACCCGCGCGCGCTGCGCAACGGTGAGCCCGACGCGTCGACGTCTCCCGCGTCCTCGCGCATGGGCTCGCGTCTGCGTTTTGCGGGTGCGCCCGCCTCCCTCGCTTCACCATCTACGGTGTCCCTACTACCCGACTCCGCTCCCGCTCGCCCTCTCTCACCTCCGCGCTCGAGCAGCTCGCACGCCGCTGTGCACAGCCCGCGTCCCGACACTCTCCCGTCCTGCGACCAGGCGCCTACCCCTGTGTTGCTACGTTGCCACTCGCCCATCGCGCGGCCGCCTGCGCTCGACGAGGGGTCTCCACTCGAACGCAGCCAGACCTCGCGCGCGCCCCGCGTGCACGATTCTCCCGCCGGCTCGGTGCCTCCGACATTCGCGCCGCGCTCCAGCACTTCGTCCACAAGCAACCGAATGGCCCGTCAAGCTTTCACTTCGAGTGAGCTAGCAAGCAGCAACGAGGTCGTGCGATCTCGCACATCTCGGAGCTGCTCGGCTGCCCTGACGGACGACTATCCGCGAACACGCACCGGTGCCCATTTTGGAGACGGAGGAGATATCAGCGAAGTGCCTTGCGAGGACCGGCCGGTGCGCGCAGTCTCGCCACGTTCGCTCGCACGAGCCGAAGTGCGCGCGCACCACAAGCGCCAGCTTCAAGCTGCCGAGCAACACGAAGAGCGGGCCCTCGCCTACCAGCGAGCCCTCGAATTCGCGCAGCACGCGAGTGAGCCTGTTCGCGCCGCCTCGCCTTGTCTCGTGCCGCCGCGCTGCTCGCCGGGCGTGCGTCCACTCGCACTCGATGCACTCGACTCGCACGACTCTGTGCCATCGTCATGGACGGGTCTACCGGCGTCGTTGGAAGAGGTGTCCCATGCTGGTACTCACTTTCCCGGCTCCGCGTGTTCGCCCTTGCCGCTGCATGTGTCATCTCCATCGCCAGACACGCTCCTCCCGATGCGCTCTTCTGCGCCCTCGCCACCGCTCGGTCTGCCTTCGTGCAACAGCATCTCCCCGCCTTCTGCGTGTCCGTCGCCGCCGCCTGATCTCACGTCCTGCAGCTCCGCATCCGCGCTCGCCCCGCAACGCGAAACACTCGCCCAGTTCTGGGGCAGTTTCCTGCGGAAACCCCAGGTTTCGACAAGTGTGTGATTTGCCACGCCTTGTCTAGATCCTGGGGGGCAAGATCCTATGCACCTTGTAATGTCCCAGCCCACCCACCCTCTACCACACCTCCTTCATCCTTAGGCCAACCTCTTCTCGTTGGAATCTCGAGCCAAAACTCCCCACGGATCGTTCCGACTCGAGATTGGGGGGCAGTAGGGGGTAGGGGAGGATAGGCACCTAGGATGTAGGCCAGAGGGGCCAGCCAACCCTAGCCTGGGCAGGACGGCCACTCCCTGCGAGGAGGACAGCGTAGGACAGAGTCCAAGCTGAAGGCTTAGCCATGGGACTGGAGCTCGGGATGCCGTACGAGTGGGAGATCGTGGTACCGGCAGGACAGCTCAGTCTCGGTGCAGGACAGAGTCCAAGCCAGAAGCTTAGCTGCTGGACTGGAGCTCAGCGCGTTGTATGAGTGGGTGAACGAGGTACGAGCTGGTGAGCTCAGTGCGCAGTGTGGTTTTGAAGAAGCGCAAGAGTGCGCGAGTTGGGACCTTTTTCAACTTCGCTTTTTCTGCTTTTTTCCGTATGTTTTCTCCTCCTTTTCTCATGCTCATGTCTACTCTACACCCCACATCCACACTATATGCTTCATAATGGGGGGCTCTGTGACGGATAGGCATCACTATGCCTGTCCAGTACTATAGATTATGAACCATCTAGTGTAGATAAGATTAGATCGTGCATGTACTTAGCCATCTGCCTTCCCTTTTGGGAAGGAACTGATCTTAACCTTCTACTGCCACCTCGTACGCGTGCGAATCACCGCACCGTCCGAGTGTGGAGTCTTGTCTCTAGTCGAGAGTGCTCCTCGCACTCTGACAAACAGTGCGAGCTCCTCGCCGCGCTGAGGAGCACGGCTCCTCGCCAGCTCGTTGCTCTGGGCTCCTCGCCGTGGGCTCTCCTCGCAGGCTCCTCGCCAGCGTACGACTACAGCCGGCTCCTCGCCTTGCTGACGACAACAGCCGGCTCCTCGCCACGCTGACGACCCTCGACTAGGCTCCTCGCCCGTCTAGGAACGACCCTCGACTGGCTCCTCGCCCCGTCTAGGACTCACCCAACAGCACTGGCAGCAGTGCACCAAGGTCGCCCCTGGCCTATAGAGCCGTGAAGCCCGTTCACACCCCTGAACAAGGCCTCCCAGTTAGGCCGAGGTCTTACAGCGATCGGGGCAAAATCCTCAGCTCCGGAGCTTGTCCGGGCTCTCAATGTGCGCCCACGATCGACCTCGACCTCAAGCTTCCTCCTCCTCCCGCCGACGGTGTCGCCCGCTCGATGTCGCCCTTTTCAACGTGCTGGTGCTCCCTGCTGGTCGCGCCAGCTCTTTGTCTCGCACCCGGCTCGCCGTTTTCCACGCGCAGATAGGCTCGTGCTCGTCGCCCCCGCCCTCGCTTGCTCGACCACGTCCTTGAACGTCGGCCGCAACTACTCTGATCTCGACAGGGCTCCCACACAATAGCGACAAGTGCTCTTCGCCAAGGCACCGAGGGATCGCCGCCCCGGACCCAGCACACTGCATGAACTTGCATAGGTGCTCGCAGCTAAGTCTTGCCCTCGAGGTCGTACAGCCCCGACCTCACTCAGCATGCCCTTGGGCCGCGCTTGTCGCCCCTGAGCACCGGCGGCTCTGTCCCCATCGCGGACTGAGACACACGGCCCTTCCTATCCATGCCAGTCCCGGTTGCACACCAGACGAGTGCCGCGCTGCGGGACACTCAGTCTGCAGACCCTCCACTCCCTCTGCGGCGGCGGATCCGTCGGCGCACAGCGCAGTTGAGGACGCTCGCTTGGATCTGCCGGTCAGCGCTCCCGCTGATGCCTGTCGCGTCAGCCTCCGCCTTCCGATGAGAGCCTGAGGTGGCTACCCTCAAAGCCACTGCGACTCCGGCGTCCCGCGCACCAGACTCGCGAGTCTGGGTGAGTATACCCAGTGGCACACACCACAATCATAATTCAACGTCTCCCTTCGCCCTCGTGTCCTCTTCATCGCCCTCGTGCTTTCTTCTTCTCCCTCGCGCTCTCCCTTTGTCGCCACTGCTCTCTCTTTGCCGCCGCTCGGTCACACTCATTGTAGCCGACACTGATGCTCTGCTTCCCCCACCTTGACGCTGTCATCCGATTGCCCCTCGACACCGCGCTGGCAACGTGTAGCCCCCCTCGCGATCAAACATCTTGTCGCCCACGCCCAACTCGCGCATCATGCCGTTCCCCGCGATGCAGTCCACCCACGTGTCCGTCGTGCCATGCCCGCGGCGCGCGCAGATGCGCTCCCGGACGCGCGGCGCAAAACAGCGAGCTACGCGTTCTGCACAGCGCGGTCATGCTGCCGCCGGTGTGTCGTGTTCACGCGCCCGAGGCCCGTGCCGACGACCACGAGGATCTGCTTGAGCTGGTTGGTGAACGCCCGCTTACATGCCGTCACTGCCGTGCTCCAATATGCAGATACATATGTATTATGATCTGTAGTAGACTTTATATCCATTGCATTTATGCCAGTTTACGTGCAGGGGCTGTGTTGAAACTTGACGAAATGTGTGATATGTGCCGTCTAATGTACTGTGCTACTGACACTGTCTGACACCATCTGAGGCGAAATGAGACCCCCTGACAACATGTATTGTCTGGAGTGCCCTGATGCTCTGAAGGTCTCTGAGAGCCGACCTTCAGATGTACATACCGTCAGAAAATGCACGTTTTCCTGATGGAGGGGCGGAGGGGCGCGTACTGCACGCGCAGAGCGCATCATGCGATGGGAGAGAACGAAGAGGCAGACGTCGACCTGCCATCGAGATGGCGGGGCTCCAGTAGTAAGTAGAACCAGACTTGGGTGGCGATCTCGGACCGTCGATGCGTCAATCACGCACTGTAAGTGATTTATGCATATGCCTTGTCAGGGAGACCCGCGGTGCGGAAGTACTGGCCTTCTATCTCAAACTCAATCTTCATACAAGAGCCTCCCACCACTTTGATAATGGGTGCTCCCGTCGCCCCCTTTGCACTGTTTCTTGTGCGTGGCAGCGTAGTACGTGAGTAAGACTCATGAATGTGAGATACGTAACGTCTTCACGTACAGTATGTACTCACGGTGTGCCCTTGGGGAAGAGTGCGAACGCTATGCGTAGCAATCCGAGCCTAACATATGGTATAGCGTGTGGGTAACCGCGAACCTAAATGCACGGCTGCTTCGAGTCAGCCGCCCAACATGAGATAGTATTCCTTCAATACAATGGTGCTGTTCGGCATGCGCCGAGGCATAGCATGGGCATGCCTCGTGGTTAAAACAGTGCCGTCTTATCGACCAAGTCGACCTGGCCGGCCGTGTTCTCGAGTTGCTACCGTCGCCCTAGAGGAACATCCGAGTCCATCCACGTCTCGCATCCGTCGCGGACAACACACCAATCATTCATTTTGCCATTGTGGCCACATCTGGGTCGTGCACCAGTTTAGTTCTGTTACCTGGCCGAACGGAAACCGCGAGGTAGCTAGGTAAGCTGTGTGCGGCGTAACCAAGTATGTGATCAAGTTTAACATAGACATTGTTTAAACGATAGTTCAAGCGCTGCGTACGGTATACCCATCTTTCCAATGTGATTCATTGGTATTGACTAAGGTGCTATTCAGTTCGATCACGGTGGCTGCGATGGACGATCCGGTGAACAAGACTGAACGCTTAGAGGATCAGATTGCTGATCCAAAGAGCATCCCTGACACACTGACGGGCAAGGAGACCCGGAAAGAGGAGAAGGACTCAGAGGTAGTACCGAAGCGGCGTTGGATTTGGATTCCATTCAGGCAGCCCATATACTCAAAGTGCGTGGCTCACGGCTCCTCCCCCCGGAGGATTGGGGTAAATACGTGATTCACGGCTTTGTGCTTCCTCAGCGATACGGGTCCGCGATTTCCGCAAGAGCTGATCGAGCGCATCTGCGAATTCCTCTGGGATGAACCGGTCCAGCTAGCGGTCGGCTGCACGCGTATTTGCCCTGCTTGGTATCATGCTGCACGGCGACTTCGAGTTCAGCCATACTGGTTTATCACCTGGCCAACCCGAGAGGCCCTGCAAGACTATGCGCATACACTCACATCTCGTCGTAATGCGCCATATCGCACACAATTCAAGCAATTGTGGATCTGCGACAATGCCAGCACGCCGTTCGCGCACGTTTGGCCTATGCTCATTCCTGGATCGATGCTACCGGAACTGCATTCCGTGGACCTCATTGACCTTGACTGGTCAACCAAGACACCTCACGATAGCTTCTTCGTCTACCTGTCTTCTTACAGCAGCATCTCAAGCCTCAATTTGCGGAACTGCAGGTTTCGCAATCTGTCGGATCTTCGCAGGGTGATCAATGCCCTTCGCAGCCTTGCGTCACTGAGTCTCAACAACGTAACATCACAACACCCCCTCAGACCGGGATCGGTCCCCGACTACAGCGCTCTCCGAACCCGTTCCCACAAGCTCGAGTCTATTGCTGTCTACTACGGTCCCCTGTGCGCACCAGAGCATCCTGACATGTCCTGGGACGGTCAAGGAGCAACGGCCCTTGATCGTCAAGCTCTGCCGCACATGGTAGCCCCGAACTCATCCACTGTCACCTACCTCCGTCTTGACCTGTGCTTCTTTACCTCCCTCTCGGCTCTTCGGCAATGCCTAGCACATTTTTGTCGCCTGACCACATTTGAAGCATGGTCCCGATTTGCCTCGAGTCCTATGATCACATTCGAGGAGACAATTCCTGCGCGTACGGAGAACACATATACACACACATGGTCAAACTTGGCCCTTTTTGACATCCCTGATCAATCCGCACTGCAGCTTCTGCAGCTGCTTGTTACCCCTGATTCGTGCAGCAAACTGCAGGATTTCCAAATCTATCTTGCACATCAGGAAAAGCCCCTTTTCAGAATATGTCAAATTGCAGAGTATTGTATGTAATAATGAACAATTTCAACTATTCACCTGTTCGGAATATTATAGGGAATTAGCTACCCCCCCGAACTTTTGTACGAATTTCAGACAATACACAGAGTATGCGAGTGCATTATGTGTACCTACCTCATTGTTATCTGTCACAGATTGAAGAATACAGCACATATGATCCATCATTGTTCATGTTGTCAGAAGCCTCACACAGACAGAACATATTAGGAACATTATATGAATTGTGAGGTAGTACTGTGAACTATCTAGACAGAGCGAGTACATGTGGTGAACAAACAAAGTACTACTATTACTAATTAGCAAGCCTGAATTCTATATTCATCATCTCTCAGAGGTACTACTCGTCCAGTATCTGCTCCCTCAAACCCATTCTCATTGCCAGACTGCAACAGCACATGAAGGTTGTGGCCGAGGCTGAACAAACACAGACGTTAGGGAAGACACATAAGGAAGGCCTAGTACAGGTGAAGTTACTAAGCATCACCAATTGAACGAGATGTACCATGACATACCGCAGTCAAAGCTAACACAAGCATTGTTGGCGCGACTTCACGTTCGGACGGAGCAATCGTCACCGGGCGTGGTTCGGAAGATACGGTATACAGCGCGGGAGCGATCGGGGAGGAAGCGCTACTCTCGTCGGCGCGGTAGCCCCCGCCGCGTCTGTCGGCGCGTTGAGCGTGAACACGAAGGGTTGACGGGAGTGGCTGATGGTCGGGGTTGAAGTTAGCAGGCACAAGGTGAACACGGGGAAGAGACGCACGGGGGGCAGACGCAGTGGCGGCGGCGCTGTGTTCCTCTGATGGTGATGGGAACAGCGACTGCAGTGGGAACCTGGCACGCAGTGGCAATGCGGCGGGATGAGCGGAGAGGGCTGCGACACGCGGTGAGAGCCACACGGATGAGGGTGGTGAGTTGGGCTGTGAGGAGGGTCAGCAGAGCGGATAAGACATACAACGTACCTTTTATGCAGCCTCTCGGCCGCGCTAGCCCTCTACCCTGCATCCGCGTCCTTCGTGAGCACACTAACGACACTTTTGCGGCGTCGTTAGTGCTGTTATGTACTGCTAACGTGTCGCGTTGGACGCGCGTTGACGTGTCAGATTGGTTACGACTCACCTATACCTCTGACAGGCCCATGACGGGCCTGTCTCTTCATGGAACAGCCGCATTTGATGTTCTTGTGGTTGCGCGGCGGGCGAGCGGCGCAGGGCAAGGCCGTGGAGGCTCGTAGAGGAGGTAAAGGGAGTTTGCGAACCGCGCTGGCAGTGGACGGACGCAAGCGCTGTCGGACTTGCCTTATGCGGCAGAATTTTCACGTGATGCGGGTACGCGGACACCGCGCGTTTCTGAAGTCCAAGTCACCCAATAGTCAATAACTGCGACGTCGCCTCGCCGCCGTCGTCCTCCCACTCAGAGTCACCTCACCGCCGCCGTCCTCCCACCCACCTCGCCGCCGCCACCAACACCAACACCCGCTGGTGCCACCGCCCACCAGTACATGCCCGCCACCACCTGCCAGCACGCACCCACCGCCGCCGCCGTCTCATGCCGCCGCCTCGCTTCGCCGCGGCCGACGGCAAATGGGCGGTGGACGCGTGAGCACGATGCGAAGGTGAGTAACATCGCACGCGATCGAGCTGACTAACGGGGAGTATGGGGCAGGGCCGGTGCGCGCTCGCTGACCCAGCGCGCACATTGGGCGGGCGACCAGGCGACAGCGCATACGCCAACCGCGAGCGCGCTGGGCGAATGCCCAGCACTGCACGAGCAGATGAGCAGGTGAGTGAGCAAGCACACAGGCACGGGACGCGGATTAGCACCACGCACACGGCAACCGCGAGTGTGCTGTGCCAATGCCCAGCACACACACACGGCCGACGAGCGCGCCGCGACTACACGCATGGCCGACGAGTGCGCCGCGACTACGGGCACGGCAACGAGCAGGTGGGAGGGTGTGCGGGCAGCGCGGGTGGACAGCTGACGGTCAGCGTGGGCCAGGGCCGGGGCGTGCACGCCGACCCAGCGCGCACGCCGGGCGAGCACTCAGGCGACAGCGCACACGCTAACCGCGAGCGTGCTGGGTGAATATCCCGCACGCAGGCATGGCCGACGAGCGCGCCGTGACTACGGGCACGGCAACGAGCAGGCGGGAGGGTGTGTGGACAGCGCGGGTGGACGGGAATTGTGCGGACGCACACGAGCGGCTGCTCCCGCCTGCGGGCGAAGGGTCGGCGGGGAGCGGATGGCGGGAACGTGTGGGCGCAAGTGCGAGTGAACAGCCTGAGGGAGGACAGCGAGGACAACGGGGTGCAGGCAACAAACCCAACGCCGCGCAGATACCACCGAGGTAAGCAAACCCGCGGTCCACCGCCAACACCGGCGGTGTATCCGGGAAGGGTACGGGTTTGCGGGTTGCGGGTGCGGTATGCGCCCTGCGCACTCACGGTGCTACCCGTGTTTTGGGACACTAACGCCGAGCACCGCGGTCTACGTCCTCGACGACGACCTATGCCCTGCCGCCCTATCATGTTGATTATCAGGAACATAATATATATCTTGTGTTGTGGCGTAATGTCCCAATGTTGAAGTACAAAGGACTGAACTCGTGTAATGTACACCGAATTGTAGAATTGATACAATTTTCTTAATTTTCTTCGGTCTGTTTCACTTGTTGACACTAAGACAAATATTACTACGTCATGTACAGCCCCTCAATGGATTCTCAGCAAGGCTTTGTTCATTCCGCTAATACTGCGGAATGCATTGATCATTAGCTATGTTCTGTAGAACGCATCAATCGTTACCTATGTTCTGTAGAATGCATTGATCATTACCTATGTTTTGTAGAATATGTCTACATTAGCTTCGTTCTGCACAATACTCATAACTTCTAACAAATTCTCAAAAGGGGGTTTTCCTGATGCAGGCCGGCCATCTGCCGCACTTGTATCATGTACTAGCCGTGTGCTCCATGCATCCGGAGATCGGCTCAGGCGTTTCGAGTGGAGATGTTCGGTGGACCCAGGTCAGCTTTCTGTGTGTAGTACGCACATGTGTCTGACTGCCAACTGCTTACATTTGTAGATCTCGAGGTCATGCCGTCACTCACAAGAAATCCGTCTCTGCGATACTTAGAAATAATGCTTCTGGACGTTACCCCATCGCCACAGAAGATACACACTACTCTCACCGCCGTGCTATCAAACATCGTCAGCGTGGACCTGCAAGGCGTGGAGATTCAGCTCGCTCTGGCTCACCTCGAGGTGTTCCCCCGACCCCAGAATCATGAACGGAGGCCCGCGTTGGTACTAAACCCTGCCGAGTCCATCGCTGTATTTCACACCATTCTCTCACGCGTGGTATTCAATGGGCTGCCGCGCAATCCCTGGACCAACCAGCGTCAGGGTATAGAGGTCAGTCTCGATGTCCGAAACATACAGAACAATCCCACCGCAGTAGCCACTATCAAAGCCTACTTGATCACTCTCTTTACGCCGTGGTTGGATCGCGGAATCGTGCAATTGTCGTTTCATTCATACTATGACAGAGACACTTTCGAGACTATCAAAAGTGTTCCTACGTCCGAGCTCAGAGGTAAGTGTCGTAACATCGTACTTCGCAACTGTGCATTTACAAACCGATATATCCATAGAGGAGACATCGAGCGATCACGGAGGCGAGGACGTCGAAGAAAGCACAGTCGTAGGAACAAACGTTTAGAAGAAAGCTCGCGAGGGAATGAGAGAGACGGACACTGGCGTGAACAAGTCGGGCGGACGCAGTTGGTCGCGCAGGATAGCGGCACGAATCTTGTACGATCCACGGTCATTCATGGATGGAGATTATTATATAGACTGACAGGTATCACGACGACATTGTTGAAAAGCATAGTCTTGAAGGGATTCGCGTCTCCTTCCGTGTCCTTCGCGCGGTTGCATGTCCAGATCAATCCCATTGAAACGCAGATATTCGACAGAGGAAGGACCCGGTAAGCCGCTCAGTTGGCGCCGACCGGACTCGTCGGGGCCCCTACACCATGCCTTGACGAGTAGCAGATAACATCTCCTATGCAAATGCCGGCTGACTGGTAACGCAATGATAACGAAGTAGTAGTTACTAGTGCTTATGCGTACGAGCACTCTTCAGTTGTGCGAAGAGCACTGCCGGTGTCGCAGACGACTGGACTAGAAGAGACGCACCGATCACGCTGATCGTGTCCATCAGCCTCTCAACCGAGCCATCGTCAAACTCCGGGGGACTGAAGGCGAACGACAGGTCGCGGGTCGACACCAGAGGGACGACGGGGACTTGCAGCGGCGTGGTGACCTCAAGATGTACAACGACAGCTGCGGGGTTCACGGGCGGAAGTGGCGAGCCTGAGTGTGGCTCAAGACGGCGGCACCTCCGAGCGTAAAGCGATGGTACATGTCCCTGCAGTAGTCGTCCGCGCATGTTCCGAATGTGCACTACATCACAGCATGTAAGCACATATATGTGTTGTCAGTGGCGACTCGCACCTCTCGATGGGCCTCGGATTTTCCTTTGCGCCGTCTCACTAGGTGGGCGGAGTGGTTGAGAATCGGCTTCTGTGCGGCGTGATACGCAGGTAGTTATCGCCGTAGAAACGATATGGACAAACCGGGAGACCTCAGCACGGTGCCGGTGGGCAAAGATATGAGCGTAGTCGAGGATGCGAGGATGGCGGCACATGCTGGGACGGTTCGAATGTGCCTTTGCGCGTGACGGTGGTGTTGTCGGCGCAAGCACTTGAGCGAGCTGAGACACGCGCGCAGGAATGCGGGACTCGCGTTCGTAAGCAAGATGCGCGATATGTGCACAAGTATCATGGTTTATGTTACGAGTGAAGTTGTGGGGCGTTGGCGAGTTGATAACAATGTCGCGTATATCTGCATATATACGAGACGAGCATAATATTGAGTGAGCAGTCGCGGAGCACGGCGTAAAAGACGGAGAGGGTCTGCCAAGCCCAGGTGTAGAAGCTCACCTGGCGTGGCCAGGTCCTGGATATCCCAGGCAAGCGGTATTGCGAGCGGACGAACATGCAGGGTCGGTCTACCGTGCGGCGGACTGTGCAAGCAATGACCGCAGGTAACCTCGCCTGGCAAGACAAACACACACCTTGGGACAATGAACCGCTCTCCTGGCGCATACCGTTTGTAGCCCAATACGGCGCCGTTTTAGAATACGATCTGCAGAGACGGGAGGTCCATCGCCCGACCTCACGTAGTGGCGTACTTAGCAGCGACTGTTGAAAGCATAAAGAGGTCGAGGTATAAGCTCACTTACATAACTGGTGCGACCACTCCGACGAAGCTGCGTTGGCTTCTTCTGAATGTCGACCGCCCGGTGTACGATGCGAGGCTCAAAGAAAGAGATCCAATAGTGCCTCAATTCGGGAGGTCGAGGATGCCAGTTTCTGTTCTATGTGCGAGTGTTGTCTGTAGGTGTCTCGCCGGGAGTACGGGGCGACGAGGCGCGTAGGAGCAGGATGGGTCTGAAGAGGGGAACCCGGCGGTGCGTCCATTCGAGGAAGTCAATGACGAGCTCTGTATTCGTCTGAGCGTGTGTGTATATTCGTCTGAATGTGTGTGTCGCGTCATAAGTACCAGATGGTCTATACCTCAAGTTGCTATGTAGGCAGGAGGACAGATAGTCGGACGGAGACCAGGCCGTCGGCGATCGGGAGGAGCGAACTGAGAGGTTAGGGTTCCTGTACCGAACGAGGTCGCTCGAGCCTGACGACAGTGACGAGAAGTAGCAGTCAGTGAGCACCGATGCGGCGCTGAGAGGAACGGCGAGGAGGAGGAAGGATGATGATGATGACCTCTGCATTTATTAACCGCTACAAGCAAACATGTGCTAAGACGCGGCGGACGCCGGCCTGTACAGTAGTGGGCGTTAAAACGCGCCACCCAGGTCGACGTCCAGTTCGGGGCTGTACTGGTAAGAGTAACGTCTGGAGGGTTATATAGTAATGGGTCGTTGTCGGTTTGTAGTCTATGGTAGCGTCTATGGTACTGGTTCTATTCGTCTGTCCGAGTCGCATAGATCGTAATAAATAAGCATGAGAAACAGAGATGTAGGGAAACTGCATAATCCGCGGTCCGCGTTCGGCGCGTCGTCTTCTCCTAGGGGCGCAAGCCGGGTTTGTTCCCCTAGTGCACGAGTGATTGTCGGAGGTGTGGGAGTGTCGAGTTTGGTGACGGTACTTCGCCGTGCAGCTAGTACCGTCTAGTCTTCGTCCTCGTCGGTCGGTCCGTCGGGGTCTTCTTCTGGCTCTGAGTGAGGAGGAGGAAGGACGCGGCTGGGCGACCGCCTCGTCCGCGAACGCGCCCGTCACGTGCAGAGCGCGTCGCGCGTCATCTTCCCCGACCTCACGCACGACCGCCTCGTCCTCCTCTGCATACCATCCGATACTCTGCAACCACAAAGCTGCCTCACAAGTACTGGTGTCTTATGCTCTCTGCAATGGCACACTCTGATCGCCTTCTCTGTGCTGCTCGTCGGCGTCCTACCCTTTCCACTTGCTTCTATCCGCCGAGTGCCTAGCGAAGCATCCTCTACACACAGCATCACACTCCTGGTCAGATAACTTGAAGGCCGTACTACGCTCGCTGGACCCTGACATGCCAATCATGCGCAGCAGATGCCAGCCCGGGGCTAGGCGAGCGGTCTTCGCAGATCGACGCGATCGAGGTATGTGTGCTGTCGTGCCGACGTTTTTGCGCTGATCGCAACGTCGACGTTCAGGCCACACACGCTCGTGCCTCTGGAGACGTCCGAAAGACGAATTCGGAAGGACTCCAAGGACGAACACGCACATACCGCAAGAAGGGACTGGAAAACTCTGGCGGGGTGCCCGCCCAGGTAGGTCTGTGCACCAGTGCTGCTCCTTCCCGCTATCGCTGACCATTTACCGCTCGAGGGATACACGGACTTTCTCCGTCCAACGGAATATAGCGTCCGCGCGCGGAGACGAAGTGAAAGTCGGAGGCCGGATCCTGAGGAGGGCGATGATCATGTGGTGTACATGAAGGAGGAGCCAACAACGCCCCGCACGTCATTCCACTGGTTCTCTATGCGCGCTGTGACGGTACACCAAGATCACCTGCCGAGAGTACGTGCTCCTCCGAGTCTAGCAAAGTGCGGCCCATCCTCGACGCAATGCATCACACTTTTGGCGAGATCGCCTGAAGACTGTACTACGCTCTCTGGGAATTGAAATCTACGCGCAGCGGATACTGATCATAGTGCCAGGCGAGTGATGCCCTGAGGAGTGACCGGTCTTCATAGATCGACGCGCTCGAGGTATGTACGCTGTCGTGCCGACGGCTTCCGCGTCGGACGCAACGTCGACGTTCAGGGCCACACAGGCTCGTACTTCTGGAGACGTCCGAAAGGCGATTCTGTCAGGACTGCAAGGACGGACACGCACATACGGCGTGAAGGGACTGGAAAACTCTGGCAGGGTGCCCGCCCACGTACTAGGTCTGTGCACCAGTGCTACTCCTTCTCGCTGTCGTTGACCATTTACCGGTTTGCACGGACCTCACGCAGATCTGTCGCGTCGATCCTCGAGCTCAGCGTGATCGCAAGCCCGTCCTTGCAGGAGCTAGGACACCGCGCGCTGACGAAGAGCCGACACTCAGCATCTTGGATGCCGTCAAGAGAAATCGCCTCCACCCTCTGCTGTGACCATGGACCTCATCCACGCGGTGTAATAGCTCATCGAGCCAACTACTCCAAGTCGACTTTCGAGACGTCCGGTTTGTGCTCACCGAATCACTCCCTCCACCGTACGTCGACATCAGTCGCCAGGTGCCCTGCTATGAGTCGTCGTGCAGCTCTTATGAGTGAGCTCCCCACGCTGGAGCTCGTAATCAGGTTGGAGACAGTTTTGGAGTGGAATGTATGCACTAGTTAACGATGTTGACGAAGCACCGGCCGCCGCACGATCTCTACGCAACAGCGGTGCTACCCCTACGTGTCACGACGGAACACGCACATCCCTCTCCTTTGTGTGGTAGCAACGGCCTCGCGAGGCATCCGCCAGTCAAGATCGACGCCATCAGAGTAGATGTAACACGCCGACTCTCGCTCGTACGCTCGCCATTAACATCTCCCTACTCTCATCCCACACCGTGCGCCCGACAGCGTCCTCCGACACCCGCGCGTGTACCCCAGGCGAAAGTGTCGCGCCATCTCTGAAGACGGGCCGCTCGATATCACTTTGGCTTCGCGGTGCCTGACGATGAGGGGGCGGACGAGGCAGTAGACAGGGTCGGGCGGCCGCATCTGTCGAGTTGAGGGGCTGAGATAGAGCGCGTGCGTGGTATGTGTGTGGTTGGCTGGAGGAACTGTGAGTATCGACGAATAGATTGTATCCCGTGTATACTCACCTGCGACCACTTCCCGTAACACCACGTTGTTGTGAAGGCATTCCGGAGGATCCCGTTCACTCTATGAGCGCACCGCCGACGAGTGTGGTTCTCCGCATCGAATGTGGTTGCTGAGCATGTCTTGAGCATTAGATCCTGGCCGGCCTGCTGGAAGACAAACTCAGAGCTCGCTCACGTCTGAGTACTCGCGCTTGGTCAACATCATAGATCTCGCAGGAGATGTCAACCATGCCGCGAGCGGTCTACGGCCGGAGAGGCCACAAAACGCGGGCATGAACTTCCGAACGACGTCGCCCCGGAGCACACCCGCCTCCAAGGTGGCCCAGTCCAGCGTGCCGAACATTGACATGCGCGTCGTGGACGGAAGCAGCCTCAAGGACCAATCAAGGGCGGAGGAGGAGCGCCAATCCGCGGTCGGGCTTTCCTGTCACTTCGAGCATCGAGGCTAGAGGGCCGACGCCGTCATCCTTGCGATCGTACCAGTGTAAATGAGTGTTCTAGTTGCTAGTTTCGCAGCATATCCGAACCTCCCGGGCGTCAACGTTTAGGCCTCATCACCGTGCGACAGAGGCCTTGAATTCGTCCGGTGTCCCTCAATCGCGTCACGGTACGTGCAATTTATCTGCACACGCTGCGTACACAGGGACTAGAGTCCGCTGTCTCGCCTTTTATGAGGTCTCGCACAGGTTCATGAGGTCAGTGCGGAACATTGACCGCCCATTGTAGTCGCTCATTTGCTCCGCCCTACTACTTACTGACTCCTCTTGACGCTACAGGCCACACACTCGAGGCTTGGGCCACCGAAGCGACGAGATGAGTATCATACTGTTTGACGTGAGTGGCTCCCGACACGCCGCTGAATGCCTGCTCATGTCCGTGCTCCATCAATGAGCGATTGAGCAGCCGGAGAACGGGGGCTTCATCTGCAGAATACTTACGAGGGAGTTCTTAATCAGTCATGTCATTTATGTAGGTACTGCCAATCACCGGTCAGGCCCTCAATGGCGCGTAGCCTGAACCCGGCAGCGCTCGCTATTATGACAATGGATATGGCAGCCTCGAACTGAGGTGGATGGTATGAACATGCCAGTCGTGCACCGAACGCGTTGAAGCGGCAGCGTTTCCGCGGTAGGCGCTCTTTGATATGGTACTGCGACTACGCTGAAAGGACTGATAATACGGCTTCTCGTCTACACCCGTAGGCGGGAACTTTGTACCTGTGAGGGGAAATGAGGTGTTTGTCCCGACAGATATGGCACACTCATCTCGATACCGGCTGACGGGCCAGTAGACACCAGTCCCGCAAGCCTAGTCGCCGGAGTGCCACCCGTCGGACTTATTGGCCAGGAGCAGGTTAATGGTAAGTAACGTGCGTTCTCTCGTGATGGGTCGGTCAGCTCACGGTATGTGGGTGTCGCTCTAGATCCCAAAGTCGGCACCCCGACGTACATGTGGTCCACTTATATGGTCAGCGAACCTACAACGCGGCTTGCAGCTTCTACAGCGCTGTCCCGACGGGGACCCTTCGCTGCCGCTACATTGGCTAACTTCGGCACATGGCTATCGTCCATGTACTGCCCGGCGGGACAACGGATGACGGCCAGAAAGCGCGTACACGCTTACGACATGGGCGTGACGTCTCGCCCAATCATTATGCGATGGAAGTACACCAATGGCAGTCGGAAGCGTGCAACACATGACTGCGTTATTGTGTTATCGTTCACAGTCAAGGGCGTTCGACTTCCCTCTCACGTCGATTTGCAAACATCCGAATCCTTACAGAGAAGTTGGCGCTGCGCGGATGCGGTGGTGCCCGTCCTCGCGTCCTCAAGGTGCAGCCAATACCGGTGTGCTCCAAGTTCTATGAACAGCTCCGAGACGTCGTGTATCCCTCCCCTGGACTCAGTCAGCTATACGGAACGCTCTCTCTCTCTGTCTTCCACTCATCTCGCTCTCTCCTGTTGGCACCGCTCTACGCTTAGAACTGTTTGACATACAACATGCCAGTCATGAACCGACCTGAGGTGCGCACCGTCGTTCTTTACCGACGTGGCAGAGATCATGATATTGATCCTATGTCTGTGTGCTGTGTAGAGAACGTCGGCTTTGATCCCACCAGATCAGGATGTTGAAGAGAACGCAATGAATCACGACCCCAGCGCGACGCCGTCGCCGACCACCGCCGTCAATTCAACGACCTTAGGCTCCAACGGAGGCAATGGCTCCAGACCGTCAGTGAGTATATGCGGGGTGGAAGGACAGATGTAATTGCTAACTTGTGTGCACAGCCGTCGGACCCGGCCCTTACAGGTACTACGAGAGTGTCCCCGTTGCCTGATGAAACTACCCCAACTCAGGTGAGCTTCGTCAGTTCCACTTACCATTCAGCTGAACATGGAGCGATCGTCACAGTGGCATGGGCTCGACACGTCACAAGGGGCAAGTGCGCCTTCACAAAGTGACTCGGAGGTGAGCACGAGCGGAGCGGTTTGAGCAGTGATTGTGTTGACCAGGGCTTCTGCAGCCGAACGTGAATTCCAGCGGACTGCCAGGTGCTCAGGCTTCCACGACCAAGGATACGAAATTGGGAGACATCTCATTGAACGATGCGACGGAACGATTTGAAACGTCCTTGGTAAACGTACTGAGGAAATTCGTGGACCAGAAGAAGTACCAAGGCGCAGACGACGAACTCTCTGAAGCCTGGTCGACGTTGGCCAAGGAAGCTTGGTCGACCGAAAAGCAGCGCGTCGAACGATGGCGGAATGAAATCAATGCACTGCTGGTCTTTGTAAGTCACATCCATGTCTGTGAGAAGCGTCAAGGCACAGTGGTTCTGATATGAGTCATTTGTAGGCTGGCTTATTCTCTGCTGTCGTCACTGCCTTTGTTGCCCCATACTATGCTGGTTTGCTGCCAGCTCCTGACTTCAACACAGATATCTTGGAGCAGCAAACACAAATCTCGGCGAGTACATTACTGGTCCTCGAACGGATATCCTCGCAACTCGGTGGCGCGACGACGGGTGCTGCCGTCACGGTCGCCTCATCGTCGTTGGCGGCTGCCAGTGCCATGGACTCTTCACCGTCTAGTAGCCCCTCACTGCCACCCGGTCCACCGCGATGGATCGCCACCGTGTGGTTCATCTCCCTGGTATTCAGCCTTTCCGCGGCCTCCGTCGCGTTAGCCATCAATCAATGGCTGAATTTCCACGTCGAGCAAACCGGGCTGCGAAGTGCACCTCAGAAACTATGGACCTGGCGGCTCCGAAGGGATGCGATCGACACGTGGAAGGTCGAATCCATCGTGGGCCTCCTTCCCTGCCTCTTGCAGATCGCACTTGTGCTCTTCCTCGTGGGCATTATTGGTTATCTTATGGAGATCGGGCCCGACATCGCTGCCCCGAGCGCGGTCTTCATTGGCCTACTGCTTCTATTCCTCGTCGCCACTTCCTTTCTTCCAGCACTCACTGAATACAGTCCATACAAGTCACCGCAAGCGTGGTGGATATGCCAAGCCTGCAGATCGATGCAGTATATGCTTTGCTGGTTCGTCCTCCGGCTGTGTCGTGTGACCCTCAGCTCCCTGGGGATTGGGCCTCCGACTAGAACTTCGTCTCTGAACGCAGATCGCATATACAGATGGATGGAGGCGCTCCGTGTATCTATCGCTCAGCATCAAGCGCACCTGCATACATTGATGAAGACGAACTGGCTCGGCCATGAACAGCTCTTCCTGCGAAGGCTGCTGACCGCCCAGAAAGTCAAGACAACATTGTTCTCGTACATTTACAACATGACGACGGACATGGACGTCCTGTATGCGATGAAGATTTGCCTGCAAAAGGGATCTCAGTTCCTAGCAGTCCGCGGCGGAGAGGTGGCGGCTATAGGCGAAGCAAGAACGAGCGTCTTGTCAAGTCAAGCGTATGCAGATTCACTTGCGCGACAGTCGCGGAAGTCTCCTGGCGATGAATTGCAATACGACAGTCTGGACAGCACTGCTACTGTCTTGATAGGTCACATGGTGCTGGACACGTTCTTTCGACCGCAGACAGAACTCGACGACGACACTCAGGCTCTTCATTTGGAGTTGAACCGTCGCGTATTGGCCGGACTGATCCGCGCTATGCCTCCCGTCGATGGGTATAGGGCCTGCATGTCTTTGTTTCAGCGTTTAGATGATGGTCGCCCGTCCACGAAACAACAACGAGCCACCTTGGAGGTTATACAAGATGTCTACATCACAATTGATTACCTCGCGGAGGACTGGTGGGGGTTGAAACAACAAATTATGCAGAAGATCAGAAAATTTGAGTGTGCTCCACATACCGAGCTGTATCGTCTGCGCAACGTTCAAGGTCAGTCAACCATCCGCTTCAGTCACAACCAGTGTAAGCTCAAATTTGGCATAGACTGGCAGTGCGTGCAGACTGCACTCACGACGGTATATGCACACCGTGACCCTGTATCCACGATTAAAATCACAACCACCGTTCTAGCCATATGCATGTTGTCCGTCAAAAACGAGCACACATTGCCAGCCGAGCCGTCGAGGGGAGCTTACCTGGCCGACGTGGTCCACCGATTCGACGAGCACTTGGCTACCCTAAGCCGCAGAGAGCTGCAAGACGCGATACAACACCTTCCTCCCGCGGCGACATACAGACTCGATTGGGTGTTGTCTCGCTTGACCGCCGGCTGGGACATCTTTAGATTCTTGAGTACGACCAAGATTCGTCGGAACGTCATGATGTCCACAAATCGCATCGCGCGGCGACTCCAATGGCTGCTCGAATGCTATGTATGGACGCCACCAGGGACAGTCTATGGGTTCAGTCTTGACTTGCAACGCAACGCGTATTGGGCACAACGGCGTCTAGAAGAGGCCAGGATAGACGCGACAGGCTTGTCAGTCATCTTCGACGCTCAGAATGTCAGGATACACTGACACTTGCAACAGGGGGGAAGGATGGCTCGAATGCGCTGCAGATGAGCCCCAGAGCGAAGGTGATCGAAGAGTCGACTCCCCGGAGGCGGCTGGCCCAGGGCCTACGGAAGCTGGCGACGAGCGGGCCCGGGACCCACCGGCGGAGCCGCGAACAGACAGTCCGAGGCAATCTATCACCCAGCACCTGTAAGCAGTGAATCTCGCGCTGCACTTGATCGCTGCTGACGAGCTTGCTCTAGCGCTGACGCAGTGCATACGCTTGAGGGATCCACGGCGCAGGGGCCCGACATCGAGATGCAGGCCGTAGGAGCCGGCTTGAACGCAGCGCCAGATGTGCCCGGTGTGACGGACACCGCACCGCCAGCCGTCCCTGGCAGCGGGACAAGGCTAGAAGTCGCTACGACGCATGATGAATCTGAGTCGCCGCAAGGGCCGGATGCCGCCCAAACCGAGTCGGTGCATCCACTAGAGGACACCGAACCGCACGCAGACGAATCCGATGACGCACGCGTGATAGCAGAGGCAGGCACGTCTGCGGGCGAAGGTCATCTGGGCGGACTCGCAGGTGCGATCGAGCGCGCAGATGAACGCCAAGGCTGCGACGCGCATTCGAGTCTGGAGGGAGGAGGTGCACCAGGCGACGTACCTACGCAACCGTCCGAGTCGCACCACGGGCAGAACCAGAACACCGGCTGATTCGGAGGACGGATGACGATGGTATCGCCGTATACGTTGTGAGTTCCTGGATAGACCATCGCCGCATGCTGACGTTCACCGCAGGCGGCCAGTGTGGGACAATCCTTGACGATCCCTGACCGATGATAGACGGCTCGGTGCATGAACAAGTTCCTGGATTGCGATGGGCTGATATTCCGTTTAATCTTGTGCTTGTTACAGCTGCTCGTGACGACTTTTTTGTCAGTTATTGTCTCGGAGACCTTGATACATACAGACTTGAGTGTGTTCTTCGTTACACTCGTGTTTGCCAACTGGATTGCCTGGAGCTTCCACGGAGTGTTGCTGTCTATCGTCGAGTCTGTATCGTGTTGTGTACTGGTTCGTTCGGTACGAAACCGCCTCCCGTCTGTCTGCTTCGAATTGTCGTTACGATGATTGCACCCAATATAGCACACGATGTTCAATCGAGCACATTGCGACAATCGAGAGGGATATAAATGAAAGTTATATTTCCAGGTCTGAACCTACTTCGCGACGACCGTTACACTCTGTGACGCCGCGTTCATCAGACAATACCCGCAGTCTTGTATGCTACCCTTGAAATAGTGATGCTCGTACCTCGCGCCAGTCCGACGGGCATGCTTTTGCGACTGCTGCACCAGCAGCTGCGTAGATAGGTAAGCTGCCAGTCAGCATTGTACGAGCTTGATCGCATACAAGCATACCGTACTCACAGTACTGTCCCTCCGACATCGCCGCCTCCCGCCCTCACGGGCCTCCCATGCGTCGACTCGGAGCGCTCCTGTCTTCTCTGCCTGGACGCCTAGCGGAAGGGAGCCACCTTCGACGCGGTTCACCTTCGACGCGGTTCACCTTCGACGCGGTACACCTTGACACGACTATTGAGCGGGCAGCCTGGCAGCTGGTTGCGGCGAAGCGCGTGTTCTGGTCGCAGCGACCTGTTCCGTCGTTCGACCCGTGCGATGCGTGTGCAGCTCACGTTGTTATTGATTGAGGGTTCCGGGGACCAGTAAATGCGGCAGCTTTACGCGACTGCGATCGCACACTCTGACAAGGCCTGCATTATTTTCTTCGGCTAGCGGACGATCAAGGTTTCTATTCATATGCGAATGTTGCCTGGATGGGTTTCACGAGGGGTACAAGACGCTGGGGAACGTAGGAGCGGGACACGAAACCGGGAGAGTCTGGGGACAACCGGACAGTCGGCGATCGGGCGAAGTGGGATTGAAGGGCGACGTATCCCGCGTACCGAGAAAGGTAGCCTAGGACAGACGAAGCGTAGCAGTGAGACCCGATGCGGCGCTGAGGAGGCGGTCGAGGAGGAAGGACGCGGCTGCGCGACCGCCTTGTCGACGAACGCGCCCATCACGTGCGGCGCGCGTCGTCTTCTGAGCTCTTCTCCTCCTCGTCCTCGTCCTCACGCACGACCGCCTCCTCCTCTTCTGCATCCCATCCCATACTCTGCAGCCACAAAGCCGAATACGGGGCACGTCATTCCACTTGTGTCTTATGCGCGCTGCGACGGTACACCACAGTCGCCTTCCTAGATTCTATGCTCCTCGCCCTGCGCTTTCCACTTGTTTGTATCCGCCAGAGTCTCTAGCAATTGCAGAGCATCCATCGATGCACGGCATCACGCCCCTGGTGGGACGTCCTGAAGGCTGTACGACACTGCCTGGAAACTGACACTCTCACGCAGCGGCTGCTGTGTACTGGGCTAGGCGACCGATAACCTGGGGAATGACCGGTCTTTGCAGATCGACGCGTTCGACGTGGTATAGAGTTTCACTGGTAGTTCCGTCTGCGAAAGATGTGTTTGATACCTGAATATATATGTCAGTGATGTCGAACGGCTCGTCTCGAACTCGGACTAGTGGCCAGAGTCCTTCAAGCTGTGCTGTGGTCGACAAAGTTGTATTTTGGCCAACCATATGTGCCAGGTACGTGTACTTAACATCGTACCTCCTCGAATCACCAATGCGTCTAGTAACTCGATCTAGCAATGCTGCGCCTGACCTGGCACAAGAGCTCATCAAGTTCATCGCGCACCTGCCTCTGCGACCAGCCCGTGCTGCTCGCCTCAGGGTGGTGCTGCTTTGTATGCCGTGCGCGACAACAGGCAGCGCCGCGGCTCTACACGACCTCATGCAGGTACTCGTGTCCAAGCAGAGCAGGCGATCCTACAGCTGCGCGTTCGGCGAGCCCGAGCACTCATCTTCGGGGTGCCGCCTCCCGGCGCTGGAGCACCTCGCGTTCACGCTGCTCGACTGGGCGCTGCGCCCCGCGCAGCTTCGTCTCGTCGCGCGGCGGACACCGTTCAAGCGCTCTGTGCGAGTGCGGAATCGCGCTCGGAACGTGCACATCGCGTCGCACGTCGTCAGCGCGTCTGACAACTCGCGTCGCTGCCTGGTGTCGTCCGCTCTGTCCGCCCTTGCTCTCGCCGAGTCTAATGTAAACCCTCATCGCTTACATCTCATCCGAGACAGCCCGGTGCAACAGACGACCTGGATTACACCACCAAACACCAAAGTACTGTGCGCGGCCATCGGGGTCACGCCTGCCAGCGGCCCGGACACCAGTCTCGGCAGCCCATACGACATACAACACTCAAACTCTATGTCAACATGATGCGCAAGCAGCTCATTACTCAAACAAACATCGGTCAATCTGAAACCCTCGACGGATACGAGGAGGATGCGAGGCAAGGCTCTAGTCGGATATGCAGTGGCGGTCCGACGTCCGTAGTCTATCGATACGTCTGTGCTGCTGTGGTGCGCTATGAACACTCACCTAAAGACCAATGTTCCCCGGCTCTTTTCATCGAAGCTTGGGCGAATCCCGGCCTTTCCATCTCAGTTCCGAAGACCCCGGGTCCTGTGCGGTCTGAGCGTCTCTTGATAGCACAGTAAGCTCCTAGTACGGCGGCGCCTCGAGAATACAACATCGGCTGGCACCCATCGATAATGTGAGCCACGCCGTCCCTGCGCAATCCTCTTCAGCTCTGACTTAGGAGATCCCGTCTGCTCTCGTCTCGACGCTTGAGAACAGATCAGAGGGTGAGCGGACTTCATTCAGCCTCACTGACATTCTCGCCGTCCATCGCGTTAACTACGTCCATGGCAGGATCGGCGCGCGCTTCGAGGCTGGATTATACCATTGGCTCGCATCCCTCCTCACAGTGACACGCATCCGCAAAACAACTAGGCAACTCGCTTGCCAGGTGTGTTCTGTACAAGCAGTTCTTTGGCGACGCACTAATCGAAATGCGTCCAATAGAGAAGCTTGAGACGAGACGCCGGCTCTACGTCGCGAGAAAGCGCATGCAGAAGGGTTGACACGACGAGTCTTATATATCAGGTACGTCTATCATAATTGGCATAATGCTGCTTGATGACGGTATAGCACAGAGGAATGGCTGAGATAGATACGTCCGTAACGGACGAGGATGTGCTGCCGGAGGGCGACGCGCAAGTCCTTGGGACAGCGGAATCGGACACCGAGACATTGGACAAGTCGGTGCCCAACAAGTCAGAATTCTGGACGGAGTGGTCCATCGCTATTCACTTCAGGCCACCCACATATGTGAGGTATGCCATCAGCTTTGCTCGTGTGGCTTGTACTCACTTCCCGATGCTGTCGCAGGGACGACTGCCCGCGACTCCCGCACGAGCTTATCGAGCGCATCTACGAGTTCCTTTGGAGCGACCCGCTGGTGCTCGCCAGTGGCATGCGCGTATGCTGCGCTTGGTATCACGCTGCAGGCGCGTTGCTTCAGCGGTCAGATGAGCTGTCACTGTGGACCCGAGCGGACTTACGCAGCTACGCGCGTATGCTGATGTCTACCCGGAAAACGGCTTATAACGAACGATTCTGCGAGTTGAGTGTCTATGACAATCCTCGCGAGCCGTTTACACGCGTCTGGCCGATGCTCATTCATGGAAGCTTGTTGCCGAAGGTAGCAAGGCTGAAACTCGGTGGCATTGATTGGACGACTACCGGTCCACATGATGCCTTCTATGAATGCCTGCCATCTTACTCCGAAATCATGTTCCTGACCATTTCTAACTGCTCGTTCCGCACCCAAAGGGAGCTCCGTCGACTTATAAACGGACTGCCGAGTCTCAAAAAGCTCACACTTTCGAACATTACACTGCAATGTCCGCTAGGTCTCCCGGAACCTGTCCCCTCTCATGTCTCAGCACGTCGCCATAGCCTCAAAAAGATCACACTGCGGACTGACGAGCTGGTTGCCCTGTCATCGAACAATCGCGATCCAGAGCCCGGAAAGGCAGCTTCGAGGACAGGAGTGCTGTATGCATGCGCTGTGTATTCGTCTGTCGAAAAGCTTGACCTGGATTTATCATATTTTCCTTCGGCGCTGTTTCTGCTGAACTACCTCCTTCGCTTTCCTCGACTGCAACATTTGGAAGTGTCTCGTGGTCTCCAGCAAGACCTAGGGATTGGATCCGCAAACACCGATCCACTGCACACGGAATATACGCCTGCCCGCCCACTGTCCTCGTTCACCCTCTGGGGTACAGTGGCCGAACCAACTACACTACAGCTGCTGCGACTACTGTCTACCCCTCATGCGTGCAGCACCCTGAAAGACCTATTCCTTGTTCTCAATTTCAACCCGTCTGTGGAATTCGTCCTCCGTGTCACCCGCATTCTGGGCCTCTGTGGTCCCGGTTAGAGCGCTTTTGCTGGGATGCTGGTGGAGGTGACGTGCATTCTCTCTCGGGTGGTCCTTCAGTCACTCATTGCTGTATGTATTGTAGACTCGCGGATTATTCCGCAACTCACGGCGAACACCTCGCTAGAATTTCTCACCATGACTTTGCACCGCGTTACCCCGAGGTCATGGACGATCCAGAAGACACTGTTTACAGTGCTATCTGACATTACAAGCACAGAACTGGAACGGCTCGATCTCGACATTCATTTAAACGGCCCCGAGCCACCATTCCGAGAGGAAATCGAGGAGACACTCGAAGGGGCGAATACTCCGGAGCCTACCTCCACTTTCCACGCCATTCTCTCCCGTAGTGTCTTCGACGAGCTTCCCGTCGCCGTCGAATCTGATCCAGGCGTACGCATCACCATGTTCTTCTATACCGCAGTAGATGAGCCACCGGCAGCAGACTCTGCCTTAAAGTCCCACGTGGTCGCTCTCTTCGCGCCGTGGTTGAATCGTGGAGTCTTGAGAATCAAGTTCCGCCCAGACCCTGATGGCGAATGGGAGGTCACTGGTGCACAGAGGAAGGCACCCACCGGTGAGTATCACAGCTTCGTTCTTCATGAAGAAGCGCGAGCGATTTGCTGATCAAGCTAACCGCCCCGACAGTTGACTCGGAGAATAAAACACGGGCTGATGCACTTGTCTTGGAAGGCAGACCTACGGAGGCCGGAGCGAACGAGTATGGAGGGTCGACATAGGGCGAGAACGCGGACGGGCAGAGTCAGACGAGGGGGCGAAGACGGGTACGAGCCGGGATGCGGTTCGGGCGTGCAGGACTACGGTGCGATGACGGCATATGCTCCTTGGCTCTCTGTTTTGTACACGGGACGATGTTCGACTCGGACGACGCTGATCCTTCAAGGGAACGAATGTATCTATTGGTCAGCTTGTGTGAGTGCGTGTCATATCAGGAGGTCAGAGGTAGTCGAAACATGTACGAATAAACCGTTCGCAGATGCCAATCATTACCTTCATTCACAGTGCTCAGGTCTGCCCGCAACATCACCGTGTATTACACACGAAACAGCCGGTCGTGGACTCGGACATACCTATGAAAGTATATCTACCCACAATCCGTAGAATACCACCACGAGTCGCTCGAACGCAGACCGATCTTGCATGACACTTAGCAATAAAGCGCACATTCGCAAAGCTTGTCAGATCAGCGCTGCAGACATTCATCGTTCGGTGGATCGAAAGAGACGTACTGGTCACGACAATCAGCTCTTCTCGGTCGAGCTATCATCGAACTTCCGAGGACGGGGAGGCCGGCAATGTTGAAAGCTTGCGTTTCCATGTGCGAGGGTTACCTGAACGTACTTCACCGGGGGTACAAGACGATAGGTCACCTAGGAGGAGGAAACAAAGGTGAATAGGATAGTCGTGGACAGTCTCACACTGCACAGAGGCAGCCTCGTCGGCGAACGCGCCCATCACGTGCAATGCGCGCTAACGCGCGTCATCTTCCCCTCGTCACGCACGCCGGCCGACCGTGGCCTCCTCCCCCATGCATACCACCCCGTACTCTGCAACTGCATAGCCGGACACGGCCGGGCACACAATTCCAAGTGCTGATGCCTTATCGCGTTGCGATGGTTCACCGAGACCGCCTTCCTAGACTCTCAGTAGCGTCTTCCGGCTTGTGCATTGAAAGCCTCGCATTCAATAACAGTGCCTTTTCCTTGACCGGGTTGACCTAGAACGTCGCATCCTTGAGCTGATACCATCACCCCAGAGAAGCATCCTTCTACGTCTCGCGTCCGTCGTGTACAGCACGGCACCGATCGTCGGTTTGCCCATTCTGGCCCTGCTACCCGTTCGAGCGGGAACTGCGAGCTGGCTAGGTAAGCTGTGTACGGCATAGTAAGTATGTGATGGAGTCTAACGTAGCCATACCCGTGACAGAGACTGATGGGCAAGCAGTTTGCTTTCAATCTCACGACAAGCGGCGCTCTGAAGCAACAGACGTCAATTAAACGATAGTCCAAGCGCTGCGTTTGGTATACTCATCTTTCCAATGTCATTCAATGGTATTGGCTGAGTTGCTATTTAGTTTGGTCACAGCGGCTGCGATGGACGATCCAATGAACAAGACCGACCGCGTAGAAAATCATACTTCTGATCCGGAGAGCATCCCTGAGAAGCTGACGGACGAGGAGCCTCAAAAAGAGGAAAAGGACTCACGGGTAGAATCCGAGCGGGTTCGGGTTCGGATTCGGATTCGTTTCAGGCAGCCCATATACGCAAGGTGCGTGGCCCACGGCTCCTCCTCCCGCAGGATCGGGGTGATTACGTGATTTATTACTTTCCGTTTCGTCAGTGATACGGGTCCACAGTTCCCTCAAGAGCTGATCGAGCGGATCTGTGAATACCTTTGGGATGAGCCCCTCATACTTCTCGACTGCATGCGTGTTTGCCGTGCCTGGTATCATGCTGCACGGCGACTTCTCTCAAGACCATGGATGACCTGGCGAAACCGAGAGGCCCTGCAGGACGATGCGCACACACTTATATCCCATCGTAATGCGCCATATCGCAAACACTTCAAGGACTTGTCGATCTACGACGATGCCAGCAATCCGTTCGCCCACGTGTGGCCCATGTTCATTCCTGGATCGATGCTGCCAAAAGTGCGTTCCGTGGAACTCGTTGGCCTTGACTGGTCAACCAAGACACCGCACGATAGCTTCTTCGTCTACCTGTCTTCTTACACTAGCGTCTGGAGCCTCGATCTGCGGGACTGCAGGTTTCGCAGTCTGACGGATCTTCGCAGGGTGATCAATGCCCTTCCCAACCTTACGTCGCTGGGTCTTCACAACGTGACGTTACAGCACCCCCTCAGACCGGGATCGGTCCCCGACTACATCGCTCTCCGAGCCCGTTCACACAAGCTCGAGTCTATTGATCTCTACAGTCCCGCACCGGAGCATCCTGATGTGCCTTCGGACTACCTAGTAGGAACAACGGCCCTCAATTGTCGAGCTCTGACGCATATGGCAGCCGCGAACTCATCCACTGTCACCGACCTCACCCTTGACCTGCGATTCTTCACGTCGCTCTCAGCTCTTCGGCAATGCCTAGCGCATTTTTGCTGCCTGACCTCATTCCAAGCACGGTACCAATTCACCTCGAAACCTAGTATGGTCACGTTCGAGGAGACGATCCCTGCGCATACAGAGATCACACCTATACACTCATGGTCAAGGTTCACTCTTACGGACGTCCCTGATCAATCCGCGCTGCAGCTTCTACAGCTGCTTCTTACTAACCCTGAATCGTGCAGCAAACTGCAGGATTTCCAAGTCTATCTTGCAGGCCGGCCATCTGCCGCACTTCTATCATGTACTAGCCGTGCACTCCATGCATCTGGACATCGGCTCAGGAATCTCACGTGGCAATGTTCGGTAGACCCAGGTCAGCGTTCTGTGCGTAGTGCATACTACATGTGTCTGACTGTCAACTGCTTACATTTGTAGATCTTCAGTACACCCCATCAATCGCAGGCAATACGTCTCTGCAAGGCTTACGCATAGTCCTTCGGGACGTTGCCCCATCGCCACAGAAGATCCACAGTGCTCTCACCGCCGTGCTATCTGACATTGTCAGCGTGGACCTGCAGCACATGTATATTCTTTTCACTCTACTCGAGGTTCTTCCTCAGAATCATGGACGGGCGCCCGCGGTACTAGATCCTGCAGAGTCCATCTCTGCGTTTCACACCATTCTCTTGCGCAAGATATTTCGTGCGCTTCCGCTGTTCACCAGTAACGACACCGGTGTACAGATTGCATTTTACGTCCAAAAGTTACGGGACAATCCTACCGTGGTAGCTGCTATCAAAGCCTACGTGGTCACCCTCTTTACGCCGTGGTTGGATCGCGGAATAGTGCAGTTATCGTTCTTTTCAGGCTTTGACGCTTCGGATACTATCACTTGCGTTCCCACGTCTGAGCTCAGAGGTAAGTGTCGGCGCATCGTACTTCGCAACGGCGCACTTACAAGACGGCCATTTGCATATATCTCCGTAGAGGACATATCGAGCGACTCCAGAGGCGAGGACATCGAGGAGGATAAACCCGTAGGAGCGAAGCAGTAGGTTCACGAGGGAATGGTAGAGACGGACACTGGCGTGGAGGGGTCGAGCAGATGCCGTTGGCCGCGCAGGACAGCGGTACGATGTTGTATTATTCGCAGTCACATATCTATCGGACATTGAAGGCATGGAGGCCACCCGGTATGATGATCTTACCATAGAAAAGCTTCGCATCGAAGGTCCCAGTATACGTACGCGCCCACTTGGGCGTCGTTCGTCATATGTTCCGACGTCAACTAGCTCATGCAACGATGGTTGCAATCAACAAGAACATGTGATAGTCCGTCTAGGTGGTTTTCAGGTCAAAGCTAGAACAGACGAGTAGTGATATGAAGGACGTACAAAGACAGTGGCCCGTTCGTGCTAAGATGCGTGGTCATATCTAGTCAAGGGACATTGCAACTACGAATCCGGTGGCTGCCCCGCTGTAGTCCGCTCGCGCAGATTAGCGGAACCGCGAGTGTTGGCGACAGCGGTGCTCATGGGCCCTACTTCACCCGAAGCTGCGTCGGAGTCGACAGACGAGTCGGGCGACACTTCCTGAGCTTTCTTTGACTCCGAAGGCTCGATGCGCGCAGCACTCCGGTGCGAGAGTGGGCGCGGCGGCTGGGAGCGCCTCGAGTCCCATATGAGGTACAGGACTACTTCAGACGCGGCAACTATCAGGGCAACTGCCAAGGACAGGAGTGCTTTCTGGCTTCGTTTCAGTATCAGAGTAGCTGACTATCACATGTAGTAGATCACGCACCCACTCGTCTTTCCAATCCAGTCTCCCAGCAGCCCACCACGTCGCTGCGCCCGCACCTCCGATGCTCAGGAGAGCGTTGAACACGTTGGTCACCGCTCGACGGTCGCTGTATGTTTTCCGCTCATCCGCGCCCTCTTTTCGGGTGGCGTACGCAGGGAATTTCCGTTCGGGAGACGTACGCGTCCCGGCGAGCAGAGCGATCATCGAGTAGTCTGCTGGCCGCAAAGGCGGGTTGTAGGAGGCAAGCGACTTCGCACCATCCGGTGAGCGGGCCCAAGCAGAGATGGAAGAGAGCAATGAGTAGTCTATGAGATTCGACGGTGAGCCTTCAGGGGGTGGGACGAGGGGTTCCAGCTGCAATACTAGCTCTGAAGGCAGCAGATGTAGCAGCGGCTGCAAAGATTCCACAAGGTGTGGTTCCAATGAGACATTGAGGTCCTTGCTGGAATGGTTTGTCGGTGCGGTGGCAGACTTTTCAGGCATATCAGACATATCCAGAGCAATGGAAATCTCAGCCACCGACGAGCTCAGACAGCTGGCGGCGTGCAGTCAGATCTTGATCTCGATCTGCGCCACTCAGAGGCGATCTTGAGATCTGCATGTATCGTGGCCTTGCGCCCTTTTTGGGAACATTCACCATCTCGAGTTCGTTCAGAGTTCGTCTCGAGTCTGTCTCCAATTGCGCTCTGAGTTCACAGCGGGTTTTGGTCCAGTATACCAATGTCTGCAATCGATGTTGTAAGCTACAACCTCAAATTTGCATTGACGGACATGAATTCACGTACACCTCCAGGATTACGAGGGCTTGGTTGACCCGGGACTCATACGCGTCAGGGACGTACTCGGGTCCTACGAAGCCGGTTCTTCAAGCAGCCTCATTGAAGTACTTGATGGATGCTCGTCACGGCTTGCTAAGGATGAATCGTACCGGTGAAGTAACCTATGTAGAGATCGTCAATGTCTGTCTGACCTCGCTACAGACACAACATCGGGGCAGAGAACTCTGGCCTTTGGTCCCTCCTACACCAGCTCTGGCGACTATCCTCAGAGGAAGCTACCTATGAAGATGAGAACCGCACATCGCACACGCCGCTCTGTCTCAGCGTTGCTAGGTTAACGCGAAACATCGTCGCAGGCGTACCCAGCAATCAAAACAGAGCATTGTGAGTCGCTGGCAATCAGGCTTGCACGACGTATATTAAACGTGTTTCAGTGAGAACGAGAATCTGGTTCGCTCGTTGGTGCATCACTATACAACGTATTCGGCTGTCCAGGACTCTGCAAGTCCGCCCTTCGCCTCTCTATTCCTGCGTTTCTCCTGCTGATGCATGATCACTTCAGCCTATCCCACCACAAGAATGCTCGTGCAGACGTTGTCGAACCTCGTCACGGGTAACGACGCGCTCATCTCAAGACTCTGGAAAACATACTTGACCCTTCCCGAGGAGCAGCTGATCCTGCTGTACGTAGTAAGCAACACGGGACCGAAGTTTGTTCTGACCTTGGTATCGACAGACGGTTGTTAACTTCGCCAGATGCGAGAACAGTCTCCTCGACCCTCGTTCTTTCACTCAATTGCATCCACTCCAATCATGAGCGGATGTGAGTACGGGATATCCTCGTCGGTGAGCTCGTACTGAACCCAACCCAAGGGAAATGCTAGTGACTTCACCGCGAGGACCGCGCATTACAATCACGATGCTCGATCGCATGAGTGCTCATGTCGAATCAGAAGAGACCTATGCAAGCCAAGTTTTCAGCATAGGGTGAGTTTTCTTCGCTTCGGATCACATTGCGATACGATACTTCAAAAACAGGTTTGAACTTTTCACGCAACTGATAGAGGCAGGGCTCGTCCCTGCGCTGTACGCGGCCATCTGCATGTAAGGGAATCACACATCGCGCATTGGCTCAGTTGTTCATATGCGCCACTGTACCAGGCCAGGAGAGCCCATCACTCCGCCACAAACCACACTACTGAAGCTCCTCGACTCGTACCTACACAAGGCATCCCAAGGCTTGCAAGCAAAAGCGCGAAACGACGCGCTTGTCCGCATGTTAATCGACACATTCTTCGATCTCGCTGGGTATGCGCAAGAGGCCATCAGGCGAGCACTGGGTAGCGCCGATGACTCGCAGGCGGCTCCCAGTAATGTCGAGGAAGACGCTCCCCTGAACGACACGGGAGGCGATTCCATGCTCCCGCCACCAAAAGAGCTCGACCTACTCCTGCCAAAAGTCTCAGAAGCACTCGTGCTCGTCTCGCAGTGCCTCACCACCCTTGCCCTCGCGTCGAACGAGGCAGCTACATCTTCCGATGGCTCCTGGAAGGTGAAGGCGACTCTCGCAGCCGCACGTTCGGCGAGCGGCGAAGGCCTGGTCGAGAGTCTAGTCGGTGCGTGTGCCAGCCTCACCTATCTTCATGGCCATCTGACAAGACCCGTAGAGACTCTACGTCTCTTGGACACATTCCTGCCTCGCATCACTTTCGGACGGGTCGTCGAACGCCCGTCGCCGCCGGGCACACGCCCGCCACCTGCAGACACGACGCAGCATCCGCAGAAGGGCATAGAGGGCTTCAGCTACGTGAAACGCGATCTGGTTCGGTTGCTTGGTATCGTCGCGCTGGACGACAAGGGTGTCCAGGACAGGGTCCGTGAGTGCGGAGGTATCCCCGTGGTGATGAACCTGTGTGTTGTCGACGACCGGAATCCTTGTGAGTTGCTTCGGTTGTCAGCTTTGTAGTGGGTGATACTAAGCCGAGGAAACGCAGACATGAAAGAACATGCCATTCTGGCCTTGCGCAATCTCCTACATGGGAACAAGACCAATCAGGACGTGGTGAGGGAGATTCAACCTGTCGCGAAGTGGGACGAGAGAGGCGTGCTGCAGGGCCTGCAATAGGTACACGAATCAAACATAGTAGCACACAAACAGCGTAGGACATGTAGCGATAGTTTCGGGCACTGTATGATGATCATTCCTCTTCCTCTTCTTCCATCTCAATCACTCTCTTCTTCCTCGAGCCACCTGCCGTGCGTCTGCGAACCGCTCCGTCCTCGTCTTCCTCTTCGCTCTCGACGTCCATGCTAGCCTCCTTGTCAGCGTCAGCGCCAACGGGGCCGCCGTCCCGCCTGCGTCTGCGCTCTTCCTCCTCAATCTGCTTCTCCATCCGTTCCAGGTTATCCTCCTCCGCTGGCTCCCGCTCCTCCCGGTGGCGCTTGGTGCGCTTTTTCGAGACAGCAGCATCGTCTGAACCGTACGCGTCTGCATCCTCGTCTGAGTCCGCGACAACGAAGTCGTCCGTCTGATACTCCCCAGGGCCCTTCTTCCCGTCCTCCTTCTCGCCTTTCCGCCGCTTCCGCGCGCTGGATGGCTCCTCGCCGTACTCGTCCTCACTCCCACCCCCATACACCGCCTCGTCCTCGTCCTCGTCGCTCCACATCTCGTCGCCCGTCTTCCTGCGCGTGTACCCACTGCGCCGCTTGCGCCCGCCGAAGCCGTCGTCGCCCTCGCCGCGCGGGCGGCGCGGCTTGCGCGACGCGGCCTTCATCATCTCTAGCTTCTCGCGCTCCGGGTCCATGACCGGGTCGGGCGCCATCCGCAGCCGCGCGACCTTCGTGTGCTTCTGCCCGACCGCGCGCACGAGCATGCGGTGCGTGCTGCTCTGCATGCCCGTCGGCCGCAGGGACATGTAGCCCGTGACGAGCGCCTCGGACTGCAGGATCTCGGCGCGCTTGTGCTGCGCGACGAGGTAGGTGAGGCCTTGCGACTTGGAGGGGCCGGCCGTGCCCTGGGACTGAGACTGAGATAGTGACTGGTTTTGTGTGCCTGGCCCAAAGGCCTGCCGCGGGATTGCCCCGGAGGTGTCGATGGTCTGCGTGATGTCAAAGAGCTCCTTGCCGAGGAGTAGTGAGAGGGTGCCGTCTGACCAACGGACGATCCGCGCATTTGATTGTCGCCGCTTTCGAAGCGTGAGGGTTTAGCGAAGGAAAAAAGACCAGATGATACTCACGTCTTGCCCGTTCTCGTCCTTCACCCAACGCCACCGGACGGTGTTCTCCACTTTGAGCTTGATAGTCATGCTCTTCTCGCGCGCACTCTCTGCAGCCTGCGCGTCCTCGTCTTCGCCCTCTGGGCCAATGTACGTGTCTGGGTGAAACGGCTTGGAGTCGACCTTGACAAAGTTCGGCATGCGAATCACCCAGTACTGTGCACGGAGGTTATGTCAAAGATGAAGGGACGCGTGAAGTAAGACGTACGTTGCCGTCAGAACTCCGAGGTACTGGGATGTTGGGTATGGCAGCTGTGGCCTCGAGTAGGATCTGTTCTGGGGGCTGCTCCTCGTCTTCTTCCTCAGCATACTCCATTGCCTCCCTATGCCGCCGCTCCGAAGAGGAGATCCCATCCATCTGCTCCGCGGGCTCAGACGATGCCGGTGTTACCGCTGCAGTTCTTCGATGGAGTGAAGTGCAGTTGTTAGACGAAAGAACAAGTCAAGCATACGTTTGACACGCACTCGTTGTGCTTGACTTCCTCGACGTTATCGTCCGCCTCGCCAAAGAGATCTTGCATCTCTTCATCTTGCACCTTGGGGTCGTCGCTTGCATCGTCGTCTGCCAGAACGCCTTCTGCAGGCATGTCAATGTCATCAAGCGGTGGCTCTTCCTTGAGCCCTTGGTCCACCGGGTCAAGTGCGCCAGCTAACGAGGACATGGACGACAAGAGTAGACTTCAAAGACTCGAAGACTCGATTTGATTGGGACGGAGGAATTGAAGCAAGAGTGGGAGTGAGAGTGCTAGTGCCAGGTAGGCTCAGGGAGGCTCAGGGAGCTAAGCCACGGTCGCGAGATCAACTTGCCTACTTACGGTAATCACTTACTTACTTATAACTGTACTGACTGACATTATTGTAGGCACACTACAGTGGCAAGTAAGTAAGTAAGAATGGCTTCCCAGCTGACTTGCTGGACGTCTGAACTTTTCTACGTCCTTGGATAGAGTTTTGGTCTTTGGCCACGGCTCGTCCATGATTTGAAGAACGAAAACGCTCGAGTCAATTCTTACGGTCGAAAGCTGGCAGCATCGATTAAGCTACAATAAGCCTGAGGCCTGAGGCCTGAGTACTTCAAGAGTAACGCTTAGTCCATAGTACATTATCATGGCACAACGTAATAGCAGTACATCCAGAGTACATCCAGATCCCTAAACGTTACTTGCCATCCTGGCCCTCCGAGTCTGGCGTTTTCCTCCATCATCTCGAGCGTGCACTTGTGCCCGTGGAATTAGAGTCTGCTCTTGGTCGCGCTGGACTTGCGCTTGACTCTCGACCCGGGTCCCGCCTGCGGTTCGCTGTACACTTTTGTCCTCTGGCTTAGGGGGAAGTTCCGGCCAGCCCTCCGTCTCAAGAGCCTGGTTGAATATCTCCAACACCGCGTCATGCGTCAGGGGGACCCGCGGCTGCGCGTCGGACGCGAAGCCAATGACGTTCCGGTAGCACAACGCGCGGAACTCATTGAGCAGCGTGTTCAGCTGGCGTTCCTGCACCACGCGGATGTTGTTCGCTTTCAGCCACCGCAGCTTGACGTTGAAGGCGGCGCGGTGTTGAGGATGCGCGGGGAAGAGGGTACGGAGCTCGACCTGCCCGAGATTGTGCCTGATGGTGCTTAAGCGCAGGGATATGAGCACCCAGACGAGGACCCAGTAGAAGGCCTCCAAGTCGTCAGACTCGTCGCGTACCCAGCCGGATCGTGGTGGGGACCCCGTCGCCTCCTCTTGGAGGGAGTTGACAGAGCAGAACTCGTACGTTCCCTGCGAACGAGAGCTATTGAGTACGGTACAAGGATCCCGCGGCAATGCACTGACCGTTCGGTGAGCGCAGTCATTTCCCGGCGCAGGCTCGTCCTTAGGCCTGGGGGCACCTCTCCGTCTCCCGGCTTGCTCGCCGTCTTCAGACACTATCCCTTTGCCTGTCTCCACGAACTGGATCCAGCTTTCAATGTCGTTTGTCCATCCGCGAGACTGAAGGAACCTTTTCCAATTGAAGCCATTAGCGAGGTCGTGCAAGAACCCTTTGACGTCCGCAGTTGTTTCTCTGTTGAGAACGATGTTTCTCTCGCTCACGTCGCCGTGAATCACGCCGGCCTCGAACGCATACTTGTGTCCTATGATATCAAGCCAGAAGGCTCAGCAAGCGACGCACAGACGAGATCAACTTGAATGGCGTACCCAGGATGGCGTCACGGAAAGCCTCGACGAGCCCTTTCGTCCGTCCGAAGTGGGTCAACGGCGTCCCAACCGTCTCGATGACAAGTCGGTCGTGGTCCTTCTCGTGGTCGCGCCAGTCATCCTTGCCTATCAGTCTCGCGGTCATAGTTTGGTGCCCCGTTGGAAGTCCCAAGTCGCGATGGCTCATGTCCGTGAGGATAGCAGGCCCAGTGCGCGTCGCCCGGGGGCCAGGTCGCCGTAGACGTTCTTCCGCCTCGCCCAAGCTCTCTCCCCGTGCCATGAGCGCGAGACCCGGGACTCTCAGCAGAGGTATGTCGCCTTCCCAGTCGTCCGCTTGCATCTGCTGATAGTACGCTTGGACGTCGTCGTAGAGGGACATCTCCGACGGTTTCGATACCGACCTCCACACGTCCTTGATGATCACACGTTTCTCTCCCTTGCTCAGCGCCTTCCACACGACGACTCCCCGGCCGAAGACATGGTCGACGCTGGCGGAGACGATCTTGTACCCGAGGTATTCTATCCGGCGGCCTTCACCATTCCTGAAAGAGAACCACCTGCATACGTCCTGGCGCTCGATGAACTTCCCGTCTCGTTCCTCGTCCTTTTCGTACTGACGCACACCTCCATGTGCCCAGCTATACTCCCCGTCCGTGAGCTCCCGAATGGTGGGATCACTGCCGACGACTATGCAGCCATACTCGAACGGGTTGAGGAACCGCCACAGGAACTCGTGCAGAATCTCGGGGTGCTCTGCATACTCAAAGGCCGGAGACGCCATGATCCCCGCACGGTCGAACCTGTAGATACGCGCCAGGCGGCCGTACACCCCGATCGCAAAGACGAAGAGCCGCCCCTGCGCGACCATCATACAGTTGGCGCTCTCCTCGATGTGCTGAAGGGTAGCGGCGTGGCTACTGCGGGACTTTGCGATGGGGTCGTCCGTCTCCGCGGTGTTGACGTCTACGAAAATGGAGATGTCCCACCAAGTGGCACCGGCGATGACCGGGAGGACGGGATACAGGGGGAGCGTTGCGATGATGCTCGGTGACCCGACACACTGGCAGCCGGGAACACCGAGTTGCAGCGGGATCCTCTGGCCGTGTTTGCTGCCAAAAGCGATGTGCTTTTCGCGAGGGAAAGACTGAACGAGGGTCTTGAGTCCGTTCGTCTGTGCCGCAATCAGTGGCTCGTTGCGCAAACGCAGGATGCTGGTGCTCTACTCACTATCGTGTCTGTCAAGCTGTGCCCATAGTTGTCATCGTTATTGCTGGGCATCTTGAAGACACCTTTCTCCGGGCGAGGACACACGGGCGTCGGCATGTCTGCCTCGTTGATACACTGCTTCAGAAAGCTCCTTGCGTCGTTTCCGACCACAGTCAACTCGCCACCGCAGTGGCTTCGCCCTGGCTCCCTGGAGCTGCTGGTGGCACTCTTCTGTGCCTTGTCGGCAGAACGGGTTGTCGGCATGATGTTGTCGACCAAGGCTGAGTACCTTCAGCTGTCGAAGTGGCGTTGCAGACGATCCAGGCTTGAGAAAGCAATGAGATGGTAGTAGGTAGAATAGAAGCCGATTTCGCGGCGCCGGTCACATAAAGTACCTGCGGCCGCGTGGGTACATGGCCCGCGAGCCACATACAGCGAGCGTGATCACATACAATCGATCGATGCTTGATTGGTCTTACAATGAGTGGCTATCTGTGGTACGCGGAACGATTGTTCCCAGTCTGCAGATTCTGGGGTGCATTGTCTCCCAACCAACACCGACGGTGGCCTGCGTGTGAGTTTGTGAGTATGCGGATCGGTGGACAAGGAAGGGTACAAAGAGATGTGACAGAATATGATACGCACATTCACAACGAGCGGGTCCAGGAGCCTCACCCAAGTCCATGTAACGTTATAACGTGTACAAGGGATTGCTTCGCTTCGCTCCGCCTGGCTGGTAGGGCTTGCTTGAAGCTTGCTCAGAGGTTGCTTGAACGAGTATGACAAAACCGTAGGTGACGGAGGTTACGATAGGCAATGTTTGCGCACACGTAGGGGCGACAAACAGCTGCTCGGGCCCCTAATGTGGAGCTCGAGGAGGACTGGGTTCATAGCAAGCAGCTAAAGCAAATCATGAGGCTGACCATGATGAACCTATCCTTGAAAGGGAAGGTCATCAGATGAGTCAAATGCCGATCATAAAGGGAAACGCGAAGACGGCGGATGTGCATGTGGGAGATGCCAAACAGATGTCAACGAATTCACCGGATATGCGTATAAAAGGAGTAATGCCATCCTGGTGTACCACAACGCCGTACACATGCGTCGAGTTTCGAACATTGTTTGTATTTCAAATATCGTTTGTTTTCAGACCCGTGGCGGCTATCGCGAAGCGTCCCAGGCGAAGAGAGCAGGGGCATAGACAAGACCTGCCAAAAGTAGACAGACAAATGATGGTTTTTTTGCTATGTATCGTGGCACGTGCGGAGCCACACCGAGCCACACCGAGCCACACACGGAGATTGGGGCTCCGTCTTAATTCTTCGACGCGCTTGTGGCGTGGGCGGCCGCGTGGCCCGAGGTGCGTCGGCCAAGGGCCAAGGCTCTTCAAGTTTTGCATATAACCCAAATACAACCCGTCCTCTGTATTTGGGTACAGGCTCACTTCCCTAGACTCGGAGTTCCGCCAGTGACCTCCAGCCAACTGACAACATGGCTCCTCGTCGACCAAAAGTGAAGCAGCAGCAGAAGTCGTGGAGGGGGAGAATTGCACCCCACATTACGCATATCACAAATCCCGTCAGCGACTTTCTTGAATACTTCGTTCCCGGCGAGAGCCTCGGGTCTTCAATCTCGGTTCCTCGACGCACGCCATTCGATACACCGTCACGGCTCAGGAGCGAGAAAAAGCTTAACGAATCTCTGGTATATTTATTTGCGGAATTATTTACACCTTCACTGACTGTCTCCCTCAGACTAGAGGCTTCAATGTGTTGGTCGCAGACTTCCCGCGAGCGAAGATGCCCGTGTTCGTCAACAACGACTGTGCACCTATCAAGTTCCCCTACACGATACGCGGACGTAGACATCATACCGCTCAGCCTGATGTGCTCGCGTTGTCCCCGGGTCAGACGTCAATCAGGACGCACGCCGACCCCTGGAGGAACGTTGCCTTTGTCATCGAGACCAAGCTGAAGGAGGATGAAGATCCAATGTCAGCATACTCGGCTGCGCATGAAGAAACTCTGAACCAATTATCAAAGAGTGCGCGCAGCCTTCTGGTCTCGCAGAGCCGCTTGTTCGTCTTTGCGATCGGTGTCTACGGCACACTTTCCTGGATCTTCCGTTTCGACCATAGCGGCGCTGTTTGCTCGCGTGCATTCAGGTACACAAACATTCAAGGCCGCCGCTTGCTCCTCGATTTCTTCCACATCAGTAGAAGTCCAATTTTGCTAACCGTTGCTAACCGTTGCTGACACGCTGACGGATGCTAACGCCAAAACGTTACAAACTGTCAGCGTGTCACTCGATGCTCACATCCGTCAGTCGTTAGCAAAAGGCGCATTTTGCTAACGGCTTGTGACGGCTGCTGACACGCTTACTGTAGTCTCATAGAATTTTCATGTACCGGGGCTTGCATGATGTACACGAACCATAGTATATTTTACATGATATCTAGCTGTCTACTGAGTGCTGTCCTAAGCTTCCGTCTCAGGCTCGCATTGGTGAACATCACCGCCGGTGTTGGCGGTGCCAAACCGCAGGTTTACCTACCGCAGGATTACATGTGGGGGTTGGGGCATGTACACCTGCCCCCGCCGTTCTCTCGCCCTCCTCCCCATTTGTCCGCTCGCGCTTGCCCATTCCGACCCACCCCGCTGACTCCCCCTTGCGCCCGCCTGTTCTTGCAGCGTCCCGGCCCTGCCCACCGTTGATGACCCGTCCATGCCCAGTCCTCCGCGCGCCCTCGCCCGTTCTTCCGTCACACACGCGCGGTCTGTTTGTCGGTCGCGTTTGCGTGCTGGGCATTTGCCCGGCGCGCTTGTCGTCGTCATGCATGTCGTCGTCGCCTGTGTGTGCATCAGGAAACCCACCCCGCGCGAATGTGGCGCAAATCCGCGGTAAAGCGCCGCCGCGCCACTTCGGGCGCCACTCCCTCGTAAATCGGTGTAAACCGTTGTAAAGCAGTGCCATTCATATGTAAATCCTCTGTTCGCGGTCCCGTAAATCTATCTTTTATTCAGCTATCGTATAGTATATCTCCATCGTCCCACCCACGCTCCCCATCAATGTCCTCCCTGTCATCCTCCATCACAGGCGGCCATGGCAGCCCAAACATCGCATACATCGACTGTGTCGTCGGAAGCCCTTGCGAGTCAAGTGGCCACTGCGTAGGCCCCGTGTGATCGGACAATGCGGAGGCATCATCAGACGACGCGGTGCCGGGTCGCGCAGCAGGCAGCGACTGTGCAGCTTCAATACCTGGCTCTCTTGCGGCCAGTGGAGTGTGTGTTTGTTCAACTCGGCGACCCGGGGATGTGCTGGTTGGTCCCGGAGCTGGCTCAGAATCGGGTTCAGTTGTCGCATTTGAGAAGCTTGGCATCGCGCGAGGTGAAGGTAGGGGTGCGAGTGGATCAGGGTGAGCTGTGATGGGGAGCGCGTCAATAAACTGCGTCTCGAATGGGTACTCCGGAGGTTGGGAATCGGGAACGGTTGCGGCGTCTGAGTATGCCCAACTGTACTGAACGTGGCTCTGGAGGCTGGGTATGGCAGATGTCACGGTGGGTCCACTCGTATTCAGAGATGTATTGTGTCGACAGAGGTTCAGTGTCTACAAGTTGGGGTCGGGCACGTCGTTCAGAAGTCAGTCGGACTCGGAGTCTGCAGATGTCACCACATTGACAACGTACCAAATTAATTGGGCCAGGCCCTCCCGGGATAATCAGGAGGGTAATGGCGTGCGTGTCTTCGGTGTAGACATGGCGAATGTCAACTGCTGTCGCTAGGGTGGGCTGGGTCATGAAGAGGTCGTTGCGGTAAGATTGCAAAACTGCACGCACTGCAAGGCTACTGATTACACCAGTTTTCCCACGGTTCATTGGCATGTTGGCTCGCCCGGAAAACCCAAAGCCTCGCAGAACAGAGCAATATGAGCTCGTGACACTTTGGAGCATCACATTGCTCTAGAAAGAGAACAGGATGTCGTTGGGGAATATGGTGCAGCAGCTGCACGAGATCTCCCCATACCCGTGCCTCTACGACTGGCCGGCATAACCCTAGCCATTACTGTACTGATGAGGAGCTCAACGCTCTGCACGCCTTCAGCGCACACTGCCGGAGAACAAGTTCCCCCATCTGACGAGCCTGCACCTCGACGGGTCCTCCAGCCCCGACGTCTGCCACACAGTGTCATGGGCATGCTCGTCCGCATGCCACACCTTACCAACCACGTCCTCAGCCGCCTCCGCATGTCCGCCGCGCGCCGCCCGCCACACTCCCCCGCCTTCGCCGCCTGGTCTTCGCGGACATCCCCAGCACCTCGCACGCTCCCTCGCGCATGTGGACCTCCCCCAGGGTGCCTCCGTCCGCCTGCATGGCACCGATCCGGGCCCCGCGTTATTCGCTGCGCTCGCGCGCACGCCCGCGATGGGCGATGCCGCGAGGCTATGCGTGTCGGCTGAGGGCGGAGGTCATCGTGGCGGGCCTGCCGCTGCCGTGTGCCTCGTACAGATGAAGGATCGCGGCGCCGCGCCCACCGAACACACTGTCCTCCTGAACATCTTCTCTGCGACGCGCATCCGGAACTGCAGCTCCTCGGCAACCCGAGGCGTGGTCTGGGCCTTCCCGTGCTCCCCGTGTCCGTCGACACCGTTGTCGTGTAGGATGTCGTGCTGGCGGTCGCCCTGAGCATGCTTCCAGCCGAGTCGAACATCTCCATGCGCATCCTGACGGCACGCTTCATGCCTGCGAGTGCCATGCTCGCGAAGCTCGCGCAGCATCCGTGTGCGAAGCGCGCGAATGTCGTGGTCGGGTATCTACCCTCGTCCAGAGAGGAGCGGGCGCGTCCACCTGGGTGCGAGGGCGCATTTGCCTCGTTGATGTTTGAGGAGCACGCGGAGCAGCCGAGGGTAGCCCTCCCAGAGGCGTGCTTGGAGCGCGCCCGCTGCCTGCGCCCCGCATTGGTCGAGTGAGCGAGTTAGGTGAGGGGGAGCGAGGGAGATCCCGAGGTGAGAGCGCAAAGAAGAGTGAGAGCGCGGCAGCGAGGGCGGTAGCTCAGGAGCAAGGGTGCGGGTGATGGCTTTGCCATGGCAAGCGATCGGGAAGTGTGCCTTCTTCATTGAGAGCAGGGGCCGGCGCAACCCCGTGAGCCGAGCGCGCGGAACACCCAACAGGCTTTGAGCCATCGGAAGGCGGAGACCAGTGCGAGAGCTGACAGCGGGATCACTGGCCGGCTGGGCCAAACGAGGGTCCTCAGCTGCGCTTCGGCATGGCGGAAGATCCGCACCGAGAGGGAGGGAGCACTGCGCATGGTGAACCGCATGCGCAGAGAGGGTTGCCAGCCTGAGCGGTGGGTGGCAACCGCACGAGGGCGATGATGCAATGCAGGTGGTGCGAGGGAGGCAGGATGCGAGCTTAGAAGGTTCGTGATATCAGTTTTCGCAGCCGTTTGCGATGGTAAGGACTTATGGAAGAGATCGTGAGCGAACTTGTTCCGGGGCAGATCGCGAGGAGTGGTGGCCACCTCTGTGCACGCCGCGCGCCCAACGTTAATGCACTGAAGGGGAACAAGCGAGCTGCGAGGCAGCCACTGGCCCCGCGAGACGCCATGTATCTCGCCTCGCAAAGCTCTTGCATGCTAGTCGTACTGTATGATGCCATGGGCAGTCAGTGTAGGCCTATTGTACACGGAGCAAAGACAATGAACAGCCGGCCATTTGGGCCTCTGCCCAGGAAGGGACTCGAAGGCGACCAGCTCCAGACAAAGGATATGGATCTGCGTAGTCCGCGGATGCTTCACGAGAGCCGAACCCTACGCGCACATCAACGCAGGACTGCGGACAAGGCAGTGATCACTACGTCCGAAGGCATGGGCCTGGGGTGCACACTGGCACTTGGAACAGGCACACATAGCGACGAGCACTCACTATTAACCCCGAGTTTCCCTCCCACTGGCATTGCCTTATGTTGAATCGTCAAGCGTGGCGATTGCGGCGATGGCGGTAAGGTTGGTAGTGATTGAATGTGGAGGAGACGGCAGAGAGAGCTTCTTGGCCCGCGGCCGACGCTAGTCTGGCGATCTGCAGGAGACGACCGGCCGGGATGGGTCACGATACAAGAGGGGGAAAAGGTGAGGGGACCGCAAAAGCCAGGAGACAGAGGCCAGAGCGATGAAACCTTGAAGTGACATTGACGTCGGTGGACGATGGTAGCAAGCAGGTAGCAAGTCGTAAGCCTCGTCAGCGCCAGCCACTGTGCTGTGTGCGCGCTGACCTCGGCAAGCGCCGATCGCAGTGGCAGAGTCGCTCAGGAATAGTACTCAACTTGCATGAGCAACTGCGATTCCCGAAGGTATTTTTTTGCATGATTCACGTCTGACAGGCATATACTGCCCGCGGTTCAAAGCTCGAGGCTTAATACCTCACGCTGAAGGGGGGAGGTACGTTAAGGCGGGCGCTTACGCTGTGGCCGGCGCCGATGCCTACTAGTGCTCGCCTGACTCAATGGCGCGGTTCGCCCGTCGCGCAGGGATAATAGATTCTATATAACAGACTGCGGTGTCATGGTATTTGGGCTACACAACGGTAATATACGTATGTCTATCCGTGAAGGAATTAACTAGAAATGAGTCGCAGAGGTCGAGGACATTATCGCTGGTCCACTCAGGTGGTTTCGTGGGGCCGAATTTAGGGAGGAGATGTGCACTGCGGTGCAGACTGTCCAACGGGACGATGGCGGCGAGGCGCTGCCCGTCTGCTGTACACGATCGCTTCACCGAGTAGAACTGGTGATTTGCCTCTGGGCGCGACTTGAACTTGCTGAACCACTCCAGATACACAAAGTGCGAGGGGGCATTCGCGTCGTTCTTGAACACGATCTCGCGGGCCTTCTTGGAGAGCGAAAAGATAACGCGGACTTGGGCAACACGGTACCCTGCGCTCAAGTGTTTCAGTAGGGGTGTGCTTCGACGGAACAGACGGCGAGCGTACCAGATACACCTATAGATTCACCATCGCCATGCTCGTTGACCAGCGCAGTGTCAAATCGCCCCGCAGCCAGCCGCCCTTGCGTATCCCGATACGCCGGGCGAGCGTGAATGACATCCAAGGTCTCCGGGGCTTCCCTGCGCTTTTGCGCATCTTGGTTCCAAAACTTCACCTTGTGCCACACGGAGACGGAGCGAAATGGTAGATTATATACAGAGACGATGTTTGCGAGCTGGCGGCCTGATATTTCGGGATGCTTGAAACGCACAATGTATTCTTTGAGCACCTGTTGGAAGTTGGCGGCGCCATAGCGAGACTCGACGACGGGGAAAGACAGGGACTTGTGCATTGGATAGCGGGTGACGTGCTGGCGGAACTTGTGTGGAATGGCGGCGGGCGCAATCGGGGCGTCAGGTCGTCCAGCGAGCCTCCAGTCAATATAGAGTGCATGGGCGTGGATCTGCTCGAGTCGTACGACCGACGTTGTCATCTGGGGGTACTCATCTTTCCTGTTGGATTTGCGCCAAGGATCCTTCGCAAGCGTTATATGGAGGTGCTCCGACTGAGCGGTATTGGTGCCATCCGCCGTGCCGAACATCTTGATGCCTGAGACGTAGTGTTGAAGCGAGTGCAGTTTGGGAAAATTGAAATGGTCGCGGATACCGAGATCGACGAAGACAGCTTTGTTCGCGTGAAAGCGCGCCAAGGAGTCTTCGAGCTGTGAGAGCGTCAACGCTGTATGTGCTGGGAGCTGGGCCAGATACACGAAGTCCAGTAGGGCGCGGACGGCTCGCACCAGTCGCACGGAACTCTGACCACCTGGCAAACGGAGGTCGACAATTGTGCCAAGTAGAACCCGGCATATGTCTTGGTGTTCTGTCCCAGAAACACGGGAGAGGTGGGAGATACCCTTTGAGAAGTGGCGGAGGCTATGGTTCGGGGGCAGGCATTGGAAGCGAGCATCGATCACGCGCGCACCGTAAGCTTGCTTTGTCCAAGCAATGACGTGCTTCACCATCCCTTGGTAGAGCTGATGCAGGATGTCGGGGGGGAATGAGGCGTAGATGTTCACATAAGGCAAGTCCTTCCAGAATGGGTCGGTAAGCGGCTTGATGCCCGCGTCCTGGCATGCCTGGACGTGAGCGACGGGATCACCAGTACGTTCGAGGGTACTGAGAGCATCCAGTATGTCGTTGAGGTTGCGCTGCGTGCACGGCACTGGTTCCCCCAGAGAAAGTGGGTCGACAACGCCTGCCGGACATTCGCCGTTCTTGACACCAGCGACGCACACAATCTCGGGGTAGTCCCCGACGTACGCCGCGAGCACTGGATGACAGCGCCGGACTCTACCATCACCTGCCGGCATGTTGACACCACGACGGCCGGGCTTGCGAGCCGGGGCCAGTGCCGCCCTCAGACAGGCATGGAATAGGTTGGAGATAGCGCGGCGGCGAGTTTCATCTTGCTTGATATGGGATAGTCGAGTCACAGGGAGGTAACCAATCAATAGTTGACCTTGTCGAGTGGGTCTGCGACGTATAGTCTTGGGGATGTTGCCGATGGTGAGGTATAGAGGGTAACATGACCGATTGCGAAACATCGTCAGTTGCGTCTTGTCAGATGAGATTATCAATGGGACAACAGTTGCACCCAGCCGCTTCGCCTCGAGTTTATGCTGTCATAAACCCATGTTAACACGCGGAGGATACCATATGTGCATGACGACTCTACCTGCAAACGCCACCACCACTCGCCAGTGTTCATATCACTGTAGATTCGCGTCGTCCTGGAATCGTCCAAATAGTGCTGCTCGGGCGCCACGAGCAGATCTGCGGCCCAATCCGGCGAGCCAAAAAGCACGCGGATGCACTGCATGATATCGCGTAGCCAGAGGTCGTACCTCTCGCCGTCAACCTCGAGGACTTGTCGCACGAAGGCAGGTCGGCCGGGGAGGGACCCATCGATGATCTTATTCAACTCCTTGGTATTCTTGAACGAGAGCCCCAGGGCATTGAGCACCTAGGTACACACGCAAGCACGTAGTCAGCATTATTAACAATGTACAGTGTATATCACTGGGGGACGAACACCATCTATGCCAAGCAGTTCGTTGAAGGCACTAGCACTGGGCCCGCGCTTCTTCGCCCATTGAGCAATTCGCCACTCCATCGCCGATGCAAACGGGGCGTACACGTTCGCTTCAGAGATGATATCGGGAATCGCAGCCTCATAAGTTGAGAATGGGCTCTCTGCGCGGCGATCTACTGCATCTTGTTGACCGACGGGTGCTCCTGCTTGGCCGCCGAAGGGCACAACATGCGGGTCAACAAATAGAAAGCGTCCATCGTTCATGTTGTGAAGTCCGGGGAGTTCTTCTGGCTCCACGTCCATGTCATTCCCATCCGGTGGCTCGGCGCCTGGTGACGGCGACCGCTCGTTGATGTCATCCAAGTCAGAGGCTGCATTCGGGTTCGGGTGAGGAGGAATTTCAACGTCATAGTCCCGGTCGTCCTCGCCACATGATGACGAAGAGGTAGACGAGGGGACCTCGGACTCGTCAGGCTCGAGTTCTGCAGGATCGAAGTACTCCTCCATCAAGTCATCGCCATCGAGATCAACATCGCCCAGAAAACCCTCTGCAACGGGGCCCGGTGGGTCTTCTTCGGCAGGCTCTGCCTCAGGGGATCGGCGCGTGGGGTTCGATGCGTGCGAGGAGGGACCAGCCGAGCGAGAAGAGCCCGCTGCAAGATGCGCGCGCGTCTGCTCGCGTGCCAGATCGGTCGCGCTAGCAATACTAGACCGACAGCGAGAATTGGCTGATCGAGCGAGATGGCGCGCTAACGCAGTCGAATTGTCGAAATTGGATGCCCCACAGCCGAAGCACTGGTAGCGCCCTCCTGGAAGCCCTTGACTGCTCTGTGGATTTCCCCCTATGATTCGCAATTAACGATGAACAGCACGAGCGAGACAATTGCCAAGTCAACGTACCGGGGAGGGAGCCAATCATAGCAAAGTGCGTGAGTGGCCCGGCGCCAATTTCGTGCATGCTTTGGTGATTCGGCAGAGGGAGGGCGTGTTGATTCATGCGCGAAATCCCCACTGAGCGTGCGAGTGACAAGGGGAAGCCTTTAACCACCAGTAATGCCCTTATGTCAGCAATTGTAGTCGATTCCGACACAACTATATACAGTATTCATGAGACTACATGACGAGCAACACGGTACATGAACACGTACCTATGGGGACACTCCTGCCGCCGAAAGGCTGTATAAAAACAGTGTATAACGAGCTTCCGACCAGTAGACGTCGGCGCCGATCCAACCGAATGTGCGAGAAGTGATGTCGACTGTAACGCTTCCTGCCCAGAGCCACCATCACCACTCTGGTCAAGGGTAATAACGTTGGGAATAGGGCGCACCCTGTATGATGCCAAGTCATTGAAGTGCAGAAGACGAGCTGCTGAACACTTACCTAGAGCCAGAGACCATATTAAGGCATACCCATAGACCATCACGCAATTGAAAGCGATCCTTGGCGCAGACTGGCCAGCGAATACATCGTTCAACAGCGAGACGGCCGTCTGCTCCTGGAAACACGCTGACCACGAGAGAGGGGCAAGTCCCGCAAAACGGGCCGATCGGCCCAGGTAGATCCCGAGAACGAACATATGAAGTAATGCTGGCAGAACGAAGATATGCAGCCCAACGAGGAGCATATGGAACGTTTGTGTCACAACAGCGAGGTTTGGCTCTGGGGGACGAAGTGCTCCCAATATCCTATTGCGCCAGCCAACTTGCAGCTTGGCATAGCGCTGTCGCGGCGGCCGGCTAACTTTGCAGCGAGACATCGGAAAACACAAGCTGAATGGACAAAGAAGAAATGCATGAGCAGTGTGGATGATAGCAAAATCGGATTGAATCGCACTGATTGAAGCGTGATAGAGTCACGCTGTTAGAGCGTACGTGGCACAGACGGGTAGTATGCGCGCCAAGACTGCTTGTCGGATCCGAGTCTTCAGTAATTCCACGGCGTTGCAAACGTTTGACCACAGCAAACCGAGAGCTAGTACATTGAGTGGATGACCGGCAGCCTTGGGCTGGTGTGACTGCGGGCGACCAGTGGATTCCGGGATGGTAGTGGCTGACTCGGCCGCAACGATCGGCCCCTCGATATCTAAGCAGCCGCCCTGCCAGTGCCCCTGGAGATTATTCCTCAGTCTCTCAGCCGTGTTCCCTTGATCCCCCACCGCCACGTCTCACCTCTGTGACGCTTCGACAGCCGCAGAACTCCCCCCCCCCGCAATGGCGAATCGACCGCGCCGCAAAAAGGGAGTTACTCCCAAGCGCCTGCCGGCCGATCCAAGTCAGGACAGCGAGTCTACACAGAGCAACGTTAGAGGCAAAGGTGCGAAAATTCCTTTCCTTACCTTGGCTCCTGTATGGCCCGTGTTCACCGCATACTAGATACAGCTCCTGTTATGGCAATGGCGATGGATGCTCCACCTACCGGGAGTCAAGGTGACACGTACTCTGAGGAGGTTGACAACGGTTTGGGCGACTTACAAAAAGAGATGAAATCTTTGCGACGTGCCGAGCACGATGCAATTGAGCGCGCTCGAGAGAAAGAGATTGCAAACCCAACGAGTAAGCGTCGTAGGCTCAGATTATGTACACCGAGGAACCCACTGACTCGTTCTGTAGTCACCAAGCCGCGCGCTGCCAAGACGCAGGCTTATGAAGCTCGAGGTATTGTCGAATGAAATGTCCGTCACAAGCCATGTTGATCGCCGTGTAGTGTGGAAGCCGAAGAAACCGGATAGCCAGAAACGCGACCGCGAAGAGTCACCGGAGCATGTCCCTGCACCAAAACCAGTCAAGCGGACACGCACAGTAGGGCGAAAAGGTATGTACGCACTGTCTCCCACATTGTCAATAACTCTCATCAGTTCGATACCGTCCCCGGCTGTTCGGACATCTCCAATGTTGATCGCCTAGGCAAACAGCCAGCTGCCATCGTGTCCGACGACGAGGAGGCACAGGAACTTCAGACAACTGAACAGGTGCCACGTCATCAACACGCCCAAGATGTCGACAACAGTGGTCGTACGTACCTTTACTTGCATCTTCGTGGCCAACGTCCTCATCAGCACAACAATCAAGCTGACATCGATGAAGATGAGGATGTGAACGAGTCGGATTCTGAAGTAGAGATGAATCTAGTAGCCACAAAGCTAGATCAGCATCAACACCGTGTGAGTCTAGCAGCCACTGGACGCGGCGGTGATATCTCCGACCGCAGTGACAACGACGAGTCCAACGCCGAAGACTTTGAATCCGGCGCCGAGCCCGAGGATGAAGAGGACTTCGGGGTGCCAAGTGGCCCAGCGCCTTCAACGAAGCGCAAGGTCGCTAAAGTCGCTCAACAACTGAAGCAAGGTGTGAGTACCCACCGTTGTATGCCCGAGTCCTTCCCACGCCCATCCCCACATTCTCCAGGTCGCTAAGCTGGTCTCGAAGGGCAAGTCCCGTAACAGCAATGAAGACGACTACCATAGCGGTGACTCGGATACTGGGTCCGACGCGGATTACACCGCGGACTTCCTAGAGCCCGGATACAATGCCTCCAATGCCGACTCGCATGGCCGTCACGGTGGCCATAATTCCAAACAGGCTGCCATTCAAGACGACGAGTTCGATGAAGAAGAGTGGAAGGTGCGTCGTAGTGTACAGTGTACATAACAGTGTGAGGCTCTTCAGCCTGAGGCTCATGCATCGGCGCACCTGCAGGAGGTCGTCGTGCGCCGTGCGAGGCGGAACAAGGCAGATGCTCTGTGTCACTACGTTCGACCCATGGACAACTACCTCGCCCCACCAGAGGCTCAGCATGACGGGGACAAGTCCAATTCGGGGACGACGGGTCGTGTTGGCAAATTGAAGGTACCGTGTACCATCTTACCCTGTTGCGATGTTGTGAGCCCGATTATAGCCTCCGTGTTTGCTTAGATCCCTTCAAGCTCTCAGCGTCCCTCCGGAGACTCCTTGAACACCAGTAATGTCATTGCCCAAAGCAACGTTCATTCCCATGAACCCGAGGCGGCCGAGGTATGATTGCTGTGCTGACCTATTCAAGTTCCCCACTGACCATTCACCTGCTCGTGTCAACCCTTGGCACTGATGACAGCGCGTGAACCGTGTAAGTTGCACTACCACGCGATCCTGCTCTGGTCATAGACTGAATCGTTTGGTAGGTTCCTCATGCGAAGAGAGTGGACTCATCGGTTTCGAAGGTTCGTGGCATGGCATGCTTGAACAACCACTGTACTCACCGGGACTCGGATTGGGGCATTGGTACAGCGCAGTAAGGCAGCCAGCAGTGGTGATGATCCTGCTGCCAAGCCGTTGTCTGAACCTCATCGCGGTCGGAACATCGCGCGCGCTAAACGCCCACATGGCACCGACGCACCTCGGAAGGTACGACTGTTGCTCTAAGTGACAATGTGGCGCACCTGAGCTAACGTGCATGTTGCCGCAGATGACGAGACCAGTCTCTCCCCGCGTACGTTCATTTCTTGCTGGCTTGTGGACATGCTTTGATGCTGTGACGACTGTTAGGAGACCACTCCCACAGCGGCACGCCACCCCCGTCACGGTGACAAAGCGAACACTCAGGCTGTGCAGGTAAGCGACTACTAGTATCCTCACCAACATGTCCATGTCGACGCTCATGTGTGGGCAGAACAAGGTGTCCGCCACTTCAGATGATCCTCTCTCGAATGACAGCGAGCCCATGGCAGATGCTCGGGAAGTGCTGCCGAGTGCGAACACATGGCCTGAGGACACAGACGTCACGTATGATGATCGAAATAGGGTAGTTGGACTCACCTTGCAGCAGTCGCTCAAAGTGCGGACACTATTGAAGTCAACTATCGCCCACGAGCTCCCGCGAGCGCTTGGCCTAGTCAATGCATTCCCTACTGTGGTGGAGCGCCCGCAGATGTATCTCGACATTTTCCTTGCGGGAACGTGCCGGCTTGGGCCGGACTACAACACCATCGGCCAGCGACTCTTGCAAGACTCAGCATATGTACAGGGTCTAACCGCTTTGGTAAGTACTCAGATTGCAATATCCATCTCGCATTACGTGACGTCTGTTTGTGCGCCGTCACGCTCCCAGCCTGCAAAGAGAATGTGCTCCATTCGCGGCCCCTGGTATCTTGCCTGTCGTGACGCCGTGTGGGAGGGATATGGACTCAAGGCAATTGAGCATGACCCGCATGCACTCCAGATGGGCGTCGAAGCTCTTCTCGTCAACAATCAATTCATTTGCCCCGGTAAACTTGTGGTGCGGCGATGTTTCGTGAACTCCATGCCGTCTAGATGCTGACATCAGTGATTGCACAGAACGACACATATACAGAATTCAAGCGCGACTTGCCGTTCTGCGCGGAGCCGATCATCAATCTCGCAAGCATACTTTTCCTGGGCCCCAAGGCTGTCCGCCCTCTCGAAGATTCGGCTTTTACGTCGAGCATCAATACCGGGGCCGAGGCCGAGAAGCGCGAGATCCCCCAGGTGATGGCTGCGCTCCTGGCGACAATTGTAAGTACTCTGTCCAAATCACACTTCCACACTGTCACGGTGCCGCCATCTGATCGCGTCATCATTTGGTAGGCTGGTGCGGCAATCACAGAGGGTCTGCATGGCGTCCGCGAACCTCTCAAGGACAACGAGGGCTTCAATGCTACCCAACAGGAGAAGCTTTACCAGGACCACCTCACGACGCTGTCGACGCTCAATCCAATTGGGCGGCACAAGATTCTCGGGTACATCTTCAAAGAAGCGAAGTTCGTCGGTCTGCCAGAGCACTAAAAAACCCTACAACTGATCTAATCTCACTAGGACTTACCATATGAGGAAGAATGCAACAGTGCGCACCCGTACGAACACGGCCAGTGTGTTTGTGAATCCCTCAACGGCAGGGATGGACATTGACCTGTAGGGTCGTACAAAGCTGCCTCGCAGATTCATGCAAACTTGTTCGTATCTAATCTTTTCGGGTCTTCTACACGCCTCTCACAATTGTGCATTGCTGATGTATTGTCGAGCTCTATACCATTGTCTGTTAGTTCGTCGTACTATGTAATGCTACGTATACCTGATGCGATGTAGTGTGGTAACAGTAGGGGTATAGTCATGTAAATGGTCGCCAAAAAGGAGTAAATCTATTTTACTGTTTATTTGCATCAAATTCGCGGAAATTGGTGGAACACTTACAAGGGGGTTAAGCAAATGGGGTGTCCAGGAAGTTTACGCAAATTTGCATAACTTTCCGTCAATTTGCGTGGGATGGGTTTCCTGATGTGCCCACCCGCCTGCGTATGTGTTCGTCGGCCATGTTTGTGTGGTAGGCATTCGCCCTCCACGCTCGCAGCCGGCGTGTGTTGCGCGTGCCCCAGCCCTGCCCAACATCGCTGTCGCCAGTCTTTTGCTCAGGCGCGTGGGGTCCGTTCGTCGGCCGTGCTTGCGTGCTGGGCATTCGCCCAGTGCACTCGCAGTCAGCGTGTGTGCCGTCGCGTCTCGCTTGCCCGTGTCTTGCGTGGGGGGTCCGCTTGTCGGTTGCTCTCCGACCATGCTGGGTCTTTTCCCGGTGTACCCGTGGTCGCCGGTGCTCGTGTTGTATCTGTCGGCTACATTTGCACGTGCGGCATTTGCCCTGCGTGCTCGTCGTCGCAGTGTGCTCGCGTGTTATCGCGCTCGAGACTAGAGTGCAGAGCTTGTACTCACCTGTTCTTGCCCTTGAGCTGTCCCCATCGCCCTGTGGCGCTGGGTCTCGTGGCGCCGACGCTGCGTGTGCGCAGGGTGTGGTTAACTCGTGCCCGTGGTGCTCGTGCACATCTGAGCCTGAGCGCCGTCGTGGGGATGTAGTGGGAAGGGGCGGGCAGGGCGGCAAATGATGGCAACGACAGGCAGACATATTCAGCGTGGACCCATTCAAAGGAGGCGTATGAATACTGACCGCATACTGCGAGCGACACATGGACTCCAAGTCCCAGTGACTTGATTGTATTGATAAGTGTCAATATCGATCCAAACGAGCGAGCAGTTGAATATGGAGTATGGAAGCGCGAGCCGGTGGACAGAGCAGCGGAGCGAGAGATCTGTGCAAGTAGGGAGGTCGAGGACAAAAACATCAAAGATGAACGTACCAGCGACCTCGAGTCGCCAGTTTGCTGGCCGTGTCACGTGTGAGCGCTCCCGCGGTTTAGGGCAAGCAGCAGTCACACTTGACACGACGGCGTGTGTCGCGCCCGCAGTCAAACACTGAGCACTGAGTCACTGACAGTCGAGCAGCTCCCTCGAAGCGCAACACATCCGCATGTTCAAGTCGAAGATACAGCCCACCCTCGCTGTCTACATGCGCATGACCATCTCTGAGTCGCCGCCATCGAACCCTCGGAATCTCGCGAGGGCGTGTGACTGCTCCGCACACCTCGCAGCCGCTCGGCCCACATTGACACGACGAGCGAAGATGATCTCGCCCGTGCTTGCGCTCGACATGAAGACGGATGCGACGCGCCATACGGGGCAAATGCAAGGACCCGCCCGCTTGCGCAGTCTCGCCGCGCGAGTGTTGGCAAGCCCGGGTGCGTAACTACGCACCACGAGCTCGAGGCTGCCGCACAAGCTGTGCGCGTAAGTCTACTGGAGCACCCGAAGGAGTCCCAGTCCATTGCGCGCGCAACCAGCCGCGAAAGCTCGAGCAGCCAACGCACCAATGCGGGCCCAACACAGAACACCGGGAGTTTATAGAAGGGCAGGATATGTCCGGTGAGTACCTGCACATAATCCTCCTCAGTGCCGCCTCCTCCACCCACTCCTTGATGCGTTCACAGTGCGCGTCTGTCCTCACTCGACACGCAGACTTCCGAGCGCGGCTGCACAGGCTTCTTGCCTCTACCACTCTCGTGCCCAGATAGTGGCCACACTCACTTCCCCGTCCGAATCATAGCACCATATCCGGCCGCAGCACTCCACCACCCATCACCACTGCACACCGTGTCCGCCTCCACCTCCTTCCAGCCCGCCTTCGCAGCCCAGCAGCCCTCCCCGCGCGCCCTCCATATAGCCACCAGCCACGGCAGGCGCATACGCATCCGAGCCTGAGGAGCAGACCGCTCACCCCCTGCGCTCGCGCGGGCAGCACGGGCTGCTTGCGGATGCGCAGGGGGATCCTTCGCACAACGAGCATGGCTCGGACGACGCGCACGCCGCCGCTGCGCCGTCCGAGTCAATCGCCGACGCGATGACCCACGGGCCTGGCCCACACGGCAGCCTCACGCGGTCGCTCACACACAAGGAGCGCGAGCTGTTCAGCCACCTCGACCGCCTCAAGTTCTTCCTCGCCACCGCGCCCCTCGCGCTGGTCTGGCGACGACCCGTCTTCCGCTGCGGCCGCCGCCGCGGGCCCCCCGGTCGGCCACCCAAGCAGCACACATCCGGCGATGAACCGCTTCCTCCTGCCAAACTTGGAGTATGTGAGTTGCGTACTCTGGGGCGGCCTCTACCAGATCGCTGGCATCAACATCGTGCGTGCGCTCGTGTTCCGGTTCAAGGCGTTTGGCTGCATGTTCGTACGCTTGGCACCATCCCGCTCACTCACCCACTGGTCGACTCAACCGCGAACCCACCCGTGGACCCACGTACCCGCGTTACCCGCACGCTCCCCGTACCCGCTGCGGCGGGTCTTTACCCGGGCGGGTGCGTTTATTAGTAGTATATACAGTACTCGTACACGATGTGTAGCATACATTGAAATTGAGATCTATTGCCAGAGCACTGAGCACGGAACCGGTGAATTGGAGCCGCAGCAGTAACGTTTGCTGACGGTTGTGTGAGCTGTGATGGTTAAGTAACGATTATCTAACGACGCGATCGCCATATCTTCCCAACCTTCTAAAATGCGGCGTGACTTGCTAACGTCTAACACGCTGACGCTATGTAAAATTGGAATTTTAGCAACCGTTACGGCCCGTCACAGCCCTTAACCGAAATCAGAGAAGTTCTGATGCATTGATTCACCCATCCGCTACACGAAGAATGCCAGGTCGTCGGTGCTGATCCGACCATGGAACTTGTCGGTCCACACGAGCGAGCAGCTGTAGTCAAGATGCTCCGCGATGCTGGTGTCGACCACAAGGACTCGAAGGAAGCATCGAAGGTCTACCGTTACGTCAGGGTCCGTCACTCCGACGGACGCAACAAGACTTATTTAGCCTACAACCTCGAGTTTATCGATCCTAATCTCCTCTCGCGCGCAACGACGGTATGGGAGGCAATCGAGGTCGGCCCTAATCGCAAGCCCGCGGGACATCCTGTAATCATCAAGGATTCTTGGAGAAAGTCGGACACTCAGCGGGAGCTTGATCAGTATGAGTGCATCTTCAGCTCTACTCACGCTCCAGCAGATCTGCCCCGAATCGCTAGATATGTAGGCGGGGAAGATCTGGGGGCAGGTGAGGTTCAGTCTTTGCAGCTGGGTGAGTCTGGCGGTTGGGCGGTTGGGCACCTGACGGTGACCGCACGCTATTTTTGTGGGGGTAAACGGGCGCATCATGAAAGGAGCCATTCGCGCCTAGTGCTCGGAACAGTTGGTATTCCTATCTCGAGGTTCAAGTCGACGAGAGAGATGGTACAAGCCTTGCGAGATGCTATTGATGGTATGATATTTCCAAAGGATATTGCCCATCAGCAGCTAACGGATTGTCGACTTTCAGGGCACCGCAGAATGTTCGAGGCCGGCATCATTCATCGTGATATCAGTGAGGGCAATATCATGATCTCGAGAGGCCCTGGGTCGTCTTCTACGGGGTTCATTCAGGACCTAGACTGCGGGCTCAACTGGAAAACGTTCCTTGAGAAGCTTGGTCATGGAACAAAACAAGCGGACTGGGATACCTTCGTGGAGGATGAGACAGCGAAGATGCGCCAGGCCCGTCTAGATGCCCGGCGAGCTTTAATCTCCGGCAAGCGGCAAGAAGACAAACTCACTGTCAAGCGGCAACCGGAGGAGAATGCACAGGTGCGTCGCTGTGGCTGCAGCTAAATGTTGATTGACGTAGGATGGAACGCTCATCACAATAACTAGGGAACTGAGACACTGCATCAGTCTCCGAACGATGAACCCTGCGATGTCCCTGGAGGCGTCAGAATCACTAGGCACGCAGCAAGGAGTTGTCCACCAAGCGCGGATGATATAAAAATGCAGTGTAAACATCGGACGGTGCGTAACTTAGCTATATCAGGAACTCCACAGTCTTGAATGTGTTCCCAGGGCACGCTGTACTTCATGGCGGTCCAGGTCATCGATGGGGGCGATGTGCACGAGGTTCGCCACGATCTTGAATTGTTCTTTTGGCTCTTGCTCTGGCTGGTCTTGAGACATACCGAACATTCCGGGGGGCCACATAGATGGCATCAGGAAAAATGTTCGTGTCTTAAGTGGTCTTGTGGAGAGCCAAAAGTGACATTATGTGTCACTATGTGCCACAAGAGCCTTAAGGTAAGTCGATTTCTTAAATTGTCTTACTTAAGTTCCATTAAGTAACCAAAGTAAACACTCATTCCAAGCAAGAATGATGTTTTTTCATCATTACTGGGGTGACTTCTCTCATGATTCTGCTGTGTTTGTGCATATGCTGTCATAACAGGCATCCCAGATGCAAAAATGTTGCCCAAAATAATCTACCACATCCCAGAATTGAACCCCTGACCTGCTAAACTAATTTCACACACTCTCAGCACAAACTTGTGACCACTACACCATAGGTCCCTGTGCTTGTTCCCTTCTACAATAACCTATATTGACTATCTTTCTGGACTTAGAGAAATCTGCAATTGCTGCCCCTGTTAGCCCAGCCCCTGTGCATCCCTGGGCTCTCAGACTGGCCTCATTTCTTCTTGGCACTATCTGTTGCCTTGCAGACCTTGTGTAGACTCATAATTTGCTCAAGGGCAGGCTTCTTGTCTCACTTTGCATGCTTAAGTGTTCTTTTGCTGTCTCTCAACCTTAACAGGTCAAATATGTCCAAATCCCTGACAATATGACTTTGACCACAGCATCTGTTGTAAGTAGGGTAATATACTCATAATCACAGGGAAAAACAAATAATCTTTATTTGTACCCCATTACTGTTGCCAGATATAGTATGTGTTAACTTGTCAGGTGAAATCTTGGTGAAGTCTTCATATTGAGCAATCTGACATCTCATCATGCATATTTTCTAGTTAAGAGGTCATTTTCCAACTAATGTGTACTTATGTGTCTTAATCTGCAGAACTAAAGTTGCATATCTTCCAACTTGGGCACAAGACAAATTTCTCAAAGGTACTATAATTAACTTCAGCAGTCTTCATGCACATGGTGCACTTAATTGAGGAACACAAGTTGTGAAAGATTGAATAAGATCAGGTGTTCTTCATTCAAGACTGCTGAAGTTAGAAGTGTTTTTCCTGATGGGCGAAGTCTCTTCGACCGCGACACGGACTTCATGTGCAAGACTGCAAAGCTCGTGTTTCTGGAGATAGATGACGACATTGCTGTTATGGGAAATAGGCCACTCACCGTGCTGCTATATGACTTCCGTGTGCTGTGCACAAACAATCGTCGAGGACGATGCTCTCCTGAGCCTCCGGTGCCTCTGACTTATGACAGCGTCCTCCGTGTCTTTGACAACGCTCTCAGCATGGAATGGCCGTTGGACGACGAGGCCATCCCCTTCGATGATCCATATGGCGATAAACTCTCTTCTATCTCGGATGCCTCACATGATCAGAGCCTCCGAGTCGCCAGCGACGTGGGCGGGATGCAAACTGTACCGAAGGAAAGGGACAGCCGTAGCTTCTCTCGGGCTACACATAGCCAACTCAAATCTGGACGAACTGCTTCGACGCCCACAGAGTTGCAAGGACCAACACAGCGGGACGGAGGCGATGCGCATGCGACGGGCGCTCGTGGGCCCAAACGACTACGTGCCCAGTGCGATGTGTCGGACATTGACTCACAACCTACAAAGCGTGTGACACGGGCGGCGGCGGGTAAACTTGAAGCAAAGGCAGTCAACGCGAAGCACCTGAGGGCGACAATGCTGCGACGATAGTCACTGAAAGCAATACCTAGTCAGTGCCAGCGGGGGCGTCGCATGTATCAACATCTGACATGCGCGGTTAGGATCATTGGTCTGAAGAACGCCGCCTTCGGACACCAACATGGCGAGCACTGACGCGTTGACAGTCGCCGAGTATAGCAGTAGTTCCGGTTCAACAGGATGTACGTATCTACCGCTGTTTATTGTACGTCGCAGCGGACATCGTCTGCCAACAGATCGTGAGTGCATCAGAACTTCTCTGATTTCGGTTAAGGGCTGTGACGGGCCGTAACGGTTGCTAAAATTCCAATTTTACATAGCGTCAGCGTGTTAGACGTTAGCAAGTCACGCCGCATTTTAGAAGGTTGGGAAGATATGGCGATCGCGTCGTTAGATAATCGTTACTTAACCATCACAGCTCACACAACCGTCAGCAAACGTTACTGCTGCGGCTCCAATTCACCGGTTCCGTGCTCAGTGCTCTGGCAATAGATCTCAATTTCAATGTATGCTACACATCGTGTACGAGTACTGTATATACTACTAATAAACGCACCCGCCCGGGTAAAGACCCGCCGCAGCGGGTACGGGGAGCGTGCGGGTAACGCGGGTACGTGGGTCCACGGGTGGGTTCGCGGTTGAGTCGACCAGTGGGTGAGTGAGCGGGATGGTGCCAAGCGTACGAACATGCAGCCAAACGCCTTGAACCGGAACACGAGCGCACGCACGATGTTGATGCCAGCGATCTGGTAGAGGCCGCCCCAGAGTACGCAACTCACATACTCCAAGTTTGGCAGGAGGAAGCGGTTCATCGCCGGATGTGTGCTGCTTGGGTGGCCGACCGGGGGGCCCGCGGCGGCGGCCGCAGCGGAAGACGGGTCGTCGCCAGACCAGCGCGAGGGGCGCGGTGGCGAGGAAGAACTTGAGGCGGTCGAGGTGGCTGAACAGCTCGCGCTCCTTGTGTGTGAGCGACCGCGTGAGGCTGCCGTGTGGGCCAGGCCCGTGGGTCATCGCGTCGGCGATTGACTCGGACGGCGCAGCGGCGGCGTGCGCGTCGTCCGAGCCATGCTCGTTGTGCGAAGGATCCCCCTGCGCATCCGCAAGCAGCCCGTGCTGCCCGCGCGAGCGCAGGGGGTGAGCGGTCTGCTCCTCAGGCTCGGATGCGTATGCGCCTGCCGTGGCTGGTGGCTATATGGAGGGCGCGCGGGGAGGGCTGCTGGGCTGCGAAGGCGGGCTGGAAGGAGGTGGAGGCGGACACGGTGTGCAGTGGTGATGGGTGGTGGAGTGCTGCGGCCGGATATGGTGCTATGATTCGGACGGGGAAGTGAGTGTGGCCACTATCTGGGCACGAGAGTGGTAGAGGCAAGAAGCCTGTGCAGCCGCGCTCGGAAGTCTGCGTGTCGAGTGAGGACAGACGCGCACTGTGAACGCATCAAGGAGTGGGTGGAGGAGGCGGCACTGAGGAGGATTATGTGCAGGTACTCACCGGACATATCCTGCCCTTCTATAAACTCCCGGTGTTCTGTGTTGGGCCCGCATTGGTGCGTTGGCTGCTCGAGCTTTCGCGGCTGGTTGCGCGCGCAATGGACTGGGACTCCTTCGGGTGCTCCAGTAGACTTACGCGCACAGCTTGTGCGGCAGCCTCGAGCTCGTGGTGCGTAGTTACGCACCCGGGCTTGCCAACACTCGCGCGGCGAGACTGCGCAAGCGGGCGGGTCCTTGCATTTGCCCCGTATGGCGCGTCGCATCCGTCTTCATGTCGAGCGCAAGCACGGGCGAGATCATCTTCGCTCGTCGTGTCAATGTGGGCCGAGCGGCTGCGAGGTGTGCGGAGCAGTCACACGCCCTCGCGAGATTCCGAGGGTTCGATGGCGGCGACTCAGAGATGGTCATGCGCATGTAGACAGCGAGGGTGGGCTGTATCTTCGACTTGAACATGCGGATGTGTTGCGCTTCGAGGGAGCTGCTCGACTGTCAGTGACTCAGTGCTCAGTGTTTGACTGCGGGCGCGACACACGCCGTCGTGTCAAGTGTGACTGCTGCTTGCCCTAAACCGCGGGAGCGCTCACACGTGACACGGCCAGCAAACTGGCGACTCGAGGTCGCTGGTACGTTCATCTTTGATGTTTTTGTCCTCGACCTCCCTACTTGCACAGATCTCTCGCTCCGCTGCTCTGTCCACCGGCTCGCGCTTCCATACTCCATATTCAACTGCTCGCTCGTTTGGATCGATATTGACACTTATCAATACAATCAAGTCACTGGGACTTGGAGTCCATGTGTCGCTCGCAGTATGCGGTCAGTATTCATACGCCTCCTTTGAATGGGTCCACGCTGAATATGTCTGCCTGTCGTTGCCATCATTTGCCGCCCTGCCCGCCCCTTCCCACTACATCCCCACGACGGCGCTCAGGCTCAGATGTGCACGAGCACCACGGGCACGAGTTAACCACACCCCGCGCACACGCAGCGTCGGCGCCACGAGACCCAGCGCCACAGGGCGATGGGGACAGCTCAAGGGCAAGAACAGGTGAGTACAAGCTCTGCACTCTAGTCTCGAGCGCGATAACACGCGAGCACACTGCGACGACGAGCACGCAGGGCAAATGCCGCACGTGCAAATGTAGCCGACAGATACAACACGAGCACCGGCGACCACGGGTACACCGGGAAAAGACCCAGCATGGTCGGAGAGCAACCGACAAGCGGACCCCCCACGCAAGACACGGGCAAGCGAGACGCGACGGCACACACGCTGACTGCGAGTGCACTGGGCGAATGCCCAGCACGCAAGCACGGCCGACGAACGGACCCCACGCGCCTGAGCAAAAGACTGGCGACAGCGATGTTGGGCAGGGCTGGGGCACGCGCAACACACGCCGGCTGCGAGCGTGGAGGGCGAATGCCTACCACACAAACATGGCCGACGAACACATACGCAGGCGGGTGGGCACACACAGGCGACGACGACATGCATGACGACGACAAGCGCGCCGGGCGAATGCCCAGCACGCAAACGCGACCAACAAACAGACCGCGCGTGTGTGACGGAAGAACGGGCGAGGGCGCGCGGAGGACTGGGCATGGACGGGTCATCAACGGTGGGCAGGGCCGGGACGCTGCAAGAACAGGCGGGCGCAAGGGGGAGTCAGCGGGGTGGGTCGGAATGGGCAAGCGCGAGCGGACAAATGGGGAGGAGGGCGAGAGAACGGCGGGGGCAGGTGTACATGCCCCAACCCCCACATGTAATCCTGCGGTAGGTAAACCTGCGGTTTGGCACCGCCAACACCGGCGGTGATGTTCACCAATGCGAGCCTGAGACGGAAGCTTAGGACAGCACTCAGTAGACAGCTAGATATCATGTAAAATATACTATGGTTCGTGTACATGCAAGCCCCGGTACATGAAAATTCTATGAGACTACAGTAAGCGTGTCAGCAGCCGTCACAAGCCGTTAGCAAAATGCGCCTTTTGCTAACGACTGACGGATGTGAGCATCGAGTGACACGCTGACAGTTTGTAACGTTTTGGCGTTAGCATCCGTCAGCGTGTCAGCAACGGTTAGCAACGGTTAGCAAAATTGGACTTCTACTGATGTGTTGGATCAAAGCCGCGACATGCTTGGACTACTACCACAACAGGCAATGTCGGAATTATGCCAGGAAAACGCGCCGAAGTGGATGAGGTTTTCTTGACATGTATATTGGCAAATGCCCGTCACGGTCGGTGAACCGTCGTGGGCGTGCCGCGGTATGTCTACATTATGGGGAACCAATGCGCCAAAGAAATCTTGTGACCTCCTCAGTGGCGGACAGTGTGCTGGCAAGGCCGCCCGCTGGTGTTCTTCGCATTCACGTCAGATCTCACTCAGGAGTCAGAGGCCTTTCAAAATGTGTACGAGCGGCCTCTGGTAGCAACGTTAACGTTATAACCTTGTAAATGTGCGGACGATTGAACCGTGGCAAAAGTGCGCGGAGGACGAGTCGCTCTTCGCTGACGAAAAGGTTAGGTGCGGGAGGGAGCGGAAGCCTCCTATTAGCGGGGCCATGCGACACTAGCCTCGATGGACACTTTACGGTACTTGTTACTACTCTACATGCAACTTCGTCCTACGGAGTATAAACCCGGTGGATTATAATTTAAAAAAAGAGTCGCTCTTTGCTGCCACGAGATCGCGGTCGTCGCGCGTCCTTTGGCTGCGACTCCCGTACTCGCCCACGCTATTCGCGCGACGAAGATCAACAGCCAGCTCAGGCAGTGTCACGCCCTCTCCCTCATCGGAGCGTGAGCGAGCAGGATCACTAGAGTCAGATCAGTGGTCGCCCGTCCCTCTAGTGAGCAGTCGATTCTGCGGCTGCATCATCCGAGTCGAGCTCCCCGCAGGATAGCAAGCCGGACTCTCCCCCACCGATTGAACGGATCACAGTCACCGCCGGTTCTCGCCGACTTGGAATTCGTCCGCAGATACTGCGAGCGGTCAAAGCGGACCTAAGACAGGCCCGGGCCCGCGAAAACTTCGGTCAAACAAGAACTTGGGGCAGAATGACGAAGAACCTGGGCCATCGAAACGTTCTGGCAAGTGGAAACATCCTTGTTGTTCAGAACAGACTGTTTGTCTTTGCAATCTGCATTTATGCCGCAAGAGCGCGTATCCATCGGTGTCGGACCGCTGGTGCCATCTGCTTGACCAGGTGACTGACAGTGCTCGCCGGCTGCGTTGACTGACACGGACGGCGAGCCGCCATACGATGGCGCCATCCTCTACGAGTTCTCCAAATTCTGGCGATTCGTCCGCTCCACTCACAAGAACTGCGAAATCTTGCAGCGGCGCCAACCATCCGGCTTGCATCGTTTCGCGGTAGACAGTGACTTGACGCGCAACAAACGTACTCATTTCACTGCAGTGCCGCCGCTGGAGAGCCCTATAAGGATTTCCGCGCCATTGTAGGCCGTTGCGCGTCGCTTCAACGTGTACTGCCGCCGAAAGAACCAGATGCTTCTAAATATGGGGTGGCTTCTCTAATCCCGGGACCGGGCGACAAGAGAACAAGGTCGCGAAGTCACCACCTGCCAAAAGCAGACGGACAATAGCAGCGGTAGATCAGTATCACCCGTGCGGCATCAAAAATTCCCACGTGGCTCACGTTTCAGACTCCGCTTGATCCACGAGCGCGGTTGTGGCGCTGTCCACTCATTGTTTCTTCCTCCTCATTCTGTGCGCTCGGCGTATCTTACGACGCGATTTCCACGCATAGCCTGCAAGCGTTAGGCCTAGGCTTTGTGTATAGTCGGGACTCTGCAACTTTAGCGGCAGATCATCCGTAAATTAAGCGACTATTGGAAGGTGAGCCATATCAGCCTCCCCTTTGGGCTAAGAAACAATGACTGACTCATGAGCGGCCCATCAGACAGAATTTGGGGTGCCTGAGCGACAGTTCCATTTTGAAACCAACACGAGTTATCAGCTTCAATCTCCGACATGCCACACCTGTTCAAAGGGTCGCGGAGATCGCGCTCGCACGCGCCTTTGTGCAGCTCCCGTTGCAGTCTCCCTCCCGACATCCACTTGCCTCGTCGGCGAACTACCTCTCCTCCGATGGCGCAACCAACACCCCGTCAGATGAAATCGCGCGTCTATACGATTATTCAGGCAGATGCTCTGCAGTCGAGCGAAGTCAACAAGCACGGCTGGAGGAGCGAGGTCGAGGGCAAGATCGTGGAGATGGACATCGATATCCAGCTATTTCTATCCTACTTCATGCCCAGCGTCGCGGAGATGCCTCCCTCGCAGGCCGCAGACCCTTTTCATGTGCCGGTCGGTGGGAAGGAGACAGATATGTACAAGCCTTTGGTATGTGTCCACCGCAGATTTGCACGATCATGGTGCTGATGAACATCCAGTGCGACGGGCTGAAGAACCTAGTCAAGGACTTCCCAAAACAAAAGCGTCTGTCTTTCCACAATAACGCGCACGAAGAGATCAAGTTTCCTTTCCTTCTATGCCAGCGGGACCAGCACGCGACGAAGCCGGACGTCGTCGCGTCTCTCCCTGGTCGCACGTTCGCTCCCCGGAACAAGGATGACGACCACGATCGTTGGCGGGACATCTCCGTTGTATTCGAAATCAAGAACGTGGAGAGCGAAGACCCCATGCTCTACTGCTCGGAGAGGAACGACGAGACATTGGTGCAGCTATCGAAGAGTGCGCGCAACATTCTCGTTTCCCAAAGCCGACTATGCGCATTCGCAGTCGGAGTCTACGGGTCGACAGCGCGTATCTTCCGATTCGACCATGCTGGTGCTGTCTGCACACGGTCGTTCAAGTACGGAGAGGACAACGGCGCGGTCCTATATGAGTTTCTCTGGCGACTTGTCCATCCGATACGCGAGGACTGTGACATCGTCGGGGCGGACCCGACTGTCCGGTTTGCGTCACGCGGAGTAACTCGGGCCCTGCGCAAAGCTGATGTCGAGGTCACTTCCGAGACGCGGAAGGCATGCCGGTGGGTCACCATCGATCCCGCTGAAAACCAACCTGCGAAGAAGTATCTCGTCTACGAGTTGCTCTTTATCAATCCGCGCTTGTTCTCCCGGGCAACAACGATCTGGAAAGCTCTGGAGCTCGACGATGATGGCGAGCCGACTGGGACTCACGTTGTGATCAAGGAATCATGGCGTCAGCTGGCACGCGACGCCGAGCTGTTGCACTGGAAGCGCATTCGTGCGCACGTTGCGCCGCATCTCCTGCCCACCGACATGGACAGTGAACAATGGGACCAGGCCGCGGAGGAAGCGTTCATGGAGGTATGGAACGCAGAGTGGCGTGGCTTAGCAGCATTCTCGTTGGGCGCCGACCTCGGAGAAGATGAAGAACTTCGAGCGGACGTGGAGGCCCCAGTCGGGCATCGGACGTGGACCGGTGTACACCAGTGCCATGGCGCACACCAGTGGTTCGAGAGGAGCCATATGCGTCTCGTATCGACTACCATCGGTACCCCGATCTCGCAGTTCCGCAGGACGAGAGAGATGGTGCAGGTGCTTCGTGACGCCATATACGGTATGTTCGACATTCGCTCTATTTCTCTCAGGTCGCTCATGCTTGTCGCGGCACTGTTACAGGGCATCAACTGGCCTTTGAAGCGGGCGTCATACAGCGTGACGTCAGTGAAGGGAACGTGATGAGCGTGAATGGCAGAGGCTTCCTGCACGATCTAGACTACGGCTTCAACTGGAAGGCGACGCTTTACGCATTGGGTTACGAGGATACCATCGAGAGCTGGGAGGAGTTCGCCCGGACTGGGAAGGGCAAGCCGAGGGAGGGCGTTGACGGCCGTGCTCTTGCTGCCGAACATGCGCACCAAGCTCAAGGAACTAAGGAGAAGACCGTCCCGCCCCCCCGTCCGGTTATAAACCGACAGGGCATAGAGGAGTACTTTGTGGATGCGGTCATCGCGGAGCGGAAGACGGCGGAGGGCAAGAGGTATCTGGTGAAGTGGACGGGTTACGGGGATGAGTGGAACTCGTGGGAACCCCTCCAGAACGTCCGGGGCTGTGTAGCCTTTTCCCATTGGCTCAGTCTGCCGCGCGAGGACCGTAAACAGTTGTCGGCCCAGCATGCCAACGACGCCGTTGGGATGGGCGAGCCTCCCAGAGGAGCAAGACCGAACGCAGTGACTACCGACGTCGGAACCGCAGACCCGGGGAAGATCAGGGATGAATGCAAGCAGCGCACAGTGAGTATCCAATTCTGTCTTGGCTCGTCGTTCGATGCTCACGCACAAATGTCAAAGGGCACGTTCTGTTTCATGGCCATAGAAGTACTTCACGGCGGTGTCGTCCATCAAATCCGACACGATCTGGAGTCGTTCTTTTGGCTCCTCGTCTGGCTCATTCTCAGGCATTGCAAACATAACCGCCACAAGTATAACACGCTCAAGTCATTCATGGACGCGCCCGACGAAGAAGAAAGCGCCGACCGTAAGATAGGTTGGCTCAGCAAACCTTTCTTCGTGCACGGCAACGAACCTCTGAACGAATTGCTCCGTCGTTTCACGTTGTTATGCCGCAAAAACCATACTGCCTGGGGCGAGGCGGAAGTCACCAGTCCAGTGACATACCAGACCGTGCTGCAGATCTTTGACGACGCACTTGCGCGCGAGGACTGGCCGGTGGACGACAAGGCAATACCATGGGCACCTGCGCAGGGCGTCGACGGGGTGCCAGCCCGCCAAGCACGACCCAAAGATACCGTGACTGGAAGCCAGATAGAGTCCCGTGCCCGACAGAGTCTGGGACGACGGAATCCTGCACCAGATGGCAACAACGCGCCTCGGACACCGCACACGGCCAGCTCTGGATCGAGACCACCTGAAGATTCATGGACACGACCGGTCGCGCAGATACACCGGGAAGACATACCCGATCCCGTGTCGCCTACGCCACCCTCACAGAGGGCATCCTCGTCTCATTCGGCTGCGTTGCCCGCTGCGTTGTTCCGTTTCACGCCGGCCCACGATGCGAGTCGGTCGCCATCTCCCCCTTGGGACCCGCGAGGGGAAGACCTGATGGCGAGTCTCCACGCTATCTCACCCGATTTCAGGAGCCCCCCGTCGCATCCGCCCAATAGTTCTGCTGGAGAGCCCGAACCGTCTACGTCCACTCAAGCGGGGCAGGGCGATGCCAGTGGCGATGCTCGTCACCGTGGTCGGAAACGCTCCAAGGAAGACCTCGGCGTCGACGACGATCTCGATGTCGGGCCATCGAAGCGGTCAAGGCCCGACAGCGAGCAGTCTAAGCTGCTTCCTCAAGCATCCTGGAAATTACGTCCAACGCCGCCCCGAAAGCGATGAAGTCGAACGTGACTCTCATCTATTCGCTACCGCTTGTCACCGTTCATATCGCTGTGTTGTTGTATATATACTCGCTATGCTGTACGTAGTTCTGCCGCCGGACGGCTATCGATGTAGCGCTGCTCTTGTACCCTGCTTTCTTCACATGTAGTTCTCAGCTGACACCGTCCGCAATTTGCACTCTCATGATAAATAGCTCATGTGATGTCGACGCAACCTGACGTGACGCAGTAACGACGTCTGCGCCTGACGTTCCTTCGGCTACAATGTCGACGCACTAGTAGTAGTACACGCTGGGCCTGGGCGATGCAGGCGGCTTTGCTCGTAGCCTAACAAACATCCAGGGTCAACACATGTATACTCAGTCTGTATATGACTGTCGAGGATGGTCAGGCGGCCGTGGCCTCCACGTGCTGTGAAAGCTCAACGTACAGTAGTTACTCCATATGATCTGCCTTCAGCTACACTCGGAGGCCTGGACGCCCGGTGACTAGATGTTCAGCTTCGCAGGGGTGTTCGTCCCCTTGCGAGTGCTAGTCGAATGTACGCTGAAGTGACACTGACAGCGCGAGGTGCCAAGGCCGCAAAGACAACGCCTTCCATAAGCAGATGAACAATGGAAGCGGTTGATCGGTACGACGGTATCGGCCGTGTGGCATCTGAACTCCCCACGTGGCTGACATTTCAGACTCCGCCTGATCCACGAGCGCGGTTGTGGCGTCGTCTCGCCGTCGTCGCCTCCTCCTCATTCTACGCCCTCAGCGTACACCACGACGCGATTTGCCGTGTTGCCCACATACCAGTGTCACAGACTCTTGATCTATCGTTGTACTGTCTCTTTCGAGGACAATTATCGACGTATCGAGCTAATTACGGACGGTAAGCTGTATCGACCTACCTGTTTGAGTGCAAGAAGCGGTACTGACTCATGAGTGGCCCATCAGACAGGTTCAGCTGCCTTTTTCGAATACTTAACACAACGTTGGCCACTGACTTGAATCTCCGACATGCCACACCGGTTTAAAAGATCGCGGATGTTGGGCTCGCATGATCCCTCGTGCAGCTCCCGCTGTAATCTCCCCCCTTGGCTTCATCTACCTTCCGCATCATTGTCACCCAACATGGCGCAGTATGGGTCCCCTCGCAAGGCGGGCGCGCGTAACTCTCAGCCTCTCAAAAAGCTGGACGTTCAACAAAGCAGTCGGAAGAACCGAATTGTATGGCAGAGCGAGATAGCGGGCAGAATCGTCCCTATTTCGAACTCAATGGAGGATTTCCTCGAGCACTTCGTACCCGGAGACAAACCTCGTCAGCCAGTCATGAAATCGCATTTTGACTTCCCATCGGACGCGAAAGCTGAAGACGATCTCTACGAACCTTTGGTGCGCGAGATTTCCCGTGGTCAGCGTTCCGTTACTTACCACTCTCTAGTGCGACGGCCTCCGGTCGCTCGTGAGTCGCTTCGACAAAGACAAAAGGCTCACCTTCATCAATCACAATCACGATCGTATCAAGTTTCCCTACGCGTTGTGTGCCTCTGAGCACCACATAACTCGACCAGATGTAGTTGCTTCGCTTCCGGGCAAGACATCGGTCGGTTCTCATCCCGACTACTGGAGGGATATCTCGCTTGTCGCCGAGGTCAAGCTGGAGGAAAGCGAGGATCCGATGAAGTCGTACTCTCAGGAGCACGAAAACACGCTGATTCAACTGTCGAAGAGTGCTCGCAACCTCCTCGTGTCACAGAGCCGGTTGTTCGTCTTCGTCATTGGTGTCTACGGTAGACTAGCCCGGATCTTTCGCTTCGACCACGGCGGTGCTGTGTGCTCTCGCGCATTCGACTATACGACTCTCCAGGGCAGCCGTCAATTTCACGAATTCCTCTATCGATTTACCCATCCACTACTTGAGAAGTGCAACGTCGTTGGCGCCGATCCGACCGTTGTCCTCGTCAGCCCGGAGGAGGGTGCGGACATAGCTCAAAGGCTCCGCGACGTTGGTGTCGACCACGAGGACTCGGACGAAGCCAAGAAGGCCTATCGCTATGTCACACTCAGTCTCTCCGAAAGATCAGAGAAGACGTACCTCGCCTACGACTTGGTGTTCATCAATCCCCATCTCTTCTCTCGCGCGACGACGGTTTGGGAGGCCATCGAGGTTGATTCAGAACGCATGCCCACCGGACGACCTGTCATTATCAAGGATTCCTGGCGACAACTGGTCCGACAGCTGGAGAGTGACAATTACAAGGACATCTTCAGCTCTGCGAAGGACGGCATCGACCTAGCCGGTGTCGCCAAGTTTCTGGGCGGCGAGGACCTCGGGGCAGACGAGATTCGGGCGTTGGAGAACGGTGAGCCTGGCGGTGGGGGCGTTGGGCATCTGACGGTGACCGCACGTCATTGTGTCAACGGCACCCATGCGTACAACGAAAGGAGCCACGCGCGCTTGGTGCTTGGGACCGTAGGCATTCCCCTTTCACGCTTTAAGTCGACCAGGGAGATGGTAGAAGCGTTGCGAGATGCCATTGAAGGTACCGTGACGTGTGTCAATTACCGCTTCATACTCGTTGCTAATACATAATCAACTATCAGGACACCGCAAGCTCTTCGAAGGAGGCATCATGCACCGCGACATCAGTGAAGGCAATGTTATGATATCTCGGGATCCTGACGCGCCGTTCATCGGGTACATCCAAGATCTGGATTACGGGATGAACTGGCGAAAGCTTCTCGAGAAGCTCGGCTACGAGCCGGAGCGAGAGGACTGGCACTCGTTCGTGAAGGAGGAGTCCGCGAAGATTCTCAAAAAGTTCGAGGCTGAGCAGCTAGCAAAATATTTCAAGAAGAATGCTTCCAAGCCTGTGACCAAGCGACAAGCAGGCGCGAACAGCGGAGATGACATCCGACGATCCGCGCTAACCTCAGAGGCGCATCATCGCGACAGTAGTCCAGTAGCCAAGCCACGCGCCACTCAGCCTGATGACCCTCGCAGCCTCAAGCAGAGCCTTGGGACCTTGGATGACCCCGTCAACGACTTTGGAGACGAAGCTGACGATGCCCCCGGGGGTGTCCAAGTCTCCCGGCATGACGGCACGAAAGTAGCAGTGAGTCGTCCGCCAAGCGCGGACGAGGTGAAGTTGCAATGCAAACAACGAACGGTACGCACCTCGCATAAAGCACGCCCCAACTGTCTGACCTTGTTTGTGCAGGGTACTCTGTACTTCATGGCGGTGGAGATCATCGAGGGCGACGTCGTTCACGAAGTACGCCACGATCTCGAATCATTCTTCTGGCTTCTCGTTTGGCTGGTCCTGCGGTACACCGAACACGACCAAGGGCCACGGGGATGCGCAGAGGTTTTCGACGGCGACACAGACATGGCATGCAGAGAGAAGAAGGCCGGATATTTAACAAGAATGGTCGGTGCTCTGGTCCCCGGGAACGGCCCCCTATGCATACTGCTGGAGAACTTGCGTTTTATGTGCAGCCGCAACCATCGACATCACGGTTTTACGGCACCAGAACCTCTAACCTACGACGCCGTCCTCGGGGTCTTCGACAGAGTGCTCAGCATGGAGTGGCCCGAGGACGACAAAGCTCTCCCTTACGTCCTTGCGGTTGATAACGAGGAGATCTCTCCGGGCCCGGGCGAGTCGCGCCAACGCCACGAAAGCACAATCGACAGCAGCCAAATCAAGTCTGAGGACCAAGACGGCCGTGGTAGCTCTCATGCCGACCCTAGTGGCCAATCTCGACGGGCCCGAACGTGGACTCGAGCGGTGCAGCGGAGCGGAGGCGACGCGGTAGCGACGAGTGGTAGTGCTCGAAAACGGTCGCACGACGAACGCGACGCGTCCGAGAAGGACTGTCGACCTGTTCGATCGTCGAAGCGTACAAGGACAAGCAGTGAGCACCAAGCCCAATCTGCTTCAGGCAGAAAGGGTCCGTGTGCGGGCCGTTGAGAGGAGCCTTGCCTTTCGCTGCTGAGTGCCGTAGTGTTGATGCCTTTGCTGAGGCTTCCTGTGAATATCATCGGCTGTAGGCTGGATGAAATTGTACACGTAGAGTTACTGTATGACTTGTTGTAATAATTTCTCTGCTCGTTTGGTATGTTTGTGACATCGAGAACAAACCCATTTTCGCCGACATTCGAGACGCGCCGGTGGCAACTTGAATTCCATGCTGAGTATGGCCTTTATCGCTACCGCTACAGTTCTTTCCTCTTCGATCTCGTTGACAGGTACTGGTATGAGCCCTGCTTTGCTCGAATCTGTCTGAATCACGAGGTTTTGAAGCAAGTTTGAAGGCGTCTCATGGCAGCTCATGGTGCCACGGTATGATGAAGAAACTAGCGCCCGCCCACTGGTATTGAGGCGCGCGCTCGAGGGCGTGTACTCACTGTTCGACACCACCAAGTCTTCTTTTTCACCGCCATGCGCATCTGAGGAAATCCGCTTTGCTATGTACTCACACCTGGCTGAGCGAGACATTCAACTGTCCTGAACGACGACGGAAGCAACAGCTTCAACATGTCGGAGGAAGCAGCACAAATTGCAAGGTTCGGAGGTCGTCCTTCGCCAGGGACCCGGTGCTGATGCAGACCAGAGAGGCGAAGAGCCTCCAGCAAGGCCTGAAAGACTCGCTAAAGTCTAGAGATCCATGGGATAAGGAGGTGGAGTTTCAACGGAAAAAGTACGTCCCTGCCGCCACATACTTGTGCTAACTAGTCTCATCTATGTAGTCTTCGACGACAGTATTTGCGTCTACTCTTCGTCCACCCTCATGCTGCTGAGTCGCGCGACGTCGACACCCACCTGTGGATGTCGACGTCATACCAATTCATCTCGAAGTACAAGGAACGCATAGCCAACCTCGATCGTGCCATCAACCGTCATCAGCAGCAGCAAGGCTCGTCTCGACAGCAGTCGGGGCAACAGCGAGTGGTTGAGCATCGAAAACTCCTGCAGCGCTTCTCTCAATTCCTCTCCGAAGAACATCGGTTCTGGAGGCAACTCGTCGTTCGGATACACCGCGTCTTTGCCCTGGAGGACGCGAGTCGCGCGCTCGAGGTTCTCCACATCGAAATCGAGCAAGTCCCCGCTGCCGCTGACGGTGCAATACCGAGGCGCAGTCAACACCAGTTTCCTCCGGAGGCAGATGTGGCGTCCCCATCTGCGCCCGCTGAACGGCAGACGATGATAGCCGTGATGAGCAAGGCGCTTGTGTGTCTTGGTGACATCGAGCGGTACAAGGAGCTGTACAACGAGAAAGGTGGTCGGCCACGCGCAGGGCATGAGGAGGGACCGTCCGCGGCGCCGACGAGAGGTGGGAGGGGTCGACGTGGGGGCGGGACGGCCGCAGGCCAAGTGCCACGTATGCGCAACTACGAGAAGGCGCAGCATTGCTACGAGCAGGCGAGGCTACTGCTTCCGAACGATGGCAACCCGTCACATCAGCTCGCCATCCTGGCGACGTACCAAAGGGACACGTTTGGCTCGCTCGTGCAGTACTACCGGTCACTATGCGTCAAGAACAGATACGAGCCTGCGTCAGAGAACATGGACACGACACTTGCGCGCGCATGGGAGCAGTGGAAAGCCAAGGAGGCGCGGCGGAGTAAAGAGGCGGACGCAGAGGGTGGGGCAGAGACGGGTCCAGTTGCACCGCGATTGAGGGTTGAGGTATTCAAGGAGAAGGTGATTGTCATGCATGCGATGTGGCGAGTCTCGACAGAAGAGTGAGTGTAGCTCGAGTGTCATTGTTCCACCCTCCTGACATGGGCTCGCAGCATCACGCCTTCGCTGCAGGCTCACTCGCAGAAGGTCGTCGATAGCTTCAAGGATCTAGTCTCCGAACGGATACTTCCGCTCGACATGATCTGGAAGGTGGTCATCCTCGCACAGGGTGCTCTCTGGAGGCACCGCTCCACGCGACACCCAACTCGGAACCTCACACACGGTAACAAACTGGCGAATGCTATCGCGATCGAGTCACACATCGCGACACACATCCTTGCCCTGCATCGCGCCCTACTCAAGGTTGGCATCGTGCAGGTGGCCGAGGCCTCGCAGGAGGACGGAGGCAGGCAGGATCTAGCGCAGAGCATAACAGCGGAATTCCGTAGGGCCCTGCCGGCATTGCGTCTGGCCAGCAAGTGGTTGCGAGTGAATTTCAAGTACGTGCTCGAGCAGTCGCGTGCTGACCCCGTCGGTCGCGCGGAGGCCCACGGTTCGACCGAGGCCTCTGGTAGCAGCGATCGTCGTCTGGATAAGCGCCAGGAGAGTCGCAGGCGCTCCAACATTCCCAATGTCACTATCAGCGGCGTGCAGGAGTTCTGGCATGCGTATGTAGAGTTCTCGACGGCGCTACTTTGCACGTTCCCCTTGGAGAGATTGCCAGCTCTGTCAGTGCCTTTGGACGAGGACATCGAGACGACGGGGTTCCTACCCCTCAAACGTGCAACACCAGCGGAGACAGGATCACCTGGGACTAGCGTTAGTTCCCCGGGGGCGGCACAGGGCTCGCATCCGAACACCGAATTTTTGATGAGAATCCAGGAGCTGTCGCTCGACGCTCAAGCTATAGCTGAAGAGGAGGTACGCCTCATTTATGCACCGTTAATCGTAGCATTCGTGTAACTTCAAGGATGATAGACTTCTCCATTCCTTCTCGTCGACGGCCACTTCGTGATGAGAGGGTTCAACATAAGCACCTTTACAACGTCAGCTCGCCCCGTGAGCACTCATCCTCCGAATGGACACCGTGTCGTCGGGACCTTCGGCGAACCCAGTCGTGTGGACATCCCATCAGACCAGGCGGAGCAGATCAACCACGATGACGACGACGACAATCGTACCGAGGCTACTCGCACTGATGACGATCCAGTCACACTCGCATTCCGTGAGGCTCTCAAGACAGACAGCGACGAGGAGGAGGAGGAGGAGGAGGAAGACAGAATCGTGTATCCTAGAACCGACTATCAAGATGTAGCCGCAGCCAACCCCGCATCAAGCACACCGCTTATGTATGCCACGCCCCGTAACGTCCCTCTATCTTCCCCGCCGCCTTTGTCCCCGAGACTTCCTCGTCCAAACAGTCCCCTTGTATCCATCTCGAGTCCTCGCGGTATCGCACCTATCTCTCCCCCTCGACACGCGCCCAGCAACGGCAACGTGCTACCGCCGCCAGCTGTTACTAGGCCTCACGGGACGACTGCCGAGGATCTCCTCATGGGCCTGCGTCGGTCCAACACGCATTCTCGAACGCCGTCCGCCCCACAGCCGCAGCTCTTGTTCGGCTCTGGTAATGCCACGTCCATCTGGTCCACTGAACGCGACCGGAATCCACTCGGCTATCGGGGAACGCCACCTTCAAATGCCGCTGCATTCCCTTCGCACCAACACACGGCGCAGTTGTCTTTGCCGTCTACGCTTTCCGTGGACAGATCTCAAAATCAGTACGGGGACAACGCCGCCCTTCCGTTTCCAACGCAGCAACCCTATGCCCCGTTCCGTGGCCACCAGCGGATCTCCTCGCTCAACCTTGGACTTTCGCAAGTTCTTCCTAGCCAGGGACCTAGTACGCACTATGCTGTCTCAGGAGGTTATGCACCGTCGGCCGAAGTCCCCAGTGCTCTGTACCAAACGGGGCTGTCGCCCGCCTACGTAGACCCCATCCTATCTACTCCGAACTCCCTACTTCGGCATGCGTACTCGCCTATGAATCATCAAGTATCGACGCCACAGAGGATGCTCGACACAAGGGTTGTTCGCCCTCCTCCAGTCTTGCCACCATCGTCCTTGGCTGGAGCTTCCCAGCTATGGTCTAACCACGGCTGACGCAAGACACGTCCCGTTATAGCGTCATTTCGCAATTCGTTATGCAGTTGTGTTAGAGGACACGACATGCGTCGACTAGTTAGTCCTCTGAGTCGCAGCATTGCCTTTCAGGCGCCATCGTCACAAGCTCTACAATCGTGCAATCTCTCTGTCCGGACGTCGACGAATGGTACACCCAGCACCTCTCCGGGTGTGCATCGGGACATCTTTGCGTGCTAGTAGTAGTACGAGAGCCTTACACGAGCCGCATTGCAGCCCGGCGCATGCCAATCGCGGTCAGATATGGCAGAGACTCTACACTCCGATACTGTCTCCTAGGCTTGGTCTGCGGCGCTGAACAGATTCCTGATTTTGCCCTCCTTCCTCTCGATAACTTCTATTCAGAGTTTCTGGTTTCCTCGTGCTATGTATTTGTTTTGTTGTGATGCATGACGGGAAGCTGGCGTAGATGGATGTATGAATACGTAAGCACACCCCTGTATGCAGTACAAGGGACTGCATCGCTTCGCTCTGCAGCTGCGTCAGAGACAGCCGCCCCCATTTTGTTCGGCCAGGGCCCAGATCATGCGAGGTAATAAGAATATTGGCATACTGGATTTGTACCGGATGGTTTCAATCCTCATTCACTAAGGTTTCATTCTACCCGCCGTACAGTACTACACATTCAAAGGTGGCCACGCGCTGCGCGCGCGACGGCGTTCGAGTCAATTCAAGGGTCAATCTGAAGTGACGGTACTAACCATGTAGTACCGTACATAGCTGACGGTACCTGGCCGGTGCGCGACACGCGTCAAGTCTCATCCTGCTCCAGCCCATTTCAGAAAATGAGTAAGTATGTACTGTTCTGCTACGAAAACGTAGTCAGCAACGATAAAAGGGCTTTGTTGAGGGCATTACGAGACTGAGTAGTGCAGCGGCTTCACGAATCACGACCCAGGGGGCCAGGCCACAGGCCGACACATGATCGAAGCAAACGCCGGACTAAACAGATACAAACGAATTCACCGGATCTGCTTTAGTATACGAGTAATATATCACTGTCCCGAGTTGATCGTATAGTGACAAAGGCCGAATGTATACGTTCCTATAGGGTTGTTGGTTCGCGAAATCTTGTCCCGTCTGACTATGCCTGATGCAATGGCTATGTCCGTTCGCCATTTATATGATCGTACGTCGCAGGCACCTGTGCATGAACGATGCCTCGACTCGGACTGCTTGCATACGTGAGAGGGAAGCAGGTAAACACGGCGTGCAACAGGGAAGACGGAGTGCATTGAACGTTTGAAGGCATACCGGGACGTCGGTTACAGAAACGGCATCCCAGCAAGTGGGGAGGAGTCAGCAAGGGGGAGAAGAGATCGGTTGGTCGCAGCCAGTGTCACGTTAGTAGTGCACTGGCATATGAAGTATGATGTCAGTCATACATGAACACGATGTTAGCCAGTCATCGAAGTGGGATACAAGAGTAGTCATACATTGATAGCCGTTTGGCGGCAGGACTACGTACAGCATAGTGAGTTGCCGACACCGTGACAGCAACACGAATGGCTATAAACGACAGCCTGAGACAACAGATGCCAAACGTTCGACTTCATGGCGAAGTTAGGTTCCACGATGCCCGACTAGAAGGTAGCTGCTCGCTGTGGGCCCTTGATCGCTTCGACGGCCCAAGACAAAGATCGGCGTCGACGCTGAGGTCTTCCTGGGAGCGTTTTCGTTTTGGGCCATCGTGACGGCGGTGAGAATTGCCACTAGCATCAACCTGCTCCGCTTGAGTGGATGTAGACGGTTGTGGCTCGCCAGCAGAAGGATCGGAATGATTAGACGAGGTACTACCGGAATCGTTTAAGAGAGCATCGACTAGGCTCGCCCTCGGGTCTTGCGCATTATTTTGACGCGGGGGAGACGGCGATCGACCCGCACCGTGCGCCGGTATGACACGGAGCATTGCGGCGGGAAACGCAGCGGAATGAGACGAAGATGCCTTCTGTGAGAGTGACGTAGGCGACGAGGGATCGGGTATGGCATGTAGGGGTATCTGTACAGACGGTCTCGATCCAGAGCTGGCAGTATGCGGTATGTGATGCGCGTCAGTCCACACAGGGGCGTGAGGGATGGATTCGCCGTCACTTGAGCGAGGGTGATCGTGCACCGGTGCAGCCTGCACGGGATTGATTGGACAGGCATTGCTGCCTTCTGGTGCAGGGTTCAGTTGTCCCAGACTGCGTCGAGCACGGGACTCTATTTGACTTCCAGTCACGGTGCTTTGGAGGCATACTTGGCGGGCTAGCCTCCCGCCGATGCCCTTCGCAGGCGCCTGTGATATTGCCTTGTCGTCCACCGGCCAGTCATCGCGCGCAAGTGCGTCGTCAAAGATTTGCAGCACCTTTTGATATGTCATCGGATCAAGGACTTCCGGTTGGGTCCAGGTGGTGAAGTTTTTGTCGCATAACAGCATGAATTGAAGGAGCAATTTGCTCAGAGGCTCGTTTCCAGGCACGAAGAAAGGTTGGCTGAGCCAACCCATCTTATAGTAGGCGCTTTCTGTCTCGTCAGGCGCGTCCACGATTGATTTGAACACGTTGGAGTTGTGACTGTTATGGTTGCAATGCCTAATAACGAGCCAAACGAGGAGCCAAAAAAACGACTCGAGATCGTGTCGAATTTGATGGACGACCTCGCCGCGAAGTACTTCTATGGCCATGAAACATAACGTGCCCTGTGACGTTTCTGCATGAATATCGAACAGCAAACCAATTTGGCATTGAAAACTCACTGTGCGCTGCTTGCATTCCTCCCTGATCTTCTCCGGGTCTGCGCTTCTGACGTAGGGAGTCACCACGTCCGGCCCGGCCCCTCTGTGGGGCTCTCCCGTCCCGTCGGGGTCGTTGGCATGCTTAGCCGATAATTGAGCACGGTCATCGCGTGGTAGGCTAAGCCAGTGCGATAGGGCTACACAGCCCCGGACGTGCTCGAGGGGCTCCCATGAGTTCCGCTCATCTCCGCAGCCCGTCCATCTCACCAGGTACTTCTTGCCCTCCGCCGTCTTCCGCTCCGCGATAATCGCATCCACGAAGTACTCCTCTGCGTCCCGTCGAATGATGACCGGAAGGAGCGGCGAGACGACCTTCTCGGTGATTCCTGTGGTTTGCGGCGTAGGCTCAGTACTAGCAAGCGCTCGGCCTTCGACGTCCTTCCTTGGAATGCCCCTCTCCGTCAGGACAAACTCCGCCCAGCTCTCGATGGTATCCTCGTAACCTAAGGCGTAAAGCGTCGCCTTCCAGTTGAAGCCGCAGTCCAAGTCGTGCAAAAAGCCTCTGCCATCTACAATCATCACATTGCCCTCGCTGACGTCGCAATGAATAACGCCCGCTTCGAATGCCAGTTGATGCCCTGTGAATACGCCGCGATGAGGACCAGTGAACTGAGAGAAAAACAACGAATGTCGAACATACCGTATATGGCGTCACGAAGCACCTGAACCATCTCTCTCGTCGAGCGGAACTGCGAGATCGGCGTACCAATGGTAGTCGATACGAGACGCATATGGCTCCTCTCGAACCACTGATGCGCGCCCTGGCACTGGTGTACACCGGTCCATGTCCGATGTCCGACTGGGGCCTCCACGTCGGCTCGAAGTTCTTCATCTTCTCCGAGGTCGGCGCCCAACGAAAATGCTGCCAAGCCACGCCACTCTGCGTTCCACACCTCCATGAACGCTTCCTCCGCGGCCTGGTCCCATTGTTCATGATCCATGTCGGTGTGCACAAGATGTGGCGCAACGTGCGCACGAATGCGCTTCCAGTGCAACAGCTCGGCGTCGCATACCAGCTGACGCCACGATTCCTTGATGACGACGTGGGTCCCTGTCGGCTCACCGTCCTCGTCGAGCTCCAAAGCTTTCCAAATGGTCGTGGCCCGGGAAAGCAGGCGTGGATTTATGAACAGCAATTCGTAAACAAGATACTTCTTCGCGGATCGGTTTTCAGCGGGATCGATGGTGACCCACCGGCATGCCTTCCGCGTCTCAGAAGTGACCTCGACATTAGCTTTGCGCAGTATCCGTCTCACTCCGCGTGACTTTGCAGACGGAAAACGGACAGTCGGGTCCGCCCCGACGATGTCACAGCCCTCGCGTATCGGATGGACAAGTCGCCAGAGAAACTCATATAGGACTGCGCCGTTGTCCTCTCCGTACTTGAACGACCGTGTGCAGACAGCGCCAGCATGGTCGAATCGGAAGATACGCGCTGTCGACCCGTAGACCCCGACTGCGAACGCGCATAGTCGGCTTTGGGAAACGAGAATGTTGCGCGCACTCTTCGATAGCTGCACCAACGTTTCGTCGTTCCTCTCCGAGCAGTAGAGCATGGGGTCTTCGCTCTCCACGTTCTTGGCTTCAAACACAACGGAGATGTCCCGCCAACGATCGTGGTCGCCGTCCTTGTTCCGGGGAGCGAACGTGCGACCCGGGAGAGATGCGACGACGTCCGGCTTCGTCGCGTGCTGGCCCTGCTGGCACAGAAGGAAAGGAAACTTGATCTCTTCGTGCGCGTTATTGTGGAAAGACAGACGCTTTTGCTCTGGGAAGTCCTTGACTAGCTTCTCCAGCCCGTCGCACTGGATGTTCGTCAGCGCCATGATCGTGCAAATCCGCCGTGAACACACACCAAAGGCTTGTACATATCTGTCTCCTTCCCACCGATCGGCACATGAAAAGGGTCCGCGGCCTGCGACGGAGGCTTCTCCGCGACGCTGGGCATGAAGTAGGATAGAAATAGCTGGATATCGATATCCATCTCCACGATCTTGCCCTCGATCTCGCTCCTCCAGGCGTGCTTGTTGATTTCGCTCGACTGCAGAGCATCTGCTTGAGTAATTGTATAGACACGCGATTTCATCTGACGGGGTGTTGGTTGTGCCATCGGAGGGGACGTAGTCTGACGATGAGGCAAGTGAATGACAGGAGGAAGACTGCAGCGGGAGCTGCACAAAGGTGGGGGCGTGCGAGCGCGACCTCCGCGATTATATGTATCGGTGCCATGGCACGCCGGAGATTAAGTCAATGGCCAACGTTGCGTCAGGTTCTAATAAGGCAGCTACCTAAATAGATGAACCGTTATAATCTGTCTGATGGGCCTTTCATGAGTTACTTAGACTCGCTTCTTGCGCTCAAACAGGAAGTTGATGCAACTAACCGTCCGACCATTGCTGGATACGTCGATATTTGTGCTTGAAAGAGACTCTATACCTATTCGACCGTATATAACACTAGCTTGTCGTCGAAACGCGGAAGTCGCGTCCTGGCACATGCTAGGGCGTAGAATGGGGGGAAGGAGACGACGGCGAGACGACGCCACAATCGCGTTCGTGGATCAGGCGGAGTCTGAAACTCCAGCCACGATCCATTGCTTCCATTGTTTATCTGCTTTTGGAAGGTATTGTCTGTGACCTGGGTCTCTCGCTGCGGCCTCCACGCGCTATCATGATGGAAGCTCAGACATCTAATCATGTTTCACCCGTGAACCCCATGAGAAACCCACGCGCTTTGCTCTGTCACATTCCGTCGTCCGGAGGCGATACTTTTCTGCAGTACTATGTATGTAGTCTCACTAGTGAGCCGCCACTGGCTGGGAATGGACACTAATACATAGGTCATTCGCAGTTGACATTACCGATATCGCCCGAACGATCAATTAACAAAAGAGAAGTGGTATAGTACATACAAGTATAGAACCAATGCTAGCCAACTTCGAATACGCTGCGTACGGTAGTAAATGTAACCGTTGAGACTCGTAGGAAATATACTGTACATATCGCGCTCCAGGCACGATCAAGAGCGGCGAACCCGCGGACGACTGGTCGAGGGCTGCGTTCGCGGACGACTAGTCGAAGGTTGCGGTCGCGGTTGACTGCGAGTCTTGGAACGTTTTGACGGCCCAGGTTCTTCCTCGTCCTGCCCCAAGTCTTGGTTCGACCGTTTTCGCCCTGTCTTAGGTACGCTCGGACCGCTCGTCATTTCTGGGGATGAACTACGAATCGGTGAGGATTCGCGACCATAATCTGTGGTTGTGGGATGATCCGGGTCGCTATCTGGTTCGCTCGATGCAGCGTAAAGCCGACTGTTCACTGAAGGGACGGGCGACCACTGATCTGACCCTGATGATGACCCAGCTTGTCCGCGCTCCGGTGAGGGGGAAGGCATCATACTGCCTGAGTTGACTGTTGACCGTCGTCGCGCCAATAACGTGGGCGAGTCGGGGAGTCGGTGCGGAAGGACGACCGCGATCTCGCGCAGCGAAGAGTGACTCGTCCTCCGCGAACGTTCGCCACGGTCCAATACGACGGGATCGTCCACAGGATTGCTACCAGAGGCCGCTCGCAGCACATCTTGAAAGGCCTCTGAGTGAGATCTGACGTGATTGCGAAGAATGCCGGCAGCGTTGTCGGCACGGCGAGCCCTTTCACTCGCCACGTCTTGATTTCGCGGCAAGTTCGCTACATGCAGGGGCGCAGCCGATACGTAGGTGCCAGCCCTGATAGACGCAGATCGCTGGCCTTGACCACTCAATTGGCCCTGCGGTATGCTCCCTTGAGGCCGTGCCTCGTGGCGGAGATCGGGGTTGCTGTCAAGAGAGAAGGGGATCGCTCGGTCGCTGACTGGCCAATCCTGGCGAGCAAGTGCCTTGTCGAAGACGTCGAGCACGCGTTCGTGCGTCAGTGGGGCGTATATTTCTTTGATGTGGCAAATCCTGCACAACGATTGAAAGTCGCTGATGAGATTTGTGAGGGGTTCGTTGCCCTTGACAGCCAGTGAACCAGCCCAAAGCCAATGAAACTTATGTGCTGCGCAATCGGCAGCCGTAGCCTGGTCAAACAGCGACTTCAGCAGTTTGATCTTATCCGCGGTGTGGTCGGTATGCCGCAGGACAAGCCAGACCAAGAGCCAAAAGAATGACTCTAGGTCGTGTCGCACTTGATGGATGACGCGAGGTTCCTGTCGCAGGACTTCGATAGCCATAAAATAGAATGTGCCCTGTTTGTGACTCGTGTGAGGCAAGTGTTAGGCTACGGTGCGAAGGATTACTCACAGTGCGTTCTTTGCATTCTGTACGATTACGTTCGGCCCTCACCGGTGCAGCGTCGTGTTCATGCTCGCTTTCCGCCGAAGTAACCTTCCCTTTCAGTTCTCCGGAACCTTGATCCAGGTACGTCTTCGAGAGTTCTGCTCGTTCGTCTTCAGGACGCTTCAACCAGTCCATGAGCGCCGCACCATTGCGTAGATTACGCGCCTCCTCCCACGACATCTCGTCTGCGCCGTATCCCGTCCACTTCACCAGATACTCCTTGGCCCTCCGCCCTACTCTCCGCTCCGCAACGATGGCTTCGACATAGTACTCTTTCTCACCCTTCCTGTTGACTACCGGCGCAGGAGGTAAACGCCTAATGTTCGCGCTGCCGTCATCGCGAACAGGAATGGGCCGTTCAGTGTCTGGGGTTGGGACTGCGCCCTCCCTCGGGATACCTTTGCCAGTCTGCACGAATCGCTCCCAGCTCTCGATTGTATGGAGGTAACCTCGGACATACAAGAGCGCCTTCCAGTTCGACGCATAGTCCAGATCGTGCAGGAAGCCCCGGCCGTTCGCCATCAGAACATTGCCTTCGCTGATGTCGCGATGTAAGATGCCGGCTTCGAATGCAGTGCGATGGCCTGAGTGCACAGGAAAGTGGAAGGGCATGAGTCAGAGGTCGCATCTCAGAGATCAAGCGGTTACGGACCTTGAATGGCATCGCGCAGTGCCCCCACCATCTCCTTGGTCCTGCGGAAGTCTGACAGTGGCGTACCAACTGATTTTGACACGGTTCGCGTATGACTGCGTTCATAGAACTGGATAAGATCATCCCATAGGTACTTGGACGAGCATGTCTGCTGCCCGACCCGCGCCGGGTCTGTCTTGATCAGCTCCTCTGCTCCGAGGTCGTCGCCAGCCACGAACTGCGCCAACCCCGTCCAGCCTTCATCCCATGCCTTCAGAAGGGCTTCTGTCTCCACCTCGTCGTCGCGAGCGTCGGCCTCCAGGTGGGACCTCAACACTTGCGACCCGATGTGTGCGAAAATCTGCTCGTAATGTTCCGTCTCCGGTCGTCGCGCAAGCTGTTGCCACGAATCCTTGATGATGACCTGAACGCCGGCCGGCCGCCCGTCTTCGTCCATGCGAACACCAGTAGGTTGGCCCTGACTGTCCACCTCCAGAGCCGACCATACCGTCGTGGCGCGGGAGAAGAGACCAGGGTTGATGAACACCAGGTCATACAGGAGATACCTGAAGTCGTACATTCCGCCCGCACCCCTGACAGTGACCCAGCGGCACATCTTCCACACGTGTTCGTCATACTGCACACCTCCCGCGTGTAGTGCTGCCTCCAGCTCCTCCCGATCGTCTCGCGTTGGTAGTTGGACAGTCGGGTCGGCCCCAACGATGTCACACCCTTCGTGGAGTGGGTTGACAAGACGCCATAGGAACTCGTGCAAAACCGCGCCACCCTTCTCCGAGTACTTGAACGCCGGCGAGCAGACAGCGCCCGCGTGGTCGAAACGGTAAATCCGTGCGTCTCCCCCATATACGCCGATGACGAAGACAAACAACCTGCTTTGAGCGACTAGGATGTTTCGTGCACTCTTGGCTAATTGTACCAGAGCCTCATCGTTCTCCTGCGACCTATATTGCTTGGGGACGGCCTTCTCGGTGCTCTTCGCCTCGAACACGATGGAGATGTTCCGCCAGCGATCGCGAAATCTCCCTGAGAACGTTTGGCCAGGAAGGGATGCGACGACATCGGGCTTAGTCGCGTGGTGATTGGTCTGGTATTTCTCGAATGGGAAGTCGATAATCTCGTGGGCGTTGTTGTGGAAGCACAGTCGTCGCTCGGGAGGGAAATCCACAACCAGTTTCGCAAGTCCAGAACACTGGACGAGCGTTAGCCAGTAATTCGCACCTGCGCAACCCCTTCACTTACCAGAGGTTCAGACATATGGGACTCATCCTTCCCCACCGGAACTTTGAACGGTTGTCGCGCTTTCAAGGGCGGCGGCTTCACGTCTCCGGGCACAAAAACGTGCAGGAAGTCGTCCATAGAGCCATTGATGCTTACGATTTTTCCGTCGAGCTCGCTCCGCCATGCCTCCATGTCTTGCTCATTCGCCTGCCTGACATCGCGCTGACGAAACCGGTAAACGTGCCGCCGATTCGACTGTGGAGTAGAGAAAGCCATTGGAGATGGCTGTGATGCGGCGGCTGGATGCGGGTAGTGGGGGTAGCTACAGCGGGAGCTGCACGGGGGGCCGCGCGAACGCGACACCTGCGATCTTTTGAACCGGTGTGGCATTGTCGGAGATTCAAGTCGATGGCCAACGATGTGTTAAGTGTTTAAAACTCGAATTCTGTCTGATGGGCCACTCATGAGTCAGTCCCGCTTTTGCACTCAAACAGGAAGGTCGATACAGCTTACCGTCCGATAAATGCTCGTGACGTCGATAGCTATTGTCGTAAGAGACAGTGAAGCAGCCAGGTAAACCTCTGTGACACAGGGCTGTGGTCAACAGGCGCAAATCGCGTCACGGTGTATGCTGAGGGCGTAGATGAGGAGGCAACGACGGCGAGACGACGCCACAACCGCGCTCATGGATCAGGCGGAGTCTGAAATGTCAGCCACGTGGGGAGTTCAGATGCCACACGGCCGATACCGTCGTACCGATCAACCGCTTCCATTGTTCATCTGCTTATGGAAGGCGTTGTCTTTGCGGCCTTGGCACCTCGCGCTGTCAGTGTCACTTCAGCGTACATTCGACTAGCACTCGCAAGGGGACGAACACCCCTGCGAAGCTGAACATCTAGTCACCAGGCGTCAAGGCCTTAAGGCCTCCGAGTGTAGCTGAAGTCAGATCATACGGAGTATCTACTGTACGTTGAGCTTCACAACACGTGGAGGCCACGGCCGCCTGACCATCCTCGACAGTCATATACAGACTGAGTATACATGTGTTGACCCTGGATGTTTGTGAGGCTACGAGCAAAGCCGCCTACATCGCCCAGGCCCAGCGTGTACTACTGCTAGTACGTCGACATTGTAGCCGAAGGAATGTCAGGCGCAGACGTCGTTACTGCGTCACATCAGGTTGCGTCGACATCAAATGAGCTATTTATCATGAGAGTGCAAATTGCGGACGGTGTCAGCTGAGAACTACATCATCATGTGAAGAAAGCAGGGTACAAGAGCAGCGCTACATCGATAGCGGTCCGGCGGCAGAACTACGTACAGCATAGCGAGTATATATACAACAACACAGCGATATGAACGGTGACAAGCGGTAGCGAATAGATGAGAGTCACGTTCGACTTCATCGCTTTCGGGGCGGCGTTGGACGTAATTTCCAGGATGCTTGAGGAAGCAGCTTAGACTGCTCGCTGTCGGGCCTTGACCGCTTCGATGGCCCGACATCGAGATCGTCGTCGACGCCGAGGTCTTCCTTGGAGCGTTTCCGACCACGGTGACGAGCATCGCCACTGGCATCGCCCTGCCCCGCTTGAGTGGACGTAGACGGTTCGGGCTCTCCAGCAGAACTATTGGGCGGATGCGACGGGGGGCTCCTGAAATCGGGTGAGATAGCGTGGAGACTCGCCATCAGGTCTTCCCCTCGCGGGTCCCAAGGGGGAGATGGCGACCGACTCGCATCGTGGGCCGGCGTGAAACGGAACAACGCAGCGGGCAACGCAGCCGAATGAGACGAGGATGCCCTCTGTGAGGGTGGCGTAGGCGACACGGGATCGGGTATGTCTTCCCGGTGTATCTGCGCGACCGGTCGTGTCCATGAATCTTCAGGTGGTCTCGATCCAGAGCTGGCCGTGTGCGGTGTCCGAGGCGCGTTGTTGCCATCTGGTGCAGGATTCCGTCGTCCCAGACTCTGTCGGGCACGGGACTCTATCTGGCTTCCAGTCACGGTATCTTTGGGTCGTGCTTGGCGGGCTGGCACCCCGTCGACGCCCTGCGCAGGTGCCCATGGTATTGCCTTGTCGTCCACCGGCCAGTCCTCGCGCGCAAGTGCGTCGTCAAAGATCTGCAGCACGGTCTGGTATGTCACTGGACTGGTGACTTCCGGCTCGCCCCAGGGAGTGTGGTTTTTGCGGCATAACACCGTGAAACGACGGAGCAATTCGCTCAGAGGCTCGTTGTCAGTCACGAAGAAAGGCTGCGCGAGCCAACCGATCTTGAAGTAGGCGCTTCTTTTTTCGTCAGGCGCGTCCACGAATGACTTGAGCATGGTGTACTTGTCACTGTTATGGTTGCAATGCCTGAGAATGAGCCAAACCAGGAGCCAAAAGAACGACTCCAGATCATGTCGTATTTGATGGACGACACCGCCCACAAGGACTTCTATGGCCATGAAACAGAACGTGCCCTTTGACATATGTGCATGAGTACCGAACGGCAAGCCAAGACATAAATGGAACTCACTGTGCGCTGCTTGCATTCATCCCTGATCTTCTCCGGGTCTGCAGTCCCGATGTCGGTAGTCACTGCGTTCGGTCTTGCTCCTCTGTTAGGCTCGCCCATCCCAACGGCGTCGTTGGCATGCTGGGCCGACAACTGTTTACGGTCCTCGCGCGGCAGACTAAGCCAATGGGAAAAGGCTACACAGCCCCGGACGTTCTGGAGGGGTTCCCACGAGTTCCACTCATTCCCGTAACCCGTCCACTTCACCAGATACCTCTTGCCCTCCGCCGTCTTCCGCTCCGCGATGACCGCATCCACAAAGTACTCCTCTATGCCCTGTCGGTTTATGACCGGACGGGGGGGCGGGACGGTCTTCTCCTTAGTTCCTTGAGCTTGGTGCGCATGTTCGGCAGCAAGAGCACGGCCGTCAACGCCCTCCCTCGGCTTGCCCTTCCCAGTCCGGGCGAACTCCTCCCAGCTCTCGATGGTATCCTCGTAACCCAATGCGTAAAGCGTCGCCTTCCAGTTGAAACCGTAGTCCAGATCGTGCAGAAAGCCTCTGCCATCCACGCTCATCACGTTCCCTTCACTGACGTCACGCTGTACAACGCCCGCTTCAAAGGCCAGTTGATGCCCTGTAACAGTGCCGCGACAAGCATGAGCGACCTGAGAGAAATAGAGCGAATGTCGAACATACCGTATATGGCGTCACGAAGCACCTGCACCATCTCTCTCGTCCTGCGGAACTGCGAGATCGGGGTACCGATGGTAGTCGATACGAGACGCATATGGCTCCTCTCGAACCACTGGTGTGCGCCATGGCACTGGTGTACACCGGTCCACGTCCGATGCCCGACTGGGGCCTCCACGTCCGCTCGAAGTTCTTCATCTTCTCCGAGGTCGGCGCCCAACGAGAATGCTGCTAAGCCACGCCACTCTGCGTTCCATACCTCCATGAACGCTTCCTCCGCGGCCTGGTCCCATTGTTCACTGTCCATGTCGGTGGGCAGGAGATGCGGCGCAACGTGCGCACGAATGCGCTTCCAGTGCAACAGCTCGGCGTCGCGTGCCAGCTGACGCCATGATTCCTTGATCACAACGTGAGTCCCAGTCGGCTCGCCATCATCGTCGAGCTCCAGAGCTTTCCAGATCGTTGTTGCCCGGGAGAACAAGCGCGGATTGATAAAGAGCAACTCGTAGACGAGATACTTCTTCGCAGGTTGGTTTTCAGCGGGATCGATGGTGACCCACCGGCATGCCTTCCGCGTCTCGGAAGTGACCTCGACATCAGCTTTGCGCAGGGCCCGAGTTACTCCGCGTGACGCAAACCGGACAGTCGGGTCCGCCCCGACGATGTCACAGTCCTCGCGTATCGGATGGACAAGTCGCCAGAGAAACTCATATAGGACCGCGCCGTTGTCCTCTCCGTACTTGAACGACCGTGTGCAGACAGCACCAGCATGGTCGAATCGGAAGATACGCGCTGTCGACCCGTAGACTCCGACTGCGAATGCGCATAGTCGGCTTTGGGAAACGAGAATGTTGCGCGCACTCTTCGATAGCTGCACCAATGTCTCGTCGTTCCTCTCCGAGCAGTAGAGCATGGGGTCTTCGCTCTCCACGTTCTTGATTTCGAATACAACGGAGATGTCCCGCCAACGATCGTGGTCGTCATCCTTGTTCCGGGGAGCGAACGTGCGACCAGGGAGAGACGCGACGACGTCCGGCTTCGTCGCGTGCTGGTCCCGCTGGCATAGAAGGAAAGGAAACTTGATCTCTTCGTGCGCGTTATTGTGGAAAGACAGACGCTTTTGTTTTGGGAAGTCCTTGACTAGGTTCTTCAGCCCGTCGCACTGGATGTTCATCAGCACCATGATCGTGCAAATCTGCGGTGGACACATACCAAAGGCTTGTACATATCTGTCTCCTTCCCACCGACCGGCACATGAAAAGGGTCTGCGGCCTGCGAGGGAGGCATCTCCGCGACGCTGGGCATGAAGTAGGATAGAAATAGCTGGATATCGATGTCCATCTCCACGATCTTGCCCTCGACCTCGCTCCTCCAGCCGTGCTTGTTGACTTCGCTCGACTGCAGAGCATCTGCCTGAATAATCGTATAGACGCGCGATTTCATCTGACGGGGTGTTGGTTGCGCCATCGGAGGAGAGGTAGTTCGCCGACGAGGCAAGTGGATGTCGGGAGGGAGACTGCAACGGGAGCTGCACAAAGGCGCGTGCGAGCGCGATCTCCGCGACCCTTTGAACAGGTGTGGCATGTCGGAGATTGAAGCTGATAACTCGTGTTGGTTTCAAAATGGAACTGTCGCTCAGGCACCCCAAATTCTGTCTGATGGGCCGCTCATGAGTCAGTCATTGTTTCTTAGCCCAAAGGGGAGGCTGATATGGCTCACCTTCCAATAGTCGCTTAATTTACGGATGATCTGCCGCTAAAGTTGCAGAGTCCCGACTATACACAAAGCCTAGGCCTAACGCTTGCAGGCTATGCGTGGAAATCGCGTCGTAAGATACGCCGAGCGCACAGAATGAGGAGGAAGAAACAATGAGTGGACAGCGCCACAACCGCGCTCGTGGATCAAGCGGAGTCTGAAACGTGAGCCACGTGGGAATTTTTGATGCCGCACGGGTGATACTGATCTACCGCTGCTATTGTCCGTCTGCTTTTGGCAGGTGGTGACTTCGCGACCTTGTTCTCTTGTCGCCCGGTCCCGGGATTAGAGAAGCCACCCCATATTTAGAAGCATCTGGTTCTTTCGGCGGCAGTACACGTTGAAGCGACGCGCAACGGCCTACAATGGCGCGGAAATCCTTATAGGGCTCTCCAGCGGCGGCACTGCAGTGAAATGAGTACGTTTGTTGCGCGTCAAGTCACTGTCTACCGCGAAACGATGCAAGCCGGATGGTTGGCGCCGCTGCAAGATTTCGCAGTTCTTGTGAGTGGAGCGGACGAATCGCCAGAATTTGGAGAACTCGTAGAGGATGGCGCCATCGTATGGCGGCTCGCCGTCCGTGTCAGTCAACGCAGCCGGCGAGCACTGTCAGTCACCTGGTCAAGCAGATGGCACCAGCGGTCCGACACCGATGGATACGCGCTCTTGCGGCATAAATGCAGATTGCAAAGACAAACAGTCTGTTCTGAACAACAAGGATGTTTCCACTTGCCAGAACGTTTCGATGGCCCAGGTTCTTCGTCATTCTGCCCCAAGTTCTTGTTTGACCGAAGTTTTCGCGGGCCCGGGCCTGTCTTAGGTCCGCTTTGACCGCTCGCAGTATCTGCGGACGAATTCCAAGTCGGCGAGAACCGGCGGTGACTGTGATCCGTTCAATCGGTGGGGGAGAGTCCGGCTCGCTATCCTGCGGGGAGCTCGACTCGGATGATGCAGCCGCAGAATCGACTGCTCACCATGGCCCTTGGCCGACGCACCTCGGGCCACGCGGCCGCCCACGCCACAAGCGCGTCGAAGAATTAAGACGGAGCCCCAATCTCCGTGTGTGGCTCGGTGTGGCTCCGCACGTGCCACGATACATAGCAAAAAAACCATCGCCTCCATTTGTCTGTCTACTTTTGGCAGGTCTTGTCTATGCCCCTGCTCTCTTCGCCTGGGACGCTTCGCGATAGCCGCCACGGGTCTGAAAACAAACGATATTTGAAATACAAACAATGTTCGAAACTCGACGCATGTGTACGGCGTTGTGGTACACCAGGATGGCATTACTCCTTTTATACGCATATCCGGTGAATTCGTTGACATCTGTTTGGCATCTCCCACATGCACATCCGCCGTCTTCGCGTTTCCCTTTATGATCGGCATTTGACTCATCTGATGACCTTCCCTTTCAAGGATAGGTTCATCATGGTCAGCCTCATGATTTGCTTTAGCTGCTTGCTATGAACCTAGTCCTCCTCGAGCTCCACATTAGGGGCCCGAGCAGCTGTTTGTCGCCCCTACGTGTGCGCAAACATTGCCTATCGTAACCTCCGTCACCTCCGGTTTTGTCATACTCGTTCAAGCAACCTCTGAGCAAGCTTCAAGCAAGCCCTACCAGCCAGGCGGAGCGAAGCGAAGCAATCCCTTGTACACGTTATAACGTTACATGGACTTGGGTGAGGCTCCTGGACCCGCTCGTTGTGAATGTGCGTATCATATTCTGTCACATCTCTTTGTACCCTTCCTTGTCCACCGATCCGCATACTCACAAACTCACACGCAGGCCACCGTCGGTGTTGGTTGGGAGACAATGCACCCCAGAATCTGCAGACTGGGAACAATCGTTCCGCGTACCACAGATAGCCACTCATTGTAAGACCAATCAAGCATCGATCGATTGTATGTGATCACGCTCGCTGTATGTGGCTCGCGGGCCATGTACCCACGCGGCCGCAGGTACTTTATGTGACCGGCGCCGCGAAATCGGCTTCTATTCTACCTACTACCATCTCATTGCTTTCTCAAGCCTGGATCGTCTGCAACGCCACTTCGACAGCTGAAGGTACTCAGCCTTGGTCGACAACATCATGCCGACAACCCGTTCTGCCGACAAGGCACAGAAGAGTGCCACCAGCAGCTCCAGGGAGCCAGGGCGAAGCCACTGCGGTGGCGAGTTGACTGTGGTCGGAAACGACGCAAGGAGCTTTCTGAAGCAGTGTATCAACGAGGCAGACATGCCGACGCCCGTGTGTCCTCGCCCGGAGAAAGGTGTCTTCAAGATGCCCAGCAATAACGATGACAACTATGGGCACAGCTTGACAGACACGATAGTGAGTAGAGCACCAGCATCCTGCGTTTGCGCAACGAGCCACTGATTGCGGCACAGACGAACGGACTCAAGACCCTCGTTCAGTCTTTCCCTCGCGAAAAGCACATCGCTTTTGGCAGCAAACACGGCCAGAGGATCCCGCTGCAACTCGGTGTTCCCGGCTGCCAGTGTGTCGGGTCACCGAGCATCATCGCAACGCTCCCCCTGTATCCCGTCCTCCCGGTCATCGCCGGTGCCACTTGGTGGGACATCTCCATTTTCGTAGACGTCAACACCGCGGAGACGGACGACCCCATCGCAAAGTCCCGCAGTAGCCACGCCGCTACCCTTCAGCACATCGAGGAGAGCGCCAACTGTATGATGGTCGCGCAGGGGCGGCTCTTCGTCTTTGCGATCGGGGTGTACGGCCGCCTGGCGCGTATCTACAGGTTCGACCGTGCGGGGATCATGGCGTCTCCGGCCTTTGAGTATGCAGAGCACCCCGAGATTCTGCACGAGTTCCTGTGGCGGTTCCTCAACCCGTTCGAGTATGGCTGCATAGTCGTCGGCAGTGATCCCACCATTCGGGAGCTCACGGACGGGGAGTATAGCTGGGCACATGGAGGTGTGCGTCAGTACGAAAAGGACGAGGAACGAGACGGGAAGTTCATCGAGCGCCAGGACGTATGCAGGTGGTTCTCTTTCAGGAATGGTGAAGGCCGCCGGATAGAATACCTCGGGTACAAGATCGTCTCCGCCAGCGTCGACCATGTCTTCGGCCGGGGAGTCGTCGTGTGGAAGGCGCTGAGCAAGGGAGAGAAACGTGTGATCATCAAGGACGTGTGGAGGTCGGTATCGAAACCGTCGGAGATGTCCCTCTACGACGACGTCCAAGCGTACTATCAGCAGATGCAAGCGGACGACTGGGAAGGCGACATACCTCTGCTGAGAGTCCCGGGTCTCGCGCTCATGGCACGGGGAGAGAGCTTGGGCGAGGCGGAAGAACGTCTACGGCGACCTGGCCCCCGGGCGACGCGCACTGGGCCTGCTATCCTCACGGACATGAGCCATCGCGACTTGGGACTTCCAACGGGGCACCAAACTATGACCGCGAGACTGATAGGCAAGGATGACTGGCGCGACCACGAGAAGGACCACGACCGACTTGTCATCGAGACGGTTGGGACGCCGTTGACCCACTTCGGACGGACGAAAGAGCTCGTCGAGGCTTTCCGTGACGCCATCCTGGGTACGCCATTAAAGTTGATCTCGTCTGTGCGTCGCTTGCTGAGCCTTCTGGCTTGATATCATAGGACACAAGTATGCGTTCGAGGCCGGCGTGATTCACGGCGACGTGAGCGAGAGAAACATCCTTCTCGACCAGGAAAAATTTGCGGACGTCAAAGGGTTCTTGCACGACCTCGCTAATGGCTTCAATTGGAAAAGGTTCCTTCAGTCTCGCGGATGGACAAACGACATTGAAAGCTGGATCCAGTTCGTGGAGACAGGCAAAGGGATAGTGTCTGAAGACGGTGAGCAAACCGGGAGACGGAGAAGGACCCCCAGGCCTAAGGATGACTCTGCGCCGGGATATGGCTGCGCTCACCGAACGGTCAGTGCATTGGCGCGGGATCCTTGCACCGTACTAATTAACTCTCGTCCACAGGGAACGTACGAGTTCTGCTCTGTCAACTCCCTCCAAGAGCAGGCAACGGGGTCCCCACCACGATCCGGCTGGGTACGCGACGAGTCCGACGACTTGGAGGCCTTCTACTGGGTCCTCGTCTGGGTGCTCATATCCCTGCGCTTAAGCACCATCAGGCACAATCTCGGGCAGGTCGAGCTCCGTACCCTCTTCCCCGCGCACCCTCAACACCGCGCCGCCTTCAACATCAAGCTGCGGTGGCTGAAAGCGAACAACATCCGCGTGGTGCAGGAACGCCAACTGAACACGCTGCTCAATGAGTTCCGCGCGCTGTGCTACCGGAACGTCATTTGCTTCGCGTCCGACGCGCAGCCGCGGATCCCCCTGACGCATGACGCGGTGTTGGAGATATTCAACCAGGCTCTCGAGACGGATGGCTGGCCGGAACGTCCCCCTAAGCCAGATGACAAGAGTGTACAGCGAACCGCAGGCAGGACCCGGGTCGAGGGTCAAGCGCAAGTCCAGCGCGACCAAGAGCAGATAATTCCACAAGCAAACGTGCACGCTCGAGATGATGGAGGAAAACGTCAGACTCGGAGGGCCAGGATGGCAAGTAATGTTTAGGGATCTGGATGTACTCTAGATGTACTACTATCACGTATACGTTGTGCGATGTATGTACTTATGGCCTTACCGTTACTCAAGTATTCAGTACTCAGTACAGTACTCAGGCCTCAGGCCTCAGGCCTCAGGCCTTCAGGCCCCAGGCTTATTGTAGCTTAATCGGTGCTGTCAGCTTTCGACCGCAGGACTTGACTCGAGCGCTCTCGTTCTTCTGATTATGGACGAGTCGAGGCCAACTTAAACCAGTACTCATATCCAAGGACATCGAAAAGTTCGGCGAAAGACCAGCAAGTCAGCTGGGAAGCTATTCACCCACTAATGCACGCACATTAGTACAAGTTGAAGGAACGATACAAACGATACAAATGCAATACAATTGTACTAACAGTGGCCCAGTAATGCAATTTTCGGACATTTACTTAACTATCTCTTCCCCTTCTCCTCGGATTGTCTCGGAGTTTGCACCATTGGATTCCTGAGGTTCAGAGCAATCCATTCTGATTTTACTACGCGTCCACGGGAGGAGTGAGAGAAGACCGAGAGCAAAAAGCAAGTGGTATAGTAATGCAACTATTCTCCGAGGCTCGTCACGGCGAAGGTCACGATGCCGACGCTGCCGGTAATCAAGATCCGCTCGCCGAGAGCTGCCGTCGGTGGCGAATGTGGCTGGAGAGACCAACTGGAGACATCGCTGCAACGCAGACGCTGAGACAGTAATGCAACTGGGCGCTTGGCCGAGTCGCCGACAGCTCACTCGCCCAATCTCACTGAGATGTTTGATCCAGTCAACGAAGGCCTGTTCTTGAGCTGGCCTGAGCAATTTCTGGGTTGCATGTGCAGCTGAGCGAGGCTTTGTCTCCCCGTGTAGTCGGCGGAGGACAGTAGAGTAAGGAGCACGTGAGCACCATGACGTACGAGGAGCAGTAGATTTAACATTGACGTTACCTACCACTGTACCAGACTGAGCATTCTTGATAGCGGGTTCGACCTCGGCTTCATGTGCGCGAGACCGAGGAAGTCTGGGCATCCACTGGTGTAATGAATATCTGCGTCGCCACACTGCTTCGCCCACTGGACACCGTCAGACACGGAGCGCTTCTGATGACGGCAAGGGCGGAGTTGAGATCTGTTGATCGGGGGTGGCTGCTTGTCACGCCTCAACTGCAACATTCTCATTGACCTGCTTGTAGGTTGGCGGATTGTCTCGGAAAATTGTAGGAGAGCTCGTTGAATGATATAGAATCATGCTATGAACTTTTCAGACATATCGGTTATAGGATGAGGTCACCCGAGATAGTCCCCGCGTCATGATTGAGCAAAAACAGTGTTTATTGATTTATGCAGAGCAGGTACTATACTTTCTCCCTCTCGAAAAATAGATAGGGACGTAGGCAGTCATTCAAAGTATGCTACACAAAAATCCCAGAATATCCGGAGGGACGAGCGAGGGCAGAGTTCAATAATTGCATTACTGTACCAGTTGCATTGCAGGGCCACTGATAGTATCAAGCAATAAGAGATCGTTGCAGCGGCACACTAATCATCGCCGTGTGAGCTGGCGACGTCACTCAGACTGGACTCGTCCCGCATGTCCGTGTCCTGCTCTTCCGTGCTGGGGGTACTTGCCCCCGTGACAGAGGGAGGCTCAGGGTCATTAGTGCTGTGCGAAGCACCCTCGGAATGGTCAGCCTTTGCCTTTTCTGCCTGCTTCTTTTTCCACAGGTGCGCCATCTGCAAGAACTGGAAGGACGTCGGATTCGATTCCCTCTCGTCGTCGGGAAAGACCATATCCCAGACCAATTCTGCATACGAGGGTCAGACCAGTGTCACAGGCAAATAGCTGGGTTACATACCTTCCTGGCCATCGCTGGCCTTCACCCGACGCGCACTGACGATGGGGATCTTGGATTGGACCTTCTGGACATCTTCCGGTGTCCCGTTCTTCTCCTCGAACGTCTTCCATACCTCCAGGAGCGCAGCCCGCTCGTCCTTCAGGCCCTGCTTCCTCAAGTCCGCATAACCCCTCTCGAATACCTGTCTCGCACGCTCGACGTCACCAGGTACCATTTCCGTCTCTTCTTCTTCCTCCTCTTCCTCCCGCTCCTCCCGGAGTTCCCGCGCGACAGGGATGGGCGCAGCCTCAAACTCCGCGTATGCGATCCACACTTTCCAGTGGCCGCTGAGGGCGACGAGCCGCTCGTAGAGCGCACGCGCGCCCTCGCGGTTGCCCTCCTCGATCTCGAAGTCGATGTAGGCCTTCCAGAGCACTTCAGGCATGGCGAGTGGCTGCTGTGTGACCCCAAGCTCAAAGATGGCGCGTGTGCGCGCAAAGTCTTCGAGCTGAGACTCGAGTTCGGCGTACTTCACCCAAGCTGATGAGTTGCTCGGATCAAACTCGATGTACTTCTCGTACAGCGTCCGGACACGATCAAACTCGCGCAACTAAGATAGCAGTTGAGCAGACGTAGCTCGACGGGGCAGCGTTCAGATACTCACATCAAGCTCAAGCTGAATGTAGCCCTTGAAGAGCGCCTCCTTGGGGCACATTCCGATTGCCGCACCGAGGATTTTGCGGGCAGCCGGCAAGTCCAGTCGCCGCACCTCGAACTTTGCGAACATGAGCCAGAGTTTTGCGAACGTAAACTGTTTGTGTGGGACGACCCCTATTGCTGTCTCGTACACTTGTCGTGCCCGCGCGTAGTCCTTTATGCGCCTCATTAGATGTATGCACCTTCACATGAGAGCGAATAACATACCTTCGTCTCGATCTCCTCAAATAAAGCATAATTTAACCAGAGGAATATATACCGCCGCCAATGCCGTTTTTGTCCCCCTGGCGGGACATGTGCCACAGCGCGCTCGTACACCTCCCTCACACGACCGACAGCAGCCTCAACTTCTTGTGGCGTTGCGCCTTCGTCGCGACCATCGCGGAGTGCACCTTCCTCCAAGCGCGAGTAGTCGAACCAGGCGTCGTAGTTGTGGCCGTCTTGGGCGAGTTCGTCCTCATACTGTATACGCCGCTTGCCAAGGACGGTGGTCTCAAGCGTCGACCGCGTTCCATGCTGCTTCTCAAATTTGGTGTACGCAGCATAGAGCCCGGCCGACTTTGAGCGGGGGATGCGGGACAATGCAAACTTGTAGATCACCCGGGCGCGCTCGTACTCCTTCAACCTCGTCTCCATCTTCGCAAAGGCGCTGAACACGGCCTGCGCTTTCTCGACCTCTTCTTCGCCGTCTCCGAAGAACTCGAGCGCGGTCTGGAACACCTCGCGTGCCTTGTCGAGTTTCGCCCTCTCCTCCTCAAACTTCGCCCACTTGACCCAATTCCGTGGCTCCGGACGCACGGCAATCCATCGTTCGTAGATCGCGCTCGCCCGGTCGGGCTCGCCGTACCGCGCCTCCATCTTGATGTACGCCTGCCACGCCTTGTCGTCCGGCTCCCACTGCATCCATCGCTCGAACACCTGGCGGGCACCGGGGACGTTCTGCAGCAGCTCCTCGAGGTAGACGTACTTGTACCAGAGCTGGTCAACCCGGGGAAGTAGGGTGACGGCACGATCGAACAGGTTGCGAGAGTGTTGAACGTTGCGTCCCTTGAGCTCCATTTCGGTGTAGCTTAGCCAGAGCTGTACGCTCCGAGGGTCCACGTCCAATGCACGCTCAAAGACCGAGCGCGAGCGGGCGTACTCGCCTTGGCTTGCCTCCCAATTTGCGTATTGAAGCCATTCTTTGCTGTTCTGACGTTTAAGAATTCATTGTCTGCCATAGTCTGGAGTGTACGCACATGTTTGACCTCGTCTGCCTGATCCGCTTCTCGAACTCCTCCCGCTTCCTCCCTCGGTACTCGTGCAACTCCTCAAAATCCTCTACACGCTGCTTAGGAGCCCGGAACTGCGACTCTTGGCGCTCCTGTGCATCGCGAAGCAGCTGTTCCGCGGTGACTTGGATGGCAGCAGGTGCCCGGTTCTTGATGCTATGCACAGTTCAGTGCCCCCGAAGCGACCTCGAATAGACTGCGTACCGTGGTGCCCGGCCGTCTTGCATGACGTCTTAATATGAGTGCCAACCGAAAAGTGATTCGTGCAAGCACTAGAGCACTGAGCACAGTTATGGCCTGGTTGTGGCAAAAGCCAAACGAGGAGGAGGGGTAAGAGTGAGAGTGAGTGGCCCACGGAGCTAAGTCGCGAGATCAACATGCCTATTTGCGGTAATCACAAATTTACTTATCACTGTACTGACTGACATAAATACTATTATTGTAGGCCCACTATGGTGGCAAGTAAGTAAGTGGGAATCATTGCTTCTGTGTAGCGCCTTGCTTTTTGTTGTTGTTGTTGGCTCCTTTTATTGTCACTGAGGGCGTAGCCCTATGTAGACATGATCCGTACATGATGCAGTCCATAGTCCGTCAAGTCTCTCGGCTGTGCATGCTCGAACGTCGGGGACGTCGAGATGGGGGGGCGGTGCAGTAGGAGCGCCTTGCTTAACGGACCTTATGGCCATCATAGCGTCGTACAGAGTATGGATACATTCAAAGAAGGTTCCGAGTATACAACAGCAATGATGTTTGCTAACACATCAACGTACATAACGACTCCTTATTGCGCCTTCCTAGATTTAAGCTTCTGAGATTATGACGTCTTTACGGCCGCCGCGCCGCCCCCTCTCCCTGCCCGCTCAAGGGTTCCATCTACGAGTTCGTACGCAGGCCGGTACCGACACCGGCAGATATCGTCATCCGCGAGACAATGCATATCCGGTACGCCGTTCACGACTTCCAGCCGCCCTGCGTCCGGCAAGGAATCAGCATGCCCGTTGCCCCGGCCATTAATTACGGTAGATGTGATTGTGCTGTGGGAGAAGTCCGTCCCGGCATTGTGGTAGCATGCGTTCTGGGGATCTCCCTGGATCATCTCGAGGACGTCTGGGAGGGGGTCACACCCAGTGCTGTCCGCGATGCATTGCTTCAACGGGTCTGTCGGGATCACCTCGAAGCGAGTAGGGAGCGTGTCCGGAGCGTCGCAAGAGGAAGGAGGGGTTGGGGTGGCGGGGGCGTGTGGGTGGGTGTTATCGGGGTCGCTGAGTGATGACGGTGCAGGGGTAGGGAGCGAGGGCAGTGCCACGTCCTTGGAGGTCTCTGATGAGTATACTGAGTGTACAGAGCAGGTCCCACATGCAGGCTGGATGAGCAACGCTGGGTTGCGGAACGTGTTGTAGGTCGAGCCGAGTGAAGTGTACCTGCAAATGATGTTTATACACTCGTTAGCACTTGGGTCGACAACAGCGGTAGGGACATACCCTTCGTCGTACAGATCGCAATACGGCACATTGAACCGTCGCAGATAGTCCCACACTGCTCCGTAGGACCAGTTGATGATCGGGTTCACGCGCTCAAAGGCAGGCCACCCGGGATCAGTCGTATTGCGGAATGTTAGCGTCGCTACATCCATGTCAGTTCCGGGTCTCGGAGGTGTACTGCAGCTCTGAGCGGACGAGCGACGCTTCGTCCGCGCTAACTACCCAGGGTTGAGGGCGCTGCGCTCATCCACAGAGCTGCAGCGCCTGACAGGTCTGCTCACCTCCATGGGGGTCCGACCTCCTCGTGCCAATTAATATGGCGTCGATATGCGGGAACTGCTCCTTGTAGACCTCCAGAGCGCGTTTCATGCCCTCTCCGCCCTTCGCTTTCAACGTGGTACCCGCCCCTGCGATGACGCCGTTCGTTGCTGCGGGGCCGGGCGTCGCGGGCCCAGCGACGGTCTCCACAGGAAGCTCCGGCTCGTCGACTGGACAGTGGAAGAGGTCTAGGTTGTACTGCTTTGCGGTTTCGAGGTTGAATACTTCGAGCTGCGGGAAGGGCGAGGGCACGGGGATATAAACCGCGGGGATAGGTCGGGATGCGAGGCTGCCTCGTCGGCCGAGAGATGCTGCGAGCAGATGAAGGAGGACTGTACCTAGATACCACAAGACTTAGCCAAGTCTACTGCTGACCACAGCAGAAGTCAAGGACGTACAGTCCTTCCCGCCGTTGAAGCTCAGTGAAACATGGTCCGGCCTGGTCGATGCGTGAAGCCTACGACAAGACGACGTTGCCAGATGGGACTCACCCGAACACATTCAGTGCATCATCTATAACAGCCAGAGCCTCCTTCACCAGATGCGAGAGCGGGTCCGACTGCGCCGCGAGGGTATACACCTCGTTCGATATCTTCCCGAAGTCTACCATGTTCGCCACAGCACTCCAATCTAAGGCGCAGTCCCACAGATAGTCGAGCTCGTCGAAAGTGAAGAGTCTCGGCGTAGATGATCCCCCGTAGCGTCACGGTAGAGGATGAGTAGAACGCGTGAGTTCTGCGAGCCGTGGCCCGTAACGCCGAGGTTTGATCTCCGTATGCGATTAGATCTCCCCACATTCACCAACGCTCGAGCACATTCCCACAGAGGCAAATGCAATTATCGACTGCAAATCGACTGTGGGTTCAATGTGCCATCTATAGGTCGCTCGGAGGCTGTGGAGGAGGAGGGTACCCGGGCAGATCCAGCGAACGTGAGGATTAACTTCGCTTTACGGTATCCACAACGAGGACTCGGACGAAGAACGGGGGGAAGAACATCGCAAAGACAGCAGACAACAGTGCACGAGAACGAAACACAAGGCATCAATGGGAGAATAAGGCCCTTCCTCTTCACTCCTTCTCAAGCTCCCTCTTCGCTACGGTCGGCGGCGACCCTAGATCTGCCCCGACCGCACCATTCCCGGCTAGGCCACCCACTCGCGAACCTGTGAAACCCTCAACGGGTATGTTTTCTGCACCCACTTCCTCGTGTGACGGGCCTCCTCGCTTTGGCTCCGGCTGTACCTCAGCGGAGTGAGATTCGGCGGGCTGGAAGCGCGAAGGTAGAAGCTGCTTCCTGCTCTCGTGTGCCCACTGCACGACGCCGGCACGCGGACCAGCGTCATACGTGAGAAGAGCGAGGCGGACTAGCAGGTAGACACCGAGGATTGCCGTCGTCAGGAATAGTGAGACACCGAATAGAAGGAAAAGCGTCCCAAGGAACAATATGCCTGGGAGTTCATTAGACTTGAGTTCCACAGACGCATACAATGCCGTATATACGTGCCAAACAACGCCACGATTGCCATAGCAGTCACTAGGGCTGCGGTGAGGGCTGCGCATATGAAGGTAGTAAAGACGAATAATGAAAAGCCGCTACCGACACGAACGCAGTGAGCTCAGCATCCATGTTGAGAATCAGCGGCTTACATGAAGGAGAGAGCTGGTAGCATACTGAGAGCAACAAAAATGATCAAGTACGTCTTGAAGTATGTGAGATTGACAGTTAGTCGACTGAACTGTCTCACAGACTCACAGAGCGTATGGGATGCTGACGAAACGCATTGAGCAGGTTTTCAACAACAGGGCGGGTCACATCGTTCTCGAGCCTGTGCATGACATTGATGAGCCAAGAGTTTTGCTGGCACACTTACACCTACTACCTCTGCAGTGTGTCTCGCACTGTGGTAGCGCTCTTGTCGAAGTAAGATGTCAGGTCGTCATCTTCCGTCTTCCGTATGGGCTTTGAGTCCATGGGAAGCCTATGATTAGGAATCAAAGTCAGTGAAGTTGCACTTTAGTATACGCCCCAATAGCTAGTAGGAGATCGAGTCTGAGGACTCACATATTTGATTGACTGAGGACTTGCGTACCTAGGAGCAAGTTCTTTTCCGACTACGTGCTGTCTGGTTTGGTTCCGTCTCCTTGACTTGACTCAAATGACAGAATGATTGATGCCTTGCATACGGAGTGGAACCTGCGCTGCTCAGATCAGCTTGCCTCGTCAACGGCGAACGCGATGGCAAGCACGAAACCGAACAAGAGCCTGCCAATTGATTCTCGGCTGCCACCCCATTGAATAAAATATCCCAGTACTTGGTCAATTGTGTGACCATAACAAAGCTTTACTCACCGACTGAAGTGTTGTAGACCCTTGTAGACCAAGTTGTGGTATATTCCGAACCGCGTTTGGTGCCACCGACGCGTCATGATCCCCTCCTACCTAAAGAGGAAAACAACAGCACGGACACGTGATCAAAACGCGTAGAGGTAGACGCGCGCCACTGGCGACTTCAACTTGAACTCGAACCGCGACAACCTCAGCCTCGCTCAGTACACGTAACGCTCCGTCGGTCCATATTCCCAGTGTATACGAAACATGGAGGCTCAGTAAGTATTACCTTCCTGGATTTGAACCAGAAATGACTCGCGCCATATGTCGCGCAACGGTGATGGCGTCGCCGTTGAAGGAGCGTGTTGCACAATGTCCTCAGTTTCTGAGGAGTCTCGTGTGACTTTCAGCGGGAGCTCTATGGCGACGGTTGTGACAGGGAGCTTTGCTAGGGTGCGACTGCAAGCTCGACACGGATACAGAGGGGTCCACGGCGGATTCGTGTTCAGCTTGCTGCCAGCGTAGGTGCTCCGATGATGTGTATGGGGCATTGAAGTCGTGCTTCGTGTTACTGAGAGAAAGGGCTTTTTGATGCCATGCTCTACTCTCATGATGATGATAGTGTTTTGGCGACTACTGCCTTTGTTCTGCCTTGAACGAGCCGATAACTGACAGTGCACTGTCGCAGTCGCCGAAGGCTGATGGAACAAGCCAGACAAGATGGATCTATGTACCCTAACGTCACGGGCCTGAGAGTCACAGAGAAGCCCGCCGCGACTCACGCCCAGAATTCGAAGACAGTAATAGTGAGACGATTACCAGTCTTGTGTCAATGCAACGCTCACAACTACTCGTAGAGCATTGACTCGGATAGTGACGATGATGTACAGCCCGTCAAAGCAAAACCGAGAACGCCTCGAGAAGTTATTGAACTCTCTGATTCAGATGGTGAAGCGCCACCACCACCGTACGTCGTCAAGCGTTGTTACGTACTGTAGTATTGATGACAGTTCTAGTCCGCAGCCACTCCGTGCGCATCCTTTGAATGCAGCGAATGCGCGACAGACAACAGCACCCATTGCGAAGTTTCCGCTCAAGCCAGCAGTTCCTATCCATGTCCCGAGCAACCGGGACATCCCGCGGGCGCCCCCGCCTACGAATGACCACGAATCATTCGACATGCGGGTGGCAGACAACATCAACGATGTGCCGATGACCGCCACAGATACCGAGAAGGCAATCCGAGACCTCGTATCCGGCGCGTTCGGCGACATGGAAGTCGAGGTCTCCATCGAGGACGCGGTGGTGCCTGGGTTGGACCCTCAGTTCAGGTTGCTGGCGCACCAAGTCGCGGGCAGGAAGTGGATGGCGGACCGCGAGACTGGCAAGAAGAACGGCGGGATCCTGGCGGACGACATGGGGTGTGTTCAATTCTCGGTGATCCACATAGCATCGCCGATTGATGTTCCAACAGATTGGGGAAGACCATACAGACAATCGTGCGCATCGTGGAAGGACGAGCAAAGAAGCAAGATCAAAAGGAAGGCTGGTCACCGGCGACTTTGTAAGTAATAGAACCCTTCCTTCATTCATTTGCGCGGACTGATCAACGCCATTCTTCGCAGGGTTGTATGTCCTGTGGCCGTTGTGTCACAGTGGGCAAGTGAGGTCGCACGGATGGCGCCTGGACTTATCGTCGTCGAGCACCATGGGCCGAACCGTACAACCGGTGAGTGCTCTCATGTAGTGAATGTGCTTTCCACTAACATCCATCAGACCCCGCGAAGCTGGAGCGTGCACACGTTGTAGTCACGTCCTACACAATCGTCTCTTCTGAACATGGAGTCTATACTGGCGGGGGCACGAACAAGGCACCCAAGAAGAAACAGTCGTTGGATGATTCGGACTCGGACAGTAGTGTAGGCAGCTCGCTGCCTGCGAGGAAGACTACGAGAAGGGCAGCTACGAAAGCGAAGAAAGACGCACTGTTCCGTGTACGATGGTGGCGTACCGTGCTCGGTCTGTGTCAATCACCCTACATCTTCGATGGACTCTGATATATCAATTTGTGCGTACAGATGAAGCCCACAATATCAAGAACCGCAACACCAAGGCAGCGACGGCTTGTTCCGCGCTGGAGAGCAAATTCCGCTGGTGCCTCACGGGTACACCGATGTGCGTGTTATTCACGTAGATAAGCATCAGAGATGCTGATCAAGGCCTTTTGGCTTTGGGTACACAGGCAGAATAGCGTGGAAGAGTTGTTTTCGCTGTTCAAGTTCCTACGCGTCAAGCCTCTGAACGACTGGCCAACCTTCAACTCGCAGATCGCACAACCAATCAAAGCCAACCGTACTGCTCGGGCTATGAAGCGTCTACACGTGAGCGTTCTTGCTGCTATTCGCTATCTTGTGCGCTGGTACTGAAATATCACATCGATAGGTTGTGCTCAGCGCAGTGATGCTCCGTCGGACGAAGGACACCGTCGTGAACGGCAAGCCGATCCTGGAGCTTCCCGAACGGGTGGTTGAGATTGTTGATTGTGCCTTCGATGCCGGGGAGCGGGCGTTCTACGATAAGGTCAATTCGCTGGTGCAGAACAGACTAGAAACTTTGGAACAACAAGGCGGAGCGGCGAGGAACTATACGTCCATGCTCATCCTGCTCCTTCGTCTGCGGCAAGGTGTGTGGGTCTCTTGCTGCTGCTCCAGTGGTGTATTGAGTGAGATGTGTGTAGCGTGCAACCATCCGTCACTTGTGTCGGAGGACTACAGGAAGGATGGAGAGGCCGTGGACCCAAAGGCCAGCAAGAGCCAAGATGGGGACGACGACGCAGACGATCTGGCGGATCAGCTGGCTGGGATGGGTCTCGCGAGCGTGAAGCGTTGCCAGCTTTGCCAAACCGAGTGAGTTGCAGAAACACCCTTCGTTGCGCAAGCTGATAGGGCTGACTGTTGGACAGGTTGCAGCCCTCTAACACTGCGGAGAACGGGACCTGCAAGGACTGCATAGCCGTGGTAGCAAACGCGAAGCGCAGAGCTGATCACGACTTGCCGCCCGACTCATCTAAGATACGCAAGATCATGGATATCCTTCAGGAGATCGACGAACGCTCGGAGGGGCAAGAGAAGACCATCATCTTCTCTCAGTTCACCTCGATGCTGAACATCATTGAGCCATTCCTTAAGGCGGAGGGTATCCGATATGTACGCTGTAAGTCCCTTCAATAGTCTCTAGTAAACGAGCTTTTGGTTGACTTCTACAATAGACGACGGGTCCATGAACAAGGCACAGCGTGAGCACGCGCTTGATCAGATCAAGGAGGAGAATGGTCGTACGCGGGTCATCCTGATCTCATTCAAGGCTGGTTCAACTGGTTAGTATTCTTCGCTTTCGTTCAGGGACCCTCATTGACGGTCACCAAAGGGTTGAACTTGACGTGCTGCAATAACGTGATCTTGGTAGACCTTTGGTGGAACCCGGCGCTGGAGGTAGGCTTCCATGATCCGCGCTGATTGTTGAACTAGGGCTGATATAGGATGCACAGGACCAAGCCTTTGATCGAGCTCATCGGTTCGGTCAGAAGAGGGACGTGCGCATCCGCAAGCTGTGCGTTCCCGACACTGTCGAGCAGCGTATTCTTGAGGTGCGTAATATGCTCACTTCTATGGATCGCCTAGGTCACCAACATGGTTCTGTAGCTGCAAGACAAGAAGCGTGAATTGGCAAAGGCGGCGCTGTCCGGAGACAAGATGAAGAACATGCGTCTTGGTGCCGACGAACTGGCGGCGCTCTTTCGCCCGGGTGGTCACGACGAGGATGAGGATACAGACTAGGATTTTAGTTGCGACCGTGACGCGATTGCTCAAAGCGAACACGGGCTTGTTCGATTCACTGTCAGATTTGTTAGAGTGGTGTCTTGGATTCTGCGCTACTCTGTCAGGACTATAGAACATTGAGGCGGACGATACTTGTGTCTTGGGAAGGTCCTGGATTGCGGCGCCATTGTAGGCCGTTGTGCGAGGTTGTGCGTCGATTTTCGTGCATTGCTGCCGAAAGAACCATACGCTTCTGAATATGGGGTGGCTTCTCTAATCCCGCCGAGCGACAAGAGAACAAGGTCGCGAAGTCACCACCTGCCAAAAGCAGACGGACAATAGCAGCGGTAGATCAGTATCACCCGTGTGGCATCGAAAATTCCCACGTGGCTCACGTTTCAGACTCCGCTTGATCAACGAGCGCGGTTGTGGCGCTGTCCACTCATTGTTTCTTCCTCCCCATTCTGTGCGTTCAGCGTATCTTACGACGCGATTTCCACGCATAGTCTGCCAGCGTTAGGCTTAGGCTTTGTGTATAGTCGGGACCCCGCAACTTTAGCGGCAGATCATCCGTAAACTAAGCGACTATTGGAAGGTGAGCCATATCAGCCTCCCCTTTGGGCTAAGAAACAATGACTGACTCATGAGCGGCCCATCAGACAGAATTTGGGGTGCCTGAGTGACATTTCCATTTTGAAACCAACACGAGTTATCAGCTTCAATCTCCGACATGCCACACCTGTTCAAAGGGTCGCGGAGATCGCGCTCGCACGCGCCTTTGTGCAGCTCCCGTTGCAGTCTCCCTCCCGACATCCACTTGCCTCGTCGTCAGACTACCTCTCCTCCGATGGCGCAACCAACACCCCGTCAGATGAAATCGCGCGTCTATACGATTATTCAGGCAGATGCTCTGCAGTCGAGCGAAGTCAACAAGCACGGCTGGAGGAGCGAGGTCGAGGGCAAGATCGTGGAGATGGACATCGATATCCAGCTATTTCTATCCTACTTCATGCCCAGCGTCGCGGAGATGCCTCCCTCGCAGGCCGCAGACCCTTTTCATGTGCCGGTCGGTGGGAAGGAGACAGATATGTACAAGCCTTTGGTATGTGTCCACCGCAGATTTGCACGATCATGGTGCTGATGAACATCCAGTGCGACGGGCTGAAGAACCTAGTCAAGGACTTCCCAAAACAAAAGCGTCTGTCTTTCCACAATAACGCGCACGAAGAGATCAAGTTTCCTTTCCTTCTATGCCAGCGGGACCAGCACGCGACGAAGCCGGACGTCGTCGCGTCTCTCCCTGGTCGCACGTTCGCTCCCCGGAACAAGGATGACGACCACGATCGTTGGCGGGACATCTCCGTTGTATTCGAAATCAAGAACGTGGAGAGCGAAGACCCCATGCTCTACTGCTCGGAGAGGAACGACGAGACATTGGTGCAGCTATCGAAGAGTGCGCGCAACATTCTCGTTTCCCAAAGCCGACTATGCGCATTCGCAGTCGGAGTCTACGGGTCGACAGCGCGTATCTTCCGATTCGACCATGCTGGTGCTGTCTGCACACGGTCGTTCAAGTACGGAGAGGACAACGGCGCGGTCCTATATGAGTTTCTCTGGCGACTTGTCCATCCGATACGCGAGGACTGTGACATCGTCGGGGCGGACCCGACTGTCCGGTTTGCGTCACGCGGAGTAACTCGGGCCCTGCGCAAAGCTGATGTCGAGGTCACTTCCGAGACGCGGAAGGCATGCCGGTGGGTCACCATCGATCCCGCTGAAAACCAACCTGCGAAGAAGTATCTCGTCTACGAGTTGCTCTTTATCAATCCGCGCTTGTTCTCCCGGGCAACAACGATCTGGAAAGCTCTGGAGCTCGACGATGATGGCGAGCCGACTGGGACTCACGTTGTGATCAAGGAATCATGGCGTCAGCTGGCACGCGACGCCGAGCTGTTGCACTGGAAGCGCATTCGTGCGCACGTTGCGCCGCATCTCCTGCCCACCGACATGGACAGTGAACAATGGGACCAGGCCGCGGAGGAAGCGTTCATGGAGGTATGGAACGCAGAGTGGCGTGGCTTAGCAGCATTCTCGTTGGGCGCCGACCTCGGAGAAGATGAAGAACTTCGAGCGGACGTGGAGGCCCCAGTCGGGCATCGGACGTGGACCGGTGTACACCAGTGCCATGGCGCACACCAGTGGTTCGAGAGGAGCCATATGCGTCTCGTATCGACTACCATCGGTACCCCGATCTCGCAGTTCCGCAGGACGAGAGAGATGGTGCAGGTGCTTCGTGACGCCATATACGGTATGTTCGACATTCGCTCTATTTCTCTCAGGTCGCTCATGCTTGTCGCGGCACTGTTACAGGGCATCAACTGGCCTTTGAAGCGGGCGTCATACAGCGTGACGTCAGTGAAGGGAACGTGATGAGCGTGAATGGCAGAGGCTTCCTGCACGATCTAGACTACGGCTTCAACTGGAAGGCGACGCTTTACGCATTGGGTTACGAGGATACCATCGAGAGCTGGGAGGAGTTCGCCCGGACTGGGAAGGGCAAGCCGAGGGAGGGCGTCGACGGCCGTGCTCCTGCTGCCGAACATGCGCAGCAAGCTCAAGGAACCCAGGAGAAGACCGTCCCGCCCCCCCGTCCGGTTATAAACCGACAGGGCATAGAGGAGTACTTTGTGGATGCGGTCATCGCGGAGCGGAAGACGGCGGAGGGCAAGAGGTATCTGGTGAAGTGGACGGGCTACGGGGATGAGTGGAACTCGTGGGAACCCCTCCAGAACGTCCGGGGCTGTGTAGCCTTTTCTCATTGGCTTAGTCTGCCGCGCGAGGACCGTAAACAGTTGTCGGCCCAGCATGCCAATGACGCCGTTGGGACGGGCGAGCCTCCCAGAGGAGTAAGACCGAACGCAGTGACTACCGACGTCGGAACTGCAGACCCGGAGAAGATCAGGGATGAATGCAAGCAGCGCACAGTGAGTATCCAATTCTGTCGTGGCTTTTCGTTCGGTACTCATACACAAACATCAAAGGGCACGTTCTTGTTCATGGCTATAGAAGTCCTTTGGGGCGGCGTCGTCCACCAAGTCCGACATGATCTGGAGTCGTTCTTTTGGCTCCTCTTCTGGCTCGTTCTCAGGCATTGCAAGCATGACCGTCACAAGTATAACACGCTCAAGTCATTCATGGACGCGCCTGACGAGGCTCTAAGCGCTGACCACAAGATGGGTTGGCTCAGGAAACCTTTCACCGTGCCCGGCAACGAGCCTCTGAACGAATTGCTACGTCGTTTCATGCTGTTATGCGACAACAACTTCGTCACTCTGAGGCAACCGGAGGTGCTTGATCCGATGACATATCAGAAGGTGCTGCAGATCTTTGACGACGCACTTGCGCGCAATGACTGGCCGGTGGACGACAAGGCAATACCATGGGTACCTGCGCAGGGCGTCGATGGAGTGCCAGCCCGCCAAGCACGCCCCAAAGACACCGTGACTGGAAGCCAGATAGAGTCCCGTGCCCGACAGAGTCTGGGACGACCGAATCCCGCACCAGATGCCAACAACGCACCTCGGACACCGCACACTGCCAGCTCTGGATCGAGACCGCCTGAAGATTCATGGACACGACCGGTCGCGCAGATACACCGGGAAGACATACCCGATCCCGTGTCACCTACGCCACCCTCACAGAGGGCATCCTCGTCTCATTCGGCTGCGTTGCCCGCTGCGTTGTTCCGTTTCACGCCGGCCCACGATGCGAGTCGGTCGCCATCTCCCCCTTGGGACCCGCGAGGGGAAGACCTGATGGCGAGTCTCCACGCTATCTCACCCGATTTCGAAAGCCCCCCGTCGCATCCGCCCAATAGTTCTGCTGGAGAGCCCGAACCGTCTACGTCCACTCAAGCGGGGCAGGGCGATGCCAGTGGCGATGCTCGCCACCGTGGCCGGAAACGCTCCAAGGAAGACCTCGGCGTCGACGACGATCTCGATGTCGGGCCATCGAAGCGGTCAAGGCCCGACAGCGAACAGTCTAAGCTGCTTCCTCAGGCATCCTGGAAATTACGTCCAACGCCGCCCCGAAAGCGATGAAGTCGAACGTGACTCTCATCTATTCGCTACCGCTTGTCACCGTTCATATCGCTGTGTTGTTGTATATATACTCGCTATGCTGTACGTAGTTCTGCCGCCGGACGGTCGTTGATTCAGTGCCGCTCTTGTACCCTGCTTTCATTGAATATATGTAGTTCTCAGCTGACACCGACTATTTGCACTCTCATCATCAATAGTCTCATTTATTGTCGACGCAATGTAACGACGTTTGCACTTGACCTGACATTCCTCCTGCGCTGAAGTCGACGTAGTACACGCTGGGTCTAGGCGACGTAAGTGACCCTGCTTGTAGCCCGAAGCAAAGAAAAAGCCAGGATCAACACATCTGCGACAGCAGATATGTGCCGTGAGCCTGTATATGGATGTCGATGATAATCCGAGGATAAACACGCCCCGTCGCCAGAGTGCTAGCACTCGCAGAGGGACAAACACTCCTGCGAAGCTAAATATCTGGTCACAGGGCCTTACCTGTGCTTGTAGTACCGCGAGTCTTCCGCATCGCACAAACCCGGGATGCTGCAGTCCGACAGTACCGCTTATTTCCTCGACGACGCTGGGGATTTCGTATGCAGGGCCCGTGTTGAATCCCACGACACGAGCACCGACTGATAGGTCCACGACGCGAGCAGACCGTTGCAGGGCCATCCGAGTCCACCACTAGTCATTAGTGGTCCAGCGGGTGCCAACGACGCACGTCGACGAGCCACACACACAAACATCGAAGCCAGGCACCATCCGCGGTCCGCCCACAGAACTTCATTACAGTCCCTGTCTATATAACCTAGCTCATCGAGATTGGAACGAGCGCGCACAACAACACGTCGAGAGCACATAACAATACGACTGTCTATGACGCACTACACTTTTGGCCGTTATGGGCGCTTACTCGGGCTTGCCCTGCTTGCCCGTCTCTATGTCCTCTAGTGGCACGCGCTCGTAGGTCGGCTGCGATTCGACATGCTTGACCCAGGTGTAGTATATCGAGCCGAGGAGAATGATGGCGACCGATGAGGCGCGGCCGCTGTGCACAAGACGTGGTCAGACAGGTGATCAGTGCAACGAGGCGGAAGAGGCTCACGTTGTGATGATGTCGTGGAAGAGCCACAGTCCGAGGAGCGAGGCGGCGACGCCGCGCACCGCGGAGGAGACCATGTGAGTGATCGGCGAGGTGACCTTGATGGAGAGCAGACTGGCGATGCTCATGAGGAACCCGAAGAGGCCCTATGACGGGTTCACGCTTAGCCTACTACACAGCGGGGCGTTGCTCACCGTGACCAGAGAGCCTATCATGAACGTGTACAGCTGGCCCGGCGTGGACTCCGGGCCTAACAGCAGCTTCATCACCCCCGGGCCCTCACCGCCGAGCACGACGACTGGTGTCAGCACGATCACGCTCAGCAGGTTGGTGTACCACGACAGGTGAAGCGCGCTCCCATGCACGACGTCCAGAGACTTCTTGATGACGACGGAGTGCAGCGCGGTGACCATCGAGCTGACGACACCGAACGTCACGCCCAGAGCGGAGACGTTCGTGCCGTCCAAGAAGACACCGACGAAGAAGCCGAGGGTCACGATGGAGCACGCAACCAGAATGCGCAGGGATGGTCGGGCTTGCAGGATGAAGAATGACGTGCAGACGGTGAAGGGGAGCACCATTCCGCGAGCGACCTGGTAGAAGGACGCGTCGACGTACTTGAGTGTGTAGTTACTCAGACTAGGGAGCGCTGAGCATTTGGTCAGTTATGAACATACATTGAGTGCTCACCTCAGTCCGACCAAGCTCAGTGACACCGTCGGTATAAGGCCCTTAATGACCTGCCAGTCCCATCGTAGTGGTAGCTGTAGCATGCCGAGCATGTGTGCGAAGAGGAACAATACAACGGCGATGAGGAGTTGCATGTCTAGGAAGAACAGTGGCACGTCCGTGGTATTGAGGACCCATTTGTTGCTGGACATCAGCGTCAGTAAAGGCGCGCGACCTGCCTGATAGACACGACATACGCCATGACCATCTAGCTCATTGTAAGCACCCCCAAGGCACAGTAGAATGGATTAATTGGCGTACCGACAGTGCTGCGACAAGGTAGAAGGTCACCGTACCGGCCTACTGGACATCTCAAACACGATACTCCAGGCGAAGCATACTCCCACTTACGACGAGAGCCCTGTTCGGTGGTGCATTGTCGTGTCCATGGCGAGCGGGAGACATTAGGTCGGTTGTAGTAGTAGCGTTGTAGAGGTTCCAGGGCCGTATACTCCAGTATGAGAGTGGTCAGAACAAGGTCAGAAGACAGCTCGAGTCGTGAGAGGACGACTGCAGCCGGAGAGTTCCTCGTGGGCGGGCAAGAATAACCCGCGTGCGACTGTTTGCAGACGGCACAACGACGCAAAGGTCAACCAGCCCACAAACCGACAAAACTAAGGAGAAGGAGGGAGGAGAGATGAAGAGGATGAAGCTGAGATGAGGAGAAGTTGGCGGGAGCTGGCAGGCACCGCCAGGCCACGTGCGAGAAAGCGGGAATTCCTACTTTTGGCATCATTCCCTTTTTTGACCACTGATCGCGTTCCCACGTGACAGCGGGGATGCGGACGCGACGCGTCCGAGTTCGAGTCGCGTCTTGCTCACTGACGTTGATTGCTGCACTATACGCTGCTTCACGAACTCGGGTACTCGGGCTAACGAAGACAATTTCTACACGCGCAAGTCTTGAGAATTGAGGCGTTCCGGGACTCAAACACTGGCACCGGCGCTGAAGCCACCCAGGGCACGACGATTGAACGTGAACTGCGAATGGCATCAGACAATGAACAAGATGTCGTGCCTCCACCTCCGACAATCAGAAACGCTTGTATGTCTCACTGCGTCTCATGCGTATATCAGGGGTTGACTCTGTACTCACCGTTGTGGCGTAGATGCAGACGACACCATAAAGATTCTACTGGCCACTGACAACCACATTGGGTATCTTGAAAGGGACCCAGTGCGAGGACAAGACTCCATCAACACATTCCGAGAGATACTTCAATTAGCCATCAAGAATGATGTAAGTCCCTTCTACCACGAACGTTACGGTACCGGCTGCAGACACCTGTTGCTGGGCTTTATTTTGCATCGGCATCCCAGCTGTTTGCAGAACATTACATAGGCACAAACGAATGCGCGAGACATATGATGACAAGGCCTCGCTTGACAATCGACGAGCCACGGTGCAGCCCTTCTGCACCAATATCTCGCGAGATGGTAGTGAAGTTCACTACATTCAACGATAGCCTTGGAGCTTTCAACGTTGCCAATTGATTTGCTAGGCAGTCTCGGAGTTGCGTACGATGTAATCGGGGAGCTGACCCGCAAAAGTACAATCTGTTGTCGTTCAATCTGTCTGTGAAAGCCTTGGGACCACAATGGAGGAGAGGCGGCGAGTGGGACATGGGTTCTTTGCCGAGTTCATCTGTCGCATTTTTCTTTTTGCTTCATGTCCTGAAAAGAGCTGTCATGGTTCTCGCTTCGGACAAACATCTCATTATCAATTGCTCCTGACGCCCTCCTGTTGTATCTCGTTCAGGTCGACTTCGTGTTACTCGGTGGGGATCTCTTTCACGACAACCGACCGTCTCGGGATTGTCTCTATGAAGTGATGGCACTCCTCCGCGAGTACACTCTCGGGGACAGGCCGATTCAAATCGAGCTATTAAGCGACCCAGACGAGGGAAAGGCGCCTGGATTTTCGTACGAATCTACTCCTCATCCGGTATCACGTTGCGCTGACATGCCATTCGAACAAGATTCCCGGCGGTGAACTACGAAGACCCGAACTTCAACATTGCCATCCCGGTCTTCTCCATTCACGGTAATCACGACGACCCACAAGGTGCAGGCCCGGTACGTCCCCACCCACCATCTCACTGATGTTTGTTCTGACAGCACTACGCAGCAAGGAGCTCTAGCCGCACTGGACATGCTCTCTGTGAGCGGCCTCATCAACTACATGGGCAAAGTGGACCTCCCGGTCAACGCAGCCGATGCGCAGCAGAGCGGCATTGCAATCAAACCCGTCCTCCTACGCAAGGGCAACACACGCCTCGGCATGTACGGCGTCGGGAATATCAAGGACCAGCGCATGCACTTCGAGCTCCGGAGCAACCGTGTGAAGATGTTCATGCCGCGCGACAAGGATGACTGGTTCAACATCCTGATCGTGCACCAGAATCGGTGAGTTGCCTTACCGACGAGGTGTACACGAAATGGCTGATGCCGGATGAAGCGTTGCGCACGGGCCACAGCAGTCGGTACCCGAGGGTATGTTCGACGACAGCGTCGACTTGGTCGTCTGGGGCCACGAACACGACTGCCGGATCGTGCCCGAGTCTGTCGCCGGCAAGAAGTACTACGTAACGCAACCTGGATCGTCCGTCGCCACATCTCTTGCAGACGGCGAGTCGATAGAGAAGTGCGTCGTCCTATTCTCGTTACCTCTGTTCAGTGCTGACAGTATCTTGGAAGACACGTTGCGCTGCTGAAGATCCAGGGCCAGGAGTTTGAGCTGACGCCCATTCCACTTCGGACCGTGCGCCCGTTCGTGTTGGACGAGATCGTCCTCAGCGAGATCGCGGACGAGGAGAACATCGACCTCGGGGACCGCATGGCGATCACCAAGTATCTGAAAAAACGGGTGCGTCGGAGTGGCCCGCAGGTGGATTATACGGCTGATCACAGCACAGGTCAATGAGCTGATTGACAAAGCGAACGCGCTATGGGACGAACGGAACGAGCGCGCGGTCGCCGAAGGAGAGGACGAGTTACCTCGAATGCTCCCCATTGTCCGGCTCAAGGTGCGCCCATGCGCTCTGCTCACCACAATACGCTGCCCACACGCACACAGGTCGACACCACCGGCGTCTCGGAACTCTCCAATCCCGTGCGCTTTGGGCAGGAGTTCCAGGGCAGGCTGGCGAACCCGCGGGACGTACTCGTGTTCCACCGCGCGAAGGCAAGCGCGAAGCGCGGGCCGAAGGTCACCGCGGACCAGCCCGAGCTAAGCATCGACGACCCCGAGCTGAGCGTCGCGGAGAAGCTCTCGAAGGTACGTGTGCAGACGCTTGTGCGGGAGTACCTCGCGGCGCAGGAGCTGCAGCTCCTGGGCGAGGCGGGCATGTCGGACGCAATCGAGACGTTTGTGGACAAGGATGACATACATGCTATCCAAACGTGAGTGTGTAAGCTATATGATGTGCGGGGAGACTCACGTCGTGGTAGTCATGTGAACGGCGCGTTGAAGGCGTTGATGAAGGGTGTACAGGCGAATGGGAAAGAGGACCTCTCCGACGACGGGCTTGACGAGATTGTGCGTGGTTTTGAGTCTAGCTATAAATGGTTGTGCACTCACAAGCTGTACGCACGCAGGTCGACAAGGTCAAGGAGAAGCACGATCAGGAGTACCTGGAGCGGCGCGGCGAGGAGCAACCCACCAAGTCCAAGGCAAGTGTCGCCCCATGATATCTTCGCTGCCCCTGCTGATCCCTCTGCAGGGAAAGGGAAGAGCCGCGGACGACTCAGACGCCTCAGTAGATTCCATGCTGATGGATATCGATGCGGGTGGCTCTGACTTTGAGCAGCCCTCGGAGGAAGAGCGACCAAAAAAGAAAACGAGGGCACCAGCTAAGAAGGCAGCACCTGCCAAGAAAGCACCCGCGAAGGGTCGGGGCAAGAAAGCAGTATGTAGTACACATGTTCACGGTTTCATTCACTATTGACAGGCTGTACTTCATAGGCTGTATCTGACGACGATGATGAGATCGAGGAAGACGAGGAGCCGCCACCCAAAACGACTAAGCGCACGAATCGTGCTGCGGTTCTTAGGTACGTTGCAGTGCTGTTGTCCGTCTGCATCCACTCAACTGCGTTGTGCAGTCAACTGACCACGACGAAGAAGGCCCCAGCAAAGAAGGCCACGGCGAAACAAGCCACCCTTAGCTTTGCCCCCTCTGGAAGATCTTCGACACGCGCAGCAGCATCTCGAGCTACGAAGAAGATGGCCGATGTGGTACGCTCCCCACATATCGTACACAAGGTGTCCATCGCTGATGATCATGGTACCCCAGGTTGAACTGGATAGCGACTGAGGATCCTTGTCCACCATGGCGTCGTGGTACCTATCGTGTACAGTCCAGTGCCCCGAATTGACTGCTTCCTTGGCATGTTTCCTTTACTCCAGTCAAGTGCTGTGATGCATTCTGTATATGAGCCGCCGTGCCAGCCCTGCTCACAGAGGTGTGTCATACTCGAAGTTGTCAACGAATGAAGAACACTTCCATGTCATAACTACGGGTGTGCAGAGGATCGTACCCATCTTGGTCGGCACTCTCCCTTCGTTGTAACCGCAAGGATCATGGAACTAGAGACTGAGTCAGGACTTAGTTCGTAGCTCTCGAGCTACCTATGGCACCCATGAGGATTATCCGAAGACATGTAGATTTGACACGAATATAATGATAGCCGTCCAGCGGCACTAGTACCAGTAGCCAAAGTCTATAGAATACTACAAGAGCCACAGCGTGATACAGACGATCAAGAGCGGTCAAGAAGAGCGGAGAAGCGTGAGATGTTCGTTCTCATCGGTCCTCATCAACGAAAAGGACCAGCTGAGGGGCATCGGGGAAGCAATTGCTTGCTGTGACTCTGAGTCCTCGAACGCTTCGAAGGCCCTGCCAGTGGCTCCAGCTCATCAGCTTCGTAGAGATCTCCTTGAGATCGCTTGCGACCATGGCGACTGCCGCCGGCCTCGTCCGAAGCAGCGCTAGCAAGCTTCGAGGTTAAGTCGACATGTCCATCGCCTGATTCGGACGACGACGACTGAACAGCAGAGTAATTATGCGAGGACAGAGGCAACATGACGGAGTGAGAGGAGGATGCCCTCCGCGACGACGGCGTTGGTGACTTGGGGGCAGGCCTAGGCGGGACACGTAGTGGTTCAACGAATCTTCTCCAGGGCTCGACGAGAAGATCAGGTCTCGGACCAGAACTCGCGTTACGCGGTGTACGGCGCGAGTTATTGGCGTTCTGAGCATTGGTATGCAGAGCAGCCGACGCAGATCCACGGACCAACATTTCGCCGTCGCTGAAGCCTCGTTGGCCTCGTGGCCGTAGATCGACAGGTGGTAGGAGCTTGTGGCTAGTTTGCGGACCGAGATTTGATGGACCCTCACCATGCCGAGCCTCTGAATTGATTTGACTAGTTTGCCAGGAGCTCCGGGGACGAAGTTCGTGCTGGGAAGGCTCCGAGTCTTCGAGGATGAATGGAATCGCCCTATCCCCTTTCGGCCAATCCTGACGCTTGAGTGCCTTCTCGAAGAGTGCCAGAACAGCCTCATATGTCAATGGCTTCGGGGCTGGCCTGCCTTCTCGCCTGTGCGAGTTTCCGTCACACAACTCCGCAAATTCTTCGAGCAGGTCGTTGAGAGGTTCGTTGTTGTGGACGCGGACACTGTTCATAATCCAGCCCTTCTTATACGTTGCACAGTCGTCGTCGGTGGCCTGGTCGAACAGACTTTTCAGTAATCGCGGCCCGTCATGGTGCGTATGACTCGTGTGCCTGAGAACAAGCCAAACTAGGAGCCAAAAGAACGACTCCAGGTCGTGTCGTGCTTGATGAACAATGTTGCCTCGAAGGATCTCCACGGCCATGAAGTAGAATGTACCCTGTTCCACCGCCGATAAGGGATCTTCATTACAAAGATAAAGAGGTTGCAGACTTACAGTCCGCTGTTTGCACTCCAACCTGAGCTGTGCTTCGGTTGCGGGCGGGGCACGCCGCTCTCCGTGAACGTGTGAAACCGACAACTTCACGCGCTCGCCGGTTGGCATTTCTAGCCATCTGTCCAACGCTGCGCAGTCCTTGACATGTTCATTCGGCTCCCATGTGTTGTCGTCGTCCCCCTCCCATTTGATAAGGTACTCCATATCCTGGCCCCCAGTGGTCGAGGGTCGTTCCGCAAGAATTGCCTCGACGAACCACTCCTTCCGGCCTTTCTCGTCTATAATTGCACGCGGCGTTCTCTTTTTCTTTCGGACGAGATGAGCGCGAGCGGGTGGCGCAGGTGCAGGCACGAAACCAGAGCTATCCAAGTCCGTTCTCGGGATACCCTTCTCCGTAAGGACGAACTCCTCCCAGCTCGCAATCGTATCCTCGTAACCAAGTTCGCGCAATAAGGCCTTCCAGTTGAAGCCATAGTCAAGATCATGGAGGAAACCTCGACCATTGGCGATCATCACGTTGCCCTCGCTGATGTCCCGATGTATGACGCCTGCCTCAAATGCCAGTTTATGCCCTGTCAACGTGCGATCAGAGCTCAGTAAGCGGTACATCACGAGCGGACGCGCATACCATGTATCGCATCATGAAGGGCCTGCGCCATCTCCTTCGTCTCGCGGAACTTCGAGATTGGTGTACCGATCGTGTCTGATACGAGACGCATATGGCTTCGCTCGTACCAGTCGTGTGCACCCTGGACTTGCTGTGTGCCTGCACATGTACGTTGTCCGAGGGCTCGACCATGATCCCGTAGCTCTTCCTCGCCAAGGTCCATGCCGCGTGTGAACAGCGCCAGACCGGGCCATTGTGCACTCCATGCCTGCAGGAATGCTTCTTCATCCATGGTATCACTCTCTTCGACCTCAGGGGGCAACAGCTGTGATCGAACATGGGCGTAGATTTGCCTGTAGTACTCAGTCTCCGGCTTCCGCGCCAGTTGCCGCCACGCATCCTTGATGATGACGTGCCTCTCCGTAAACTTGTATCGACTGTGCTTGTTAACCTGCAAAGCCTTCCAGATGGTCGTGGCGCGGGAGAAGAGACGAGGGCTGATGAACACTAGTTCGTAGAGAAGATACTTCTCAACATGTTGCGTGGTCGCACCCCTGACGGTGACCCATCGACAGGCTTTCGAGGTCTCGCTATTGATAGGCACGCCCGCAGCATGCAGGCAATCTTTCAAGCGAGACCGCTGGCGCGACGATGCCAGCTGGACGGTAGGGTCGGCCCCTACGATGTCGCAATGAGGGTCAACCGGGTGGACGAGACGCCAGAGAAAGTCGTGTAGAATTGTGCCATTGTCTGCTCCGTAATTGAACGGCGTTGTGCAGACAGCCCCCGCGTGGTCGAACCGAAAGATGCGCGCCTGGGATCCGTAGATACCAACACCGAAGGCAAACAGCCTGCTCTGGGAGACGAGGATATTCCGCGCACTCTTCGAGAGCTGAACCAGAGTCTCATCGTTCTTCGTTGATACGTATCGCATCGGATCGTCACCACTGCTGCCTTTGGCCTCGAACACGACAGAGATGCTTCGCCAACGGTCCTCTTTTCCTTCCAGCGAGTGGCCAGGAAGCGAAGCAACCACATCTGGCTTGGTGGCATGGTGTTCCTGTTCGGCCAAGAGGAACGGAAACTTGATCGGCTCGTGTGCGTTATTGCGGAATGTCGGACGCTTTTTTTCAGGGAAGTTGGCCACTAGCGATTCCAAGCCGTCGCACTGGATAAAGCTCACCAAGATGTTTGCGTCAAGCCACTGAAACCACTCACCAAAGGCTTGTACATGTCTGGCTCGCCCTGGCCCACAGGCACCTCCTCGAATGGCTTCGTAGCAGGTGAAGGGGGAGGAGCGGTTTGGCTGGGGACGAATACGTCCAGAAACAGCCTGACTGGCATCACCATCTCCACGATTTTACCGTCAACTTCGCTCCTCCAGCCCCGCATGTTCCGTTCGTTCGATTGCTGAGGTTCTTCATGGTAGAAGTGATAGACGTGTTGTTTCGCCGTTCCGGGGGTCGCAAACTCCATTGGGGAAAATGTGAATGGACGATGAGGCCAGCGAAAGTGGGAGGGTAAATCGCAACGCGACAAGTCGCGTGAACGCGACCTCCGCGACCCTTTAAACAGGTGTGGCATGTCGGAGATTCAAGCCGGTGGCCCGTGTTGTGTTCCAAAATGGGAATGTTACAGAGGCACCCCTAATTTCTGTCGGAGGGGCCACTCATGAGTCAGTCACTACTTCTTGCCCAAACGGGGAGGCTGATATGGCACACCTTCCAATAGTCGCTCGACTTGCGGCCTTTCTGCGGCTAAGATGCCGTTCACTTGTCAGAAAACAAAGCCCAAGGCTAACACTGCGGGCTATACGCGGGAATCGCGTGTCAGAACACGTTAGACGCACCGAACGAGGAGGAAGACACAACGAGTGGACAGCGCCACAACCGCGCTTGTGGATCAGGCGGAGTCTAATTCGTGGGCCACGTGGGAATTTTCGATGCCACACGGGTGGTACCGATCTACCGCTGCTATTGTCCGTCTGCTTTTGGCAGGTGGTGACTTCGCGACCTTGTTCCTCGCCGCTCGGGACTGGCGAAGTCATCACACAAGTATTTGGACGCATATGTTTCTTCTGACGACGGCCCGCAATAAGGAATTTGGAGCCACGCACAACGGCTTACGATGACACGGTAGCCTTGCCACTCGTGCACAACAAGTGCAGCTACCGGAGACTCTACTGAACGACTGGAATGACATTACAAGCATCTCGTGTTGTGTACATCGATGTTCGGCTCGTTTCAATGAGCCGCAAGACACAGCGTCAGCTAATTTTCGCGATGCAATAGAAGCGAGCACACAAACAATTATATGTTACATATTTCAGTATATCTGGACTTGTTTACCTGAAAAAAATCCGCAGTCTTGCATTTACGGCAACTTCCTACTACCAGACTTACGCCATTACAGTCGCACTTGTGATATGTACCTGTCTATTGGTCCTGTAATAGTATAAAGAGTGGCAAATCGAAAACCCAATCCGATACTATAACGCTGACACTTGCACACTCAGACGCATGCACAACTCCATCATCATGAAGGCACCCTGCGAACCCACTACCATGGAGAAACTCGATCTGTCTATGCGTGATCCCGTCACCATGGACACTGCGTAAGTGCATCTCACACAAACCCTCAGACTGTTGGCGTACTTAGCCCCAGACCGGACGACTCCAATGACATGCGATACACACCGCCGCTCGGCTTGTCTTCATGTACATGTCGTTCCGGAGATTCAACGCACCTCGACCACAATACCTCTAGTACGCTACGAATCGCTATAGTGGTAGTTTAAAAAAATCAGACGGGGTTTCTTGTGCGACCCATTTCAGCTACTAGACGACGTACCCGCCCGACCCACGAGTGTAACGCTCCCTCGATGAACATCTCAATCTAGAACTGTAGTACCCTCGACTCGATCCCCGCCCATGAGCCTCTCCGTCAGTGCCTCGCATCTGACGATCCTCCGTATCCGTGAAAGTACTTCCGCCTCTGCATGCTTAGCCGTGTCTTCATCGAGGCTGAGCCCGCGGACGAGTGCCGCCGCGGCACGCTCAATGTCTCTCCTACGTATCCGTGGGCCCCAGATGCTCTCGCTGTATGCGTCCACGAGGCAAACCTCTTCCAGTGCATCCATGCCCTCTTGCCCATGCAGATATGGACAGAGCATCGCGGCGATTGCACCCGGGGGAAGTAGCGTCGCCTGACCGAGGGCCAGTGACCGTAGAGTAGGGAGCGCAGGCAGGAGGGGAGTTATTGACGTCAGCGGCGGCCCGAGTGTGCGCGAGCCGGTGCAGAGGGGATCAGAGGGAAAGGATAGGTTGGCCAATTTGAGACGAACGATGTTCGGCCAGGTACTGATAGCGAGAAACAGCTGATTTGTGGCTGCTGGTACAATCTATACGAGGTCATTTCTCATCAGTCAATGATATCGCGTGGCAGTGCGTTCCTGCTGAGGCTTACCGCAGTGGAAAAGTGGTGCGGCGGGTCTGGACCGATCCAAGTGAATTCTCGCGGACTGTGGTGCCGGTTAGCACTGGATAGGTAGAGGAAGAAGCGGGTGCTGTACTCAGCAAGAACAAGAGCGTCATAGATGTGTTGAACATTGGTGCGCATGTGCGAGTGGAGGCATAGTTGAAGAACATTTAGTGGGACCTTATCTCCCGGAGCTTGTACCTCTGCAAGGTTGTCGCACGCAGCTCGGCAGCGACGCAGTACACTGGCAAGCAGCAAGAAGACATTAGAACTAGCTGTCCCTCCGGGTAATGTTACGTAGAGTGTCTTAGCAGCACATGCTAGCTTACACTCTCCGTTGACTTTCTGTGAGGCACCAAAGAGCGCGAGCTGGCGCACGGTCCGGAAGCGGAGGTTAGTGTGCAGCACGCGCTCGCCGTGTACGCGAAATGCATGCGCAACACAGAGAACGTCTGCGGGTTTGGGGTGAAGAAAGAGTGCATGCGAGAGTATGTCGATGAAGAGCTCGAGCGGGAGGTCAAGCAAGGACATGAGTAGACGAGAGAAAGCCGCCGGCCCGGGCGTTATTGGGGCCACGGTCAATATTCCTAATCAAGGTGAAGCCGGGGAAATGCCGAGTTCGCAAGTATGGCGCCGCATGGCAGAGACACCGTATCTGTCGTCCTTGTGTCGTCCACCACTAACCAGTAACGACAACGGCCCATTCTCACAATTCTTGCGACAACTCGCATGAAGAGGACATCGAACGAGCAGACCTCCGAGGACACACTCTGAAAGCAAGTGCGCGCACTTGGGTATGAGCATCCCTAAAAGGCGCTACGTCCGACACCCACATATCTGTCCGGTATTCGACACTCGTATGTATGGAATGAAATGATGCTCACGAAGCCCCGGGACATGTACACTGAACTGTACGCGTGAGGTTCAACTGAAGCTGAGTATCTTTAAATCATCTCCACGCGGCGTCAATCAGGGAACAGTGCACAGAGCTGGTTCTGATCTTGCCTGCGGCATTGACACATCTCGCACGTATCGAGCGACCCATCAGTTCAGATGCGCATGGGTCAGTGCCAGCCATTTCCCACTGTGTACTGTCAACAGAGATTTGTAGGAGCTTGCTCGTCTTGAAACCGTAGCGAATCAGCTTCCTTAGCGAACATGAATAATGACTCGTTACGAACCCGGCCAGCTAGCTCGCAACAAAGTTCATAGTTGAGACATCTATACACCACTAGTGATCTCAACCACAATGCGGTCTCATATTGATGCACCAGTTCGGACAGGCAGCGTTGTCCGCAACGTCCAACTTCTCAGCTCGTACCGCCTGCGTGAATCAAGCCACCTTCAAGCCACAAGCACTGAAGATGTCTTTCAAGTACCTCCTCACCTCCAAATTGTTTCGGGCTTCGTCCGTCAAGGTCGACCACAAACCTCGCGCTATAGGACACGAGGTACGCTTCTTGAAACTGTCCATGTAGTGCGTTCGAATGACAACCACATTCCAGACTCCGGAGTCCAGCCTCTTCAAGACTTGTGACGAGTGTGCGACCGTCATGCACGATGATGTGTGTCGGTTCTCCCTAGCGAGCGTCATTCGCCTGACTTTCGTGCCCACAATAGCTGCCTTCGCTTACGCAAAACGCCGTCAAGTCCGATGACGTCCGTGTCCAATTGTCCTTCAACGGGGATGGCGATGTGGTACGTCGTAACACCAAGGACCTGTGCAAAACTGTTGATCAATTCGGGCCCTAGACTGAATGCAAGGCGAAGCCCATCGTTCGCTCATAGGACGTCGTTGCTTCTCCGTCGCCCACACTTGCCGCGCATGCGTCGCTAGTAATGGCGACTGCGGGACGGCCAGTGCTCGCAAATCACAAGCCAGACGGCAGCAGTACGTTCCAGGGTATTCGGACAGCCTCGACCATCACGCTCGCATCGCAGGTGTCGCCCGCGCCAGCCCCTGCATCTCGTGCAGACTAGCCCGCGAACAAGAGGGCATCGTCACGCTCGTCAGGGACAAAACCAGCAACACGTGCTGTACCCTCAAGTCCATTGACGTCAGCCGTCTCGAGCTTGTGTCGTATTTGCACCTCTTCGCGGAACAAGACATGATGAGGCGCTTTGCGGGGAACCCCTAGCTTCTGGAGCTCCAAGGCTCGTTCAAGGACACCGAGCACTTCTTCCTCATCACGGTTCGTGGCTGCTGCTGCAAATCTCCTGTCAGCTCCTGACAAAATGCGCAGAAATACCACCCAAAGGGTAGTCTCCAATGTGAGATCCGCCGTCGGGGCGGTCTCACTTCCTTCGATGCCCAGGAGTTCGCTGCTGGCCTTATAAGTCCGCAAACATCAGTTCACTCATACAATCCGACACAATACACAGGTACACCCACTTGGGATCCTCCGCGAACAGCACTTCCTGCACGGCGACATCAAGCCCGCAAACCTCCTCGTCAACGACGACAACCACCTTGTCCTCGCCGACTTCGGCCTCGCAAGAGACTTTGGTCGTCCGTGGGGCCCGCTCCCCTGGAAGCAGTTCCAGCGGGCCTTCGACGTCAAGCATCCTGACCACGCAGCCTTCCGGTCACTCGGTTTGGATGGGTGGGACGTCACCCGTCGTAGGGTCGGCACCATCAGGTATGCTGCCCCAGAACTGTGGCACTCAGAACGACGGCGTGCACTCGTACGAGGCCGATGTCTGGTCTGCAGGTGTCACCATCTACGAGATGCTGACTGGCTGGGTGAGTGGGCTGTGTTGTAGCATGGGCAAGATCCACCACTGAGCACTCGTCTGCCTACTAGATGTCATTCGGCCGGGATGACAACACTCCAACAGCGGATTGGTACCTTGCTCCCGTGGTCGTGCCACTCACCTTCGATGAACAGAAAGACACCCTCGTCAACGATGACGCGCGCGACCTCCTACGCAAGGTCTGTGCTGCGTTTCCAGCCTACGTCTTCCTCGGATGTTCACATGTCTGTAGATGTTAGAAGTCGACCCCATCAAACGTGTTACCATTGAGGAAATCAAGGAGCACACCTACTTCCAGTCTATGTACGTTCCTGCGCACTTTTTTCGCAGTCTTCTGATGCTTGCGTAGTGACTGGAAGCAGATCGTTGCCCGAGTACCAATTATGGGCGACCATACAGCTACTCACTCGCCAGACATGAAGCAGGTTCGCGCCTCGTATATCGATTACCATGATGCGCGACATGACTATTTCCTCACAGAAGCCAGCTCGTATACCGTACGCCCCACCATACAAGGCGTACGAAGACCTCTATTCGTGGTTCGAATGGGTCTCTCCCGCGCTCAACCGCTGCACCGAGGATCATCACGGCGATGATGCACCAGATAATCCTGTCACAGACACGTTCCTCTGCTTTGGCGACGACCATGAACATCCCACACCCTGTATCTCCGTCGTTGCTGAAGGAGCTATGGCGTGTAGCGAAACGTGTTCGTATTCGTACCGCAAGAGTAAGACCGGACTCACCAAGGATGGATATGCTGAATTGAACCGCGATTCTACCTCTGACTTCCTCTGTTATGCTGCGCTGCGTCGGCGCTTCTCTTGCTGTCTGTCTGCTCTGTACTTCTTGCCAGTTCCATAGCTTGACCATGCGAGTCCTGCATTATTTTCGTTGTCCATACATTTGATAGTACAGGGAGTCAGTCAACGATCAGTCTCTGGATTCTTGTTCTACGTCTCGGCTTCCCAGGGCTTCCTACGCAAGCCTGTAGTTGACTGACTGGGCGTTGCTTGCTATTCGTTCAAACGGATCGTAGGTCAGATAGATACTGCGCAGGAGAGCGATACGTACATTCAATTCATTCGGTATCTGCCTATTATTGGGAATTTGATCCGTCTTGCCTTGCTCAATGAGTGCCTTAAGCTCGGAGAAGCTGAGAGTGCGTGGCTCAACGTCCGACTGCTGTGTTGATAACGCGACTGCAGGGTCATCTGAATGCCCATTGGAATTGACAGCGTTTGTCGCAGGGACAAGCTGCCGCGAGCGTTCCCGCTCGTTCACTTCGTCCATTGTTATGGAACAGCCGATAGCGCTGCGATTCGAACGCAATCAGCGGGTTTGTCCTTGACTTGCGGGATGCTCGGCTGCGGACCGATTAAAGTAGAAGACCTGAGAGCTGCGCAAGATCACAGCCCTCTCTTCCTCCGATTTGCCCTCGAGTGCCCCCGATGCTACTATGCTCTCTAGACCTTGCTTACGAACTCGTGTGATCAGCATTCGGCAATTCTCAGGTGTTATTAGGCCCCATACCTGGAATACCGCATCCGTCGAGAACGAGTATGCCAAGAACGCTTCTACAGGATCGACCGGCATTGAGCCGACCTGACCATCAGTACTGAGTAGACTGTCCCCCATCCCTGAAGCCATGTCGGTGGATTGAAGTCGACTGTTACTGCAAACGAGAAAGCCGACGGAAGTCGAGTGAGCCGAGTCCGCGTGGTGGTGGTTACGGTCGAAGCCCGGGTAATGCGCGCTCGCTGAGTCGCTCGCCGCTCTCAGCTTGACTCTCGCCACCACCTCGACTCTGCGCTATACGGACGGTCACCTCATCGTTAGCAAAGTAGGGAGCCTCAAGATCATAGCAAGGCGTGATGAACAAGATATCTGCGGAGCGCAACCAGCGAGCCCTTTTGGAACTCGCGAATTCGCCGGGAAACGGTGTGTTGCAGACGTCGACAACGTCAATGGACATGCTCCCAACCATGTCGCGCGACAGATGTCTGTGCGGATTGCAAGACACGCAACCCTCGCTGGGCGTCGCACAACCTTGGGATCTTCATATGGTGTGTGATGTGCGGTCGTACTCTCGCTGATCTCTCATTAACGTTCTGGCTGTATGTAGTATGAACTGTGCGAGCATACACCGCAAGATGGGAACACATATATCGAAGGTGTATGTACCTCTCCTCGAGATGTAGTAGAGTGTGCATTGATTGTGAACTTCAGGAAGAGCCTCACGATGGACACCTGGACGAGGGAGCAGGTCGAGGTGCGTGCCGTGCCGTAACACATCGATGCGGTCACTGAATTACCCGTTATATAGCATATGAAGAACAACGGTAACGTAAAGTCAAATGCTTACTACAACCCGGACGAGAAACGGCACCCACCGCCTACAAATATGATTGACTCGGAGCGCGATAGCGACTTAGAGAAGTACATACGATGTACGTGTCCTGACCTGTACTTGCTTTATCCGTAGCTCATTAGGTAATAGCCAAGTACGAGTTCAAGTCTTTCATCAGTCGCGGAGTAGCAGCAGCGGCGCTGCTAGGACCTTCAAGGTCTCTGAATCGACCATCGCCTGGTCCGCAGGCACGCTCACAAGCAGCCCCCGCTCCTGCGTCGACATTGTCCGTCCCACCTCCCGTCCCTCCGAAGACGCCTTCGAATTCCACGCCCGCACCGACCCTTGCATCGTCAACACCATCCCAGCCTGCGATGACGTCTGCTCCAAGCATGTTCTCGCACACCCAGTCCCGTCCTGTGTCTCAGCCTGTGTCAAGCTCGTTGAGAACGTCTACGCCGCAAACATCCTTCGCGTCTGGCGTCCAGCCACAACTCACTAGTCAGCCGATTGCTGCGCAATCGTCAACATGGGCCACGCTCGCTTCGCTTCAGACACCCTCTAGTTTTACTCAACCCTCCTTTAGTCCATCTCAACCGCTCCAGCCTCCTCAGATGCAACCGAGTCCTTCCCCATTCTCGGCGTCGCCCCTGCCGAACGTGTACTCGGGCATCTCGGCTTCGCCCAGTTCACCCTTCCCTTCTTCCGTCTCTTCATTCGCGACTGGGGCCAGCCAGGGCGGTGTCCCGCGTAGCATGAGCCTCGGTACGGGACTTGCGCTCAACGTTAACGTCGGCTCTCCAATGGGTTCAAATCTGACTCCCGGCGGTGCATCGCCATACCAGGCGTCGGCGCCGCTGGGCATGTCTTCGCCGTTTCAATCTAGTCCGTCGCCGTTTCAGCAACAACCTGCCAGCGCACCGCCTTTCCAGCCGCAGCCCACTCTCGGGCTCGGATTGTCCGCACCGAGCGCAAATCCCTACGCAGGGCTGTCGGCGAGCCCGGTAGGTAGCGGGGCGTTCGCGGGGCAGCCGACGGGGGCCTTCCAGCCACAGTCGTCTCCGTATATGCAAACAAGTGCCCTGCAGCCACAGCCGTCCCCACAGCCGTTGCTCTTCCAACAGCAGTCGCAGATGTTCCAACAGCAGATGCCCATGCAGCCTGCTGTCGTGACGAACCCATTCTTCCAGGGCCAGCCGCAGTCGCAGCAGTTCTCACCGTCGCCGTTCGGCCAGCCGCAGATGCAGCAGCCAATGTACACTACCAACAACCCGTTCAATGGGTGGCAGGGCCAGCAACAACAAACGGGTTTTGCGGGGCAGCAGTGGAATGGCATTTGAGTGCGACCATGCGAGTGACTGGTGATATATACGGACCGTAGTGTATCGTACATCACTTGCGAGCGTCATTGACTTCTAAAATGGCAGGTAATAACATGAGCTGGGTCGCAGGAAGCAGCTCAGTGGATGTAGGGATCCGCGCTTCTTTGTATAGTAAAGTAGTTCGGTTGTTCCCGTGTTCGCTGCCATGCGAAAGCTACACGCCGCTGCCATCCTTAGTGTCTGGCCCAGTGTCGGAACGAGTTGGCCGTCGACAGCTAGTGTACATGACACGAGATGCTTCTACTAGTACTTATGTAACGACGTTCAGACTTCAGCGGATCAATAAAGTCGTTGTAGCTTTGCACTTATGCATGTGTAGCATGGTTGTTGTGTCGTCGTACAGGCTTGCCAACTAGTACTTACTGGCTGAACTTGATATTGGATGAAGCGTACGGCCCGAATGCTGCTAACATATGATGGGTCTACATAACCACAAAGTGACTGGAATAGGCGTATAGTGCACGATAAGAATACAAAAACACGGTGCACCGAGGTCCACGCCGCTCCGACTCCACTGCGACAACGACAACAGCTCCCAAGCATCTTGTGTGGTTCCCGGGATAACTGAGGCAAGCACGACCAATGGGCCTGCCCGATTGAGAGCAATCTCCTGCGGAGTTAAGCAAGAACCTTGAGAAGTCATAGCACTGAGAACAAGGTCGCCACGTGAGGGCCTTCCAAAAAGAGACGAAGGATATTGGCCACAGACGGCACCGGGCATGCCCGATTATCTGCGTGGCTCAGTGGCTCCCACTTCAGACTCCGCCTGGACCACGGGCCACGCCGCACGGGCGCGGTTGTGGCGTTGTCCGCATCGTCTTCCCTCCCTCCTCATTTCGCACCTCTGCCCTGTACAGCGACGCGATATACGCGTCAAAACACTGAACTCACGTTCCCGACCTACTGTGCACTCTCAATCGCGCTTTTGACAAAGGGACGGTTGTCGTTAGAAACCGTCAAACGGTAAGTATTAGCAACGGCTCCCTGGACAAAGGCATGGACTGACTCATGAGTGGCCCATCAGACAACACCTCAGGGTCCTGCTGTGTGACATTACCCTTTTTGAACAAAGGCTCACCGTTGGCCACAACCTCCGACATGGTCCACCAATTTAAAGCGTCGCAGATGTCGCGTTCGGGTGACCCCCCGTGCGCCTCTTCTTCGCCACACTTTCACTGGCCTCATCCGCAGACTGCAACATCATCTCCTCCGATGGCATACAACACGCCTCGATCTCACAAACAACTTGTGCATGCGTTCACTATGGAGGAGACGAAACAAACCAATGACAAGAATATGACGGCCTGGAAGCACGAAATCAACAAGAAAATTGTGGTCATGCCCATGGCTGTTGAAGACTTCCTCGAACGATATGTACCTAGTCGCGCCAACCCGCCCCCGGCCCAAGTCGCTGCCAGTGGTCCCCTACCCAACGTTCCTGTGGGTCAGCCGGAGTTAGGGATGTATGGCCCTCTGGTAAGTCGCTGCGGATGAGGAGTGTGGGCGACTCACTGACGAATTTCCAGTGCGCTGTGCTCAAGGAATTGGTCAAAGGCTTCCCCAATGACAAGCGCCTGTGCTTCGCAAACAACGCCCACAAGCCGATCAAGTTCCCGTACGGTAAATACGAGCAGGATCACCACGCCACCAAGCCGGATGTCATCGCTTCTCTTCCCGGAAAGACGTTCACGGGGAAAGATCCTGGTCGCTGGCGCAATATTTCTCTTATTTTCGAGGCGAAGAGTACAGAAAGTGGTGATCCCATGCGATACCACTCCAACGCCAACGAGGAGACTTTAGTACAGCTATCCAAGAGTGCTCGGAACATTCTCTTCGCTCAGAGCCGACTGTTCACGTTCGGCATCGGGATCTACGGGGCTATGGCGCGCATATATCGCTTCGATCACGCTGGAGCCGTCTGCTCGCAGGAGTTCGAGTATTCAGCCGCAAACGGCGCAGTTCTACGCGACTTCTTGTGGCGTTTCGTCAATCCAATCTCAGATGGGTGCGACATCGTTGGGGCTGATCCGACGGTGCGGCTCGCTACGTCGGATGAGCGAATGACGGTGGAGAAGCAGCTGCTTGCGGGAGGAATCATGCACGACAACGAGACGTCGAAGGCATGCCGTTGGATTACCGTCAAAGGGTCGGAAAACAAGAAGAGCAAGAGGTACCTTCTCTACGAGCTGGTCTTTGTGAATCCGCGACTCTTCTCTCGCGCCACGACAGTGTGGAAGGCGCTGGAGGTCGACGAGAACGGCTGGCCAACGAACCTGTCGCGTGATGCGGAGAATCGGCCTCATGGAGTTCAAGTCATCATCAAGGATTCGTGGCGGCAGCTGGCGCGCAAGCCCGAGCCAGAATACTACAAGCAAATCTATGGCCACATAGCCTCGCAACTGTCGCAACCTGACCTCGTGAAGGAAGCATCAGAAGAAGATATCAAGGGAGCGGTCATGAAGGCATGGGGCAAGACATGGCCGGGGTTGGCTGAGTACCTGATCGGCGATGATCTTGGTGCAAATGACCTCGAAGTAGACGAAGAGGAACGGACAGGTCAGCAGACGTGCTCGGGCGAGCATCTGGCCAGGGGCCTCCATCGTCTGTTCGAACGCAGTCACACGCGCATGGTTTCGAAATCTATCGGCACTCCCCTCTCTGCATTTCAGCGTACGAAGGAGATGATACAGGCTCTGCGCGACGCGATCTTCGGTACGTGTATCTGTTTTTGGGTGCACACTGTGTATTTACCTTATTATGATCTCAGGGCATAGAACAGCATTCGAGGCCGGTATCATGCATCGTGACATCAGCGAAGGCAACATATTGATTGCCAACGGCCGGGGCTTCCTCCACGATCTCGACTACGCCTTCAACTGGATGGCACATCTACTCGATCTGGGCTACGAGCATACAGTGGAGAGCTGGAGAGAGTACGTACGTACGACCAAGGGCATTCCACGGAAGGGTGGAGACGAGCTGCAGATGACTGCAAGGTCCGACCCTGTCGGGGAGCCCTCATCCCCTCGTCGCAGTGTCAACGGTGGTGACGATAGGAAAGCCGCGCCGCCCACACCGATCATCAACAGGAACGGTGAAAAGGAATACTTCATCGATGCGATAGTTGCTGAAGGGATAGTGGAGGGCGTCAAGAAATACCTGGTACGATGGACAGGGTGCGGGAACGAGGAGAATACGTGGGCATTCCCCGAGGACCTTCGAAGGTGCATCGCGCTCGTTAACTGGTTGAAGCGACCAGCAGCAGAACGTACACAGTTATCAGAGCCTTATCTGAGCGAATCAGGCTCGTCGGCCGAACGTGATGCGGCAACGAGTGGCAGTCCAGACGACATGAAGGCTCCAGATGAGGCGAAGAGAATGGAGTGCAAAGAGCGTACCGTAAGTTCGAGTCTCTAGAATGCTTGGTTGGCAAAGACTGATAGAGATACTCAATAGGGCACGCTGTACTTCATGTCTGTGGAAGTGCTTGAAGGAGGTGGCAACATCATTCACGATGTTCGTCATGATCTCGAGTCGTTCTTCTGGCTGTTGATGTGGCTTGTGCTGAGGCACACTGACTATGTGCATCGTGAGGGATCCAGTGCTCTACAGTCACTATTCGATCAGCCGTCGGATGCGGCCTGCGCGGAAAGAAAGAAGGGCTGGCTTATGTCGCCTGCAGTGACAGTCCAAAACAACGCACCACTTTCGCAACTGATCAACCAGTTCAAGAGGCTGTGCAAGCTGAACATGTTCGACGAAGACACTCCATCTAATTTCATACCGTTAACGTACGACAGCGTGCTCAAGGTGTTTGACGACGCACTCGAACGGGACGACTGGCCATCCAACGACAAGGCAATCCCTTTCAAACCCCTCCCTGATCCTAATCAACCTCACCGAGCACGCCCCGAGGGCGTAATCCTGAGCAGTCAGGTAAACTCGGAGGCTCGCCGAGGCCGGGGACCAATTGACATGCCTGCTCCTGGCGACTTCGTGACATCCTTCGATCACAATCGGCCTATGCCAGATGATCAGTGGACTCTAAGCGACGGTGGCATCCCTTGGATCCAGCGGGCAATGACGAACAACGACGGACATCCCCAATACCAGCACTCTGCAGATGCTCATCCCCCGCTCGTGCCGCTGCGGCCCGATGTACGGCATACAAATACTTGGGCCGGTGATGTCCTGGTAGAAAGGCCGGATCTGCAACCTCGACTTATCGGACGCCGTCCTCTGGCACGAAAACCTGGCCCATCGTCCATGTCTGCCTGGACGCGGCTATCGGGGCAACAAGAGGCTCCCGATGATCCGTCAATGGCAGGACGAAGAGCCCCAACAAGATCTCCGTCTGATTCTCCTGCCCACTCATCTGACACCGACACGGCGGGACAACGACCCTGTCGATTGCCTTCCGTCGAGCGCCTCATACAGGCCGCCCCTGACAGTCCTCCGCACAGTGCGCGCGATGAGCGTTTGTTGCAGTCGTATCAACAGTCATTAGAAAGGATGGCCAGTGCAAGTGGAGAACATCGTACGAGACGGAAACGGTCGCACGAGGAGATGGGTAGACGCGAGGACGAGGACAGTGAACGTTCAAAGCGTTCAAGAAGTCTCAGTCAGCAGCCTCTTCCTCAAGTTCCTCGCAGGAAATCCCGAGGCCCGTCGAAGTAAGCATTCATCCCATGCAGCGAGACTTAGTGCCTCGATGCCCCTGCCTCTTTTCTGTACCATTGCGGACGTGCGTCTCGATTGTTTGTAGTACTAGTAGTGCCACCGGACGCTTATCAGTGTATCCATATTACCACTCTATCTGTAGTGAACAAGATATTGCCGTAATCCATACAAGTCGTCTGGTTGGCACAGGCGACAACTTGAACGGCGATGCGAGCGTGATGGTCCCGCCTCGTGGAAGCAGCCGACTACGACGGCTCGATGCCGTCGCAGACCAGTGGTTGCGATCTGCTACCAGAACATAGAAACGCAAAACACTGTGCATACCGCTCCGATCGACCGTGTCGTTTTATGAGCGATTCCCACTTTCAGGCCAGACGTGCACAAGCAGGGATATGTGATTGTCAGGTATGCATAGACACAACCTCGGAGACTTACGTAAAGTTACCCAAATGTGACCAAGCTTTGGCACGGAAGACTCTTCTCATCAGTCCTTACACTGCTAGTGCAGAGGCAGCGAGGCCAACGAAAACTTTGAGGAGGAATCAATTGGACGATCCGATGCAAAATCAGAGTCGGACGACTTCACAGCTTAGGATGAGACGCACTAGCTGCGAAGACGCCAGTGTTCGACAGCGCACGTCGAGAACTTGATGTACCAGTGCTGCTTGCATTAACAGCCTTTCATAATGTAATATCGATACGTCCGTGTCATACGACTGAAATTAAATAACGAGTCAAGCGGTGCTATTACCCACCGTCGAAGAGACACCTGCGCAGTGCTTATTCAGAATGGCCTACCGAGGAAGGCCTACGCACTCACCATTGTCCGCGAAGCCGATGGTCTGATTCTGCACGCTGAAGATCGCGTAGTAATGCTTCAACAAGCTTCCGCCGACGAGGTTCAGACCCTGGATGGAGTTGATGAACGTCTGGCACGTCTCCGTCTGGCCAGGGAACGGTCCGACGTTCAGCTCGCTGCTGGGGATCGTCAGGTTGAACGGCTTGCCGGCGGTGTTCGTGAACGTGAGCGTGAGCTCAGACGCGAGGCCGTCGATTTCGGAGCACGGGATCCCGTACGCGGTGCCGTAGTCGGTCGTCTCGGCCGGGTAGGGCTGGATGTTGGGCGAGATGGACGAGTATATCGCCTGGGCGATCTCGGGGTCGAAGTAGGCGTTGCTCGTGCCACTGTCGAAGATGATATTGCGCGTGCTGGAGAGGAGGGAGGTCGTCTGTTCGTTGATGTAAATCGCAGACGAACTCAGCAGCCATGTATCATCGTTGTCCGATGGCAGCGACGCTGTCTGGATCTCGCCTGTGTACTGGCATGAGCATTCAACAGTCATGCCACACACAAAACGCGGGACGCACCGTGAATGTGCGACTCATCAACGCCACCGAACGTGATCTCGGCGTTTCCGACAGAGTCGGGAGTGACATACAACCCGAAAAGTGCTGCAATCAACGTCAGAATTCTCCATGCATTCCATTGGTGACCGAGACTATACCTGGAAGCCCGTTGTTCATCAGACCAAGGAAGAATCCCTCGGGGACGGGTCCGAGACCTTGCGTAGCATTAAAATTCAAGTCATGCTTTAACGCAGAGCGCAAGAAGACATACCGGTGATCCCGCTGTACGGGTCAGGCTCGAAGGCGGCCGTCTGGTTGACGACAATGTTCAGCTCCACGTTAGCCGTCGCGACGCCGTTCACTGTCACAGTATCATTTCCGGGTTTCAGCCACAGAACGTATTCGTTTGGGGACGTGATAGGGTTCACGCCACCTCCCGTCTCGAATGCGATCTTTTGGACGTCGCCAGTGGTCACGAAGGTCGAACTGGCCGACGCGTCGAATTGGACTTGATTCGCGCACGGCTCCCCGCACTCGGTGCCTATGATGAGTTCATTATCGGCCGTGCCTAACGATGACGAACATAGAGTGCGCCGGTACGTACTGGCGAACTCCAGCGTGTAGCTACCCGTATCGAACACGACAGGGATTTGCTGTGGTGGCGTGCCGACCGAGATATTTCCGTACCACCTGTGAGCATGGTGAGTAAGCGGCTACGATAGCGGAGGACATGCTGAGCAATTCGTACTACGTACTGTAAATCCGTGCCGTTGAACTGATCAATGAGCGGAATGCTGAACGGGTTCATGCCGCGCTTCATGACACTGCGTTTCCTGATTGCAGTCATATGGCCACTAGCCACCTTTCTGGACATTAACTGGACTTTGGCCGGAGCGGCAGAGGCCGCGGCGCCCACCCCAAGGAGGGCGACGGCCGTGGCACTGGCAAACAGCATATCAGGAAGTGAGGGTCGAGAAGGAGGAAGAGAATGAAGGGAACGGGGATGAAGAATAGCGAGTCGTATGGCAACTCGCTTTATATACGCTTCCGACCAGCTTCCGACGAATGGCTGTGGGAAAGGTCGTGGGGTACTTTCCATCATACGAGGCTGTCGCGCTGAGATCTGCGGTCACTCGCCGACACCGCTCTGCGCGCCGATCACTATGTAGTTTGCTGCAGATGATCAGTGAAGTACACCGGTGAGTTTCGTAGCGTGCTGAGGTTCTCCACGTCTGTAGATGTCCCATAGTACGTACCTGGACCATGTCAATGTTACTATTCGGTGACGTCGCGCACATATTCATGCGTCTGTGGTCGTCGCTAGTTGCTGTCCATGCATGTGCAACGGTAGTTCCTTTCGTTAACGACACGCGTTACGCCCGTCGAAGCGCTGATACGGTGATGGCGCGAAGGCAACTTGCCAGCGAGACCGCGTGCGGCGAGAGGCGGCGAGTCAGCGCAGCGTTGGCGACGGGCGTCTCACGGTCTCCGTCAGGCTCACAGCGCGATCACGTGCGCATCGTGGCGTCAATACTTAGACGATGTCGGACACTGGTCGGAGACCGTCGGACAGGCCTTCTTGCCACTTGAGTAAGAACTGTGACACGAAGTCGGTATTCAATATTCAATGTCAGAGGCGGCCTTGAATCCGGGACGAGGGGTAAGTTGGCGTCGCTTCGCTTCGAGAGTGATTGATCTTCTCGCGCCGACAAGCTCAAGCGTGAAATTGGCAGGCCTACTCTCCCCCGGCCGGGCCACGTCGTCGGTGGTCGCCGACCTGTAGTCACAAGTGGCCCGAGGATTGGAACCACAAAGCGCGCTCGAGACCAAAAGCAATTCTGCTCACTCCTAAACACGACCTTCTGCGAGGGAGGGGAGGGGGATCGTATATGAGATCTTCCTGTCATGACTTGCGTACCAATGACAACTTGGTCGGTAAGTGGCATCTCGGTGTAGATACTTGACTTCTCACTGGCATGTCAAGGCGGGTAGTATGCATACTGAGATCAGGGATTTGGCGGCTATCTCACATAGCCAGTGAGCCGTCACAATCATGACCACTGACAAGAGCGGGAGAAATCCAGGTCGTTTGTTCGGGGAAGGACTCGACGGAACAGGAGAAGGTTCTGCATTGCGAGCGCTCCGCAGTACTCGTTACTCAAATCCTCCGGCGGTGCGGGATCGTCTGCCATGCCGGTGTCTGACCGTCCCGTGGTCCGTGTAATGCGGAAGTAGATCGACACAGATCATTGTATCACTTCCATCTCCAATCATCGCGCCAAGATGTGTATGAGGTGCACACCGCCACTATCGTTCTGCGGGAGAGCTACGGCGCTGGCTCGCCTCACGCGTGTTCATCACACAGGATCAGTCCATTAGAATTCAAAGACGTACGATGCTACAGCACCACCCGCGATTCGAAATCCAATGGCGCAAGTGTGTTGGATAAGAGTAGTATATTGGTATGACAGAATCACCAATGACTCTGTGGCAATGAATCACCGTATGATCTCTTCAGACTTCAACCGTGACGGCCATCTGATTCTTTGTTGTGACAGACGGGCATCGCGCCGCATGGCCGAAACTCCAGCATACCGATCCCAGGGTGTGATTCGCGCCCGCACTTGAGGTGGGAGCGCCCAACTAGCGGACTTCGCTCCATATATGAACATCATGGCATGCAGGACGCCCGTCGTGGTCCCCTTGTGTTCTTCCCTGGGCTACCCTCGAACGGTGTTCCGCCATGGTCGCCCAACTGAACCTCCTCGCAGTCAACCTCGCGACGGTCGCTCTGGAGAGCTGGCTCTATGGCATATTCTGTATCATCTTTGGAACGTCGACCTATCTGCTTGTCCGCCGCGGCCGCGAACGGACCCAGGGTAGCGGGCCGCCGCAGAACATTCGGCCTCCATGGCGGACACCTATGTTCATCGCGTCGTGTCTGATCGCCTTGTCAGTCACTGCAGTGAGCTGTTGCTGCTTTCGTTTGGCCTTGACCTGCTAACCTGACCGGATTGTTTGCACAGCACTGGATCTTAACCGTGTATCGTGCATTTGATGCCTTCGTCAACTTCATGGATGGCAGCGAGCCTATCATTGCCTATGCAGATCTCTCCAGGAAGTCCGAGGTCGCTAAGACCGCCTTCCTTGTCATAACAGTGCTCATCTCCGATGCCATGATTGTGAGACCTTTGTTACTGACCCATGTTTCTCTCTAACGTTATGTGCTAGATTTACCGCGTGTATATTGTGTGGAGCTACAACAGGGCGATCATTATATTCCCCATCTTGACATGGTTCGCATTAGTTGGTCAGTCGTCATACCCTCTACGGCATTTCCACATTTGCTCAACGACAGCCGAACACACAGCATGTGGCATCGCCATTTGTTGGCAGTTTGCACACTACACTCTCGGAGAGAACGTTTTTGAGACTGCAGCAGGGCGCTGGATAACGAGCGACTGCGTCTTCAGCTTCGTGTGCGTATCTTGCCGCGCACCGTCGGCCCTTTGACAGAACGCTGAGCCCTTGGTTGACATGCAGCACGAACCTTTATTGCTCTTGTGCGTCGCAGACTGTTTGCTCCACACTCGACGACCTTCTGACATGATGCTGCTTCAAAAGTGCTGATCGCATGGCGCGTCTGGCGCACGACGGTGTCCGCGCCTGCTTATGGCGGCCCAAACATCATGGGCGCGCTCGCCATCATCATTGAATCTGCCGCTATTCAGTCGTGCGTACCCCCGCTTTCCATCGGACTCCATGCCCCTACTGACTGCGCGTACCCCGATCCGTTTTGCGCGCTTGCCATACAGGGCATGGAACCTATTCTTCTTCATAACCTACCAGGCCAAGAGCAACCTGCAGTTCACCACCATCGACATGTGGGTACCTATATGCGGCATCTCGCTCACACTCATCAACCTGCGCGTCTCGCTCGGCTGGGCGGCCAAGGGGCACATTTCGGGGGCGTCCACAGGGCCGCGCTTGACCACGCAGGTGCGCTCGTTCGAATCGACGAACCAGAGCTATGCGATGCGCTCGCTGGCGGTGGATGTGACGCAGCTGGACGATGCGGAGGTCCCCCGCTTCTCGGCAGAGAAGCCGGTTGATTTGAGGCGTGTAAGCAGGGGGAGTGATATATCTGTATGAGTGACTCGTTTACTCCTGGGTCGCTGCGGACTTCATAGTATATAGGACCTAGCGCGGGATTGCGCTATTGTTGTTGTGAGACAGCGGTCGTAATCTTGTAACGATTCCCCCGACACTCGTCGCCATACCAGTTACCCTACACTCATCTGGCTATTTATTAATCGATGACAACAACGAAAGTATTTTCACGGCTTCTCTTGCTTGCTGGCAGGGCATGACGCAGACGCAATAAGTAGGGGCTCTATACAGGCCGAGCTTTCATAATGGCCTTTGGTGTATGTGCACCAGTGTTTATCCTGTTCTACGTCCTGCGTTGCAGGAAACCTTCATACTGACCGCGTGCACCTAGCGGCCAGTACCAACTCCAAGCCACGATTCCGCTCTCTACTTTAGGGGAGCCCATGCCTGCCCTCTATCAATGTCATGGTGGGCGCGCAGTTTGTTGGCTATTGCTTCTATTATCTCTATGCGACTCGAACGGCGCTGCATCTGGATCAATGTCTCAAACTATAATGCTCATGCACATGATCGGACCTGGTCGGACTCGTCGACGTCTCTGAGGGCCGTAACTCCGCAACCAGATGGTGAGGTTGCAATGAGAACTTAATCACATATGCATATTACTCTTGAAGTTGCCGCGCATGCGCCGCGTACCGCTGTACTTACCATTACGCGTCCGCGTCCGCGTCGCGGTCACATGATCACGTTTATCGCGTCCCTGACAAGCCGACCGCCCCAGATCCAGCACTGAGTACTATGAGCACTGTTAGATCTAAGCTCGAAGGACATCAGAGGGTCCGGACACTCAATGACATGTCGCGACGCGGTGTATTACGAACTCCTAGAAGGACATACTGTACCTCATGCTTGTGCTACTGAAAAGGTTTCAGTTTCTACCGCATAGATCGGGCGATATACGAGCTCACAATCGCTTCAGAAATCCATAACCGTGCTTTGATCATCCTTGTCTAAACGCTTCTCCTTGTCTTCCCTCTCCGTCCCACCTGGCGCAACACCGAGCCACTCCCCATAATATACACACTCCCTCGGGCTCACGGGCCCACCCGGCTTGCAGAAGTCGAATGTCGGACACCGCGTACATGGTGCCTGCCCCATGCCGAGTCCGCTCGCTAGTTCCTGGCGGACCGCGCGGTACACGTGTGCGCCGTACTCTGCCTCTCCCACGTCGAAGGCGGAAAACTGTGCGGCGGGAGAGGACGAGCGTTTCGACTTGTTCTTTGACGTCGACTTGGAGCGTGGGCGTGCGTCAGAATCATCGTCGGACGACACGGTGCGCGACGATTCCGAGTCGGACTGGCTATCGCTGTCCTCGTCGGATGAGTGTGACTTCCGTTTCTTGCTCTTCGATTTGCTCTTCTTCTTGCGCTTGTTGTCCTCCGCACTATCGTCATCACTGTCGTCTTTGCTCCGCCTTTGCTTTTTCTTCTTCCGTTTCCGCTCCTCACTCTTGCTTTCGCTGTCACTGCCGCTCTCGTCTTTGTCGTCCTTGCTCCGCCTCTTGCTCTTGGACTTCTTGCTCTTGCTCTTGGATTTCGACTTGCTCTTAGATTTCGACCTACGATCGTCTTCCGAATCTGAGTCTTCTGAGTCAGACTCCGTGTCTGAGCGGCTACGTTTGGAGCGTTTCCGCTTGCGCGACGAACTATCGCGATCCTTGTCCTTCCGTTTGCGCTTCTTGCTGCTGCTCGAACGGGTGTCGTCATCACTACCATCTCCCATGGTAGCTTGTACGCTGCTCTCCCACATCGCTGCACCGAAAGCAGGGAGCTGTGGAGTGGATGTCAGCGCCGTCGGAAGGGGCAGGGCCGGATTGTGAACAGTAAGACAATATTCCACAAGTAGCCATTTGGCGGAGAGACAGAGCTAGAGGCATTAGGAGGTTGCTCGGTGTCGGCTGCGCCTCTTGCAGCCCTCTGGGGTCGGGTAGGCCTTTCTTTATGAAGCGAGAAAAGTAGAACAATGGCCACACTCACGCGTTCTAGCTCTCCGTCTAAGACGAGTACGCCCAGAAGCATCTCGGCGTGCTCAACCTCGAGCGTCGTCTCCGTGATCCGACTCTTGCGGAGGAAGTTCAGGACTTGCGCGGCTGTTGGATATGCGGGTGCCGCACCAATCGGATAGAGGGGCGTGCCGTTCGGCGCGGACGAGCTGGAGGACTTCGGAAGACTCTGTGTGGTTATTAGAACATTGTGAAAGGGGAAAAATGCGAGAAAGCAATTGCTACGTACGCGATCACGGACGAAGCGCAAGCAAGCGCTGCACAACAGTTTGATGAACTCGGTGTCGAGTTCGTTATCGGTGTACCAAGGTCCGCCTGTCATCTCCACAGATGGATCAAGGTGATACAGCATGTAAATCTTGCGCGTTGGATACTGGAGGTAGAGTCAATCAATATGTTGCGCGATGAGGGTAAAAAGCGGCGAAGCATACCTTCACAGACTTGACGGCCTTGATAAGCTGTTTCTGCGTGAGCGACTTGAGGCATCGATCAATGACGGTCTGATGGAGCTCGGTCTTTGCTTTGAGATGCTTCGTCCATATGCCTAGTCGCACTCAGTAAGAAACGCGGACGAAACGCGTATGTTCGCCTACCTTCGTTAGCAGATGCTTGAATATGACTTAAAACCATACTCTCCTCGCCACTCATGTCCTTCTTCCTGATATACTCTCAGCAAGTGTGGTATATTTAGACACCTGCGATCACTCACACTTCCATCTCCTTCTTCATGACGGCCCGAAATAACACGTTGCCCTTTGGGTCCTTCATCGCCTTCAGGAGACCCTGCACGCAGCGACTCATATATACCAGACACTCTCGAGAGCTAAGTGTACCATACCGTGGAGAGCAAGAAATTGATCGCGTCCATCCGCCCTTTGGAGTCGGGTATGAGGGTCTCACATTCTTTCGGCGTGATGCTCTAAATACGGCACAAAAGCGTTAGAGAGAGCAGGGACTAATCAGGATTAAGGTAGGATGAGGAACAGGCTGAACGAGCCTTTTTCGGGTCTGCAAGAGCAGCTTGATGTATCTTCTGCTCTAGCACATTCGGCTTCCGTCCGGCCGCCGACATTGTAGCTAGAACTCGTAGTCAGGTTTGTCCCAGCAGATTTTTTGAGCAGAGCCTTCGGATCGAGCCGCAGTAGAGCTAGAGGATAAGATTCAAGACGACAGTGACTCGTGGAGGACCTTGAAGAGGTCCATTCAGCCACCAAGTACGCGAAGATCGCCCGACGCGCTCGATTCTGCTTAGTCACTTGGGCGCTTTCGCCACGGACGCGATCACGTGCGACAGAACCACTACGCTACAACGATGCACGTTGTCCACCAATCGTCCCCTGCCTACTTGTTGCGCCACAGCTTGAGCTGAAAGAGAAAGTCTTTAGAACCTGTGTGTAGCACTCTTTTGTGAAAAGCTGGTTCATGGTCCCTGGACACTAAATTTGAACGTGACGCGTGACGGGGTAATTAATCAAGCACGTGATTGTGACGCGCCCTGGCTTCTCCCCGACTCCCGAGTCTTCAACTTGAGTTCGTCTTCTTTCCTAGCCACCTGGCCCAACGCCCTACAAGGCGAGATATTGCTGTTTGAGATTTGGACGAATACCCAAGGAATTTTAGTGAGTAATGAAGCAACCATCGACCCATGCTGATATATTCCACCCTAGTCGAAGGATGCTCTACAATATCTCAAGTACGACCCCCGACGTCGACTCAGATCCTGACGATGTCGGCGACCTCCCCGGTCATACATCTCCTCTTCCGGAGGAGACGGTTCCGACCTCTAGCTCGCCAGTATCGTCCTCGCCATTCGCGCAAACGCCTCCCGACGATATTATCAGCTGCGGAACGACGCATCAAGTCTTGACCGGATCCTCGGACCCATTCTCATGGTTCAAGAATTCTCAGCGCGTGGACACCTACACGAATGAACACGAGACACCACGGGACACGGAGGGTCGACTCGCCGATGACTTGACTAGTCCTGGATCGCCACACTCGAGCTTTGCTACCCGCCTCCATGAACTACTGCTCGTCGTCCAAAGAGAGCGCTCACTGTCTGGGACAGCGTCGGTAGTTTCTTCTCAAAGTGGGACTCCGGAAAAACCGGGCAGGACGGGGTATGCCGAGGATATAAGTCCACCCTTCGCCCGGGAGGACTTTGGCACGCCCGTTGGCCCAGACTACCAAGCTGGGAATGTCATTCAAGATACTGGTTCTCCTGATTACTGGGCATACTTTCCCGAATCGACTTCCCTAGCAATTCCCTGCGATACCGAGCAGCTGCCCTCTCTCAACGGCGACAACTCCTGCTCGAGCGCATATAGTCACTCCGAAGAGCCTGTGTCTGAGACTGAGGTTGATTGTCCCGCATACATGCAGTACAACGCACTTTCTGTGGGCCCCTGTGTTGATCAGCGACGCTCTAGCTTCTCCAGTTCTCTGAAACGTTCTCTCGACCCTCCAGGCACTGCTCTGGGACTAATCAATGGCGAACCCTATCGCACCGATACCTCACACGGGCTAGAGTCATCCGCACCTCAAAGAAAACGTACCAAGAAGCTAGTTGTCGATTATCCACAATCATTCTCGACCCGTTCAAGATTCTTCTCTCGGAAGCCTTCTCTGGATGGCGCGTCTATGCAGCGTGGCGCCTTGAATGGGCCGTGCAACCATATCTCCCCTAAGCGGCGCATGTATGCGCAACGTGCCGCGAGCTTACGCCGCGCAGACTCATTGCGGAGCGAAGTATCGTCGTATGCGCGCGATTCTACGGACCAGGCAGTGAGTTGACTGACTCAACCTTCGACATACTAACCTTACCGGCGGGCCTCGTAGACACCAAGACGTACTTCGCTAGGCGGTAGCCTCGATTCCCTCTCTCCAATCGCAGAACAGAACGAAGGACCAGACTCGGATGACGAAGACGACATAACTTCCAGCCTTACACCCTACGCATATATCCCGACGGAACCCGCTACGCCCATCCCCGCTCCCCGCCGTCGCGCTCTACCGGGCCGCATCCCGACGCCTCCACGGTCTCCCCTTCCTGTCCCACTGCCGATTGTTGCGCCCCCTGCGTTCGAAGAGATTCCCAGCGCACCGCTCAACGAAGAAGACGCGGCCGAGCGCCGGATCCGAGCATTGATGAAGCGCGAAGCTACAGAACGAAGAGCGGACGGACTGTTGTGCGCGGATCAGAGTGACAGAGAGTGTCTTTTGAGAAGTGGAGACGGTAAGGGCGCTGCTGAAACTGATGACATTTCGAAACGACGAAGGGACATGAGTGCGCCAGGCAACAGTGAGGACCCGGAGTCGAGGGCGATATTGAGGCAGTGCGCTAGTTCAGTGGGTAATGTTGACACGGAACCAGGTCCGGTACGGAGCAAGTTCGCCATAGTGGAGGGGTTTGACCTCGGCATCGACGAGGAGATACGCCCTGAATGCGTTGATTGGATCCTAGAAGTAAGCATTCTCGTCATCGCCAAGCGTAACCTGTAGCTCATACACGAGAATACGCTAGGTTCTCCCGGACATAAGCGGCCAACCAAGACGCGCACGCAAGGACCTCTACGAGCAGCTCCGGGACTCCTCCGAGACACGCTGGCACGCTGCTCAGCTCTTCACTCGCTACTCTCTCCGCCTTGGATCGGTTCATTCACATGCGACATTCCCTGCGAGTCCATCCGCAGAGGGAGTGTTTCGTGGCAGCGTCTCAACCGAGAAGGCACTTCTTATGCATGACGGGTGTGAAGATGTCATCTGGGACTGTGCCGTGGCATGTGTCGTGCTTAGCGTCAAAGTGAGTGCATGCTCGTCTAACGAGAAGCGTGCATGCAAGGGAACGCTTTCCATAGTTTCATCGTGATGTCTTTCCCCCGTACTACTTGATTCCGGCGCGCGAGTTCGGTGCGCTCGCTTCCCACACAATGTCTTATGCCGACCTCGAGGTAAGGCGAGATCATTGTCATCGTATGATGAGGCTTAATGTCCTGTTTATGCCCTAGGCTGCGCAGTGCGACGTCCTCGATGCGCTGTCCCATTCGGTCGGTTGTGTCACTCCGGGCCAGTATCTCCATGACCTGTGGCTCGCGCTGCCTAGCTTACGGGATCTACTCGCCTTCGAGAACGGGTGGCAAGCTGCGCAAGAAGAGACATGGGCCATCTTATTGGAGGCATTCATGCGTGGGTCTGCCGTGTTGATCCTGGTCGCATTGCACAGTGCACTTGCATGACGATGGATCACAGAGCTGACTACTATGTGACCACTAACAGAGCGAGGCATCCTCCGGTTCCCCACGTCTCTTCTTACAGCTTGCGCACTCATCGACGGCTGCGTCGACGTGCTCATCGAACGCTACAAAGTCAAAGTCCACACAGCCAATCCCTACAAGAGCAGGCGCAGACCAAGTAGCGGTGCCGGACGCCTTATCCGCAAGGATCGCAACGAGGATCACCGAAGGCAGGCCTCTAAGGCGGTTCAGAGCTTCAAGCTCGATTTGCAGGAGCTCTTGGGGTATACGGAGGTTCGTGGTCAGATGTCTGCTAGTGTGGCTTGGCAAACGATGCTGATCGGTTGATGTTGGGTAAGGCCGATGTGCGGTATTGTCGGTTCTGGTTGAGGTCCGCTGCGTAGAGTCCATGCTACTTCTGCTTGCTGTTTTCACATACAGTATGCCGTCGAGTAACGAGAAAGAGCTATTGGCGGCGCACGTCATCTCAAGAATCCGTTGTTCCATGCGACAAACAAGTCAAGAGCTTCAATCAAGCTTCAATCACGGCCGGGTAGTGACTAGTGAACGAGCTGATGCGCTTGTCAAGAGAGTCGCCGGGCAAGCCACAGTGTATTACCGTGCTTACTCGATGGCCGGTAAATCGTGCCAACATGCTTGTGGCAGATCGTATCCGTCTTTGAAGCGTCCGATTGGTGGTTTGGGAAGTGAGTACTGGTTGGTGCATCGTTCGCGCGTCCCTGTTCTGAAGACAAATCCGTCGAGCGGGCTTCGCTGCCTACTTTTGGGTCGTGTCATCAAGTCCTTCCATCAATGTTAACCAGTCACAGAAGATATGGTACATTGCGGTCGGTATCGGCTACCCAATGGTGCGCCGTATGTTGCAAGTATGTTGGGCTCACCTGGGTCTCATTGAAGTCGTCGAATATGTTCGGGCATCGGTCGGGCACTGCTCCGCATGCCGCGAACGAGCCCCGTCCAGCCCGCCGGTCGACGACGTCTATCGCGGCACACGCATTCGCGTTCTATCGCCACTGGTGCGGTGATGCTGTTCCGTCTTGTGAACCTAGACCGCCATTTACGGGGGCAAACCGTCACAAACGTGTAACGTGTAACCCCTGACTCGGTGTTCACTCGGGCGAGTGGCTGTGCACCCCCGTGCTATGTCATCAGGACTAGGTTTGGCTGAAAACCCGGTGAGAGCCCCCAGCGAGTGTGTTTGACGAAAATGCGAGCTACTACTTATGTAGAACAAGGAATATCTTTGGCGGCCTTGGCCCTGACGCCGAACATCTCGTATAAATGTGGACCCCTCGGCAGATACCAGTACCAACGAACTGCCTATTCAGCGTATCGCACGCATCACTCATAACTCGCAAGCATCTCTCCTGTTCTAGCCACTGTCCCCCAAGACATAATATTCTGTGCAATGGCCACAAGTACCGCGACTACAGCCCCGAAACACACGGGCTTCGAGAATGCCGCTGAGCAGCTCGTTCCCATCGAGCTCAACATCCGTGGCGACTTCCCGCCCTGGCTGAGCGGAAACCTCTACCGCACAGGTCCTGGCACCTACAGCATCCCTTCGACCGCCGACCCGTCGAAAGTGACGGAGATCCAGCACTGGTTCGACGGCATCGCGATGCACCATCGCTTCGAGATCGTCCCAGCCTCCGAGGGTCAGGCTTCTCGCGTTCTGTATCGTTCGCACAAGGGCGCGCCGGACCTCGAGCAGCGGATCGCGGACGTGGGTGACTTTCCCCCGAAATTGTTCTCCTTCGCACAGCGCCAGCGTGATACGGATCCCTGTGCCAACATCTTCCGGAAGATCTTCACCTCGTTCTCGTCCCTGGGCGATGCGGTGGCTGCAATGAATTCCCGCGAGCGGAGCAACAAGCTCACGAACGTCTCCGTTACCATGACTCCAGACTTCCCGGGGATCACTCTGCCTGGGGGCGAGAAGACGGGTGAGGGAGAGAAGTCGGGGCCCCGCGTCATCGTCTCGAAGACCGACGCGAACATCCTGCAAGTGCTTGACGCGACGACGCTGGAACCCCTTGATCTGCTTTCGTACGCGCACATTGACCCGCGTCTTAGTGGGCAGCTGAGTGCGGCACATGCGTGTCGCGACGCCGAGACTGGTGAGTGGGCCCCGACGCTCAGTGGGATCAATAGGGCTAATGGCGCTACTCCGTGTTCAGGTGACTTCTACAACTTTGTCGCTGAGATGGCGATGAAGACGACGTGGAAAGTGTTCAAGATTCGTGGAGACAACGGCAAGGCCGAGGTCCTCGCGACGTTTTCCGGGAAGGACGCTCCCCCCACTTATATACACGCGATGACGATGACGGATCGCTTCGTCATTGTCTGTGTCTGGCAGGCGCACATCAGAGGGTAGGTGTTCATGACCATAGTTCTGGGGTGTCGCGATAGTCCGTAATGCTGATGCACGGATTGATGGTTTAGTTTCGGCTTAGCTTTGCTGTCTACCCATAACATCGCCGATTCTATCGAGAAGACATGGAACCCGAAGTTCCCGTCTGTTTTCTACGTCGTCGATCGGCATAATGGTGGATTAGTCGCAAAGTACAAGGTAGCTAACCCGTCAGTGTTCAATGATGTATGCGAAGCTGACAAGGATACACTTCAGACCGACCCCTTCTTCGCTTTCCACTACGTCAACGCGTACGACGATCCCGAGACTGGCGATGTTGTTATCGACCTTTCTGTCTACCCTAACACGGGCGTCCTAGACATGCTCTACCTCGACAAGATGAGGGACACGAGGGACAGCAAACCCTGGATGGGCCGTGCGCGGAGGTTCCGCCTCTCGGATCCCGCCAAGGTACCAGTGACCAATATCAACGACCCCGTGGCACGGAACTGACACAACTTAGGTGGCGGAGAAAGGCAGTGTTCCAGTCCTGGATGCGAAGATCGCCTTCACGCTTCCACAGAGTGTTGGCGTGGAGCTTCCGACGCTCGCGCCGGGCAAGCACCACCATGCGTACCAATATGCGTACGGCATCACCAGGCGGCCCATTGGGAAAGGTTTCTCGGATGGCATCATCAAGCTCGACATGAAGGCTGCCGTGACTGCTGCCACTGCCAGCGAACCTCTGGAAGGCAAGGAAAGTGAATACGCGAAGATATGGCGCCTCGCAGGACACGCGCCCTCCGAACCCATCTTTGCCCCGCGGCCTGGAGGGGCCTCAGAGGATGACGGCGTTTTGCTGTCCGTCGCGCTTGACTCGACGCCCGAGAAAGGCGCAGGACAGAGCGCCCTCATCGTGATCGATGCGAAGACGATGAAGGAAGTCGCGCGAGCAGAGATGCCGAACATCTACCCCTTCGGTTTCCATGGAGTTTACACGCAGGCAGGGGTCCAGGCAAGTAAGAACGCGTTGTAACAGTGGTCACCGGCCACCCATGGGGGTTATCGCTTTCGGTACATATGTACTAGTATACTCAGGTGCTCTACTCAGACTATCTATCTATCTATCCGTTGTTTAGTTTGCTTCTCATCTGTCACTATAACGCTGGAACTAATACGCTGGAAATGGGCGGGTGTGATGTGTGACCGCGAGAAACTGCCCCCGAGAAAGCGATGCTGCTATAGCATAGCTCTGCGATCGCTTGTTGTAAAAGCTAGCTAGTATAGAAACATCGCAACATATGGCGGCGAATTGTGACATGGTCGCGTACAAATGTCGTCACAATGTTGATAACTTCGCGAAAGAGAACGAGAAGACTTCAGCAGACCATATACAGCATGTATCGCTAAGGAGTTACAGCCTTCGGAAGTCAGAAGTCTGACCTGAAGAAGCAGCGGCTACATAGAGTCACGTGGATCATTCTCCGCTGCGCTCATTGTCGACGCTGTCCGACACGGCGAGCACAATTCTTCCCACCACCACCACCACCACCACCGTAGTCGTCGGACCCATCAACTCCCTTTCTGCCTCCTTTCTTGCCCCGTTCCGCTGCGTCCTCAGTCTAGCCCCCTTCGCCCCTGCTCCTGAACGTCCCTGAGCGGAAAGAGCGCGCGATCAAGATACCGTCTTCGCGCGCGGTTAGCAAAAACCGCCACTCCCCGCTAATATATAGCCCGAACAGACGTCTGACAGCTCGCAGTCAAGCCTTCCTTCCCCCCAACCATCATGTCGACCTCCTCGCAAATCCCAGACGTCCCGACGCCGTTCTCGCCGCTCCTCAAGCTCAATCTCCCATCGCCTGCGGAGTATCGCAAGCGCAAGGTCGCACTCATCTCTGGTGAGCACGATGCATCCTAAACTTGTTCAGCTGCATGTTGACGCACGTCGGCGCCGTCAGGGATCACTGGACAGGATGGGTCTTACTTGTGAGTACTCCTCTTCATCTCATCTCTCTGTCAGGAGACACGGCATGCGACATCCATGTCCCATAGCCTTCCGTCCTCGTTGCAAGAGTACGCTCGTCAAAATGTGCGGTCGTTGGGCGGGCATGTGTAGGCACGATCTGTGGAGCGCAGCAAGCCCATCACGGCTATCTCGGTTATCCTGAGGTTCGCGCGCGATGGGCTGCCCGCCTCCGCGCGATACGTTTTGGGGTGCCCACTTTAAGGGACTCTCAAGGGGAGCGTGCACTGATTGCGGGTCCTGATCGCGCGTCACTTCACACCCATTATTGTGCACGCTAATTGGCCCAAAATCCACGGCATCGCGGTTTCTCATGGTTCGTTCTCAGCGTGCCCAGACAGTACGCAATGTGTTGTGCGCTCTGGCGCAATGACGCCCAGTGTCAACGCCCACGTCACATAACATAGCGCGGACTTGCATGGAGTGTACTGCGACAGGCTCCCTCTCCTACAACAGGCTACAATATGTGCCTATTTCTATTCCACCCTCTAACATGCATCATTGTTACTTCATGCAACACGATTTTGGTTCTCACAGCAGCGTGGACTGCGACATGTCCTTGCCGCGCCTCGACTTCGTTTCTACATTTTCGGCACATACTTCCCGGCAAATCAGCTGCCATCTGTGAATCGACCTCTGACCGTACAATATTCACAGGACAGAACTGCTGCTCTCTAAAGGCTACGAGGTACACGGTATCATCCGGCGATCATCCTCTTTCAACACCAGCCGGTTGCACCACCTGTACGAAGACCAGCATGAGCGGCCGAACAAGTTCAAGCTGCACTACGGCGACCTGAGCGACAGCACGAACCTCGTGTACATCATCGCGCAGGTGCAGCCAACGGAGGTGTATAACCTCGGCGCGCAGTCGCACGTCAAGGTCTCGTTCGAGATGGCGGAGTACACGGGCGACGTGGACGGGCTGGGCACGCTGCGGCTGCTGGACGCGATCCGGACGTGCGGGCTCGAGCGGCACGTGCGCTTCTACCAGGCATCGACGTCCGAGCTGTACGGCAAGGTCGTCGAGACGCCGCAGTCGGAGACGACGCCGTTCTACCCGCGGAGCCCGTACGGTGTCGCGAAGCTGTACGCGTTCTGGATCACGAAGAACTACCGCGAGGCGTACGGCATGTACGCGTGCAACGGTATCCTTTTCAACCACGAGAGCCCGCGCCGTGGCCGGACATTCGTCACCCGCAAGATCTCGCGCGCTGCCGCCGACATCTCGCTCGGGAAGCAGTCATGCCTCTATCTGGGTAACATCGATGCCCAGCGTGATTGGGGCCATGGTGAGTTTCGTGTCCACTGTTTCCCCACGGTGACTCACCCTAGGACACTGAACAGCCGCTGATTACGTTGAGGGGATGTGGCGGATGCTTCAGCAGGACACGCCTGATGACTTCGTCCTCGCCACGGGCGAGACCCACCCTGTGCGCGAGTTCGTCGAGAAGTCGTTCGCCATCCTCGGAACGACCATCCAGTGAGTGTCTTCGCTCTTGGGTCTCTTCGCCTGTTCTCTGCGACCTTCATCACATGCGCTGGCGCTCTCTTCCTCGCGTCTTATGGGCGACCCACTCATACTTCTTCCGCAGGTGGCGAGGCTCTGGGACCGAAGAGGAGGGTGTAGACACGAAGACGGGCAAGGTCGTTGTCAAGGTAGATTCACGGTACTTCCGTCCTGCCGAGGTCGAGTATGTATTCTTCCTTCATCTTCCACATACCGAGCTGTTGATCTGACCTACTCGTCCGCTTCACAGACTCCTACTCGGCAATCCCACAAAAGCCGAGAAGGTCCTCGGATGGAGGCGCAAGGTCGACTTCGACTCGTTGGTGAAGGAGATGGTTGAGGCCGACCTCAAGGCGGCGGGTTCGCTCGTGGAGGACCAGAACTAATGAGCTTGGCGGATAATGGTCCGGTTTGCGGGGCCGATTCGCTGACGTTGATTTATAATACCGAAATATCGAACTACCATGCAGCACGTCGTATACCGTGTAGGTTGCGATCTGTGTGTACAATACATGTTTAACGAGTCGCCTGCAGCACATATCTGCAGCACGATCGTATGCCGAACTGGTTGGAGTATTGACAGTCTGGACGCGCCAGTTCAAATGGGACCAACATTGGACGACTGCCAGTGGTCCGTTAGATTATGTACGAGCCTCGACTACAGTATGTAGTAGCTGCATACTAGCATTACCCCAAAGGCAATGTATGCACTCGCCGTTAAGCTTACACAAGTGACTCGTGGTGATTTACCACTAGTCGTGCGACAGTCTGCCCAGGGTCTGTTCCTCTTGAGCGGGACTCGCGGGACACCTTCGGCATGCGTTATCTTTGCTACCCCACGGCATCGAGTCATTGGCACATCCCCGGGCAGCAGGCTACATGGGACCCTACAGTCTCCACTCACCGTGCATTCACGAAACCTCAGGCTGCCAGTGACGGGAGTTCACGCTAGCGACGAATAGCTGAGCCTCTTCGGACTGAGTTGACATGTGTGGACAGGACGCTACCGTTGATTCTACAGGCTTATGGCATAGGGAAGACCCCGTTACCGAACCGCAAGGGACTGGCGAGTCGATCTATAGACCCGAGGTTCTTGATGCCATTGAGCAAATAATCACATCAGGCTTGAGCGAGGAGCTGCGCACGCTCAGCCTGGACATACATGGTACGTGAGGCTTGCAACGTTCACGAGTCACAACGCTTCAAGTTGTCGAGCCCGAAAGCTCATAACTTTTCGCAGACCATCCAGAGGTCCGGTGGGAGGAACAGTGAGCATTCGCTCTACTGGTTTCATTCCGTGCTGATCTGAACTTTTTCTACGCACTGTCGTGTCACGCAGCCGCACTCATGATGTCTTGACGGACTTCATGCAACGGAAGAAATGGGAGGTTACCAAACACCATCTTTCCCCTACAGCATGGAAGGCCACATTCACGCGCGGAACAGGCGGTCGCACCATAGGCGTTAACTCTGAGATGGACGCGCTCCCCGGCGTCGGTCATGCATGTGGCCACAACCTCATCGCTATCGCTGGAGTGGCTGTCGCTCTGGCAATCGGCGCTGTACTCGAGCAGTTCGACATACCTGGAACAGTCATCCTGTTAGGTACTCCAGGTAAGCTCCTATTATTTCATGATACTGTAACCCGGTGACCAACAGACGGTCACGTACAACTTACAGCGGAGGAGGGCGGAGGAGGCAAGACAATGCTTCTGGAGAAAGGCGCGTATGAAGGGATGGTCGCTTGTGTCATGTCAGTGATGCACTGCTTTGTCAGACGAGTCGTTCTTGACCGGTTGACCTCCCGCGCAGGTGTCATCCCGCTCCGGGCCCCAAGCATTCAGCCGCACTAAGCAGTTGTCTCGCTCGGCAGATCCTCGAAGTCGAATTCCACGGACACACGTTCGTTCAGTTATCTGGTGCACCGATCAGCCGACTGAACCACGATTTGCAGAGCGCACGCGGCGCTGTCCCCTTGGGAAGGCCAGAATGCTGTGGACGCAGCGGTGTCGGCTTATAACAGCATTTCGATGCTGCGACAACAATTATTGCCAACCCATCGCGTGCACGGCATCTTCATTGGCAAGGATTGGACGCCCAATAGTACGTATCACGTATACCATAATCCATGGTTTCCACTCTGATTGCACCCCTTGCAGTCATACCGGACTACGCAAAGATGGTGTAAGGCAGGCGAATTGATGACATACTGCGAACTGAGAGTTTTTCCAGGTGGTATGTCCGCGCTCCCACTAGAGCCGAGATGGAGGCGTCTACACAACGTGTTATACCTTGCTTCAGGTGAGTGTCCCTTGTGTCACAATCAAGAAGTCACGATGAGCGTGAGTACCTAGAGGTGCCGCAGTGGCCACGGCTTGCAAGGACGATGTCAAGATCGCAGGGACGACGTACGATCTACGGCAAAATAAAGCATTAGGTCTGTCCGGGCCAAGCTCTACTACCTTCAGCACGGCGAGGAAGTCTCGCTCATCCTTGTCTTGTGGCGCATAAAGGGGACAGCTTCGCCCAAACCTTCCGGAGCAGATACGGCTCGGTCAGCTATGGATACGGAATACAGAGCGCATCAACCGATTTTGTGAGCAGCAATCGTCTCTGCTTCCGTGTCTCGCTGATGCCGTGTGTCGATAATGTAGGGCAATGTCACTTACGGTAAATGCTCGCTGACATCTGCATACCGTTCACTGATATCAGTCACGCGAAAGCGCTTCCCGCGCTGCACCCATCCTTCGGTGAGACACAGACCTGCCATCGTGCCCCTTACATATCGGGCCTCACACATGTTGTCAGCCATCCCCACCATCGAGAACGGAGGTAACCACACCATAGCGTTCGCAGAGTCAGCCGCGAGCGAGGCTGCGCACAAAGCCACCCTCGATGTCGCGAAGGCACTGGCTGCAACCGCTGTGAGGGTATTAGACGATGCAGAATTCTACGTGAAGGTTAGTGCGGTCATCCGCGAGGGGACTGAGAATCGTCTGACGCTCCCTGGGGTTGCAGGTGAAGGAGACATACGAGGCAGACCGCGCTGTTAGGGAGAGATAATGACGGCGAATTGAGACTAGCCGATGAACATCAAGCACTTTCAATCTCTACGAGCCGTACATATTCTCGCGCTGCTAGTCATCTGGCGAGTTGTGTCCGTGATTGACCGGAAACCGGTCTAAGCAATGGCCTACTGTTCGCGAATTGAGGACTGGAAGAACGCCGTTAAGACCAACTCGAGACCGTTGTACAGCGTACTGTATACATCGCACTGTCCTTGTTTCCCCGAGTACTGGGAACAGGGGGCGACATGCCACAGCATCGCCTCAGATGATACCTTTGCGACCTCAACCGTGGCTTTTCAATAAGCATTCGTGGAGACAACGTCCTAACCGTTGACCTAATGTGGACCGGATCTGTGTACATCTGACCACGGTATCAACAGCTAGACTTCTGCCCTCTTGTCTGTCCTCGCGCGCGCATGGTTCGCCAAGAACCACTGCACAGTCTCATCGAGCGCTGCATCAATGACATGGTCAGCTTCAGCAAACTCACGCAGACGACGCATTGATGGGCCACGTACCCTTCTGAAACGGCGTAAATTCGAAGTTCCCGATGAGCGATATGAGCTTCTTGTTGCTTGCCGGTTTGCGGAACTGGCCCTCCGCCTGAGAGGTGTCGAAGACGTACTCGCCCTTGAAGTCCATCGCCCGGACGATCGCATCTGTGAGCGTCTCAATGGACACTTCTTCCTCTTCGCCAACAGAGAGGATGACGGGCTCGACCGAGTCGTACTCGCGGAGTTGCCAGATGAACAGCTTCGCGAGGTCGTGCGAATAGATGAACTGTCGAAGCGGTTTACCAGTCCCGCCGACGACGAAGGACGTGCCGTTCTCTATGTGATATGGCCAAGATGAGCTAATAGGTAGCTTGCTATGGCCAGCACACATACGCTGAGCGAGGAAGCACTTATGGATCAACGCAGGAATGACATGTGCTGATTCGAGTTCGCTGCACATATCATCATCAGTGCATATCTTACATTCAAGGCGAAGAGAAGCTGACAAGTTATCGTGAGGCCCAAAGATACTCGTGGGAATAGCAGAGGTGAAGTTGCATCCGAACTGCTCCTTGTATGCTCTAACATAATGATAGTTCAGAGGACTCTGCTCTATGCTACCAGTGCGATGTGACACACCGATTTTGCACGTCAACCATACGCTTTGCATGTGAATACCCGAAGTTGCTCGGGTGCGGGGGACCAAGGTGAATCTTCGTCTCGTCCAGAGGATACGTGACTTTGTCGGGGAAGACGCAGGTAGAGAGACAGGAGATGACCTTCTTCACACCTAGGACATGCGAGGTGTGTAAGATGTTGTCATTGATGAGGATATTGTCACGCAGGAACGTAAGCTGCCAGCCATATTGTTAGGGCCCGCGACGCTGCAGAAGAAAACCGACGGACGTTGCGTTTCATATTAATGTACACCCCGCCAACTATTGGGTTTATGAGTGATCAGCATGCTGCTATCAATGACTCGTAGAACGGCCATCGACGTACCAATTGCAGCCAGATGGATGACATGCGTCGGCTTGTGCTTCTCAAACAACGCCATTGTCTGGGCAGAATCCCTATGCACGCTCCGTTACTACGTCCATGAAACCAAACGAATACAGATCGAGATACCGTAGGTCTGCATCCTTCGAACTGACAAATACCCAGTGTTCCCCCGCTTTCTTGCCGAACCGCGAGCCCTCAGGCTCGATAGCGAGGATGTGTTGTAAGGCCTTACCCACTAGACCAGTGCCGCCAGTCACCAGGATGACAGACATATCCGCCGCAAAAGGGGGCTAGGGAGAGATCACAATCGAGGTAAGAGAACCACGTCCTGGCGCTTTTTGGCCTATTTTGTGTAATCGTAGCTGCGGCGGCTCATGTTCATGACTCGCGCTGCGCTTATGGCAGCCAGCGACAGTCGTCAGTGCATCTCACCATCATGTATCGCAACTTGAGAACGTCTCGCCGTCTCTGCGACTGGTATGTACACACTGCCTGCGTTCCGTTAAGTAATTGAAGCCACTGCGATGCATACTTACTCACCGAGAAAAAGAAAGGACCCTCCCGTGGACATTGAATTCGCTACGCAGACTCCCCGGTTCGTTTCGGAGTACTGCGGAGACGCGACCCCTGCCCTGAGCCTGTGCTGCAGCTGTATCTGTGGTAGACTGCCAATCGACATGCTTGGTACCTTCGAATTCCGACTCTGAATCAAGTGAGGCTGATAAGAGATCTCTGGATCCAGAACTCGCGCCGGGTTGGTACGTATACCAGCTGCACCATGCATGATTGTCATCGCCATGGCGAATCTTTGCCTTGAACGAGTAGGAAACATACGGTGGATCTGGGCGAAGCATGGCATGGCAGAATTATTAGTGTAACTGTAAGTACTGGTTACTGTGGGAATCGAAGCACATTCATCGATCACTATGTACTATGTAATGGGCATCCGGTATACTATTACACACTATACAGTAATTTCACGGTCCTCAACAGAGTCCTGCACTTCACCTCCTTACGCGATCAGTCTTCCTACCTCCCCTCACGCTGCCAATCTTGCCGAACACCATGTCGAGCTCAGTCATTCTGGTTACTGGTGGAACTGGCCTCGTCGGTAGCGCCATCAGGCATATCATCGAAACCGAGCCAGCAGGGTCGCGCTTTGGCAAGAAGCCCGGCGAGAAATGGGTGTTCGTGAGCTCGGGCGAGGGTGATCTCAGGTATGTGTAGCTTACATTGAGGAAAGCATGTACTGAGAGAGACGCAGGGATCCGGAGCAGACGAGGAAATTGTTCGAGAAGTACAAGCCGACACATGTCATCCATCTCGCGGCGCTGGGTGTGTATCCAACTTCTACCCTGCGATGAGCGCACGTTGAACAGCGATGGCTAGTTGGCGGATTGTTCAAGAACATGAAGTACAAGGTGCGTCACTATCATCATTTTCATGCCAGCCATTCCGATACCCAGTCCCACCTCGCAGCTCACCTTCCTACGCGACAACATTCTTATCAATGACAACGTCCTCCACACATCACATACCACAGGTGTGAAGAAGGTCATATCCTGCCTCTCGACGTGTGTCTTCCCCGACAAGGTCACCTACCCGCTCGATGAGACCAAGATTCACCTCGGACTTCCCCACGAGAGCAACTTTGGCTACGCTCACGCAAAGCGCATGGTGGATGTACAGAACCAGTGCGTTTCCTACAATTCCGACTGAGCTACCGTCTGACGTCTCTCGGTTAGTGCGTACAAGGACCAGTTCGGAGACAACTTCACGAGTGCGATACCGACGAACGTATTTGGGCCGCATGACAACTTGTGCGTATCGCTCATGTCACCCGTCAGGCTGATTGGCTCACCGCTATGACACTCAGCGACTTGGAAGGCTCGCACGTTATCCCCGGGCTCATCCATAAGTGCTACCTAGCGAAGAGTATGCACCGCGGAACCTGTTTCTGCAGTAAGGAGCTCACTGGTGCCTCTAGAAAACGGCACGCCGTTCGTCGTGATGGGTACGGGCAAGCCTCTGCGACAATTCATCTATTCGTACGACCTCGCGAAGCTGTTCATCTGGCAGTTGCGAGAGTACGATGACGTCGAGCCCGTCATTCTCTCCGGTGAGCCATACCGGCTATCATCACGCTGATATCCACTCACCCGAAGCATTGCCCAGTTGGCGAGGACGAGGAGGTGTCAATTAAGCAGGTCGCCGACGCAATCGTGAAGGCGATGGACTTCCAGGGCGAGTACACCTTCGATACGACCAAGGCGGACGGGCAATTCCGTAAGCCGGCGTCAAACAAGAATCTGCTCAGTCTCATGGGTGGATACGAATTCGCGCCGTTTGACAAGGGTATGTGTGCCTTTTCGCTGTGTCTGCATGATGGTTTAATGATGATGACATGTGCCTGCAGCATTGGACGAGACCGTGAAGTGGTTCCTTGCAAACTATGATAACGCAAGGACCGGTCTGAATGGCCGACCGACCGGGCACTAATTCCCAGGATAAATGCGTAGGGCACAGAGACTTTGCTTGAATGAAACATACCCGTGTAACAGTTGGTGCGCTCAATATCTACCGTCTCATATATGGCCTATCCATTGCTCGTGGCAACACATTGTTTGTGTTACCGAACCTGTTGGCTACTTCGACATGATCCCACCAGCCTTGTCCATATCAACACTCGGCTTTGTCGCCGCCGATAGGGGTGGTAGCGCGTGTGATTGTGTTCTGTCAATCCAGCCTCAACGTGCCGGGGCATAACTATGTACGTGCATCGTAACATCATCTTTGTACTCATGCGAAAGCATCAGTAGTACCGTGAAGGATCAGGAGTCAGGCACCAGCCATACACTCTCAGGCTGTCGACTTCAGTTGACACGCTTGACAGGTGCGCGTCACTACAATAGCGTCGATGTGCGTATATATGTAAGTGGCTCGAGCGTTCTGACCGCAAACAGTTCGCTGCTCACCTTGTCATGTCACCTACATCAGGTATCCATTTGTCTATCGACAATGCGACATGTTATGTCGGAGAGACCATTGCAGGCACGGTGACACTCGATCTCAAGGCTTTGCGGTCAGATCGAGTGAGCGCAGTGGCTGTGCATGTCTCTGGCATCCTCCAGATGTGAGTGGAGCAACCATTGTTCTATTGCCTGTATATGGCATGCGGTTGAAACTGACTGTCGTTCTCCTAGTGGCTACCTCGACAATTTTATTCCCCAGCAGTTGCCCACCTTGAGGCGGTTTCAGCTCGTGAAAGTGTCCAGACCGATCTGGAACGAGGGAGAGAGACCAGATTTGGACTCTCACTGGCAGTCCGCCATCCTCAGGGAGCCGTTCAAGTGGAAAGTCAGCAATAACGCACCGCCATCCATCGAGTCGAATCACAAAAACCATAACTGCTATGTCAATGTTACGTACACCATCGAAGTCGTGGGGCTCCGACCGGGCTTGCTTCGACTAGACAGACGGGTTCGCCGCACTGTAACCGTACAGCCGCCTGTCGACCAAGCAGAACTGAACACGCTCGAGCTACTTCGAAGGGGATACCAAGGGCCGTGGAGACAAGGGGGCATAAGCAAGCACGTCCGCAAATTATGGTTCTTGGGTGCCCGTGAATATGTAGAGGTCTTGGTACGTCGAATGTCAAGTCGTGTCGTCCCAGGACCCTGATATTAGTATTGTGCCATCGTTTCTGCGCCATTTGGTCCTCTGTCCCCGGCTTTGCGATACCGCTAGTTGGCTACACCCGAGATCGTGTATCCTGTCAATGCTGATATCCCGTTCACATTGGGCGTCATCACGAAGAGCCTGACAAAGCCTTATAAATCCGGCAGGGAGTCATGGCCGTCTCGTCCTGCGCGGCAGAGCGACGTGCACCTTGCGCTCAACCAGATCGTCAATGTTCATGTCCAAAGCAGCAAGGTCGGATGGAATGCCAAACAGGCGGGCGGTGCCTTCGAAAAACTCAAGCTAGGAGACGTGCACATGGAAAGACAAGAGGAAAGGTGGGAGGCATACGAAGATGGGAACGGTAGGTGGGAGCGCAAGACGGTGCTGAGGTCGACCTTCCGACTCGAGCGCCCTCCGTACACACATATCAATATCCCATTTCAACACGGCACGGCAGATGTCGAGGTCAAGGTACGCAGACCTGACAGTCTGTCGAGCGGGTAGTAGGTCTCACTGCTCGCATCAGCATAACCTCTATATCAGAGTCCGAGTCGGTACAGTGCGGTGGTTGAGGATGCAGATATCCCTGGACCATACACGTCGTTCTGCTGCTGGCTAATCGCACTTCGGCTGATGGCTGCGGACTGCAGTCCGATTCGATGCGGAGCGACCAGTCTCCCATTCAAAATCACCGATGTTTCAAGAGGGCTGGACCTAACTTGAAATTTCTGAGTCGACGTCGACTTTCACTCTTCCCGTCCTCTCCTTGAACTCACCTTGATGTCCTCGTTTGAATTCTCATGTGACGGTCAGCATGGAGCAATTGTGATATCGTCGAAGCTATACCCGCTGACATGTCGAAGCAACGTCCGGACGTCCTATTCACGAGCTATGGACCCTGGCCCATAGCCGCCTACGCCACCCTGTTTGCTCCAAGGGTAGGTTGCCATTCTGCGCTCACTTAGGGCCGGCACTTCAGTATCACGCCCGGGGAATCAACTGCCGGGTTCTCAGGAGCCAAGATTCGAAATTGCGTCATGGGCTCTAACGCTCTACGGTCGTCAGTACGCGGTCGCCGGTCAAGTTACATACTATGGGTCCTAGCTTCTAGTTGCAAACGCTTCGGGGGGCCCGAGTCAACAATGCATCGAAATTGGGGTATCTGGGACCAGGGAAGTGATGCATACACATGTGACGTATATCGAAGGACGGCCGCTCGGAACTCCGTCTTGACTTGACCATGTTGCACTTAACCGCACAGCTGTGTCCCAAGGCGCGCGCCGTGAGTCCCTCTCGACGTCCGCGCGACGCTCGGACCCTGTCGTGTTCAGGGGCTCGCTGCTTGGCCTGGCGCCCAGGTCTGCGGCGAGATCATGGCGAGGGTTCGCACAGGGTGCGTTAAGAGCTTACCAGCTGAAACGGTCCTTTCCGGTCATACGCAGAGATGCTCGAGGCATGGGAACACTAGCGTGCACCGAAAAGTCCGACTGGTTCGGCAGCAGGGGCGATGTATATACATAGATGCTGACAAGAATGTAGGCTTCGACTTGCCGAGTGCAGGTGTGACTCGTCTGTCATGAGCGTGTTGTCGCACGACGAGGGCGGTAGGCAAGTCAAGTCAAGTGTGGCCATCTCTGCAGACACCAGCGCACGTTCGGCATCACCGACAATCGACGCAATGTCGCCAGACAAGGAGAAGATCGACGCGGACGTCGAAGCAAAGGAGCGGTGCCCGGAGCCACCAGCGGATGCATCGAGCGTATCAGAGTTTCCCGAAGGCGGTTTGCGGGCCTGGTCAGTGGTATGGGGCGGCTTCTTCGCTTTCATTGCGACGTTTGGTATCACGAATTCTTATGTGGGTGTCCTCGTGCTGTCATCGAGGTTCGAGCCTGACGAAGCACTGGACAATCAGGGCGTATTTCAAGACTACTATCAATCAACATTGCTATCGCACTCGTCGTCATCAACTATCGCATTGATTGGGGCAATTCAGCTCTTCTTTCTGTACGGAGGCGGTCCGATCGTTGGGCGAATATACGATGCTTACGGGACTAGTGTACAGTGCATCCCACTCTTATTCCTCGCTGTTAAGACTCATATATCATATATCCGCGTAGGTTCTTATCCCGCTAGGGTCGTTCTTGATTGTGTTCTCCCTCATGATGCTGTCCCTGGTACAACCCGACAAGCCGTACCAGATCTTTCTCTCGCAAGGGATCCTCTTCGGGTTCGGGCTCGCGTGCATGTAAGCCTGGCGCCGTAAGCACGTCTCCTGCCTATTAGATCATGCTTAATCTCTCTCTCGCAGATTCAATCCGACCATGTCAGTGGCGGGGCACTGGTTCCGGAGGAGACGAGCGTATGCGATAGGCGTCATCGCCTCGGGCAGCTCGATAGGCGGCGTGTTCTTCCCGATCATGCTACAGCGGCTCATCGTCAGCATTGGCTTCCCGTGGGCTGTGCGCGCGGTGGCCTTCATCTGCCTGGGGTGCTTGACGATCGCATGCTTGACGATCCGCACGCGGTTGCCGCTATCGCGGAGTATCTCACTGAGAGGTTTGGTCGACCTCAACGGCTTCAAGGACTGGAGATACGTCCTAGCCACTATCGCGGCATTCTTGTGAGTGCTCAGTGAGCTTGATTATATATTTGACCGATTGAAAAACTCACCCCTTCGACTAGGGTGTTTTACGCCCTCTTCATACCCTACTTCTACATCCAAATTTTCGCGGACTTTTTCGGAGTCCCTAACAATTACGCCATATACCTCCTACCAATCATCAACGCCTTCGGGACACCCTCACGTATCATTCCAGGAATGATGGCAGACCGGTGGGGATGGTATGTGTGACCAGTATTCGTGACCGGTCGGCTTACCCCTGGAATAGCATTACCGTTCTCGTGCCTTCTACTGTGATCGCCAGCATATTCACGCTCGCGTTGTGGCTCCCGGCACGCACATCCGCTGCCATTACTGCTTTCGCAGCCATGTACGGGCTCTTTACAGGTTTGTCACTTTTGACTACACCATTTCATTGCCTGACGGCGGTTGCAGGCGCTTTCGTCACCTTGCTGCCCGCGTACATATACACCATCTCGCCCCTCGAAGTGTACGGCGCCCGGCTAGGTAGGCAGCTCAACATCAGCTCTTACATGTCCCTCACCGTGCCTGTGCACCTGCAGGAGCGATGTACTTCTTGGTCGGCATCGCCAACCTTGTTGGAACTCCCACAGCAGGCGCGTTCTTGACAACGATGGACGTGGCTGGTTTCAATGGTCTCATCATCTTCACCGGGGTGCTGCTGGCGGCGGGATCGTTGATATTGGGTGTCGTAGGGGTTGTCACGGAGGTTCGAAAACGACAAGCAGCGCGTCTGCCGTGATGATAAGCTTCGGAGATGTCACAGTCCGTAGATGCAGTGCTTACGGATAATTAGAATGTGGTGCACGTGCAGCAGTGTCCGCTGGATTTGAATGCACGACTTCTTAGTACGAGCATAAGGTCCGAGTCGCTGGCGGCCGAGGGTCGACGTGTTGAGTCGCGGCGGTAACTCTTCTACTTCAATGGACAAGCACATCGTTGCCTCGGGAATGATATCGAAACTTAAACAACTGGCCGGTACCGCACTTACAACCATTCCAACGTGATGCATCAGCCTAGTTAGCTCTTCTCTTGTTCTCCTCCTAAATGGCAGTAAAATACTGACATCGATTGTCGAGGGCATCCGAATCGGGATTGGGATCTGTGAGATCTAGACATGATGGTTTGGGTGGCCTGAGATTCGAATCTTACTCAACACCACCATCACGACAGTGGTTGTGTTAGGCCATTTCCATCTCGTCTTTGTCCGCGCTTCACAGAGAGGTGGTTTCGCAGTCGAAACTGCCAAGGCGCGTGCAGATTCCTCGTGCATCTCCCCAGTTCACGTTGTGCTTGTGAGCAATCCGAAGTTCAGGCTGCGGCTTCTGCTCATGTCTCGATGGTTTGGGTCCCGCGCGGAAAACCGGCTGTCATTGCTTCATTATAGAACGACTCAAGAGAAATGAATGTCCTCGTCTACTCAGGACCGGAGGTACTGGCATCCTCAGTCTCGCATTGCATCACGTCCCTGCGCACCATTCTTGTCCCTAACTACGCGGTGCAAAGCATCACAAAACAATTGCTATCCTCTCAAGCATGGCTGGGAAGCTGTGCCTTGCTCGTCTTCCCCGTGTGCAGAAGCGCTCCCATCGACCCCGCTCTCAGATCGACTGTCGAACGCTATGTCCAGGACGGTGGCAAACTGCTGACAATCGGTGCGACCGTCAAACTGCAGTCGCGCGAGGCAATCTCGGCTGCTGGACTGCAAGAGCGATTGTCCAAGATGACGCTTTCCCCGCAGAACACTGCCTTGGTGTTCTCGGACAAGCCTTCGGGCAACAAGGTGTCCGTATCTTTCGAGGGTCGCACTATCGAGAACGCGCAGCTCGCAACGGTATCGCTGGGTGATCTGCGCGTCCACGGACTGCCGCGCGTTGGAAGCTTCGAAGGTATCGATGGTGTGGGCTCCGCCATGCTTGAGCCTCTGGCGCATATCGTGGAAGATGAAGCACGTACAAGCGTTGCGACGGCGAAGCTATCATACGGGAAAGGTTGTGCAATACTCTGCGCCTGCCTCGTCGACCATCCGCTCACAGCAGAGCCGCTTAAACCTCAGCTCACGCGCCCCCCTTCGTCGATGTCCGACGACCAGGTGCAGAACGCGGAACACCAACGCCAGCAGCTCCTTCGGTGTACACTGGAATTGCTAGGACTCGTCCCCCCGGAGAAGACATCAAATTCTCTCAGTCCGCTTCCACAATTTCTGACGTGTCCTCCGGCGAAGCCATGGGTTGTGGATCACGTACTGGCTGCGTTGTCAAACAAACCGCTTCTATCCGACAGACCGATCGTCCTGCAGGACAGCAATGATACATTTTATTACTATCTTGCCTCCGAGGGTTGGCAAATCCTCGACAAGGCTCGCCAGGAATCTGGAAGACGAACGGATCCGTCGCTGTGGAATCCGAAACACGTTCTAGTCTACCGCGATGGCCTGCTCCCTTCGGCAGAACAAACGCCTCTCTTCAATGTGAGAAAATTCCACGAAGAGCTGGCTCCAGCTCGGCGCAACGCCGGTCTTCACGACCAGGAAGATGCATGGGGAATGGGCGAAGCCTTCCTCTATGGAGAGGTAGTCACAAGCACGCAAACTATGCTCGACAAGTAGGTTTATTCTCGCGACGAAGTCTCCCGTTCTTATTCTTCCCATTCCAGGAACACTCGCTTACTCTCATCGATCCCCACGCCGCTAGTCTCCCTCGCCTCCCATCAACTCGCCGGGCGTGGACGCGGGACAAATATCTGGCTCTCCCCCTCAGGTTGTTTACAGTTCTCCCTACTCCTTCGCGTCGCCCTCTCCGACTTCCCTGCGAGCAAGCTCGTCTTCGTACAGTACCTCTTCGGTCTCGCCGTCGTAGAGGCGTGCAGAGACGACGGCGTTCTCGGAAAAGAAGGCAAACGGGTTAGGCTGAAATGGCCGAACGACGTGTATGTAGTGACAAGCGACGGGGAGAAAAAGAAGATCGGCGGCATTCTTGTTAACACCAGTTTCTCTGGCGGGAAGGTGGACATCGTCATCGGTAATAACCCATTGTTTTGTTTCACTACTTATTGTCACTGAGCGGTTCGCGGGCGTAGGCAGCGGGTTGAATGTCTTCAACCCTCCACCGATCCAATCTCTCCTGCAGCTCGTCCCTTCCCAATCTGACATCTCGTTGACCATGGAACGCACCGCCGCCATCATCCTCACCAAGTTCGAAGGACTATGGACCACGTTCCTCCAGCACAAGGGCTCCTTCGAGCCCTTCCTAGACCTCTACTACGACAGATGGCTGCATTCGTCAGTACACCCTTGCCTTACCCCTTTCTACGCGATGCTCAGGAATTGGTCGCACAGGGATCAACTCGTGGAGTTGACAACCGTGACACCACCTCAAATGGTTCGCATCATCGGGATCACGAGCGGCCACGGGTTGCTGCGCACGATGCCCGAGAGGGACGGTTGGTCGGGAGGTGGCGGTGGGACGTACATTGATCTGCAACCTGACGGCAACAGCTTCGACCTCATGGCTGGCCTTATCAAGGCGAAGACACTGTAGTTTGGTAACAGATAGAAACGTTTGTAACATCATTTGTATGATACCAGCGACGCCAGCTGCGGGAAAGACGAAGAGAGAATCTCACTGCAGAGCCAGTGATACTTAGTCAGACCTGATATTGAGAACTGTTCCGAACAAACATGGAATAGTGTACAAGTGCATGTGGAGATCCAGGTGGTAATAGTACAAAGTCCCATATGACCGTCCATAGGCCCTCCCTCCGCCTATTAGGCCTCCGTCTCAACATCCGGCTCCCTCGAATGCATCTTCATCCGCTCCTTGACAGCATGCACGCCCTCCTCGACGTTGTCCTTCATCCACTGAGCGGTGCGTGCAGGCTTGGCCTGCATGACCCCGCGGTGCCCACGATGCAGCTCCCTCTCGTGCTGCCGCCAGTCCTTCAGCTTCGCAATGGGACCTTTCCTCCCGCCATCTTCAGATCCCCGACCGGACTCTCCGACCTCGTCGCTGGCCCCCTCGTGTTCTTCGGGATGTTCTAGCACCTGCTCCTCAGTCTCCACCGCATCGGTCGAGACGACAGTGTTCGCGCCTTCCGTCCTGCTTTCATCGCCTACACCTAACGGGGACGTATCGCCACCGGCCTCGTTGATAGGACCGCCGCTCGCGGTCTTGTCATCCTCGGGAGTCCCGGCAACGCGTCCGTCAGCCCGACTGGTCTCGTTGTTTTCCTGAGATTGGTGGTCTCCGGGCGTAGTCTTCACGCCCATCTTCCCGACTCCGTCCCGCATGTGCCCTGCCTTCTGCCTATCATACTGATCCCAGGCCTCACGCTTCTTAGCGCCCCCGCCCGTGAGCAGCTGGTGATGGAGGCCCGAGATTCCCGGCTTGAAGCACATGTCGAGGAAAAGCGAGCCAATACGTTCGACGTTCTCCTTGTCGGTATCCCAGTAGGAAAGGTCACCATCGGGTGGCACGTAGTTGAGCTTGAGCCGGGAATAGTCTCCGTGCTTCGCCTGCCATAGGGCGATCTCCACCCGCCCGTCGTTATTGTCCACGAGATCACGCAACCAGAGCACCCCAAGTGCCTTCCGCCCCGACGCCTTGAAGACACTGGCGTCGCGGATAGACACTAGGAGCGCTGCACCATACCGTTGTCGCACGGGAAGTTTTGAGGAGTCAGGCTCGCTCCACACTACTTGGTCGTCACGTTTCTCTGCTTTCTTCCGAGAAACCTTCTGTTCTGCAGCAGTTGTCGTGACCTTCATGTGGACCTCGCAGTACGACAGATCGTCCTTCGATTGAACGGCGATATTGTGGATCTCGAGCGTACCGGTCTCGAAGCCCAACAAGTTTGGCGGAAGCTTGGCTTCGACAGGTCTGAAGAGCACCGAGATGCGGATGCGGCCGTAACCGATGCCCTGCTCGATGGACCAGAAACGGGTGACCTCAGATGCGTTCACCAGCAACTCAGATAGCTGGACAAACTTGTCATCAGGTGAACGATGTAGCGATCAAACAAGTCGACATACCTTCAGCAAGACTATACCGAGCACGGGATCGTTCTCCCGCATCCGTGAGTCCTTGACAGTAACAGTGACGTGCGACTTGCGTCGGTCCCGGATGAACCTTTCCATACCCGCGTTGAACATGGGCGAGCTCGTGATCGGCTTCACACGCGTCTCGTACACCAACTCGTCATTCAGCGAGCTAAAAGCCGATCAATGACTTCCAAGAGGGCAGGAGCAAGCAACATACATAGTACAGTAACTGGATGGTAGGCCCTCGCCCTCTTCCCGCGGTTCGTTTGAGTCATCTTGGCCTTTGTTTTCTGTCCCAGATGTCTCGCCTCTCCGCACCGTCAAACCGCTGAACACTCAACAGTCAGAGCACCGCCACAACATGTCTAGATCCGTTCAGCGGACATACCGGATTTCGTGCACCTGCACACTCAGGATCCCACTGACCCACTCTTCGTCAGGAGGCGTAGTCAATACCGCCGCCTCCAAATCATTGAGCGACACCGCACGAGCCTCCTTGAACTCCGGCTTCTGCCGGAGGTCGTCCGGGATGCCCGGATCCGTGCCGTCCGTAGAGAGCGCAGAGTTGGGCGGAAGTTTGCCGTAATATCCGACGGTGTACTCGACGTTGCCGGGGCGGTGGCGGGAGTCTGGGGACGAGAGTGGGGAGACGCGCCGAATGGGCTTTGCTCGTTGCCTGATCAGCTCGACGACGTCGATCTCGTGGTAGCCCAGCATGTCGTCCTGCAAGTTATGACGTGGATCATTAGGACTGTCTCGACTGTATGGGGAGCATAAGATCCATACCACACTCATCCGGTCGCTGTCCCACAGCTGGAAGCTGAGCTTCTCCCTCAACTTTGCGGTGTTCACATCCACGAGCACGAAGGCCGTTTCTTCGAAGACCGGGTTCAAATCTCCCTTGATAATCCGGGTTGAGTACAGAGGCTTGCCAAGTCGCGAGAATGTAAGCGTGATATATGGATCTACTGGACAGACATACGGTGAGAGGCCAATAAAGGTGATGTGAGCATACGGGGACACTAACCGGATGCCCCATTCGTATCGGCCTTTGCCAGCCCAGTAGCTCGATGGATGTGGACGACAAGAACACCCAGTGCCTCCGTATCTGTCAGGAAACCTATCAGCACTCCGAACGCAGCAACGACGACTGGGAAGAACACACGCACCCTTTTTGATGTCGTCCCCATTGATGAGTTTCTGGAGGTCGAGGGTCAGGCTCTTCGGGGCAACATACTCAGCCGCGGCAGTGTTGATCGCGCTCGAGATGAAACCAGAGAGGAAGGGTACGTTCATCACGTTTGGCAGTCGCTCGCTCAGTGGTACGACACTAATCGTGACATGTGGCAAACCGAGTAATGTGATCATCGTCGTTTTGACACTACGTGGAAGGACGCATGAGCGAACGATGAGGTGACTGGTGTGCCTGCAGGACGTACAATGGCGGAGTTGAGATGAGCTGCAGACGCGCACGCGCAGTTCCAATGGCCCCAGTTACCTCCACCCAGACAGCTGCACAGAAATGATGAGTACCACGAGTACCGTAGAACTGGAAGCGGCACTAACGGAACTTGACCCCGAAGACACCAGTCAAGCCAATGAAAAATTCCACGAGTAAACTGCGGGGCCATCTTGAGCACATTTCTCACATGCACGGCATACAAAGAAACATACTGGATATTTTTCGCCTTGCTCTGCGCCGACTCTCCGCTCGGCTCCGCGCGGTACGCGAATCCAACTTCAAGGTTTACGTGGTCGCCGCCAAGCGCATCCCTGTCCTCTGGAGACATATCCTCGGAATCTACTTCGAGCGACTTGGATATCTCATCCCCATTCTTGCTGTCACCCGCATCGGGCAAAGAGCGGATGGACGTGATACGTGCGGCGTTCCGACCGAGGCCGAGGTCGGCGATGCGGATGGAGTGCTGGTATTGCGTCAACGCGAGCTCAATGACGAGTAACTGTAGAAGGACGTACAACGAAGGAAGGAGCGCTGGATTGCATGATGTCTTCAAGCATGTCTACCAGGGAGCTGAACCTGTCAATTGACCACGGGCTCTGCGTTAGCGTTCATGTTCGTGCCAAAGGACACATTCCACACCAGTAAAGCCTAGAACAGACAGTGATGGGAGTATGAAAGGTGAAACTTAGAGCAGAGCAACGTACATGTCAGGGTTGACAATGGGCCATACGCCTCTCAGCACGGAGTTGACCCATTCCGCGCTCTCCTTGGTGTGTTCCTCTGTTGTGATGTTGCCATCGCCGTCTAGGTCGTCGCCCGCGCGCAGACCACGCACGCGCTCTGAGTGCCAAATGCGATCCTGAAAGTCACCCTGGGATGTGTTCTTCATGCGGAAATGCATGGTATACGCAAGGAAGGTCGGCGGCAGCAGTATGATGGGCCATAGCCAGGGATGTGAGCCAAACAGGAGAGCGAGGAGAAGAGCACACGTGTAGCCCGCCGAGCTATACAGGAAGGCGGTCGATGTGGAGGAGAGCACGACTTTGCGATGCATTTCAATGTCTGCACAGACCGTTAGCTCCTGCACCTTCATAGACTGGACTAGCACGTACCAGGCGGCGGGAACGCGTGGGCCAATACATTCTCTCCGCCTTCCTCCTCCCACTCCGCCTCCATCTTTGGGTCTGCATTCCGTATGGTCAGCTCCTCTCCAGTCGTCGGGTCCGTCGTTCGCATGACATGGCCTTTGGCGAGCCTCTTGGCTGTCTGCGCCGTCTCCTGCTCTGCGTGCTGCCCGGAGCGGTCTTGCACCTGCTGCGCTTTCGCCGCGGTAGCCTTCTCGGGATTGACGAGCGATGTGAGTTTCGTAGTGATTTTGGGCACAGGATTTTTGCCCGAGTAGGGCTCCGCGAGCTTGTGCGACATTGTCGCCTGTCAAGACGAGGATGAAGGATTCAGTTGGGTGTCGTAAAGGGTCGTTAGAGTGGAGAAAGAGAAAGAAGGAGAGCAAAGATGAAGGCGACGGATTGATGTGTCGCTATATGTATGAGTATCACTTGTGGAGCATGCACGAACGCGCATGTCGGTAAGTTCAATCCTATGTCATAGGTGGAGTGGTTGCGAATGCGCAGGACGGGGCGCTGAGGAGACTCCCATGCTTCCTCCGAGTCTATGGACCAGTCGTTTATCTGCACGTAGAGGGGGTCACATCGACAAGCGAAGACACAACACGACATTGAAGACAACGGTCCAAGCTCAAGCCAAAGCTTGAATGAGCGCCGAACGCCATAGGGCTTCCGCGCGAAGATCGGGATCTGGCAGTGTGTCTCTATCGGGCAAGCACAGTCGTTGGCGCAGTGCATGGGAATTCAGAAACCTGAATGATCATCACATACGGCAGTGGCGAGTAAGCTTACAGCAGCCCCAACGCGTTGGATTTCATAACATGAAAGGTACATGGAATCATGCGACTGTGGATTCGCCACAGTCATAGAAACACTCACCTACTCTCAGGCCGTTCAAGTTGAAACAGTCTGAGTTCTTATCGCGGATATGGTCCAGAGTGGGCTGCTGCAAAGGAAATATGATGTCTATTTGCTGCGTGAGTCTTGCGACTTCGGATAAGTTATCGTACTTACTAGGAGTCATGAACAGCGGCGGGTATAACTTTCAAGTCGTACTCTCAGGCTCAACGCCAATGAAACGGGAACTTGAAGGGCAAAGGAGGGGATCTACACTCCTGGGGAACTTACTGCAGCCTTTATATAGTACCTGGCTAATTCCTCAGCCACCTCAGAAGCCGCGGCGGGGAACGAAATCTTGACATGACAGGAGGTAAGTAATCGCAGCGACTCGGAAGGCGGTAGTGACAGATTGCCAGGTGGCAGCTTGAATGGATGTCGTACGTACTGCAGCAACACTCAGTGATTATCGGCTTCCCGAAGCATCATAAGTTATAGGAGAAAGCAAGGAGAAAGTCGATTAGAGTACTTATCACAATAGAGTGCAACATTATTGTGCATCTCCGAACGGTCAGTCGGTCTCGACTTAAGTTATCTATGAAACGAGCTACTCATCCGCTAAGAACGTACACAACATACAGGATCCTAATACAGCTGGATGACCATCAGTCCATGATCTCAGTGCATCGCCAATGCGAACGCACCAACGAACTGGACGAGACCAGCTGTTCTACCTCGAGGGCTGTAAGGTTGAACCCATCCCAAGCATGACGCAACCGTCATCTCCCAGTACATAACATCCATACATACAGTAGCATAGCGGTACAACACTCGCGACCTTCTACGGCTACACCTTATCCTAGGCTAATATTACAACCCCGACACTGCGCTCATTCACTCAAAGATAGAACATCGTATCCTTCAATCTGCCTTTCACGCCGCCGTGCCACATCTTCTCGGCCTCGCGGTACACTTCATCCTCCGCAGATCCACTCGTCGCCGTCGTCCCGCTGTCAGAGTGGCCCTGAAGCAGCGCGTGCAGGTAGCACCGGCCACGCTCGCAGGCCAGATCAGCGTAGTATGCAGGAGAGACGAGGCTGACGGCCTTCGTGGCGCGTGCGAACATGTAGCTGACGTCGTTCGTCAGGCGCTGCAGCCCATCGGCCGTGAAGCCGTTCTCGTCGTGCACGACGTAGTAGTGCGTCGGACGCGTTGTTCCTTGCAGTCCTGTTCATGAACGTAGATGAGCGTCCGTAACCATTTGCAGAAGTATAAAGCGTACCTCCGTGGGCCTGCAGGAAGAAGTCGAAGTCGTAGACTGCCGTGACACCACGGTCGACGACGGTGCCCGCCTTTGGGTTGCCCAAGTTATCGGCATGTTGCGCCTCAGTGGGATAGAACCGGGTATGGTGGCGTTTGCCACAAATGACGATAGAGAGCTTGGGTAGGTAGGGCTTCTGCGCTGTGCCGAACTTTTTGAATGCATTCTTTATCTCTGGCATTTCCTCAGCGACGACGATCGCGAATTGACCCTGAAGTCGGGGATCAGTGGAAGGTCAGCAAGTAAGTTTAGCTACGAACCTCGGAGACTCCGTCGCGATATACGAGGATGCGGTCAGGGAGAACCCTGTTCTTAGCTCTGAACGAGTTCAGACGTTCCTCCATCATAGAGGCGAGGTCGGTGATCATCTGATAGTAACATTAGGCTGATATACATGCAATTTGCGAAAGTGACACACCTCCTTCTTCGACTCCTGAATCCGGAGTGTGGCAGGGAACTGGCCATACCTATCATCCACGCTGGCAACGACAGCCGCGATCGACGGCGTCCCCTTCACGGTTCCGAACCCAGGGTGCGTGACGTCCATGCCGACGAGCATTGTCGGTGCCTGCCTTAACCACGTCATGTTCCTCTGATCGAGCGAATGGTTCACGCCTCCCATCTTCATGTTGACCTTTAGCCCCACGTTCGCATAGTACTGCACCTGGCCCTTCTCCTTCCTGATCTTCGCAGCGTGGACACACACCGTCGTCACATCCAGGTAGACGTCGCACAAATGCTTGATCCCAGAGTAGACATGCTTGTCTCCGTTGGAGAGGACGACGAGCACCATGTTCGGCTTCGGGGTGACTGAGATAAGCTTCGCCCGAATCGTCGCGATGGCCTTCTTCCTGATCGGGTCGGTCGGCTCCTTGCGCGGCAGGTTGACCGAGGCGATCGCAGGTTCGTCCCTCCCGACCTGCATGCCCGACTTCCTGCACATCGCCATGAACCCCTGGATGACGTTCCTCAGCTCCGGGTCGTTCTCGCCCGCAAACTCGTCGCGCGCGTTCCCGTCCTGGATGAGGAGCACGGCCCACTTCTCGAGGCGGCCGCCCACGGCGAACTTGACGTCGCGCAGGTTCCAGCTCGCGCGGTCGTCGACGCGCGGCGAACCCTGGCCGTATTGCAGCTGCGGCGGCTGGAGGATGCGCCCCGGGACGACTGCCATCTCCGAGCCGATGCTCACGCCGAAGGCTGCGAGCGGGTTCGGGCCCTCGCGGAAGCCCAGCTCGTCCAGCCCGCGCTCGGTGATCGCGCGCGCGTTAACGTTCGGCGGCTGCAGCGCGACGGTGATCATCGAGGCGATGTGCTCGTCGAGGAGTTTACCGCGGAACGGTTGCCGCTCGAGGATCGTGCAGACCTCGGCGGGGAGCAGGTTTTGCTTCTGGCCGCCGACGTCGATGAGTGGCAGGTCAGGAAACTGCAGTCGGATGTTGTACTCTGTAGGGAGCATGAGCGGTAGAGATGATCGTACGAGAAACGGCACTCACTTCGCTGGAAATACTGCTCTACCGTCACCTCCCCGTAGTCGTCGGTGCGGAACTTGTGCTGACGGGCGTTGACCCTCGCCGCCGTCTTCACTGTCTTCGTGTAGCCAAGGTGAGTGGTCTTCACGCGGACGCCCTTCACGAAAGCCGCATAGCGTGCGCCGAAGCTCGCATTGTAGAACTCCTGCATGCGGACGGCGAGGTTGCCCGGCGTGTAGAATGCCGTCGTGCACACGTTCACGTTGACCATCAACTGCTTGTACGCCGGACGCACGGACGAGTAGAAGCCACGCCACGCCTCGAGCCCCCCGCCCAGCGAGAGCGGCGGATGCGCCGCCGACGGGTGGAAGAATCGGTTCTTGCCTACCATGACGCCACCGCCTCCCGGACGATTCGGGTGTGCCGCAAGGATAAGGTTCAGCGCAGCAATGACAGGGAGGACGTCGTATCCACGGTGCTGCCGCTGTCCGTCGAGATAACTTACACAGCAAAGTCAGCATGCATCCGCCCTAAAGCGACAATGTGAGAGGAAAAAAACGGGAGCGAGAGACAAGCCAGACCCTGAGGACCCAGCTGTACTGGAGGGTACTTCAAGTACACCAGTACCCCGAGACCCTGGCACTCCCTCGTCTGACCGATGGAACAACGATAAAGGGGACACGTACTTGACGAGACTCTGCGTCTCGATGTCTTGGATGTACTTGATGGTGAGGGCGAACTCCTTCGGCTTCTTCTTGTCTTCGTCCTCATCTTCATCCGTGTACGTGACCTGCACAACGAGTGGCTGCGGGAGCTTGAACGACGAGATCAGCTTGGTACTGTGGTCGTGCGCGACCCGCCCGACCATGCCCGCATTGGCCCAGTCGGCTGTCTGTTCCGCGAGCTGGAATATCCTGCGCTTTATCCGCTTGATGGCCGTAGCGGGCGTGATGGCGACATCGTACTCGTGGAGTGGCCCCTTGGGCACGCGCACGGGGAAGAAGTTCGTGCGCAACTTAATCTGAACGCCACCGGTTCCGAAGCCAGGCCGCACAGGCAAGTCCGTGTCCTGAACCGTCAATGACCTCAAGGAGGCCACGAGGGCTTCCTCAGAATTGTCCGTCAGACGCGCATCGACGTTTGCCGGCACGCCAGGCAGGAAGACCCTGCAACAAACGAGGCAAGTTGAGTGTCGCCCGTCAGTACAAGGGAGCACGAAGCGACTCACCCTGCCGGTTCCCTGGGTGGCCCTCCCCTTCCCCGGCCTCTGTCCCCTCCTCGGAAGCCTCCTCCTCCACGGTCCCCCCCTCGGAAGCCTCCTCCTCCACGGTCTCCCCCTCTGAATCCGCCGCGATCGCCGCCTCTATATCCTCCACGGTCGCCGCCACGGAAGCCCCCTCCACCACGGTCCTGGTACCCGCCGCGGCCTCCTCCGCGGTCGCCCGGTGCAGGGCTTCCGCGGCCGCCTCGCCCTCTGTCATAGCCTCGTCCTCGATCGCCGCCCCTGTTCATCTGTCACTTCGAGTGCGTTGAGCGGTGGACGGTGTGGTAGTCGCAAGGACAGTGGTCGAGGGTGGTTGCGTCCGGCGCGCGTATATAGTCCGGACACAGCCTCGTGGCTTGGTGATATTCATGCACTGTTATGGACAACCGCGCGTCTCTGTATGGTAGCACCAAAGGGTCCGTCTGAGTTAGTCTCCGTTGCTGATCAAAAACTGACAAAACGAGATACTTGTCTGAGTCAAGACTTGACTCGAAATCTCTGACTCTGAGGATCATCCGTAAACAGTATGTTTCTACCACGTGGCTTCACTTGACTCCTGTATTTTCGATTTGTTCGGGACCGCCGAAGACATATGTAGCGGATCGTGATGCAACCTTGTTTTTGCCTGGAAACCTTGTTCCAGCATAGCCTTGCCGCTGTCGTCTTCAAGTCGTCCTGGACCGGCGGCAGTCCATCCGGATTCCGGAACCCCGGAAAGTCATCGAAACCCCTATGAAGAGGCTGGTTTTCATCAAACATGCTGCTAACATGCTGGAACACTGGCATTTCATGTTTGGGACGTTCTGAGTCCGTGCATGTAGTGTAGTTCCCCAAAAGGTTCCCCGCGGGCCGCGGGGGCGCATTCAAGTTATTGGTGGGTTCTTCGGAGTTTGAAAGATTTGCCCGCGGTGGCGGTGCTAATAAGAACATTTCTGCAACAAAGACATAAGTAGATTGTTACGTTGACAGCAAGTAGTACTTAAGTAACATAGGCAGGCCGTGACGCACCGTATTTTCTGACATAAGTATCCCCTTGGTATCCCCTATCATAATGTTCATTGTTCTCTGCGAACACCTGATGCTAGACAAGATATCGTTTTTGGCAGGGATCCCGGCCCGGTAAGCTTACTTGGTTAACTTACCAAACCAGTAGAAACTGAATAGATTCTCGTGCTAACCTCGCAGTAGATACCAGTAATGGTCACTAGCTTCACTCGGTGGGTTTCCAACGCTGCAGCTTCTTCTGTGTATGGAAACCGAAAGTGAGCAGCCTCGCTTCCTGTCACAGAAGTGACATCTGGTGATCCGTGATCTCGGCTATCGGGTCACGGTTAGGCGACGCGCCACATCTAGTCACAGAACCCCGCCGTGCCGCGCCATATCCCCGATGGCCCACGCTTCGTTGTCGTCGTCGCCGGCAGCGAGCTCCGCCCCAGCACCTACGAATCTACTGTCCAGCACATGTCATACACCATTGAGTAACCGTTCATTTAAAAAAAATACTGTGATTGCTGGAATTTGCGCAAGCGACTGCGTTGCCCGAAACTATTATTTTGCACAATCCAGGCACAATGCACAAGACTCAGGTCTGCCGCCACTCAAGTACTCATCGACATCCGCGACGACTCACCACAAACTCGCCAGCAGCGGTCGAGCCCTGGTCGAGCCTATCTGGGCGTCCGTGGGAATTGAACCATAGCGTAAGCGCCCGAGCGCGTCCCCAGCGCGCCCGAGCGCGTGTCTAAGTCTCTGCACGCTCGTCGCTCGACTCTCGTGTCGATGCTCCACGTCCACCTCTCACACACCTGAATGGCCGGCCGACACGTCAGGCCCCACTGCAACTTAGTCCTCAAGCCAACTGCGAGGAAGAACAGTTACTCTGCGCGTCTTGCGGCTGCCCTCGCACGCACACCTCGCCCACGCAAACGGGCCGCGCGGTGCGTTTGCCGGCGAGGACATGTCCGACACAGGCGACTACGACGCAGATTTAGGGCTGCCCTATGTGTGGAATCCGGAAAAGCGACTCGCGCCCAGCGATGCAACCCATGTGCAGCGACTTGCGTCCTGTTGCGACATCCTCCACCGCGATACAGGCCACTGCGGTACGTCGCTTCCTCTGCCTGCCCACCTATCATATGTACTGACCTGCGGACCTGCCCACAGACGGTGGACCTGCGAATACCCGCGCGCGTGACCTGTACCCACTGCGGCGGGACTGTGCGCAGGCGGGTACGGGTACGGGTCGAGCTTGGGATACCCATAGTATACCCGTGCTCGGCGCCATTGGCGGCTATCCCACCGTAGTGTAGCACGGTCGAGCTTCAGCGTCACTGCGTCAACGCGACTCAGAGGCTCAAACACGTTCTATAGTGACTAGTCACCGGATTTGAATTACGATGCCAAACTGGCTGCATTATGGTTAACATATGTGTAGTAGTGAGCGAGTGTGACTCGGACTCGGAGATGGGGGATCATAGCATGTACTAGGGATGCACGGTGTAGTAGTGATGAATGTAATGTAGTACGGATTGTCGCAGTGATTAAAGGCATACTACTATGGACATTAACACCATCTCGTTGAATGAACGGCAGCGTGCTCAGACTGCGACTGCGTTATAGGGAGGATGATCACGGCTCAGGCTTCTAATTCAACAGACATCTAGGACCCCCGGGGCGTTGCGCTGTCACTGTCCTGCTGAACAATAAGTGCATTAGTGCTTCGATTGAATCTGGAGTATGATTCAACCGTGCTCACCGATGCCTGGCACTGCTCGGCCACTCGAACGTCTTTCGGATGAAGACCTTCACAACTCGCCACAGTCCGGGAGCTCAAAGTACTTGCAATAGTCATTGCAGACATGATCCCACTGGAAGTCGCGGTGTGTACTGGCGAGGTTTCCCTTGCTGAACAGTTCGCGGCCAAGGCAGCTACCAAGAGTCCAATCATGGCATCAGAGGTTTGGAAAAAACCGGCAAAAATGAGCCAAAAACAATCCAGACGTACGGATCTGTGATGATCTGCGGATCCGACAGTAGACTCTTGCCTCCTAGTACATATCATTGAGTCTGTCTTCGTCTACCAAGAAACAAATATTGTCTCATACCTTGGAAGTCGGTCGTGAACGCTTGAGCGCCCGTATGACAGTATTGGAAATGCTGACAAAACGTGAGGAACTCTCCTCGCTTGAAGTTTTGCGAATCACTTGTTTCCGAGTCGGCGAAGCGGTGACGAGCTGTATTATTGTTCATATACTTTCTCCACTCGCCGTCCACCTCTGGATCAATGAGCTCCTCCACCAGGTACACGACCTTGTCGCCTGGGCGTGCGTCGGGAATGTTTGTAACAGCCAAACCCGTGCGGACGTAACGAAAGCGAGGGATTTCCAACGGGCATGGTGCGTGGTGCTCGGCCTCGTATGCGTGAATGAAGTCGTAAACAGCCTGGAGAAGCGCATCTGCCCAAAGCGTAGCAAGCACATCGGTGACAAGCTGAGCAATACGCTCCGTGACAGGTTCATTTGGCTGTACAGCGCTACCGGACGCTACCGAGGATGAGGTGTTGGCGCGTAGTTGCTTCACCGCAACACGCCCGTCAGACGAGGAGAATGGTGATGGGTCGATACGTCCACGCCGCATCGTCTTGAAAGCGCCAGACTGGACTCGGTGGCCGGCGTTGTAGAACATCGTCGCTGTGACAGGTCGAGTACCATGCATCCAAGTGAGAAACCCGAGGCTGGTATCAGACGAGGATTTGCTCTGCTCGCTGATGAGATCATCGTACGACCTAACGGGACACTCATAGAACAAGATTGGGACACTAGTTGCACTCACTAGATATTTAGACAATTGACATGGAATTCGAAGACGATCCCTATTTTTAGCATCCTCATGACAGTGATCATAAGGGAAAGACTCACGGAAACCCAATATGTCCTTCTCCTGCGGTTCACGCTGTCCAGAAAGAGCTTGCTTAATGCGGACTAAAGAAGTCCCGGCAGTGCCAGGATCGTTTGAACTACCAGCAGGCGGCGACGCTCGGCGGCGCTTAGCAGCTGGCCGCAACTCGGGGGCACTGCTAGGCTCGCAGTAGTCCAGCCCGCTACTAGGCTAGCAATGAAATGACCACGTTAGTACCCTACGCCTGTGTGGAAGAAAGAAGGAAGTCCAAACCTGTGGACAGGCTGGATTGGCCTGCGATTCAAATGGCGGGGGCGAGTTGTCTCTCTTTCGCTTCTGAAGTGATTTTGCAGTGGGGCGTGGCCGCGGCCGTGGCTGAGGGGGGCGGGACGAAGCCCGAGGCTCGCCCGGCCGCATGGCTGAGGTTTGTGAAGGACTCTCAGGCTGGAGGCGCGTGGCCGAGGCGACTAGCTCCATGACTGGCTATAGGATGTGAATGTGTCAACATAGTGGAAAAAATCAAATGAGAGCCCGAACGGGAGTCTTGGACGAACCTCGTCAGAGTCATTGTCCAGTCCATCCTCGCAGGCAGGTGAGAGCTGTGCGCGGGCTTTCTTATAGCGCTCGGCATCAGAGACAACAGCACCGTCAATTACAGCCATGATGATGATCGGAGCTCCTTTCTTCGGCTTGCCGTTCACAATACAGAGATCCTTGATTGGGTGTTCGTCGTCGTCAAGGTCACAGTCTTTTGAGTTCCACAACGCCTCAACATGTTCTAGTCGAAGGCAATGGCCGCCGTACTCCTTAAGCCAATCTGGGCTGAAAGCATGGAGGATGATGTTCAGCAAATTCTTCTTGTTGACGCTGGAAGGGATGTATTCCAGTGATCGCGCCTGTAGAAGAATGGCCCGGGAGCAACGGTGATCAATTATGGGGCTTGTCATGAAGTCAGTGAACGTACCAAGAGTACACGAGCCTTCGCACGGCCCTTCTCCCTTGCTACTAGCCGGACGCTCAAGACAACGGTGTGTTCCGTGTGTCCCCCTGATATTGCACGCATTCGAAGCATCTGTCGGGTCTCCCGATATTCACTATGGGCCTCTGGATAACTCGACGTCGAGGGTATAGGAACAGCAAGAGGAGGCATAATGAAAGGACGTCCTTGCCCAGCCGGGCCAGCTGCATGGCCCTGTGGACTGATAAGGTTTCGTTGCGATCTGGAGGTCTTGCGAGGTGATATCGGAAGAGGTGGCGGTGGCATTGCAACGTGTGGGACTTCCAGTTGGCGCGGCGGCCATGATGGTGCAACAGGTTGCACGTTTGACTGGTTTCCTGCACAGTGGGAATGGCTCCGATGACTACCAGCCCAGCTTAGAAACTTTTATGACATACCTCTTTGCGCAGCGGAGACTTGTTTGCGTATCTGATCGTGATTCACGGGCGCCGACACAGGCTGGCCACGTACTATGTGATATTGTATCAACTCACAATCCCCGGCCAGTGAACCAAGAAGTAGAATTCAGCTACCTTTGCTTTGAGACTGTGACACTGAGGTCCTCGGGACACAGATAGACCCAGCCTTGTCGGTGTAGTAGCGATAGCAGTCCGGGCATACACGGATTCTCTGCTGAGTGCCGCTACTGGTATCCCGGCCTTTCAGGTTGACACTCTTCCTTTCGCTAGAGGGATATTGCCTGCGACAAGCAGCCCTCTCGCACCGTACCATGACGTCGCCGCCTGCAACGTGGGATGAACCAGGGTTGAAGGACAGACTGGCAATCACCCTCGAGCTTGACGAGTCCGACATGGCGCCGGCCAGCCGCCTGAGTCCTATAGAGCACCAAAGACAAGAACCTTGAGAACGAACACAAACAAGACTTGATGTGGGTGGATCTGAGCAAGGACTGGCTAGCCAGTCACACTCAGGCAGGACATGGCAGTAGATTGGTTGCGGCAATATGCCTCGATGCCTTTGCCGACTCCTCGTGTCCCGTACAGCAGTGCATTGCCGGTGTGATCTCATTTATGTGAAGTGAGCCCTATGCGGTCATGGCTTGGATAATGAATAAGTGATAGTTGCGAGTACTATGTATGAACTAGCCCGAGCATGCTAATCAGAAGAAGTCCAATCCGATTCCATGACTATCTGAGTCGTCGAGAACCTCCGCATCGGAGATATCAGCAAACAAGTCGCCATCGCCATCATCATCAGCGGCGCTCTGCTCTGCTTGCTCTGGCGGGTGCACTGCGGCGGCCACATCTCCGACACGTTGACGAGCGAATGGAATATCAACAAGATTAGCAGGCATGCATGGTTCGGAATCAGATTCTTCAGGCATGTGATGAGCCTGCCGAGTTTCGTCAAGCATGCTCTGAAATGTGTTATCAGCGGGCATACTGCGCAGACCCGCTAGGATGCGCCGGTAGACGTCCCAGACAGTATCAAATCGGGGTTCAGGACAACCAATAGCCGTCCACACCATGTTGGCGCGCAAAGCAAAGTCGTCTGGGACAAGCTTGAACACAGGATCATGCCGAGGGGCGTAGATAGCCTCTATCTCATCAAAGAGCTCGCTCGAGACAGGAATCTAATGCTTCAATAAGCGACTATTGAGACATGACAAAGCGAGCAACAAGACACACCTTGTAATCAGCTGCGTTGAATTTATGTGGCTTCTGCATCACGAGCATCGGGATACCATTCGGAAGGACCTTCTTGCGGTCCGCACGTCGCTTCGTCCAGTTCTGGAGATGAACCCAGGCATCTGTCTCGCGCTGGAGATATGGTATGAAGACATATCGGAACACCAACCTTCATTACAAACAGGAGTTAGGAACACAAGCAGTAAGGTCAAGATCCGACCAGCTTACATCTCGAGTGGATCTCCAATGTCATACCACCCTTGTTCAACTCCATCATCAATCATCCGCTCGAAGGCAGGAATGAACGACCGACGGAACAATGACCAAAAGATTTCAGGTTTGATGTTCCCGTGCTTGCGAAAGAAGCGGTGCTGAATGGAACCGGAGAGCGCAGCATCGAGCCGGTGACGAAGAGCTGTCTGTGCATAGGCAACTCCAAAGTTCTCTGTACCGGGATCACTCTGAGTCGTGAGCGGAATTCCTGGCAACAGGTACATCATACTATCAGGTATACTACATGTGCGTGTATCAGCGGAGCCTCATACCTTGAATCGCACGCCCAGCATCCAGATGGTACCTTGTGATCAGAGTGGGATTCTTGACCGTCCACCACACCCGGCACCAATGTGTAACCCCAGGAAATGGGTCGAGCCCAACGTGCCAAAAGAGGCCGTGACGTTTGAGTTTTTCATGTTGGTCGATACACCACATGTCGTGGACACCCGCAGAAACGAATTGGCGACGCGTGAACTTGCGAAAGCGCCTCGCTGCAACTGCCTCAGGCTCCGTAAGCCGCAAGTACTCGAGTACAAGTGCCCTTCAATCATCGCACTTAGTGTCATACACCCACAGAACACAGCACGAGGAGAGCGGTGCTCACTTGGGGACGCGAATCTTGTCATTGTGTCGCAGCACCTTCCGAAGTCGGTCGGCTCCAATGTTCGGGAACTGCTTCTTGATCGCCTGGACATGCGTATGGATGCTTTGGATGGTGTGTCCCTGTTTGCAGGTGCTGCGGAAGCCCCATGCTTGGCGGCGGCGGCGGATAGTGTACACACTGGAGAACACAACTCAGTTAGTACTAGTAGGCTGACAAGAATCTAAGGGCTGCAAAGAGACGTACGTTATGCCATAACACTCCTTATCGAAGTGGTCCATCACATGCACGGCAATGTCAACGTCTGACATGCCCAAATGCCAGTAAAATTCGAACACTGGTCGGAGCTTTTCATCTGGCGCTGTTACTAGACATGAGGGACAAAATGTACGAGCGGCGGCGGCGAATGTACAACGCACGGCAAGGACGATGCTGATTAACCTGCTTTGTTGGACCTTGAGCTTCTAAGTTCTCGGGTAGACCAAGTGCGGACGCTGTATGTGGCCAGTGCGGTAGTCAGCTACGGCGGCCACTGTCGTATGAAGCATTCACAGACGGAGCAATGGGGCGTGCGGCCGTTCCGGTTTTGTTCTCTTCTGCCTCGAAGGAGGCATACCGGCGCATACCAGCAGATCGCCAACCAAGGAACAGAACAAGCTTCAAGCAACAACAAGGCAGCTGGCCGGTGCCCAGAGCAAACAGATTCACGGCCGCAGCGCGAACGACCCGCGCAAGCGCGAGTGAACCGCACGTGCACAACGAATTATCACACCAGTACTTCAAGTTCAGTACTTTCTGTTACCAAACGCCGCGGCAGCACTCTTGTGATACAGGCAGGCCCTAGGGCCCTGGAGTTATCTCTTAAGTCTTCATTGCGTATGTATCCTATAGCGGACAATACTACTGGTACCGCAGTCTCGCTGGTTACGTGCACTTTGACGACTAATGATTAGCAGCGCACGCTCCTCAGCTTGCCCATGTCCGCCTGCTCCCCGCCAACCTCCCGAAACAGAGCTCGCGGTCTTCATCACAGAGGTACAGAGGTCGAGGAATAAGATGCCGCCGATGGCATGCCTTGCCGCAACGTGGGAGGTAGTGGAGTACAGCGCCGTGCAAAATAGCAACATCGCGGAGGTTTGCGCGGAAGTGCACTGTGTCGGACCAGTAGTAGTAGAAAAGGGTGACGTCGAAGCCGCCGCTGGACCACAGCGCAAGGACCTTTCCCCGGGGCTGCTCCAAGGAAGGTTGCTGCAGACTTGGTGCCCGCCGTTGCGCCCAGGCAGCGCGCTTGAACTCGGGAGTGGAAAGGTTCCGCACCTCGAAGCCAGTGAGATATCTTCTTGGAAGGTCGAGATGTGCTCCTCAGCCCGCTGGCGCGTAGATCAACGACCTGGCGTACCTTGCATGCGGCGACATTGGCGTCCAAAGCAGCTATGAGTGGTAGGAGCGTCCTGCGCGCACATCCACTAGGCGATTGGCTAGATGCGGCTTGCGAGGCTTCGAGACGCGCGCGCAGCGAACACTCGAGAGGACGTGCAACGCGAGCTGCTCGCCGGTGGATAGCGAATCCCAGGGCGGTTTTCGGGGTGTTTCAGCAGGCTGCGGACAAGCCAGTGAGGGCGCGCTGAAGGTGGGTGGACGGGGAGCGACTTACAGAGCGCGGCTAAGAACGTTGCCTGCGGTTTGGCAGGCTGCTCGTGGCGCACTCTCTGGCTCATGTATGGAACCACTATCATGCTTTGGAGAGCCGGAGTTGCGCGCCGGGGGCGCGGAGTACTGGGGGCACGGTGGGTGGTGATTTTCAGGTGGCCGTGCAGCGCTGTAGACCCGTACCAGCCAGGAACAGCGAGCCAGGGAAGGGACGGGGGGTCAGCACCTGTCCTCGAGAGGCCAAGGTGAAGCCCTATCTCCGTGCCTGCGCGCTGGCGGGCGTTGCCCCTGAGATGGATATTCGGGAAGGCGGTCGCGGCGGCACTGAGAAAGACTGGCCGCGTTCGCTGGCGCGAGGAGCAAGTGGCGACCAAACAACCCGCAACAAGCCGCAGTCTGGGCTACTGTTAAGTTTGCGGATGTTTCATGAGTACGCGTGAGTTACTGTAAAAAGCTTACTGCTACGTGTCGAAGTGCAAATTTGCGTATACACTAATGTATTACTTGAAGCTCGAGTTCGCTCTCGGTGACAATGACGATGAAGTGTGCGCGTCGGGGATGTGGCGCGGCGCAACGGGGTTCTGTGACGCGCGTCGCCTAACCGTGACCCGATAGCCGAGATCACGGATCACCAGATGTCACTTCTGTGACAGGAAGCGAGGCTGCTCACTTTCGGTTTCCATATCTGTGAAGTGAAATGAATTGAGGAGCAAGGCGGCCTAGTCGGTCTTGCTCGACTTCGAAGTGCACGCGCGACCGTCGCGTCGCTCGTCCGTGCAGGGGCATCTTGAGGCTCGCGAAGTAAAGGAAAGAGAAGTAGGGAGACAATCGGTGGTGCAAACGGCCGACTCGGCCCTTTATAAGAACTCACCGTGACGGAGCGAGCAAGAGGGAAAACAACATAAGGAACTAAGAATGGCATCGAAAATCCGTAGCGAGTTCGAAAGGAAGCGTGATTTGTGAAGAGCGACTGTCCGACGACGTATCGGGAAGGAACGATATCGTAAAAGGAAGGTACCTACCATTGGACACCCGCCCGGACGACGTTGGTTCCCCTTCGGCTTTTCGGATTCGTACGGCGGACCATAGTCTCGGTGCGAGGCTGACAGCGACAGCGCGGTAGCACATAGGTGCGGCACCGTCCGACAGCAGTGCTGAGTCGTCGACGCGCCCGCCTTCCTGTCAAGTTCAACGTCCTACATCCGATCCCCCGCTTCCGCCCTCCCATTCGTCGCGAGCGCGCCGGTTGAGTACTACATTTAGCAGATATACGGGGCCATATTGTATTGCTTTTCTGTTCGCGGGGCGCATAGTATGCATGACTCAAATGAGCAATGGAGAGAAGAAACAGGAGATTGGATCGGGGTGGCGTATGACGTCATGACCATTGACGCTTCGCAATGTTCGCATTGACATTACAATGGCCACTTTCTGACAAATCACACAGACCAAGGACCGACGCAGGGTTTACTCCAGGATAGCCGTAAGCATGCTTCCCTCGCAAAACATACTGTTCAGTGATGGTATAAGTATACTATAGCGTCACTAATTAAGTAAGTTCCTTTTATGGTGACCCGTCACGCGTCACGCGTCATCATCAAACCTTCAACCTTGCAGTCCGGCGCCTACTTTCCTGCAGTTCGACTTTTAACTCGGACTTCCAAGTTCCACCACGAATTGTCATCTCCCACACAGACGGAGCCACACTCGAGTCGAATGTCCATATACTCTGCAGGGACAATATGGTCTAGAGCACTATTGACTCAAGTCTCGCGACCGTGTTGACGTATCTCCTCGCGGACACAACGTGCGTAGGCCACCTGTTCGGCAGTGAAGTATTCGCGGCCGCATCATGAAGCAGCTATGCGGCGTGGCGTGGCGGTCTAATCGAGGATGCAGCAAGCTTCTGCCGCATGCAGAACAGCGGGCAATGTCCTGGCGCAGCTTCATATCTGCGCCTCACTTCACCTTCATCTCCAGCTCATCCCATGCCCACTATCGCTCTTCAATTCTCGCCTTCTTGACGCCTAATCTATATCTTCTTTCTGACTTCTTTCTTCATCGAGCTCAGCGTGATCGTATGGCACGCAGGGACGGCACCGTCAACCAACAGCAGACGATCAGTGGCCTGCAGTCCCCCACGCCACGTCCTCGCCCGCGTGCGCACGCTTCCTCGCCCCCTTCGTCTCGCAGACAGAGCCTGCACACCTTGGGTCCTACGGCGAGGCTGCACGTCCAGTGGCTTTTCCGCTCGAATATTCCCCACCGCCGCGGCATGCCCCTGCCCGTCGACGTCAAAAGGCGCAACTTCTTTGGCATCGGAGAGATCCTAAGTGTGCTCGCAAATGTAAGCTCGGTTAGTTAGCTCTGGACTAGTTGCTCACGTCGACTTGATTGCAGCCGTCCGAGACGTTGCGCTCCCTCACGGAATCCAGGAAAATGCTCGAAGATACTCGCAGAGAACTGGCTGAAGCGCGAGAGCGTGCACAGCTCAGTCCGACGCACACCTTTTCGAGTCTACCTGGGTTCTTTGACCGTCCGGCGGAGCTGAAGGCCATCGAGCGTGCTCTCGAAGGCGAGCCGAGTTTCACTGTGCTCTTCGGGGCAAGCAGTGTTGGCAAGGTAAATCTTTATGACGGCCAGCGAGGATCGTGTGTCTCCGATGATCGAATGGAGACACCGCCCGGGGTCCTTGCGCAGGTTGCACGAGATATTGACGATGATGCGGCGACGCGTTTTGCAGACGGCCCTCCTGCGCCAGGTGTTGACACGCTCGACGTACCATGTGCTGCACTTTGACCTCCGGATTGCGGGGTTCGCTGACCTGCCCAGTCTGTACATGAGTCTCAGGTGAGCTTTGCGTGGCCGGGCGCACGATACATCGCTAACGTGTACTCTATGCAGCCAACAGATGGAGGCGTACTTCACGGCCCTCTCTCAAGACTCGGACCTGCCCGGGTACGGAGAGTTTGAGAAAGAGGCCTGGGCGTTCAAGGTATGCATTAGGGTTGTCTGCTGCTCTCTGTACGATCTGACCCTGTTGGATGTCGCAGCACGACAGACTGAACGTCGAGCGAAGAGTCTCTGGGCAGTCCGGCGAGGGCACCGCTCACTTGACGATGGGCGAAATCAAGACAAGTGACATCGCCCGTCTGATGGAGCTGTTCCAGGTGCGTTGCCGCTCCTAGATTCAGCCGGTAGCTAATAGATACCCTAGAGCTCTCTGCTCCGCTACTGGAACTTCCAGCCCGACATGGAGGCCGTATGTGCAGCAGAGCGCAAAGCGGAGTCGGATGCCTCGTCGGTGCGCACTGTCAACGATCAAACCAAGGACACCAGACCATCGTGGCGCAAACGCCTTTTCGGCGGCCGGCGCTCAAAGGCGGAGGCGACTGCTCGCAAGCAGTCGCAGCAGGGGAGCATGAACGGTGATGCGCGGCACGGGGCAAAGGAGAACGGAAAGGCGCGCGCGCCGCCGGTGAAGAAGATCCCGGTCTTCTTCATTGACGAGGCGCACAAGCTGTAAGTCACCTCCATGTGTATTACGTCCCGAGGTGGGGGAGTTGACTGATGGGCGGGGCAGACCGGCTCTCATCCACTCGGTCGACGCCATGAAGTCGTTGCTCGACGCGATGCTGGTGCTGACGAAACAGGATCGGCTGTGCCATGTCATACACGCGACGAGCGACCCGTTCTACCAGACGTGGTTGCGCCAGCTCAATGTCATGCAGCATTGCAAGGTATGGCAATGGGTATGTCTGATCTGCAGCGGCTCACATTCATCTCAGGTGATTACAATAGGCGACTACGCCAAAGGGGACACGCGGCGGTTCTTCCGCGACAGAATCTTGCCGAACGTTCCGGAGGAGCTCCGTCCGAAGCTCGACTTCGAACAGCTGTACGAAGCGTTCGGAGGCAAATTGGCCCACTGGCAAGATTTCATCACAGATTACGGTGAGTCGATTCCCCGATGTGTGCTCGGCATGGACTGAATGCCTCCCTTCTCCAGTGAACGCCAATGGAAAGCTGGACAGTACGTTTGTACTAATTCATCCCCCAGATACACGCGATCTCACCGTGTTCGCAGTCAAGCAAGGCTCGCACTTTCTCCAAGCGCACGCACTTCTCAATTTGCACATCATACACTCTGCACAAGCACCACCGGCTTCGCAAGGCCCTGCTCCAGCATCAGACGCTACACCGCCTTCCGAACATGCGCACGACGGGTCACAGACTGCGCAACAGCGCGTCCCACCTTCCCCTGGGTCCAATTCCGGTTTCCGTATTTATTCGCCGCTGAACCGACAGCCGCACGCAGCGCCATCGACTTTCGCCCCGGTAGCTGCAGACGGAGGAGATGCGCCTGAGTTCCACGCGGACTTCACCGCCATTCAACTCCTCAAGGTCATGAATCGCCTGGCCCAGCCTGGAGCACGATCGCTGCCCTATTTCCTCCTTTGCCGCGAGCTAGGAGCCCGCGCAGTAGACGGCATGGTGCGCGGACGGATCTTGGACCTGCGGTGGACGGACCCTATCACCAAAGAGGGAGTAGACTCGCGGGCGCTGAGCATGAGGCTCCGCGATAGCACTCGGATGCGGGATAGCGTGCGCGTGCCGGGGCGCGAGAGTCGCGTGCAGTTTGCTGCGGGGAGCAGTGCGACGGCGGTGAACGACTATAACGAGATGGGCACGGAGGAGGGCGAGATGGTGCCTATGTCGGAGGAGGAGATTCTGCGTGCGCACGAGCAGATGATGAGCCAGCAGCCTCCTGACGACTACGAGGAAGACATAGTTGGACCTAAGCTCGTGCCAATTACGCCCATCATGCGTTATGCCATGCGCGAGGTGGTTCAAGAGTACTATGATGACGACGACCAGACAACTTCGGAGTACGCATCGCTATCCGAGATCCAGGAGTATTGAGCTGTGCGCCTGGTGTTCGCGTGCATCACATAATGTTATTAGGCTGATCATGATGGGTGCTGGACCGTCTTATACTTGGTCAGCGTGTTCGGTATATTAGGCTGTATTGTAGTCCCTCCTACGTCTTGATCCATAGTGATATCATCCCATGCATTGTCTGTACCATCATCTACTTATACACGTGTGCGTGATGTTCTGCTCATAAACCAATGTGCCTGTGTACAGCGTTCGCCGAAACATACATGGATGCCGTCAGACTACGGTTGTCTGTCATTTCCCTTGCATCACTCGCGTTTCGAACTGCGGCCGATGTCAAGGCGGCGCATCCTTGCACACCTGAGGAATTTTGTTGACAACAGCTGCATCATGAATTGCTGCGGTGGATAAGGTGTATTACTTGTAACGCCCATAGGCGTCGATAGTGACGTTACCTATAGGTCAGGACTGTATCGAATACAACCCAATAAATGAAGCAAAACAACAACTTGAACGAGCCTTAGTCTATCCCAGCAAACCGTACGTCTGCGTTAGCTTCCAGCCACGCGGACCATGCCTTCAGGAACCGCCCTCCATGCTGGATAGTCGAGGAGTCACCTACTACACACTGCACGACATCGTAAGTGTCCGACTCGTAGATACAAAACGACCGACAGACCAAATGACGCCTGGCTCGAGTCATCGCGACTGTATTTTGGCGGTCAATGAATTACGGTATTCAGGGTCAATCAACAACGCACCGTTGAGTCTTCGTTTATCCTTCAGGAACCCAACTTCACGCTGGCGCAACATGAGTTTCACGGAAGCCAGGTATGATCGTCGTGGCCTACCTTCTCGTTGCTTCTGACCAGACTGATTATCACTGCTTCCTTCTCCCGGCCCTGCATCCCATCAACCGTGCCAATCTCCAGGTCGAGTCCGTATATAGGCCGCAACAAAGACGTCAACAGAGTGACTTGGGCTTGATATCTGTGAACCATGCTCAGAAACGCACATAAATGGAGGTCATTGAACGCCTACGGTGTGATCACTGCGATTTGTGATGGCAAGACACCCACACCGACCTGAATGCGTGTTACTATGCTACACCGAGCCATTCACGAACTCGCTGCTTACCAGTTCTTCAACATATTTCTTCACCACAGTCGCCTCGTTCTCGTTGCATCTGCTCCCCTCGTCGTCATCGCCCTCCACCCTCTCATAGTATTCGCAACCCGCCGTGTCGAAGAATGCAACTGGTGTCCCGAGTAGTTCCTTCTCTTCGTCCTCATCCGCAGCATTTGCATTCGGGAGATCCTTGAGCAGATGAGACGCAACAGAGGGGTGGGAGGTGAGTTTGTTCTGGTACATCACTTTCGACGGAAATGCCGCGATCTGAGCGTGCATGCTGATCAGGACCAACGTATCAGCGAGCGATGCTACACAACAAGCGAGATCTAATGCACCGATACTGAACGTTGAGTAACCGTTTGATTCCGGGCCCGTACATCTTCTCCAAGCGATCGAACAAAGTTGTCTCGAGCGATCGTGGAGGTCGGAGTTCGTTCTTGAGGAAAATTCGCCGGCTCTCTTGATCATCTACAGGCTCCGCGGGTGCCTTGGCTTCGTCGATCTCAGCGTCACTCTCGAAACTGGAGCCATCATCGCTATCCTCCGGTTCATCTGCTTCTGGGTCTGTGATTTCGTTGGCAGGTGGAGAGGCGACTTGTTTGGTCGGCTCGGGCACATTCTTCTGCGGAGTAGTTCGACTGGACGAGGCTTTCGCCTTGTCACCCTTGCCACCTTTCTTATCTCGACGTTTCTTGTCGGCTGAGAGGATCGTCGGAGGCAATTGCATCGGGTCTCCAGCAAGGATTAATTTGTGAGCCTTGAAAATGGGTACCCAACAAACCTGTCGATTTTGTTCAGCGTACAGGAAAGGCAGGGAACAGAGAAATTTACCGCTTCCATGGCTTGCGTTGCTTCGTCTATGATCAGGACGTCGAAGCGATGATTGCGCAACTGCCACCCGCCTGCAGAGTGGCATGTGGCGAGAACGACCTGGTGAATCTAGTCAACAAAACATCAGCTCAATCGACGAGGGTACCGTACCTGTGACTCCGAAAGGACGCTCTCAACGACCCCTCCTTCACGCCGACGGTATCTTTGTCGGATATGAGCCGCCATGAACTATCGGAGCAGCGCGACCGAAGACTACTCACTCTTTGCGTAGTGCCTTGACTTCGTCCCACATCTTCCGACGCTCCGCACCCCGTGGTGCCTTGCCTTTAGCACCTTTCGGTTTGCCAGAGAGTATGTCTAGAGCCTCTTCGAGCTCCTTCTTGACATCTCTCGCCAGCGCTGCCTGTGTACAAACTTCAACCACGGTTACAATCCTTACGCCGTGATATTGGCACGTACCTGATCGCTCCTGCTAGCCTTCATCTCAAGCGTTGAATCAAGCACGCCTTGGTGTGCCATCACACGAGCAGGGTGCCCGACCCGCGTAACCTTTAGTTTCGCACCATAGGTCGGCGCAGGCAACGCGAGTAGCCGCTCAAGAATGTTGTCCACGGACAGGTTCGATGCACCGCAGACCATTATGCGGAGCGGCTTGGGGTTTGCCGGAGTTACGGTGGTTATTTGACGGATGATTTCGATGAGCGTGTGCGTCTTCCCTGTACCTGCGGGCATAGCAACGAACGTTTGAGCAATGACACCAGTGCGCATCAATACTGTACACTACAACACAGTACGGCCCGTCACCCATCACACGCCTGACGTCGCGACGCCCTGACGGTGCCGTCACAGGTGACTCGCAGTCGCGCCCTGCTTCGAGTGTCACGGAAGGCAGATTTTCGGCGCCTGCAGCGCCGGACGTGTAGTTGAGGCTCATTGAGGGTGCATTGGGCCGCCTCGTAGCAAGGCGACGGGTTGTGTTGTGATCTAGGGAAAGATGTCTTACCTGGAGGCCCATGGATACAAGCGATTTCTGGTGCTTGCATCGCAAACCTGATGGCGTCGCGCTGGCTCTCGTTCAGACTGTCGTCAAAGAATGTGATGTCTTCGATGTTCTGCGTCTCAGAGGGCCGCGAAATCCCCATGAGCACTCTCACTAGAGGTGTTTGCTCTGGAGCTGATTTTGCGGTCTCCTGCGGAAAGTTTAAAGGCTAAAGGAGGAACGGAGGGCGCAAGGCGTACCGATGTGGCTGAGTTAGGAAGGACCATCTTTTCGAGTTGGTCTATCGCTTTGTCCATCCTTCGACATATATGTTCATTGCCTCTTCTTTGAGGACCTGATGTCGTGCCTCACCTGTCGTACGTAACACTGTTCGCGAGTTTGAGAACTCTACAGCGTTCAGGGATGTCGAGTTCATCTCCCCCTGATTCGGAGACATTGACTGCTATAACAATGCGTGTGTCCGACACCTAGCAAGATCTATCATTACCGAAAAGAAGAAACAAGATCATGAGTACCTTGTATACTACGCCCTCTGTTGATTGACGACGCGAATTATCAGAAGAATCTGCCTTCTTTCCTTTTACGAGAGTCTTCTTGCGAGTTGCGCCTTCTGAGGCGTTCTCTTCGATCTTTGCTAAGTCTCCCGGTCTGACATACAATCTGTCATTAAACATGCGCCTCAAGAAGAGTTATCGTACCTGAATGTATGTGGCGGAAACAAAGGCGTAGAATGATACGCCGCAGGTCTTTCTAACTCGACCAGTCTACAATTTAGTCGTGGTCATGTGTGAGGCCCTGAGATGTAGTCAGTCACAGCACATCCAGCCTAGACCAATCGTACGTCTTTCCACCGAGTCCGATCCTGATACTGGCCACTCCAAGGCCAGTCAGGGCGAGACCCTTCTGCTCGAGTAGCTTCGGTCCGCAATTTGAAAGGAGGAGCGACGACCGCTCGATCTCTGCCTCCCGTTCATGGGACAATAGTGACCTCTGTCGTGTAATGAAGTCTTGTAGTTGTTGTTCCGTCGACATAGTGCAGATCCTGTCAATAATTGAGTCAATACTACACGGTCAGTCACCAGTGGTAGTACTGGTACTTGCAATTGACAGACACGCATTTCTTTACTTGGTCTCTGATAGTAGGTGCATACGTAAGCACAGCATGAGCATTACGTAATACAATGCCACGATGGCTCCCTGTTCTATAGTACGAGTCTGCCTCCTCCTCCAGACTATGTGTTCTGCCTTTCAGAAACGACACCATAGTGAATAGGTGGATTGGAACCTTCCAGGGACGTACGCCTACGTACGCGTCCAACGGAAACCTTCATCAACCTCCGAACAAGGTGCTTACCAAATTTGGATCCAGATCAACGCATATAACCGCACGGCTACTAGTGCAACATGCAGAAGCCTGAGCGGCGAAACGCTTGGGCAGGCGGATACTTATGTATCATCAACACCGCGGGAGTACATCAGAGCTAGAGGCGAACGCGTGTATAAGTACAGCGTTGTTGCGGTCCACCCATCTTCCTGAACTTGAACGACCACTGTCTTCACTCCGAGTCGCTGTACCCCGAGCCTACGAGTGCTCATCATCGACATCACGTACCTGAGGTATAAAACGCTCGAGTTCAACACAAGGGAGTCTGCAGCGAAACACAGTGGGTGGCCATGTCACTCGTACCAATCGCCTTCGCCATTCTGGCCATACTGGTGGTATATCGCATCCTGCGTACGCACAACACACTGAAGGACGTTCCCGGGCCAACGCCATCAAACTGGTTCCTCGGCTACGTCTATGACCTCTCTCCGAAGCCTGTCGGTACGCTCTACAGAGAGTGGTCACGTACCTTCGGGCAGACGTACAAGCTACGCGGACCGCTCGGGGTGAGTGACATGCCACAAGCGAATCTGGTGTAGTTCTGAATATGGCATGATGTCTGCAGGTCCCGGAGTTGGTCGTCGGCGATCCAAAAGGCGCTACACACATCCTAAACTCGCCGAGTTTCCAGCGCAATTATTCTGATCGGGTAGCTCTGGAGGAATTCGTGCGTCACTACACTGCATCACAGCAAGTGACACGGCTGATCAGTATGTACGTCAGTTCGGGGATGGCGTGTTCAATGCCGAAGGTAGCGATTTCCTTACTACATTAGGGACTAGAAGTACTGAGGGGTGTTAGGCGAACATCACAAGAGACAAAGAGCCGTCCTGAACACAGCCTTCTCGTGAGTATGCAGTACATCGATACTTGAGGTTGACGTTGATACCTCTCTGCAGGCCGTCAAATGTTCGCGAAGTTGCTCATGTTCTCTTCGATCTCGCTGAACGAGTGAGCGTGCCTCTGTTCATAACGTGGACCTTTGACTAGATTCTTGCTTCTGCCAGCTCACACAAGAATGGGAAGAGGAGATCCGACAAGCAGGCCCCTCCGGCATCCTGTCTGAGATCACTAGCAAGATGCAACGAGTCGCGTACGTGCTTGCTCCTTCTCCCCTTACGTCTCTCTGACACGAGCTCCCCCACAGAATCGACGCGATCAGCATGACGACCTTCTCCTACACCCTCTCCGAAGACCCTCAGATCCCCGCGCTCATCGCCAAAATCGCGGACGTCCCCGCCAGCACGCTCACGCTCATCGCGGAGTCGCTCGTCGACGCGTTCCCGATACTGTACAAGGTCCCGAGCCCGATGCGCGACTGGACGGTCCTCCTCCGCACGGAGCTCGGGAAGATCGCGGATAGGATTTGGAAGGAGAATGAGAAGAGCGATGGTGGAGGTGCGATGCACTCGAAGCTGTTGGATGCTATGGGTACGTTGTAGTGGGTGTCTTGGTCGGAGCGGAGTCTCAGCTCAGTTGTGAAGGCAGCAGCAAGATGATTACTGGCGAACCGATGGATCGGGATACGGCTATCGCCAATGTAGGCGCTGTTCATGCACACGACAGTGTACATACGCTAATAGCGGGATCCTCTAGATGTGCGCCGTAATCTTCGCCGGCTATGAGACAACAGCGAACATACTGGCAGTGAGTCACATCACTGGGCCAGTGGCACATATATCTTTAACCCTGACAATACCTTTGCGCAGGAATGCCTCTACGAGCTCGCGCAGAAGCCCTCCATCCAGGACAAGCTCCGCACTGAGCTCAACACCTTCGTCGACACCACAGGGCGCGAGCCCACCTACGACGACCTCACGGGCGACGCCCTTCCCTACCTCGATGCCGTCTCGCGCGAGGCGATGCGCACCAAGGCCGTCCTGCTGACCGTCACGCGCGCCGCCGTCGCGTCCGACACGATACCCCTGCACTTCCCAGTTACTTCCACGGGCGCGACGCACGTCGTCGTGGAGCCGGGGCAGCTCGTGCACGTCCCCGTGCGCGATGGGATTCACGTGGACTCCGTGATATGGGGCCCGGATGCGGAGGAATTCCGGCCTGAGAGGTGGTTGGAAGGTGATAGCGCGTTGCCGGAGATGGTGAAGATGATACGTGCACCTGGACACTTGCTGACTTTTGGCGACGGGTATGTCTCCGTTTACTCTGACGGAATTCATTGTTGATGTCCCTTGTCGGGTTCAGGCCAAAGACTTGCCTCGGCAGATACTTTGGTAAGTTTCTTGCTCTCCCTGTGCACCCTAATGACTAAACGGACCACGACGCCCACAGCGATGGCCGAGTTCAAGGTATGTACACGACGCTCGTAGCGCAGTCCCAGCGCTCTGAGGCGCTGACAACCGAATGTTGCTTTGTAGATCGTGATCTCGACGATTATTCGGCGGTTCCGGATCGAGGACGTCGAGGAGAAGTACGACTTCTACCGCCAGACGAGCAACACCATCAAACCGAGAATCCGCGGGCGCGAGCACGAGGCGCCCCAGCTCAACTTGCGAGTCAAACTGGTCGAAGAGATGTAGTGTCTGCATTGGTGTGTCGGCATATGTATATTCGGCTGGCTCTGGCATAGTTGGACTATGTCGTCTCTCGAGCTTCAAGGCTTCGTGTGTGATGTTCATCCGTGTTCCCGGGACATGCTGCGGTCGACCAAGTCATTCCAAGGTTAGGCAACGTGATCGCACCGCAATCCTCATGAACTCTTGACGAGGATGACAATACATCTCGTTGCAATGCACGCCTACTGACTTGCTTTGCTTTGCCGAATGTCAGTCAGATTGTGGTGAGCGAACAGTCCAACTCTGCGACTGTAGCCTGTTGCGATCGTAATTTTCAAGACATGCTTCCCGACGTCTTTTCCAAATCATGAGTTTCAAATCTGACCGCTACTGGGATCTGCGTAGACAAATCGAGACAAGCAACGTCAGAGACGGAAATGAACTGCGTGCTCGTGTGATGCAGCCTTGAGGCTTCTCGCTCACCGATATCCTTCGCAGATGTTTCGTAGTCGATATTATTTGAATCGAGGCCCGGCGGAGCGACGCGATCGATCCAAGGAGCCTGAGCAGAGGGCGAGCAAGAGCCTTCGTCTGGTCCTCGTCGTACGTGTGCAGGTGACACACATGGGTGAGCCCGAGACGGAGAGAGAACGCGATGGCACACTGGGCAGGCGAGTCGGCCGCAAACGAGTGTGTATCGCTTCTGGAGGTGATGACCGTGACGAGAGGGAAGGGGACGCAGTCCGGCGGTGGTCCGTCGTCCGAACACTAGCGTGCGTGGTTGCTGCATCTGCGGCAGCCTGCCTTTGACGAACATTACGAGGTCGGCAAGGCCTCTTTTCGATGTGCATCGCAGAACGAGGGATATCGACGGCGGAAAGGTGAGACGGCACATTAGACCCAACTGAGGAATGTGACTCACCGGGACTCGTCTTCACGCAGCGAAGAGACCGAGCTTCAAGTCAAGAGGCAAGTACACAAGTACACACCTGGGACCCGAACAACCGAGCGTAGCAGTAGCGCAGCTAGGCGTCATGTCGAGATCGGTCTGAATTACGAGCAACCAGCTAGTAGAGTACATTTGGGGATACGGAGGCTGAGTATGTGATGAAGGGCGATATATACGGATAAGTGAGCAGGAAAGCGTACGATCATGAGAATCAGGGACATGGGTGGGACGATACAGGGGGGATAAACATGAGATACAGTGCGCACGAGAGAGACGAAGAATGCTGAACGAAGAAAGAGTCATGATGTCGGAGATGATCCAGGCGGACGTGCCGGCTGCGGAGGCCAAGCCGGGGTGGTTGCATGTATGTGTCTTCAAATCATGTCGTACTTGAGTCAAGAAGAGTCTGCGTTTGCCCCGTGCAAGTGCCGAACGTTTCGAGCGACACGAAGCCTCAGCCGACTACCCGACCGTACCCGTTTCGGTGTGCTCCCTCGTCCGCTCGGCGATCGGAACCGAGTGCGGGTTGCGCGGCCACGACAGGGTGAGCATGCCCTCCGTCAGCGACGCGCGTACGTGTCCGACCTACAAGAAACGCATAGATGAGTCAGCGGGAGGACCCAAGGTGGCGCTAAACACGACGTACCTGCGTGCCCTGCGGGAGCGCAAGGGTCCGCTGAAACGTGCCGTACTTGATCTCCTGCATCGTATAGCCATAGGGCATGCCCTGCTGCACGTCCGAACAGACCACGCTGGAGGCAGGCTCCGCGGATTGCGCGCGGACGAGTGCGCTCGAGCCCGAGGGCGCCACCGGATCTTGAGGGGCGGGGCTTGCGGCGAGGCTGCGGCTCGGGGTGCGCGCGAGCGAGCGGAAGCGGCGCTCGCCCTGCACAACGAGCTGCCCGTGCTCTATCCGCACCGAGACGTCTTCTTGCTTGAGGCCGGGCAGCTCGAGTGTGGCGACGATATAGGCGCCCGAGGGGTCATCGCAGAGGTCCATCCTGTGGATTGTGTCGGTGAAAAGGACGCGGAATCGATACGAGGAAAACTGACCGAGGTCGCAGTGTTCGCTCAGCATTGGGCGGGCCGGCGGGCGGTCTGGCGCGGTGGCGCAGAAGCTCGCGCACAAAGGTTCGGGCAAGGATCCTGTCAAGCGCCCGGTAGTTGCGCTCCTGGTCGTGTTCGTCCGACATCTGCTGCAATCTGGCCATCTTTGCTGAGGCGACACGGGTCATGGAGGGGAGCGGTCAGTCGGTCGTCGGAAGAAAAGAGAGGAGGTCGGTGTTGCCCCCACAAAGCTCTCGGAGCCTTATATACGGCCGATGACTCGGCGTCGGGGGCCTAGCCGGGCGTGGCGGTAAGTCAGGAAACATGGACCCATGAGTCAAATCCGCGGCAGTCATCCTCCGAACATGAGAGAGCGGGCGAGTAATGCGGTGCTTCGCGCAGCGCACGAGAGCCTCGCGGCGAATCGCAGAGGCCGCACGTGGCGAGGCGGGGCGGGCGGCGGTGAGATGCGCCGCGGACCCCTGCATAAGGCTGTGCGCGATTTTGACTGCAGCCGCGCTGCTTACTGTGGCACGAGTACTACATGGTAGTGTAACTGCACAGCACATAGTCAATCGCGGGCTGTAGACTAGACTGTGAAGGTGAGGTCGACGCAATTTGGAGGAAATTAGCTTGCGATTACCAATCTGTTTCCTCGGGCAAGAATAGCTTACTAAGCTTAGACGATAGCTTTGTCGGAGGACTAATCTCGTTTATGTCAGTCTTTCTGAGATCGAAATCAATTTGACGCGTCGATCGCATCGGGCTGCTGTGCAGGTCGCCACGCTTCGCCACGCCACCTCGACCGAACGAGACGAGGAATCAAACGTTGACCGGTGACCTCTGAACTTGATCTAAGATCTGGACTCTGAATAGGGCCTTCGGACGAAAGGCTGCACTGTGCAGATCTTGAGGTACGTGTCGGCTGCGAAGGACACCTGAGTGGAACGTTGGCGAGATTGGGTCGACCGGAAGCCTCACGGATGGGTCCAAGTATGACAGTACTATTCCACAGCGCGTTACGAAGCTAATGCACATGAGACAGGTCCAAAGCTAGCTGACTCGGACTCCTGAGGTTGTGCAATGCGGCCGGAAGCGTCGGCTGAAGAGATGGTCGGCGTGCACTGGTGGCTTTACCCGGAACCATACGCACGTCCAGGGAGCCCTTTGGTGTGCGTACGTAGTCGCGACCTGGTCGCGACTACAGTCTACAGTCTACGGTCCAGGGAGATCTATGTCGGGCGGGTCTGATCGCAACTGGGTGTCTGTGAGTCGCTATATCGCTCCTGTATTACATAATACATAACTTTGTTTTACGTCAAAGTCGTCGATAGTGGTCAGGCATATGTTCCAACTTGAACAGCCATTGCGCGCTGCAATCGTACCCACCTTGAACGCCCAAGGCGAGAACGCTGCTCCACCTTCAGGCCGGGGCTGCGGTCGGCAGTCGGACCTCTGGATTTCAGCGCGTCAAGCTTTCAAGACCTTCCGGAACGCTTGCGTCGCATCATCGACACTGCACGTAGTCCCTATTCGTTGTCCTACGCCCACATTGCCTCGAGCCCAGCCCAAATCTGTCGGACTCTCCTGCGCTCGTACCTGCCGGCTGGCCCCGGCCTTTCGAGCACCTCCCCTACAATCGCATAGTACCGACGAAACCCGGCTGCCTGTGCCGATGCAGAAGACGTACACAAGCCTTGGGACGACTTCTCTGATAGCGAGGATAGCCTGGATAGGCCGGTGATTGTACCGGATATGTTCGAGATGACTTCCGTAACGCCGCTGCCGCGTGGGTGCATACGACTCACTGTGCAAATGCAGTGGGAGACGCCGGGTTGTGGTCACTTATGCTGGTATGTAGATGCCTTGTTCGGGTTGGTACGGGAAGCTCACAACGCGATCATAGGTTGCTACTAGTTCGACTGCGCTCTTTTAGTTGTGCACGACTATCCGAAGTAAGGACTGCAACCTGTATTCATTAGCTTGGAATCTTCGCGTGATGATCACATCAGGGAACCGGCGCTTGCTGACGTTACAACAGAGTTAGTATCAAGGCTCATTGAGACCACACACATAGGTTCGATGCATACGGATCTCCCGGTAGGAGCGTGGCATGTATTTTACGGCATCACAATATATCGGGCCCGAGGGCTACAGGCTCCTGCAGCAAATTGTCCGGGTACGTCCTGTCCCAGACCTCATCCCTACCATTGCAGATCCGCTCCATCATGGCACCTTCCTTCAAATCAGAGTCTCCCGGTGGCCAAAGCATTCAAAGACCTAAGGATCTGGCGGTCGATCTGCTGATCGCGACCTTGAAAGTCACGAAGGAGGCATCTGCGGTGTTCCCTCCATTGCAGTCCGTCGCCGGCGGTCTCCTGGCGGTGGCCGACATAGTGAAGGTGCGAAGCGGTGCTGGGATTCCGTACCACTGGACGCTGATTACTGGATGTTTCTCGAAGAAAATGTCTGCCAATGCGGACGACATCAAAGAAGTGACCAAATACATCGACAGCCTGAATGCAGTGCTCGCGGCCGCCAAACCTCCTGAAGGCGCTACATATCCGAAGTCTCTGGAGAATAGGGTTGAGAAACTCAGTTGGTACGTATTGCCAATGAGCCTATGCCGAGCGATATGATGAACAAGATGCTTCAGTGAGATCGAGTCTATCAATCAAGACCTCCAGTCTCTCAAATCCCGCCCGCTGCTCTCCCGTCTGTTTTCCTCGGACGAAACCTCGGGCAAAGTCCAGGGATGTCTACGTTCTCTGTCATGGTGCATCCATAACTTCAACGTAAGGGCTACAAGTTGACTGCAAATGCTCTCTTTTGACGCTTTGCCACAGGTTCCGAGCAGTATTGCCATTGAGATGGCCGTTGACGTTCGTACTTTCAATACACGCTCGTACGCACTGCAGTGACACTTCTCTAGTCATTACACACTACAGTTCGGACTGGCTTTCATCATGTGCATGAACACCTCGATGCCTTACCAGCCCAATTTCGCGAAGAGGGTCAAGCGATGAACGACCACATCGGGAAGGTATGTATCGCTATGCCCTATGTTGAATCTTTTGATACTCACAGCAATGCTCAGGCCGATGGAGAATGTACGAAGCAGTATTACTCTCGACATGCACAGCAGTATCCACTCATACATTCTACTGTTAGACAACGTTCCTCGGCACGCGGCGTCGGCACCTTTTGACGCGCAGAGTAGCCGTGTTATATGCGAGAAGGACACCCGGCTGGAGACTCTGGATACTATCTGGAGCTGGATGAAACAGAAGTCGAAGGATCCGTCCTCTCCTCATGCTCCCGATGCTCCTGATGTCAAGGCCAGCCGCGTGTTCTGGCTCAGTGGTCTTGCAGGCGCTGGGAAATCAACCCTCGCACAGACCATCGCCAAACGATGCGACGAGGCTCAGTTTCTAGGTGCAAGCTTCTTCTGTTCCCGAGACTCGCACGAATGTAGCAATATCCAGCTCATCTTCCCCACAATTGCCTATCAACTCTCTAAACGCAACACTCGCTTTCGGGACGCGGTCTCGGCTGTCTTGCAGATAGATCAAGATATTCACGAGTCATCACCGTCTCGCCAGCTCCAACAATTGATCGTCGGGCCTCTGAGGATCGCCCGGGAGGAGGGCAGCTTCCCAGAGTATGCTGTTGTCATCGACGCTCTCGACGAATGCAGGGACGACGACGCGACGTCAGTAATCCTTCGCGCACTCTCCCACTATGTCGACTCTCTGGAGCCTCTGAAGTTCCTGATAACGAGCCGGCCGATACCAAGGGTCCATGGCGGATTCCGCCTCCCTGGTCTTGTCAATAATACTAAGCACCTCGCCCTCGAAACGGACATCCCTGCAGAAACTGTGCGGCGCGATATTCAACAATTCCTACGAGTGCAGCTTGCGGAAGTGCGTCAGGTCTACAGCATCAGAACGGAATCATGGCCTTATGCTGGGGATATATCTCTGCTGGCTGAGCGCTCCAGTACCCTGTTCATATTCGCCGCAACCGCCGTCAAATTCGTGAAGGACGATCGCATCTGTAATCCCGAGAGACAGCTCATGAGGTTGTTGGATTCGGAACCCATCTTAGACTCTTTCATCTCTCCTCATCGCTCCCTCGATCTTCTCTACCTTCAGGTTCTCCAGAACGCTTTCCCGAAGATGCATGGGACACTCAAAGCGCATTTCAAACTCGTCGTGGGATCCATCGTGCTCATCCGCGATCGACTTTCTCCCTCCGCGTTGGAGGATCTGCTCAATCAACAGAGTAACACGGTTAAGAGGGCCCTTCGGCCACTCCAGTCGCTCATTACGGTTCTGGAGCGCAGTGAAGGCGAGGTCATCCGTCTCATCCATCCATCCTTCCACGACTTCCTTGTGGATCGCAGCCGCTGCACTGATGACGACTTCTTCGTCAATCCCAAATTGCAGCATACCGTTCTAGCCAAGTGCTGCCTTAGCACGTTGAAGGACCTGAGACGGGATATGTGCGCCATTGGTGATCCATCAGTGCTCAACGGGGAAGTGGTTGGATTGCACGAACGGATATCACGCGGTATTCCCGCATCCCTCCAATACGCTTGTCGTCACTGGGCTTTCCACGTCTCCCACGCAGACATAGACGACGAGACCGTCCAGCTCCTGTCGTTGTTTTGCCTACCTGAGCACATGCTCAGGTGGCTGGAGGTGCTGAGTCTCTTGGGTGAGCTCGGCGGGGCCATCAACGCTCTGCACTCGGCTCGGCTCGCCCTTGAGGTGAGTTTGACTGGCCGTAAGCCATGCGAGGTCGGTAACACTAATATCTTCGCTTCTGTCAGGTCCTCCCTGCTCCTGTGTCCGACATTCTCATCTTGCTGGACGACTGTGGACGACTGGTTCGAGAGTTCTACCCCAGTCTCAGTGCTTGTGCTTCTCAGGCCTACTCCGGCGTCATATCATTTTGTCCTACCGCAACCCGTTTTCGGGAGCTGTACATGGCAAGCAACATGGAGGACGGCCCCAGGCTTGTGAGCGGTATGCAGCGCTCTTGGAGCCCTTGCCTCTCCATCATGGAAGGTCACTCCAACGTGGTCACCTCGGTAGCCTTCTCACCTACCGGAGAGACAGTCGTGTCTGGTTCGTGGGATCATACCATACGCCTATGGGATGTGGAGACCGGCTCGCACCTTCATACTTTTCACGGGCATTCAAACCATGTCATGGCGGTCGTGTTCTCTCCCAATGGCCAGGAGATAGCGTCGGGATCACTCGATAGGACAGTCAAAGTCTGGGATAGTGTCACCGGTGCTTGCCTACACACTCTGATCCACCCTGGTGACAGCTCGGTGAAAACCGTGACTTATTCTCCTGATGGCCGCTGGCTTGCATCGGGCAGATATGATGGTACCATCATTCTCTGGGACTCCAACGCTGATTCCACCACGCAGTTTGGAATGCGTGGCGAGCAATTTGCCGTATATTCAATCGCTTTCACTCATTCAAGCTCCTTCATGGTATCCGCTTCAGCCGACGGCGGTTGCAAAGTCTGGGACCACCAACACTCCCTGCCGATACGGACATATGGCCGCAAAGTCCCAGCGACGTCGGTTGCTATTCCTGGCGATGACCAGACGGTCGCATGTGGCTACAACGATGGGAGGATTGTTCTGCTGGACTTCACTACCCTTACATGCCTCGGGGAACTGAAGAATCATCACACGGGCATCGAATCGTTGGCATTCTCTCCCGACAACCAGATCTTAGCATCTGCTTCCTGGTACTCCCATAACACCGACCTGTGGTCCACGGCGAATGGGAAACAAATTGGCTCCTTGGTCGGACATGCTGCCGATGCTCTCTGCGTGAGATTCTCTCCCAGTGGAGATAGGATCTGTTCAGGTAGTTACGATGGTTCAGTTCGTATATGGCAGTGGAGGTTAGCTCTTCATCTACCCACGAAGCCTCCCACGCCTCTCTTGCGGGCTCTCCTCCTCCTTGGGCCGTTTGTACCGCGCTCTCTGCATCTTAGGCCGTCCCGTGACACAAACACGGAGGCATACACAAGACAGTATGCAGTGCCCGGATATCTTCATGTCGCTTTGATTCTCGGTATGGCGTTCTCTCCCGATGGGTCACTGCTTGCAACTTCATCTTTGAATGGAACGCTCCACTTGTGGAACACCGCAACTGGCGAAAAGCTTCAAACGTTCATTGGTCACAGGGGTCTCGTCATATGCGTAGCATTTTCCCCTGCCGGGACTACGGTGGCATCAGCTGGTCACGACGACAACACAGTGCGGATCTGGGACGTGAAGAAGGGTCAATGCCAGAAGGTCCTTGAAGGTCATACCGACGCAGTCACGGGAGTCGTGTTCTCGAATGCCAGAAATAGCCTATTCTCCTGTTCTAGGGACGGAACGCTGCGTTTCTGGGAGTTCACATCGAAATCGGCCTCTAAGTCTACCACAGTCGCAACCATAGTTCATCGCGTCCATGGCCCAATCTTCGCTATGGCCCTGTCCCCGGACAAGACGCAAGCGGTCATATCCAACGTCGACCATGTACCGTCGGATCCCCATGCATATAGCTGTGCATTAACATTCATAGATGTGCAGACACGCACCGTGTTGGGGACGCGCCTTCTCGACTCCCGCCGTGTGGCATCTTTAGCATTCTCCCGTGATGGAACGAGAGTCGCATCCGGCAGGAACGACGGAACTATAGCTCTCTGGGACATCACAAAGGCCTCAGCCATAGGAACACAGGAGCAAGCCGATGAAGCCCTCCTGCACGTGTTTAAGACCGGCACCTCCATGGAGCAGTTATGGTTCTCCCCCGACCAAACAGCCATACTATCCAACTCGAGTTACAACGCTATTCCTGCACAGCATCAACCTGCGAATCGTGTGATCGACCTTCGTCCTTCCTCTCCACACTTTTACCTTTGCGACGGGTGGATTTGGAGCGCAGCGCCGGAACGCAAGAGGATATGCTGGGTGCCGATGGGCTATCGCCATAGCCAGTCGCAAGCCTATGGCCGTGGCACCATGCGCGTGTTTGGTACCATGATTGCGTTCGGGACGGAGAGCGGCAAAGTCGTCATCATTGACCTTTCGAGATGCGTCTGAAAATAGCTGGATATTCAAACATGGCCCAGGAAGTCGCGACTAGTGTTCAGCATACGGCGCAGGTAGCAAGCATACATTGTCGCAGCGCCAACTCTGCGCAGTGCGATAGATTCGATTCGGATAATTCAACACTAAACGGCGGTATCTGTGTGTGACAATACGATGTTCATCAGGTATCGTCGGAATGTGTCTCAACGCGTACTCACCATACACGCGACCCCGCAAAGCCAATGCGGTCTACCGAGGTCACAGTCTGCTCCCTTCGAGTCATTCCTCCCGCTCGATCGCCTTCTTGATCGTCTCCTGTTCGTTCGCCCACACCGGCCGCGCGATCCTGAACCCCTCGCCGACGCGCGAGTACGAGATGTCGCCCATGCGCCCGACGGGCTTCAACTTTGCGGGATCGACGTTCCCGCGCTCGTTCAATATGTCCTTGCGCACGTGGATGTACTTGACGTGCCCGAGAATCAGCGTCGTCGTGTGTGCGCCACTTTCCGGATCCGCGACGTCGATCGTTTGGAAGAGCTATGAAGGATGCTTGAGGGAGATCTTGGTAATATGAGATGAAGACGACGTTACCTCGCATTCCATGCTGAACGCGCTCTCCTTCACGCGCGGGGGCTTTACGTGGATCTGTGCGAAGATCTGGTGAGGAGATTGAATCCCGCACACGCGACGAGACATACACTCTTCTCCTTGGTCAACCCGCTGATTGGCCACTCGCTCACGCCCTCGGGTGCATCTACCGAGGTGACGTTCGCGGCCTCGACGAAGGGTTCACTGATAATGTTCACAGTGAAGGCCTTGGTGGCCTTGATATTGCCCGCCGTGTCCTTGAGACGCTGCGGACCATCGCTGCAGGAGATAGAAACGAGGGGCGGATAATGCGAGACCTTATAAGTCACTCTAGATCAGGAAGATCCCACGAGAATTGATAGGGAGAAGCGCACCATGTTAAACCAGCTGTGCATTCGTGTGAGCTCTCATCGTCATGACGAACATGGATTAAGCATACCTGAACGGTGCGAGATTCTCGACCCCGCTCTCTGACACCGTCGAGACGAATGCGATCGGACGAGGGACAATCCCGCTTATCATGAGCTGGTACAGCTTTCTGCGCACGAGGCCATACAGGTGAGCAAAAGCCGTTCTAAGTTATTGACAGTGAACTCACAGCTTGTCCTCCGTTGCGGTGTCCACCACCTTCCATCCATCCTTCTCTCCCTCCAGCCACGCCTTCCCCACAGGCGTATCCGCCACCTTCGTACCATAAGTCCATTGCGGGTTGGGCGAAAGCGTGCTCCGGTACTCGAATGAGCTGTTGAATGGTGGGATATCGGCGGCCATGTCTGCGGTGTCGACTATACAGATTCAAGCAGGCTTTATAAGGCGCGTATCCCGACCTTGTGAGCGTCTGCTCAGTGAGCGCGTCTGCACTATATGCAGACCGAGACAGGGCAACTTGAAGGATCCGAGGAGCGCGATTGGCGGGTACGGGCGGCGATGCCTGATGGTCCGCGATAGTGCGGCTGGCATCATGGTTGTCTTACTTAGACAATCCCTTCACAGCCGGAGTTGGAGCATCCCTAGACTGAATCTCGCTCAGCAGCGCCCAGAGATACCAGGTTCTGCCTCGGAATGCGAGGACACGACACCGAGGACGTGCAGCCAGTATCGCAATTGGACCAGAATCACTCGAGCTAGTCACGGCACTCACAATGTACGAAATGGCCTCAACACTAACTTGCCAGGCGTGCTACTCAAGCGAGCAGGTACCAAGGAACGAAGCTGTTACCAGTGCGAGGATATTGCGGAGGATGAGCGTGACGCGTCACGGGCTGTGACTCCAGACCAGATGTGACTTCAGCCACTCAGGGTCATTTGGCCGCGCTGCGCCAGCCTGTTCGAGTCAATCCTTGGAAATCATGCACTCAGTTCCGAACTATTCAGACAGACTACATATGGTCGGGTTCCCAACTGTGCAGTGAAGGTAAAAGCCACGCTGTTAAAGACTACAGCCGTGCTGGGTATGCCGCAGACATGCCAGTGCATGATGCAGTACAGGACTTGCCCATAGTACTATGTAAGTACTAAAGGACGCGCCGCGCACCTTCCCAAATCATCACTGGCAGAGTGTAGTACCGTAGTCTCGCTTTCTATCCTTACTCGAGCCCCGTCTGGACTACATAAGCGCGATCCTACTGTCATACTGTGTCTCTTACCTTGGTGTGACTCCGAGTCTCCCATATTACTGTTCTCAGCCGAACATCGCTCAAGCGCCCGCACGAACGCCCTCAGCAGCTCCATAACAAGGTTAGGTGCCTCTCTGGCGGGGACCCCTTGACGGCATTCGATGTGAGGCGAGAATATATACAGAGTCGGTAGTCTCAGTACTTTCCAGAGTAGTATTCACATCAGTGCCGTCTGACCACCGTGACGGCGACCGACTTCAGGCTGTCAAGTTCATGAACGACCGTCCTCGCCGTGCGCGCGATGTTCGTGAAGTTACAGTCTTCCTAGCTGTCTACGGAATTTAAAAGCACTGTTTTCCTCCCTGAAGGCCTGACCACTCCAGCATTGACGACTAACGTCAATTTACCTCGATAGGACCATATATGGGCGTTATGGGCCCTGTATCCTTTTCGGGACGGCAAAATTACCAAAGGCGGTCATGTGTAATACCCCCATAATGATACACTCTCAGCTCGAGCGTTACTATACGCTCCGAGTCACCAGGATCGATTGCTTGCATGCTTCGTGTGCTGACTCGCTTTCAGCACCTACAATCGCGGCGTATATCTTCGCTTCGGGTTCCGACTTGTCAGGCCTCCAAACTTCGCTTGCATTCGACCATGGCGCAGCCAGTCGCGTCTACCTCGCAGCCTGCGCAACTGCCCGCCCTAGAAGGGCCTCATCTGGGCCAAAATGAGGGCAAGAAACCTAAAGACAAGAAGGAGAAAGCAGCGGCAGCGGGTGGGCAGCCATTGGAGGTACGTGTGCCCTATGCATCGCGTAGACATGTCGCTCACCTCGCACAGCTGAACCCGCGGCCAGCGTACTTCGATCACCGCATAAAGATGTTCGACCAGTTGAAGTCGGAACATGATGAGTGGGTCAAAGGTGCGCCCATGTCTCGAGAAATTGTCGAACCACCGTTTCACGCTTCGAGACAGCACAAGCGCGTCAAGAAATCGAGATCACAATGCCCGACGGCTCGAAGCGTAAGGGCACGAGTTGGGAAACGAGCCCCATGGACATCGCGAAGGAGATTTCTAAAGGTCTCGCGGATCGCGTCGTGATTGCGAAGGTTCCGACCGTCTCTCCTCCGCCGGGCGCGCTCGTGCTGAACTGCATTAGGTGAACGGCGACGTGTGGGATCTGGAGCGGCCGCTGGAGGGCTCGTGCACGCTCGAGTTGCTCGACTTCGAGCACCCGGAAGGTGCGTGGTACTCCAATCATTGTGGTAAGACCACCAGTGACGATTAGACGCAGGCAAACGCGTCTTCTGGCACTCGTCTGCGCACGTCCTGGGCGAGGCGGCAGAGCGTCACTACGGCTGCCACCTGTGCATCGGCCCCCCGACGGACGATGGCTTCTTCTATGAGATGGCGATGGAAGACAGGTATGAGCTCGCACAAATGTGATATGATCCCCACTGACTGGTTATTCAGGGCTGTGCAGAACTCGGACTACCCTGCGCTAGAGAAACTGTCAGACATGGCCGTGAAGGAGAAGCAGAAGTTTGAGCGGATCCTAGTCTCGAAGGAGAAGCTGCTAGAGATGTTCGGGGTAACTTCTATCTATTTGATTGTCTGTTTGACGTATTCATGCCGTTCGGGCAGTACAACAAATACAAGAAGCATCTCATCGAGACGAAGATCCCCGACGGCGGAGCGACGACGGTGTACCGCTGCGGACCGATGATCGATCTCTGCGTGGGCCCTCACATCCCACACACGGGCAAGATCAAGGCGTTCATGGTGACCAAGGTGAGTGCGCTATGGAGACGCAGGCACGGCTATTGACATTTCTCTGTATAGAACTCGGCATCGTACTTCCTCGGTGACCCGAACAATGACTCGCTGCAGCGGGTCTACGGAATCTCGTTCCCGGACAAGAAGCAGATGGCCGAGTACAAGGTGTTCCTCGCCGAGGCCGCGCGGAGAGACCACCGCAAGATTGGCAAGGAGCAGGAGCTGTTCTTCTTCAACGACCTGAGCCCGGGCAGCAGCTTCTTTTTGCCCCACGGCACGCGCATCTACAACACGCTCTTGGAGCTCATGCGAGTACGTCGCCTCTGTCCCTGTGTTCACACCACCGGTACTGAGCGTGCCTGCAGTCCGAATACTTCAAGCGCGGCTACCAGGAGGTCATCTCGCCGAACATGTACAACTCAAAGTTGTGGGAGACGTCCGGCCACTGGCAAAACTACAAGGATGACATGTTTACATTGTCCGTGGAGAAGGAGCAGTGGGCGCTGAAGCCGATGAACTGCCCCGGGCACTGTCTCATCTTCGACAGCCGCGACCGGAGCTACAAGGAGTTGCCGATCCGCATGGCGGAGTTCGGTATCATCCACCGTAACGAAGCGAGCGGTGCCCTGAGTGGCCTGACCCGTGTGCGGAGGTTCGTGCAGGATGATACACACATCTTCTGCATGCCTTCTCAGGTGAGTGGCCGCGCGATGCGCATGCGTGTCGAACAACTCACGTATGTGCGCAGATCGAAGACGAGATTGGACTGCTCTTCGATTTCCTGCAGCATATTTACGGCCTATTTGGCTTCGAGTTCAAGCTTGAGCTCTCCACTCGCCCCGAGAACTACCTCGGAACGATCGAGACGTGGAACGAGGCTGAGGCGGTATGTCTCTCTTAGCCTGTAGCTGTTCCGGCACTCATCCTGGTTTCCGCCCAATAGCAATTGAAGCGAGCCCTCGACAAGCAGTACCCCGGCAAGTGGGACATCAACCCGGGCGACGGCGCGTTCTACGGACCGAAGATCGACATCACGATCAGCGACGCGCTCCGGCGGTCGTTCCAATGCGCGACAATCCAGCTTGACTTCCAGCTCCCCGAACGCTTCAACCTGAAGTACCGTTCCGCGGACGACGCCTCGGGCGACAAGCCCCCCAGTCGGCCTGTCATCATTCACCGAGCGATCTTGGGCAGTCTGGAGCGGTTCATCGCTATCATCACCGAACATTTTGCTGGGAAGTGGTGAGTACAGGACGGTTCAGGCTCTCGTTTGTCACTGATGGGCATCGGTAGGCCATTTTGGTTGTCACCCCGGCAAGTATTGGTCGTGCCGGTCGCGAATCCCTTCGTGAGTTCACCCGAATATCGTCGCATCTCATTCGCTGACCATCCGTGCAGAAAGACTACGCTGCTGAGATCGCGCAGAAGCTCAACGACCTAGGCGTCTTCGCCGACGTCGACAACGGTGATAACACTTTGCCCAAGAAAATCCGCAACGGCGAGATTGCACAGTACAACTTCATCCTTGGTGGGTAAATCAAGCGCAGCTCCTATTGCCGCCGTCCTCACGAGTCTCCGTCTAGTCGTTGGACAGGCCGAGCTCGAAACGCGCTCCGTGAACGTCCGCAACCGGGACAACGTTGGGACGAAAGGCAGGGATGAGACCGTTCCGTTGGACGATATCATTCAAAAGCTCGTCACGCTGAAGACGAGCAGGAGTTTGGAGAATAAGCTTGTTTGAGGCGCAGGTAGAGGACGTTGTGTTGCTGGCTGTCCCTGCTTTGAGTGAAAGACGACGCTGCTGTATTCATGACGATAGAGAATGAAGAATGCTGAGATACAGAATATGTACAATGAAACCTCGGTGTGAATCCGACAAAGCTTTTGGCGGCATCGCTCAGACAGCGATGCCAAATTGCTTTCTCTGTAGAAGATGCCGGGCCCACGACTGAGTAAGGTGGTGGAGACTACATGACAGTAGCACGTACGAGCTGTTGGATCTGTTCGCGCTCGGCGGGCGGGAGCGAGTTGATCTGATCTTGCGTCAAACTCAGTACTTGCATCAACATGTCCTGTCAATCAAGGCCGGTACGTAAGCGGCTGCGACCTGCTAGTCATGAGTATGTGCTGCAGACGTACCCTCTGAGCTGGGTCGAGAGCGGGAGCAGCCGCCTGGTTGGCCGGTGGCTGCGCAGGGTGCGCCTGCGAGACCGGCGGGGGCATGCTCGGCGGGGGTGGCGGGCGGTAGTACGGCGGGGCCTGGGCCTGGGTGTGCGAGAGGTGCGCGCTGGGGGGCGGGAACATCGACGGCGGCGGGATCGGCGGGGTCGGATGGTGTACGGGCGTGTGCGTCTGCGGGATGTTCTGTGCGAGATGCGGCGGGAATGACGGGTGCGACGGGAGGGGGCCCTGCGAGTAGGAGGCAGACAGTGGGGGAGGGTGTTGGGGCTGTGGCTGGTGCTGGGGGGTGGGCTGGTGCATTGGTGGTGGTGCGACTGGGGCGGGAGCTTTGGCTTGTGAAGGCGTGGCGGAGTTGGTTGCTTGGAGCATGCGCTGCGGGGATGCGTTAGGAGTCGATGTATGCGGGTGTGCATCAACGTACCTGTAGGATGGCAGGGTCTACGATGTTGTTCAACAGGAGTGCCTGGAACAGCGCATAGCCGAATTGAGGGTGAGCCACGAGGAGTGCTCGGGCCTGATCTGGGTGTGTTATGACGAAGGCCTGCATCATCGATGTTGAGTCTATCTGCCCAGAGGATGCGTAGAGCGGTACTTACCTTCATCTGCGCGAGCACCTCTATAATTTGCGCCGGGTTCGTCGTCGCGAGCATCTGACTTATCGTGTCGAGCGCAGTCGATCCAGGCTGGATGGGTACTCCCTGGGGCAGGTTTTGGAGGAAAGCGTTCGGGTCTCGGTCTCGGTCGCGGTCGTTGCGTTCGCGCCATTGCGCGCGCGTCTCGCCGCCATCGAGCAGCTCACCACGCACGGTCGTCTTGCCTTCGAGGAAGGGGTCCGAATCCGCGAGGTCGATGCGGAGTGGTCGCCCACCGAGGTCGTGTCCGTTTAGATTGCGCACGGCGGATTCTGCTGTTTCGTGATCTGTGCAGTTGTGACATGGTGGGATGGAGCGGAGTATGGCGGTGTGTTCATTGCAACCAGTTTAGGCACGCGCGGATTTTTACGAACAGACAACGGAATAAGACAGGCGGCGGTGACGATGGAGCGTTGCGTTGATTACCGCACAGCGGTGGCGTTGATGCGAAAATGAGCCGTTGGTGCACACGAAGCCACAAGTTGAAGTGACGCCACACCATGTTGGACACAAGGAATGCCGGTTCGATCGCGTGTACCATGCAGATTGTAGTTTTGTAGACACAGGGAGAACATGTTGCAGTTGAAGTCAGACATGTGGGCGACACATTAATATGCGGGGAATGATGCTGTACCCGAAAATTCACAAAACCCATAGCCTCTCGGCTTGCCAGTGTCTCTGTCGTAGACCAACCTGCAGGACAAGACACAATCAGCTGCAATTCAAGGTATATGCACGACACCACAAGCATCCTGTTCTCTCCGTAACGATGGCTAGCCCACCGATACATGGAACGGTCTTGTGTGGCGGACTACCCACCACGGAGAACCTGAATGCTCCAGCTGTCATGGACGCACAAAAACACTACCTGAATCCAACGACACTGCCGACTGTTTTGAAGACGTCGATAAGTTGCTCCTGCAGTAACACTGTGTCAGTCGCGAGTAACAGTGAACCACAGGACGTGTCACACACCTCTCCTATGGTGTAAGGGATATTGCCGACTTCATGACGGCAGCTGTTAAGTCCGCGTACCACTGTGGGCGATGACCGTTTGTACTCACCAAATACCACTTTACTCATGCTGATTCACGCTACCTTTAACCTTGCGACCTGGGAATGAATAGAGGAGGAGGAGGATATATCCATTCAGCCACGCAGCCAGTTTGCAGCCAGTTGTCTAATGCTCATTGCCAACACGTGACGTATGTACCTCTCCGCGGTCGCGGCAGGGTCGCGGCAGCAGGGCCTCTTCGTCCGGACCAAGTCCTGACTCTCTTCGACTAACTTCTGAGTCTGCTGTCGTGGCTGTCGTGCGTACTGGAGACATGGGCAACGTTCAGTCCCTGACGCGAACCATCGGCGCACTCGACTCGTATGTGGCTGAGCTCGGAGGAGACATCATCTATGAGCGGAGGTAGTACTTGCTCCTTGCATCCGTGCGCGTAGACTGTAAGTGAATCCTTAAATTCCGGTATGGGCTCTGCCCGTTTCCTCAAGACGGTAGGGCGGACACAGAAATGGCTACTTGGTCGTCAAGATCTTTGTCAAGCCGGATCCTGGGCTGAGTCTCCGAGAGTACCACAGACGACTGAAGGGTGGATACGCGAACATTGGCCCTCCACTGAAGTATGAACAATGTTGCAGTTGAGCGCGAAGCACTAGCGGAACTTGTCAACGTCTACAACTACCAGGCGTTCGTGGAGACATGGAGGGATACATTGGCCAACAATGGATTGCGAGCAGCCTCTACGACCGCATCAGGTGCGTGTGCTCTCGAATGAGACGAAGTCTGCATGCTCATACTTCTGCAGTACACGCCCCTTCCTCAGCCTGGTGGACAAGAAGTGGATCGCCTTTCAGCTGCCACGCGCCCTTCGCGACGCACGGAATCGCAAGATCCCTCACGGCGACATCAAGTCCGAGAACATTCTCGTGACCTCCTGGAACTGAGTTTACCTCACCAACTTTGCGTCTTACAAGCCGACCTACCTGCCGCTGGACGATCCGTCCGACTTCTCCTTCTCCTTTTCGACACGAGCGGCCGGCGCATGTTACGTCGCGCCCGAGCGGTTCTACACGGCGGCGGAGAACCCGGCGATCAGCGCGAAGAAAAGCAGACTGGCTATGGAGGACGGCGAGGGCAGGAGGGATGGCAGGGTTACAGAAGCAATGGACTGCTTCAGCGCTGGATGTGTCATTGCGGAACTCTTCCTTGAAGGTCCGCCATTGTTCACGCTCAGTCAGCTATTCAAATACCGTGAGGGAGAGATGAGTGTCGAGTCACAGTTGAGTGCCATAGGGGACGAGCCTGTGAAGGTACGAGGACTAATCGCGTTTGGGACGTATGCACTAAGTAATAGGCCTGCAGAATCTCATCAAGCAGATGACTGCGGTCGACCCCGTGGTCAGGCCGTCTTTCGACACACTGCTACACACCTCCCGCGGATCCGTGTTCCTGGAGTCGTTCTATCGTTCTTCCACACCTACCTCTCGTCCATCAACGCGCTCTCCGGAGCTTCTCCATTCGCGTCAAATGCCACGCCTACTGTACGCCCACCGCTGTAGGCACCACGGTGAAGAGCCCCCAGGCCGTTGCACCGTCCCGGGACGTCTACCGGATATGTCTTGAACAAGCCCCTGCGACTCCGGTCGGCGGATGGAGAGTTGGAGCAATTTAAAGAGCGTCGAGCCCTTCTTGGTGGTTGACTCGGCGCAAGAAGAGACCGTCATGGATCGCAAGCGTGCGTGGGTTGTCTGCAGCACGGGTCCTGTCGCTCTGGGACATCCGGTTCGGCATCCTCATCAAGAGCTGGAAAGTCGGCGCGGAGTCGAAGAGCAGGCAAGCGCGGATATACTAATGTGTCGTCCACCCGACGAAAGGCAAGGGCAAGTGGGTCATAGTGGCGGTGGAGGCGCCGAAAGCCCCGAAGAGCCAAGTCATCCTGGAGGTCTGGGATATCGAGCAGTCGGCTCTCGTGGAGCCATTCGTTACCAGGACAGTCTCAAACGCAGCGGAGGAACTGCAAGACCCTCGGCAGTCGACTCAGAAGAGGCGGAGACGAGTCCGGCAGCAGCGATAGCGGCTCTCGTGCGCCAGGAGAGCGGTGGCTCGCTCGAGTCCTTTGCGCACCGCGGCTCGTCCGGCGCGACCGGTTTGCCCGATTCCCTGGACGTCGTGTCCCCGGACGTCCGTGCGATCGTGGTCGGCACCCAATATCGGTGGACATGCGCCGGCGCGCGCCACCATGGCGGACCAGGACGTCCGGACGAGCCGTACTACGGGCGGGCGAGGGTTCTTGTTGAGCGGCTCGGAAGATCGAAGGATACGATATTGGGACCTTTCACGCGTGGATCGGTCGGAGGTGCTCACGGGTATGGACGCGGATACCGACAAACCAACCTACAGGTGGGTTGTCGTGTTCTGTCTATTTCAATGGCCTAATCGGGTTTCTTCCCCAGCAGCGTCGCCGCCACCTCCGATTCAGCACCCTCGCGGCTCCTAGAGAGCTGGGTATCCTCACTGTCAGCCAGCCACTGTATCAACCGGCCTCCCCAGCGGCTCTCGCTGATCAGCCATAACCAGCATATTCTATTTAGGGGGCACCAGGACACCGTGACGGCGCTTGCGTGTATTGACTTGCCGTTCCGAGGGGCATTGTGAGCGGCGATCGCTCGGGGGCGATCAAGGTGTGGAGGGTCGAGGGGCTTGATTTGTCGTGGTCAGTGCTGTATCGGTAGATGGTTTTCGTTTCTTGTTTATGTATTCGTTGGATTGCTCCTCAAATGCGATTGGGGCTGCTCAAATGAGGCCCGTGCGGTGCAAGCCACCGTCGCAACTACGATGTCGGTTCACAGCTCAGTCATTTGTGAGTCTCTCCGACTCATCGACCCTGCCTGTTGATCATACTACTGGTGGCATAATGTATTGACAAGTGATACATGGGCGTTACATGGTGACTCGCTAGGAACCTCGCCACGTACAGTGACTTTGCGTACGCACTTGCCTCAGGCTCAAACAACATTATTTCTGTTGCACGTTCCGTACTCTGAGGCGACATACGCGGCGAGTCATCCTTTTCAAATGTGCCTCATCTGAGTCGGAACTTTGTACTAAGCCTGCTTTCGAGGGAACGCTGATTCTCATCGGTCCGAGGCATCGAAACTACCGTGATGGGGTTTGGGAATACACTCTCGCAAGCCCTCAAACATCTTCCGCCCGAAGTCTCACCGATCCTGGCCATGCTGCCTCGATAGGGTGCCGATGTGCCCTTCGAGCACTCAGCAGAAGCTCAAAAGGTCTGGATACGCGCCTTATGAACCTGCTTGAATATGACCAGTCGACTTCGCAGACATAGCCGCCGATACTCCACCGTTCAACGGCTCCTTCGAGTACCGGAACACGCTTTCGCCCAACCCACTATGGGCCTATGGTCACAAGGTGGCGGGTACGCTGGTGCGGAAGGCGTGGCTAGAGGGGGAGAAGGATGGATGGAAGGTGTTGGACACCGCAAGCGGTGAGTACTTGAGTACTGTTCCGAGTGGCAGGCAAGCGATCGTTAACAGATCGGGAAGGAATATTACCGAATAAAGACTGTACCGTATGGGACACCCGCCCGGGTGGCGACGTCCGTTGGTTCCCCTTCCGGGCGCGGAGCTAACAGGCTATGGTACTCACGCGTCGGCGAGGGGTTGAGTTACTTGAGTATCGCCCGGCCGATGTGGGCGAACGAGCAGGAGACGGTTAAGAAGGCGATGGAGACGCGTGAGGATTGATCAAAAGGAAGATGCAGATCTAGGGAATGACGGCAACAGTAAATTGTTGTGTACGGTATAAGCAGCTTCGGAATCGTCGTGGGATCTGTGCCGCATGACATACTCAGGGTCGTCGACAACTGCGTTCGAGTTCTCGATCTTCCCTCGGGGTATACTATCGAAATCCAGAGCCACTGGGGGACACGCCATTGTGAGCGGTGTTCGGTTCCTGCGCTGGCGTTACATCTCCACAGCGAAGCGACGTACCGTGCGTGTTAATACCTATTCGTACGAAACGCGGCTGCTCAGTAATAGTTCAGCTCGAAGTCCTCCGGACTTGGGGATGTATCAACAATCCCGTCCCACTCGACATTCTCCACGGCCTTCTCCAGCGTCCTGATGTCGGGCATGTCCACGCACTTGGATCGCCTGATCACCAGCGTGCCAAACGTCGCGATCTCCCGCGCCCGAATGTCGAGGCTCTGCACCAGCTGCTCCGTGAAGTCGCCCGGCTGCCCTCGCTGGAAGGTCTCCGCGACGCCGAAGCTCACGCGCTCGACCTCCGCCCGACGCAGGTTGGGCAGGCTCAGCCGGTTGCTGTCGTCCCACGCCCGCGCCTTCAGCATATCGGGGAGCCGGTAGGCTGCGAGACCGGACATGCTGAGGACCGTCAGGCTGTTCAGGTGGACGAAGAGCTGCAGCCATTCTTTCGTCTGGTCCTCGTCGTACATGGGCGGGATGATACCCGCGACGTGCAGGTGACGCACGTGGGCGACCCCGAGACGGAGGCAGAACGCGATGGCACACTGGGTGTGCGATTCGGCTGCAAATGTCTGTGGATCGCTTCGGAAGGTGATGACGAGAGGGAAGGGGACGCCGTCCGCGGGTGGTCCGTCGTTCGTAGAGACGCGGACGTGGAAGTGGGACTCGGAGAAGTCCTCGTCGAACAACAGCGTGCGCGGGCGCTGCATCTGCGGCAGCCTGTCTTTGATGAGCATCACGAGGTCGGCCAGGCCTCTTTTCGATGTGCATCGCAGAACGAGGGATATCGACGGCGGGAACGTGAGATGGCTGAGCATGTACGCACAGTCGATGGTCTCCCCCACCAAGCGCAAGTTCTCCAGGTAAGCCATCCTGACGACGGCCTGCGAGGCTGGCACCGAACTGACATTCTTCGGGAGCATAGGAAGGATGTCTTCGAGATCTAGACACTTCAAGAGTCGTAGATGTGTTAGAGTGACCGTGACATCGGGCATATGTGGGCGGTCGACGCCCGTTCCGACCAGCGTGAGATGAGAGAGGGACGTGAACGAGAGAGGAGTATTCCAGGGGAAAGGACAGCCCAGGAGGTTCAGCCGTTCCAAGCGGCCGACAAAGGGGCGCGTCAAGACTTGCAGAGCAGGGTAGATGGGCGGTGTACCTGGAGGCCTGGGTGCTCTGTAGTACACCGCCTTCACAGTGAGGAAGCGGAGAAGCGGAGCAGGTCTGTCTAGGCCGTTCAAGACCTCAAAGGCGTCTGTCGTAACACCGATGACCGCCTCTTCGACGCGCGCGAGCTCTTCTAGAAACAACCGAGCCGCCTGGTCCATGCCATCGGCTAGGTTCACCATGGCGAACTGCACGCGAAGGGGTGCCTGCTGAGATCGCGCGAGCACCTCCCTCATCCAGCTCATCGACCGCGTCACGGTGATGTCGCTCCAGAGCCTGGAGCTGCTGAGGGCGACGGTGCGCCAGTGCGAACAGACTTGGCAAACGTTGATCCACTCGTAGCGATGGATGGTGCGCCATTCCAGTTCGTCGTTGCGGTATAGGAGGTTGAGCTGAAAGAATATTTCTGCGAGGATCTCGTCCGGAAGTGTGGATATCGTTGCAAGAGTGTTCCACCGCGACTTGAGGCCACGGATAGCTTCGCTGTGCACCAGCATTTCCTTCCACAGCTCTTCGTGGCGAGGAGACGCTTCGGCGGGCAGCCTTGGAATAGAGATCACTGTGTCATCTCCGGTGTCCTGTAGCCTGGAGGAACATGAGTGAGTACGATGATGTTCTGTGTAAATCCCATACGTCTTACGGATGTGACGTCTCCGGGCCAAGAGTCATTTCTACTCGTGGAGTCAATATACGGAGGGATATGATATCTGTACGCGATGGCTCGTTGAGGTGCCTAGCAGACAAGGGGTGAAGTCAATACGAATTACACTGCGGCAAGAAGCTCAGCTCACGTTAGCCCTTTCCGAACGCTTGATACAATAGCTCCACCGAGCCAAAGGTATCCTGCGATGACAGGAAGGTCCAAGGAAGGTGGGCGGTGGACTGAGGGAGCCTTCAATGAGCCGCTGAGTATTTCGGGGGATCATACTGCGAGATCTCTGTGAGATCTATGTTGGCCGCGTGACTGATCTAGTTCACGTCGTTGACCAAGGCCGGACAACGCGGATGTCAGGCGTGGGCTACGACTCGGAGACCATTCCAAAAGATATCATAAGGCTGCTAGATGTCAAGAAAGTCGCAGGTATGAGGAGCTACAGCTACGCGTCCTGAGCCGATCTCGATACGATGTCTACGAGACGGTTGAAATACGCTTCGATCAGGGCATCGCTCGTGCGGTTCTTGTTGTACCTGAACTGTAGGTACAGCCGGCCGTCGAATGTAAAGAGATGGAAGGCGAGGGATAAGGGATCGATTCTGCCAGCAGTCCAATTCTCCGTGATCCGGATTTCCGCACCATCCTGTCCCGCGTGACCACTTGTAGCGCTTGGCGCCTGCACTGCGTAACGGGCAGGCAGGATCGCCTTGAGGTCGCCCAAGCTGCTCATGAACGGCAATCCCGGTTGTCCAGCCAGCTTAGCGTGGTACGCCTCGGTCGTCAAGGGCTGATACATAGGGAGGAAGTTCCAGAAGTAGGGCGACTTGACGAAGGCATCATTCTGCTTCTTGAACTGATGGGCGACTTCCCACACGCTTGTCGGGTTCGCTTGGTCCGCCACGGTCGAATGAGGGACGCAAATTATGACAGGATACAACTCCATGCGAATGGTGGCTTCCATATCGCCACTCGCAACCCCGCCGGGGTGTTGTGGGAGCTTGGCAGTGAGGTCCATAGGCTGACTGAACTCGAAGAGGACCGCGTCGTGTTTATGGCCAGCTGTGGCGACTTTGCTAGAAGGAACATCGTCATGCACGGAGGACAGGGCACCTGCGACATTGACGAGGTGTGTGATCGTGACTCCGTGCGCTTTGCATGCGCGGAGGATACGAGCGGTCTCTTCGCTCGACCAAACTTTACGCAGCATGCGCGCGCTGAGTTCCTTCGTGATTAAAGCAGAAACATCACCAGTGATGCCTGACCTTGGCTGCAGTCAACGTATGAGAAGGGCACATACAGACGAGCGCCAGCGATGACATACCTGCTTGGCGTACTGGCCAACCAATTCGTCGAAGGCGATCTTGGCTTCGCGAGCCTCCTCAGCATCTGCGCTCAGTTGCGGTTTGAGTTGCTCAGTAGGAACAGGAATCGGGATGGGCTTGGTCTTTTGAGCGAAGTACGCATCCAGCTCCGCCTGTGCTCTCCCTGGGCTCGCGAGCAGGTCCATGAGGCGGCGTACGAGGTTCAGGCGGCGACGGTTGTCGGTGACGAAGTGCGTTGTGATGAGGCCCAGCACGTACTTTCCTGACCGCGGGTCCGCGTCCCTGCCCCACCAGAAAGCGCACGTCCGCTCGCGGATGTCAAGCGCGGCGTTCGGGTCAACCGCGAGCCACTCATCGCGCAGCGCGATCACAGCTTTTTCCTGGTCCTCGAAGGTGTGGAAATCGACCTGCGCCTTGGCCGCATGCAGCGCGTGCGCAAGCGTCGCCGGCGTGTTGACCACGAAGTGTGGCCCGCCGAGGAACGTGACATTGGACGCAAGGAGGGGGTATCGCAGGCGCAGTGCCGCGCAGGCGAGGACGACCTCGTCATCGGCGATGGTATATCCTCCAGTGCACTCCAACGAGATGATAGTGGAAGGATCGCCTATGCCGCCCTCACGCCGACCCAAGGCGTACGAGAACTCGCTGGCAGACAGCGGACGACTTGTCGTGAGAGAGCGCTCGAGCGCGTGAGCCTGCATAGCCAGGACCATGGGGTCTACAGCGGACTTGGATGCGTTGTCAGCCATGAGTGCGAAGAGCAGTGACTAGAGCGGCCTTGCATCGCAACTGCCAGCTGCTTATAGCCTTGTACGATTCAACCCTTGGCCAGCGTCCGCGCTAGCCGAGCTCGTCTTGACATTGGCAATGAGAGCGGATCAGAGCGTAATTGACGTGACTGTAGAACTTTGGATGTATGTCGGACGGGCGACAGCCTAACGTAGGACCGTGGCCCGATTGGTACGTACTAGAAGTGGTGTGCACCAGACCCTATTCACTAACGTCAGTTGGCTGATTCGGTACACTTTTTACCAGGACATACGAGGGGATCCCTGTTCGGTTGCGTAAGGGCATGTAGGCACGCTCGGCGTTTCCATTTCTGGCAGGTCGATATGGCGTGAGTGTCGCCAAAAAGACGGTTGACCAGTATGTATTGAGTGCGGCAAACCAACGTTTCTGCTTCATTTGCAAGACGCATGACACAGATCTCCGTGAACGCACCACAACGAGCTCTAAATCGAAGCGGGTTGACAAGACCTGTGCGAAATTGTTCTAAGCGCAGGATCTTCACTACCGCATCCGTTGGCGCCTTTTCCGAAAGTCGCCCTCGTCTGCTGCATTGCAAGCATGGTCACGGCAACGCACGTCGGTCGAGCATGTTTCTGCCTGATATATGTTACATTTGATCTCTCCTTGACGTGCGGGGCAGAGAGACGCCGTTATTAGTATGCCCAACCACCCAACTTGAACAAGAGCATTCGGTACTCACCGGTACTAAACTTGTCGCGAACCCACAGCTACAAGTAACCTCACATCCCCCTTCCGTAGTTTACAACTTCGCCTTGTTCTCCACAGTCTTGATCCATTGCTTCAATGCCGTATTGACGACATCCGGGGCTTCCAGCTGCAACCAATGGCCGGCATCGACCTCCTTCACGGTCAGATCCGGACAGAGCTGCGTCCATCGCCCCAGCGCGAGCGCAGGCGGATTAATACAATCCTGCTTCCCGCTAGCGAAGAATACCGGAAGCGGGAGCGGGAGCCGCTCCGGCGGTATAGCTAGCTCATTAGCGGAAGAAGTTCGGTAGGAGAGCGGTGAAGCAGTGATCTCACCCTGGTCGTCCTCTGCGGCGAGACCACTGAAGACTACCTTGTACCAGTTCAGTGCACCGCCCAGCCCTTGTTTGGCGATCATGTCTGTTAGGTTCAGTCTGGCCTATGTGAAAGCATGGGTAAGTCGAACTCTGGAGCACTCCTCGGACGAATGAGAACGGTAGCCGCCTGATTTGGGAGGAATAAGAGCGGGAGTGGTCGGTCTATATGGAGACCCGTGCTGGCTAAGACGGCTGATCAAGCACATAAACCGGCCCTCGAAGACATCAAGCCAGACAGACGTGGTACCCATGTCGAAGCTGGCTATTGTGCGGGCTGCGAACCTTGTGTCAAGCTCAACCGCAATCGCATTTACCCGAGATGAATTTCATCTTCGCCGGTCAACTGCTGCGATAGAGCGCAATCGTATCGAAGGAGAATAGGGAAGGTGCAAGGAACATCCCGCTTCCTGTTACGACGTGCGAACTCACCTCTGGGGTAATATACGAAGCTACCGGCATCCTTTTGTTCGCGAGAAGGGCGGCTTTAGGTGCTCCAGGTGCACAGAGGTCTTCCTTCCAGCTAGAGGGGTCTGCGGGGTGAATGAGCCCGAGCGTGGACTCAAACTAGGCGACACAGTGAGTCGATCAGATGCACATTCATGAGAACGTGAAAGGCACGGGAACTGACGTGGTCCTTCATGATCTGATCGGTGCCCTCCTCGACGAAGAACCTGACGCAGCTTTAGGAATAAGAAGACCGAGACAGACAACCGTTGCTCACCGCCAGTATACAACCTCGTAACCTATGGCCTGTTTGACAGCGGCCACGACGTTCTCATAATTGAAGCCCACGAACGATGGCGAATAGGCAACCGCGAGGAATGCGAATGCGAGGAAGCGCTCTCGGTAAAGCACAGCCAGATGTGATACAAGAGGTGCACCCCTACAAGTCAAGCACTCGGTCAGTGTACGTAGCTATGGGTCGCATATGTACATCACTACGGCGTATCTGGCACCCTCCAGCGACTGTTCTCCAAGCCGTGCAAAGATATCAATCCAAGATATTGATGTACTCACCAGTCATGCCCAATCGCAATGACATTTCCTACGGTCTCTGCATCCAGGATATCAATCACGTCCGCGCACATCGCGCTGTGCTTGTACAGGGCAGTCTGAGTCGGCTTGTCCGTCCCGCCATATCCAAGCATATCGGGCGCGATGATCGAATAACCTTCCTGGTTGAAGAATGCGACCTGGTTGCGCCAGTCATACGACGTCGATGGGAAGCCATGTACGAACAGGAGGGTCGGTTTGGACGCGTCGCCCGACGAGGAGTAGTAGCTGTACTTGATACCGCGCTTGGTAACGACCTCCTTGTACGACGCTCGGTCCATTCTGCTGGATCTAGAAGTATATCACTACGTCGCGGGACAGAGATACCTACCAAATACCTACCTGGGTCCTCAGGCCTCAGTGCGCTCCGAGTCGTCTTGCTGAACGTCGCTCGCTCGATGTCAGCTGCTGCGGCCTGGCGTCAACCCAGGCTCCGGTGAAGTTGCTCTTGCCCGTGATCCACGCCAAGGACACTGACAGAGGGCGACCATGATCTCGGGGACCACCGCCTATATCGCATTGCACGACGATGAAGCAATCACGGCTATATGAAGGTGTATCCAGTTGCGAGTGTGAGAGCACTGGAAGCAGGACAGTCCGAGCCTACAGTCTGAGTGGACGCGACAACCGACGCGCGTGGCAGGCGGCGGCGACTTCAGGTCGCTCGCCGTGCGTGCTGCTTGGTTCTTGACTTGTTCTTGGCTCAAAATTCGCTCGCTCGCTCCAAATATTTATGCTCTTGTCGATGTCGGTGGTGGCCCGGAAGCTGAATACCTATGAGGTTGTGACCTTTGAATGAACAAACTCACGTAAGCAGTGCTATCGGATGACAGAACAAGGTGCAGGCGTTCAGGTTAACTCGGAGGTCACACTCGCTACATACCAACATGTCGTCGCAGCTGCGGGAGGTGCTCCTGGTTGGCCTAGGAGCAGTAGGAGCGATCTGTGAGTCGCTTTTTGACTGCAGTATGACTCAACCTTACGATCGCTCTCAGACTCCCTGATTCTCAAGCGAAGTGGCCAGGCGCGTGTAACGGCCGTTGCGCGAAGCAATTACCAGTCGGTCAAAGGTGTTATATACACCTAGTTTGACGTCTTTGTACTAACCTCCCCGGAAGACGAGGGGCTGCACTTCCTAAGCCGCAAGTACGGCGAGCATCGAGGGTGGCGGCCTGACCGACGTGCGTATCTGCGTTCTCGTTCCACCAAAACGCTCTGACTCGTAATTTGACCTCTAGTCTGCCGCTCTGTCGCTGAGGCTGCTGATCACCCCTATGCCTACGTCGTAGTGACGGCCAAGGCCATTCCGGAGCTGATTCGGACACCAGCTCTCCTCGCGCCCCTCCTTTCACCGCCGTATTCGGACAAGCACCCTCAGCCGACGTACGTTCTGATGCAGAATGGGCTCAACGTGGAGGTCGACTTGTACGAGGCGTTGAAGAAGCTCAAGCCGAACGAGGAGCCGAGGATCATCAGCACGGCCGTCTGGATCGGCACGGGGATGAAGGGCAGCAACGTCGTGGAGCACAACGACTTCGTGAGCATCATCGTCTCACCCGCATCACTGCGCCCGCCCTAACACCTCGCTAGGACCGCGTCTCGCTAGGCGTCTACCGTCCATCGTCGACCACGACGAAGAACACGCCCGAAGAGACCGCGCTCCTCCGCGACTTCGAGCGCATCCTCGCCGCGGGCGGCAGCCAAACCACGATCGTCCCCGAGATCCAGCGCGTCAAGTACAGCAAGAACTTCTGGAACGCCTGCCTCGGCATCACCGCCGCCCTCACCCGCTTCCCACTCACCGCCATCTTCCGCCCGCCGCACCTCGAGCCCGGTGCAGCACCCCAAGGCTCTGACTCCCCCGCGCTGCCGCTGCCTCCCGGTGAGATCCCGAGCGCCTCGAGCGCCATCGCCGAGTACAGCATCCCGACTATCCGCGCGGCGATGCAGGAGGTGTACACGCTCGGGACGGTGCTCTTCCCCGACAGCGAGGATGGCCCGGGGCTCGATCCGGAGGTAGTGGAGAACACCTTGCGCAACACCGCGAGGTTGCATGCGAACCCGAACGCGACTCACCGTGCGAGTACGCTGGTGGACGTTGAGAGCGGGCGCCCGACGGAGGTGGAGGTGATCCTCGGTGAGCTCGTGCGCATGGGCCGGGCGAGGGGTGTACCAATGCCTGTGAGTGTGTTGTGTGGTCGAGGATTTCTGAACTAGGACTGACCATGCCGTTGTAGCGTATTGAAACGCTGTATGCGCTTCTTCTGATCGTGCAAAACCAGTTGTTGCGACAGTCCACCGAGAAGAAGCCATCGTTGTGAAGTCATCCTCCGCAGTGTGTTGTTTTACCAGACTTCGTGCGTTGAGTTATATTGTGCTTGGTCTCGTCGAAGCTGTGCTCACAGCATCATGCAGATTCTTCCATCGAAATGTAGATACAAGCCGCTGTACATGAGACACATTCCTATCTGAACAATCAGAGAGCAACTGCTCCCAGGGTGCAACATACAGCCAAACATGCAATCGTCGGACACATGCCACCGACCCGAACCCTCGCTAGTCATGCCAGAGTCATGCATCGCGAACGTGCCGTAACGTGAACGCGAGTCACGGCAACGGCGCTGCAAATCCCCCCTGCTCACCTGCCCCGTGCCCAATGTTCAGCATCGACATGCAGCGATAAAGTTCGCGCGCTTCGAATTTCTTCTCTGCTACTCGCGTTGTGTATTGGCCTCGATTCCTTGATTGTGCGCATAAGCTGACCCTTGTCAAAGGACAGGTCTCACGATGTCATTGTTCGCCAGTCAGTATTCGAGAATCTGGGCAAACAGATCGACGTACGCGCATTACCAATACCTACGGGTTACGGTATGATCTAGTTCTGGCTGACCGCTAGCCCTCACAGGGGCGAGCTCCACCGTCAGACGGAGATGGATGCGAGGTGATTGCGAGGTGATTCCTCTACAGCAACAGGGACCTCACAGGTGAGCATCCTAACTATCTACGTGGATGCTAGTCTTACATAAGATCCAGATTCTGTCTCTGAAGCACGATCTACGGGCATGCAGAACCGGTGTGGTTGGTTTCATTCACAGCATATATAGACGCGGGAAATCCGGACGTCCGGACATACACCGCGCTAAACGGAGCGGGAGGACTGAACCACGACGAACGGTCACGATGTGCTAGATGAACCGCACCGTCCACAATGCGGGTAACGCAAGTAATATGTCTCACTCCTCGAGAGCTAACTCTCTCGATAAAACCGCACATTCAATTGGACCACCACGATGCTATGCCGCGATGGGATTCATTCGGCGAGAGGTCCGGGATGCCCAATTCCCCATGTCTTGACATGGGCGCTGGAAGCGTGGTGGATAAGCGGCGGGTCTCACTCTCAGAGGGGCTGGTGGTACAAATCATGCAGAAGAAGAGGGGGTCTCTTGCACGGCCCCACTTCCCGACATGAGTGTCGCCGTCATCCTCCTTGGTCTCTGCTTCGTGATAGTGCTGGCACGGCCAGTCTGGCAAGCATACTCGAGACTTCCTGAACTTTCAGGCCCGACGCCGTCGAGCGTGGTGCTGGGCTATAGGTATGACCTGCACAGTGCTCCTGCCGGAAGCCTGTTCAGTCGCTGGAGAAGCAAGTATGGGCCGGTGTACAGAGTTAGAGGACCTTTCGGGGTGAGTAGAAAACACATCGCATACCGATCTTTGAGGTATACTGAATGTGTCATAGACCACTGAGCTAGTTATGGGGGATCCGAAGGGTGCTTCCCATGTCCTTGGCACATACAGCTTCATACGGAACGAGTCTAATCGTGCGCTGCTTTGGGAGTTGGTACGTGTCAGCCTCTTGTTTCGCTATGCACTGCGCTCATATGCGGTGACGATCAGTTCGGCCACTCGATATTCACAGCTGAAGGTTTGTTGAATTCTTTATCATACATTGGTTCCTTGACGCAGATATTTCGGCATCAGGTGCTTTCCACAAGCAGCAAAGAGCAGTGCTCAATTCTGCCTTCACGTACGTCACTACTCGACCTGTGCAAACATTGCGAATATAATGTCGCGTGTACAGCTCTGCCAATGTTCGCGAAGTCTCTGGCGTTATTCTCGACCTCGCAAACAAGGTCTGTGACAGCCATTACAATGTTCCCATACTTCTGCTCAGCAATTGTGGATTAGCTGCGGGAGAATTGGGAGAACAGGCTTGGCAAAGCAGCTTCATCTTCACTGATCATTGACGTCAGCCATGAACTACAGACTCTCGCGTTTGTAACACCCTTCAGACTATGGGTGTGACGCCGAAATCTCACATCTCACTATAGGATCGACGCGATCAGTATGACGACGTTCTCCTACGCGATCTCGGAGAACGCTCCTCTATCTTCGCTGCTATCCAAGATCGCCAATGTACCTTTGACAAAGGCCGCGCTCGTTGCAGAGTCTTTCGTCGAGGCGTTCCCAGCGATCTGGAAACTCCCCATTCCGATCAAACAATGGCCGCGCATGATGAAGGCAGAGTTGGGCAAGATTGCGGACCGGGTGTGGAAGGACAGCGAGATCGAGGGCGTGACGGGTGGCGGGATGCATTCGAAGCTGTTGGAAGCTATGAGTACGTGCCATTGCGTCGAAATAATGCATGAAGTACTCAGCAAGCAATCTGTCTGGCACGAGCAGATAACAGCAAGGTCTTGTCTGGGGAACCAATGGACCGAGACCTGGCCGTCGCGAATGTACGTCTGATCAATTGGGCTACGCTGCTTACAAAAGCTGAAGGACTTATCGAATAGATTCTAGCCGTCATCTTCGCGGGTTATGAAACGACGGCGAGTGCAATCGGGGTATGAGTGCGTTTTCTAGGTGTCGCGATACCGCTAATGGTCTCATGCACCGTAGGAATGCCTGCACCAACTCGCGTTACAGTCCACCATCCAAAACAAGATCCGGCAAGAGCTCTTCTCGTTTGCTGACGCCACGGGCAGAGACCCGACCTACGACGACCTCACCAGTGCAACACAGATGCCATACCTAGATGCCGTCGCGCGGGAGACCATGCGTACATACCCGATCGTGATGAACGTCACTCGGGAGGCCAGCGTCGAGGAGAGCATTCCTCTACAGACCCCACTCCGATCGACGGGCGCGACGCACATCGTAGTGAAGCCTGGACAGCTCATCCACATCCCCATACGCGGTGGCATCAACAACGACCCAGACATTTGGGGACTCGATGCGGATAAGTTCAGACCTGAGCGGTGGTTGGAGAGCGGAAAGGCAGGGCTTCCGGAGACTGTGAAGACGGTTCGTGCGCCCGGGCACATCCTGACATTCGGTGACGGGTATGTGGTCGCCAATCTTCCTGGTGATGAATTGCTGAAGCGGTCCTTCTCGCTGCTTTGCAGACCAAAGATCTGTGTCGGGCGATACTTTGGTGGGTGATCAGATAGTGAGCAGGCTCCCGGAACGCTGACGATTATCGACCATCACTAGCAATGGCTGAGTTCAAGGTCAGTCAACGCTTACGTCTGCCTTCTTCCAAAATCTCATGTTACCTCCATGTGTACTACAGATCGTGATCGCGACCCTCGTGCGGTACTTTCACTTTGAGCATGCGGGGATCGACTACGACTTCTATCGTTTCGGAAGCAACGCCGTGAAGCCGAAGGTGCGCGGGAAGGACGGATTGCCTCCCAGCCTTGAACTACGAGTCAAAGCTGTCTCGGACGCATGAGACTCTCGGCTTCAGGTGTAGGAAAGTCATGAGAGTCACGAAGGCGCAAGCAATGTGACCGGTCTGTATCTAGCAAGGTCCTGCTGTCTCAGCTGTCTACGCATGCAGTAACGCTTGTTAGCCATCCCTTCTTTGCACTGCCATATAATCGTATACGAATATTGTTGCGGCAACGATCATGTCCTGCTTCGCCCTCAGGCTGGAGCGCAGACGAATAGGTAGCAAAGACGTGGGATACTTTCATAATAAGCCGTCAGCGCTGAGAATCCGAACCATCTTGTTCCTTCCTTGGTAGCCTCCACAACCGGGTTCCAGACTACCAAGCACTGTCATGCACTGCGTGGTACGCGCGTGTTGCTTGGCTGAATAAATCCCCTCCTCTTCCTCTCATGGACTTCAAGTGAAGTTACAGTTCAAGCAATCGTCTGAAGTGCTCTAATGTACATACAACACGGAATCTCTCCGTACCGTGGCTCGTTCTCTCATTACACCATGAATACATATCGCGGATCGGTGTCCGCGATCTCCGGTTCGTCCGACAGCTTCGTCTTCTCGTCCTGGGTCATGGCCTGGAGGTGGTCTCTGTTCTTCCTGTTCTTGTGCGATAGCCGCGTGCGGAGGACGAATGCCGCGAGTATGGAAGCAAAGAGGCACCTGTTCGAATTCCGTTCCGCAGCGCGGTGATGAGTAGTGCGGCGGAGAACGGCAGTAGGACGGACATACCCTGCGGAGATTGCATGGCCTTTGCGATAGTCGTCGTAGTTGTCGAAGTAGATCTGCGGCGCTGCTCTACGGAACGCCGTGGTGCTTCAGTATCGACGAACACGGTAGAAGCTCAATGAAGTCGACTGACATGGAGAGGCAGTTCGCTATGGAGACAATGAACGCAGTGCCTACACCACGCTTTGGTGTGGGTGAGAAACAGTTTGCGGCCCAGCTCCTGCACGGGGTGACTATCAGTGCATGGCCGTCATACAGTCGACGCTCGATACGCACATCACCAACGGGAACAGACTGAAATTCCCGCCAACGACGAGGAATAGGGCGAAGTAGCCCGCGCCAACACTCTTCTCCACACTGGTGGCTAGGATGAGGTAGCCGATGAATGAGATGGCCGAGGAGAGCATGACGTGCCAGCCACGGTCGCGCGTCCGATCCTGCGGTCAGAGTAAGCCAGAACGATCGGTAGTTTATACCGAAAATGGAGCACGTACCGAATGCCATGCTTGGAAGACTACGAGGAACCAGCCGGCTACATAAGGCGCGACGGTCATGCCCTGGGCGTTGATGCCACTGAAGCCCAGATCGACGATGAGCTGCTCACCGTGTATCAGCTCAGTTGTCAATTGTGTTCGCCAGTAAACACGTACCGTAGGCAGGAAGTATGTGATCGTCGCGGTACCGACGTTGACTGCAATTGTACCGGTCAGTGCTGAGGGGACGCGTGGATGGGCCAGCGGTGAGACATACATCCGCAGTAGATGATCATGAGAAGCCACGCATTGACGTCGGTCACGACCATAGCGAACGCACGGAAGCCGCTCATGCCTCCGTGCGATGTCGGCTTCTGGTCTTTGTTGAGGCGGGCCTACGAACGGAAGTAACATTCAGTATGTCGAGTGCGCAGTGAGAGCGTAAGATGTGCATGCCTGTGCGATCGCCCTTTGACGAGGCGTCAAGAAAGAGGCGGTGAACGGGAAGGAGGGAAGGAACAGCAGTAGCAAGGACGCCATGATGATCGTTGGAATGGCCTCAATCTTCGCAACTTATGTCAGACAACCCGTCGCAGTGAGCTCTAAATCATTGTTACTCACGAGAAACAGGAACTGCCACCCTTTGAGGACGGACGTGTGGACTCGCAGCAGCCCGAAGGCAATCAAGCCCTTCAAAAATGCCGTGAGTTACACACCCCAAGCCGTGGACGAAGGGACATACACTGATGGCACCGGGATATGTGCCTGTCATGCAGATACTGCATAAAGGTGTTTGAGTGCCGCCGTCAACTGTACCTAACGTCCCAATCCTACCTAATACGCATAGCAAGCTCGTGCCTTCGAGGAATTGTCAGGGTAGAAGACCAAGACCAAACGACGAGTTACGACATACCGTTTGTACCAGAACGATAGGTAGTACACCATTCCCGCGTAGTAACCCGCCTCGCCAATACCAAGGAGCACACTGAATGTTGCCCGAATGAGACTCGGGCATTGATCACATGTGTGAGAGCAATTGACGAACCGCAAGATCAACAGTCCAGTGTAGCTCTTCGCGTACACGAACGATAGTGAACACAGGCCCCACCAGGTGAGCGACATAAAGAAGAACTTGTTCGCACCGATGCGGCGTTGCAGAACTGCACGGACGCCCAATTGTTAACCGTTGTTAACCGCAGGTCACACCAAACGTGATCATACGGACCATTTGCAGGAATCTCGAGCAGACCTGGAAAACCGTACGTGAGTCATGTATCTTGGACACAGTAGATTGAGAACACACAATATCCGATGTAGAAGACACTGAGGGCGAGTGTCCATCTGTTGTTATTCGTGACACCCTATAGAAGCAAAGCTCAGTGACGCGCATAATGCACATAAGACAATACACACGTAGTTCTCATTAAATGCGGCCACAGTGTGTACATTGCCGCTAGATATTCCGTCAGCCATGTGATTTGTCCGGAGGTTAGAGATGGCGTACATATTGGTACGGTCTGATGGATTACGAGTAAGTTCGCGCAATGGCCAGAGCTTTAGAGCGGCATCTTACCGAACTGGTTGACTGCGTCGAGAGCGCGCGAGGCATGACTCAGTCAAAGTCAAGTGAGCACGCATTCTGTTCAGTCACGTACACAGATAACTTCGCAAGCATCAGCATCCGGTGTGCATAGCGCCAAGGGATCGTATGACTGACCTCCCAATGACCAGCGATAGGACTCTGCGGTCGATCTTCCTCCGCACCTCCTTCTCCTCGCCTTCCGTGAAATCGACCGTCTCAGCGTCCTTATGCACGGCATCCGCGACCTCGTTGTCTAGACGGGAGAAGAAATGCCTCCGCCGAGCGCGCTCGCCCAAGGCAGCCTGGAAACGCGTGCCCTCGGTGTTGGGGTCCTCAATGTATGCCTCCTCGATGTCCTTCTCGGACACGGGGGACACGGGGGACAGGGCTGCGATGGGGGATTGCGAGGACGAAGCGAGCATGTTGAGCGTCCCTTCGAGTCGCGCAGGGACGTGCAGGGGAGACAAGTTTGGTAGTACGTATTATATACGCGACGGTACGGAGGATGAACGATACCGCATATTGCAACAAGGCGTCCCAGACGGAGTTGCCGTTCTGATTGCGGGGTAAGATAGTTATCCGGGGGCACGGTGATAGAACGCTATCCATGATGCACGCACATATTGGTAGTCAACTGACCGAGTGGGCGCGCTTCGCAACTGATGATACGCAGGTGGCCAACCATCGGCACGCTGCTGCCACAAAGACAAGGCGACAACATCGCTATTCTGCTCGTTGTCATCTTGCGTTCAGCGAGCACAGCGACAGCAAAAGACACAGAATATGGAACTCAGTACCTACTAACTTGAAGTTTGAGCTCCAAGGCCCAGACCCGTTGCCAATGTGCAGTGCGTGATTGGTTTCGGGAATGTCGGAACGGATGGGATCAGAGAGTCGTCATTTGACATATTGCACCTGAACTGTACTGCACAATGGACACGTCCCGCAAGTCGGCATCGTCTAGCTCAGCGTAGCGGTCGGACCGTGGCCCCGTTGAGCGTATGGTAATGAGTAGTGTCAACGCTGGAAATGAAGTCATATGGGCTGAAGTGTGGCCAGTTGATGGATATCTTGACATCATCGAGTTCGTCGAAGACAGAGCATCGTAGCACTTCGGGTAGTCCAGAGAAGTACAATTGGTACCTACTTATTGATACCGTAACCAGCGTACTTGACCAGGATGGAGGCCAAGCAGAGGAGCAGTGTGCCGGTGGCTTACGTGTTGATGGATGTGTGTCGGAGTCATCGTGCAGTAAGAACAGCATTAGCGGGGATACAAAACATACAAGTCCGCGGTGGTGCTCGCCACTTTGGGCTCACACCAGTTGAACGTTGAACGCGCGACCCGCCGTGCCTTTCTCCGAGGTACCAACTCATCCCATCGTTTGTTCGCAGTTTGGTCGCAGAGACCTCACTGAAAGGACTCGAGATTCAGCCAGTGAGTCACTTGGCTTACGCAGCACATAGAACATACACTGACGTCGCAGTTGCGTTGCGAGCCCACCTTCGCATCGCCAAGTAAAGCAGGATGTTACAACCGTACGTGATGTTCCAGTCATTCAATGGCAGTACAAGAGGCCGCGTCTGCTTCCGCGAAGCTTCTGTTCTGTTTCGTCGTGCCGTTGCAAGTCAACTCTGTATCGGATTGTGTATGACTACGGGCAACGCGCCCAAGGAAAACGTCCACGGCACGTGATTCAAATCGCAAGAATACGCGGTCACGCAGTCGTGTTATGTGCCCAATTTACCCTCCGCACCAGCTACAGAGAAGCAGAAGCCACCAAAATATTTGTAGAGCTACGTGAGCATGTATATACTGTATGTACACAATGATACTGTTGTATGATGATTGGATCAAGCACAGAATACGATGTAAGTGAGGATTATATGCAATGGTGAGGGTATAGACTATCTACAGAGAAGATTAGCACGCCGCCGTATATTCATATGAGGTCTGTGAGGTATGTTCATGATGGTACAGTATGTTCAGGTATTCCTGAGGCTGTCGCACTGAGTTCCCGTGCGGTTTCCGGAGGCAGACCGCTAAGGATGTCGATCAGTCCCTTGAGTGCATCAGCCTTCTTCGCAGAAGAAAGACCAGCCGGAACGTGGACTTTCCTTGCGCGAAGCCAAGCAAGCTGAAGCCGTATCCTATCAAGAGTAATACTCTTGGCATTATCAGCACTTTCCCAGTATCCCGGCATAAGTTGAACGTCGATGGAATCGACCTTGGTATGGTACTCATCATGCTTGGCTTTCTTCCGTTCACGATCGGCCTCCTCCTCCCTGGCTTTGCGCTTCAGCTCTTCAGCCCGGGTAACCCTACCCAGTTTCTATGGTGAGTCGTGTCCGAGATTACGGTGGAGCTCGGTCCTCTATCGACTAGCGCTGCCTTCAATTGGACGACTTTTGCCTACACAAAACACATCCATGAGACTGCGATTGTTCTCGAGAGCGAAGGAACGCACCTGGAGCTTATCCCTTCCTTTTCTAGCCCTCTCAATCTGTCTCCCGAGGTTCCAAATCTTCCTGCGCAATTCTTCGAATGCTGCTTCGAGACCAAGTTTTGTCGGCACCACGGCGCCAGACGAAGACGGCACTGGTGACTCCCGGTCCGCGAAATATGGTGGCTGCGCCGCTACAAGAGATGCCCCATTGCAGCCTTTACTATGTGAATGAGTGCGCAGTGATGTACGATGGTGCTCACGAGAATGGTAGCCAGCAGCTGCTAGCTGAGTGCCGAGGGGCTGGATCTGCTGAAAGATGGCCTTCTGAGCCTTACTGCGAGGTTTCGAGCCAAACCCATGATTACGAGGCATTCAGTAGCATATGGAGGTATCAGAGTAAGAGCAGTCGAGAGGCACAGCACACGAGAACGCGTCTGCTGAAGGGTAATGAAAGACGAAGCGCAGATACAGACGCGTCGCGACGCGCTCTCGACGCGCGCGCCTTGCTTACATAATGCAGTCCGTGCCCGCGCGAGGCTCGTCGCTGAGGAACACTTTCCCTTCGATGCCGTGGCTCAAATATTCGTCAATGTACATGTAAAATCATCTTAAATCGGGTTCAAGAGAATGTTCCGGACAGAATATTTTTAATCATTTGTTCTCATGGGCTTCTTGTAACACAGCACTAAGGAAGCTTCACGCCCAATGTATCCGGAACATTCTTGAGTACTCGATTTTAGATGAATATCCATCAATGAATCAGAATATTTGAACGAGTGTTGTATCGTCCAGATGTTCCGCAAGTCTTGCCCACCTCTTTCGGCGGCTAAGGCTCTTCAGCGCGGACACGGAAGTTGCCGAACATGCGGGGCATTGCCCCTACTCATTGTGTACTATGCTTGCACGACTTCTGTCGCACATCAGGTGAGTTCGTTCCGTCTAATCACTCTTTCTTGCAGCTCATCCGCTGAACATCCCTCAATAGTATTATGCACCGCGGTACTCATCTCCGTCAACATCTGCGGAGACATAAGACGCGCCGTTGCTAAATACATTGCCGGGTACCCGGCGGAAGTGCGTCCGCATGGAAGAATGGTTCGTGAACGGTCACCATGGTGTGATGTTGCGTTTCCACCGGTACGCGGGTCATTGGTCTTTCAGCATCGTTCACTCATGCTCACCGAACGGTGTCTCAATGTAGCCCTGCCGTTTGGTCTGCACTAATGAAGGCCAACGAGCTGGAACATCAAGCCGACTCCGAGCGGGGCACCGGAACTATACGAGCGCGACGTTTGAGAGCGCTCGTGCGTCCCCACGACTCTGACGCAGGCTGTGCTTCAGCGGGGTGGCAAAATGGTATGGCCTACGGGAGGATAGAATCGTTACATCACAGACGGAGGGGCTGTTTGGCCGGGAAATTCTAGTGAGTCTCACTCATTGTCTACCCATGGCTTATCCAAGAGCCAACAGTCAGTGCAACGAAGCTTTTGCTTCTCGCACGCAAGATGTCCTGTGACGGTCCCGGTTGCAAGGGCTGAACGTCTCGGAAACCTCATCCTAGGGGTGTCCGATGCTGCAGCGGTTGATCTCGGGTGATGCTCTTGATCGATTGTTAGCATGTTGACAATCGGAACTCGGGCGTTGTCTGTCAGGGCTAGGAACTTTGGACCTTCGGTCGGACGGCTCGTGAAAGCCATCCGAGGGCTAACACAGGGGCAGCTGATTCAACTCCGACTCGTGTTCCTAAGAAATGCATCAGTAGATTGAGAGAAGAGCCATTTCGTCAACTTGAAGACGCAGGTGTGGCGGTATATGGGCTAGGATACAAGGTATCCTGGCCCAAGTACCACCACACAAGCACCACAACATAATCACTGTTCTCTTGATCTACTGTGTACTGTCTTGGAGTATTATTGCACTACATGGTGCCTCCTGTTGCTGAGGATCATAGATGCAGTGAACATGATGATGTACCCACTATGGTGTTATGCATGTGTGAGAACTCATAATCCCCAGAATATACACCAATGCCTATCATTTCTCAGACTATTGTACAGGACACAATACAGAAACAGCACCACAAATCAAGCTAGTATAGTACATGAACGCAGTCAAAGCAGTACTCTCAGCAGCCAATATGTATGAAAGGAACCCAAGCTAGTAAGTCCTCATCCTTAGTACCTGTATACTTCTTCCTAAGGTTCTGTACAGCCTTGTGCAGAGCATATCCAGCCTGTGTACTATCCTTGGAATCCAACAGATGAGCATAGACATCTCTGGCAACCTCAGGTCCATCCTCATCCTTGATGGACCACATGGTAGCTATGACAGTCCTGAACCCAGCAAATAGCATGCCTGCAGCTAGATGTACTGCTTGATCAGACAGCTTCAGATCACCTGCAGCAGTTTGGCATGCAGACAAGAATGCAAAATCTGCTTGGCCTAGGTTCTGCTGTATGATCTGAGATAGCTGGAGAGTACCATCATGAAGGATGAAGGCACTATTCAAGGGGTTTTCAGAGTCTTGTACCCCATGACAAGCCATGTGCAACCAAGATGCAGTAGGCAGTTTGTCTAGAACATTTGTCTTAGTGCCCTCACTGTCCTGCAAGTAGCAAGAATAGACCTGAGCTTTGACAGCCAGGTCCTCTATAGCCTTCTGCTCCTCAATGACTCCTGGCAAGGTAGGATACCCCTTTGCATGAGTCTCACAGATGGCCAGTATTGTTGGAGCAGCCTCAACAACCTTCTGTCTGGCCTTGATCAATGCAGTGAGGGTAGGAGTGTATGAGGACACCACATAGTCAGATATCTTATGACCAGGCTCAGTGATGCTGTAGTCTCCTGCAGCATGCAATGGCAAGAAACTCAGGACACCTGTAACACACCACCACAGATGAGTTTTGGCTTTCCCTGTGGTAACAAGCTTTGGCAACATGTCAGTGTAAGTTCATGTCACTGAAGAAAATCATATATACTTACTGGGAAGGTTGAACTGAGTTTCTTGAGAATTGGGCTGACAAGCTTGGTCCACAGTTTGCTGAGCACATCATGGAGGGAATACATGGGAACTCCTCCAGTGGGTATCATCTTTGCAGCTCTCTCAGCATCACTCAGTCCACTCCTCTGGCTATGCCCACCCATATAACCCAGCATTGACTTCTGCATCCCTTGTAGCTCTTTGATTGATAAATCTTCTAGATGCATGTGAATGACAGAATCATGGTTTGGAATCAAAATGAGTGCATCTGCATGACAGCCATCCTGGTGTGCAACCAGCAGTACAATTGGTGATTCCTTAGCTGCCTCTAGGAGCTCCCTAAAAGGTTTGAGCTGCAGGAAATTCTCAAAGCTAGGAAGTGTTCTGATCTCTTTCACCACAGCATCTCTTCTGGCTGCTAGCTTTCTGTGAAGCTGGGAAATTTCCTCTAAGGCATCATGATGATGTGCAGCATGTTCATGTTCTCTGTCATGACCTAGCATCTCAAGCTGTTGTGAGACAGATTTGAGCTCATCAGAAAGCAAAGGATAAGCATTGGCTAAGTCATCATAGGGTGAACGTAGCTGAAGGAGCTGGTTCCAGGTTACAGATCTCCCTTGCTCTAGCCACTCAATGGCTTTTGAGTACTTGCCAAGTCTGATTGCAGCAGCAGCAGCTTGAGGTGCAACCTCATTCCATATAGCTATATCCTTGTGTTGCTGAGCCACAGTTTTTCCCAACCAGACAACCTCAGGTAGCAGTGTGAAGAAATGATTATAACCATCAATGCACTCATGCTCCAAGGTCTTTGATCTCTTTGCTTGATCAGCCCATCTGAATGAGGCTAACAGTCTGACTGATGAAGTACCACAGCCACAGCAAGCAGCTTGCCTGAAATAACTAACTGCCTGCTGGAGGGACTGTGTCTCTGCAGCCTGATCATTAGCAAAGACATATCTTCTGAGGTAAGCATTGCCAAGATTGGCCAATGCCACAGGTAGGAATGAATGCCCCTCAGGGGTCAGGTCAACTGCCAGTTTGATGTGAGCAATTGCAGCATCATTATCTGACAGTTCATGTTGGTGCATGAATCTGGTTGAATACACATTTCCCAAGTTTGACAGTTGACCACGTCTATTAGAATGGCCCTCAGGCAGTAGAGAGAGAGACACCTTGTATGTCTCAATGGCCAAATCCATGTACTGTGTGTCTTCAGTCTCTATGAACAATGCCAGATAGGCTGCACCCAGATTATTCAACAATGGGGACCTGTCCAGATGCTCTGCAGGCATCAGAGCAATGACTTCTTTGAATGTCTCTATGGTCTTATGGAGATCTCTGACATTTCTCTCTTGTTCAAAGAGTGCTGCATATGCAGTTCCCAAGCGCATGAGTACTGTGGGTCTGTCATGATCATGTTGAGAACAGAGCTGTTTGGCCTTCTCAAGCAATTCCACAGCATACTTGAGGTCTGCAATTTCTCCTAAAAGCAGGAATCGGTGCCTATATGCATCTCCCAAATGACTGACATCTACTGAAGCATCAATGTTGTGGACACCACAGAGTTCAACAGCTTCTTGGAAAGTCAAGATGCATTTCTCAATGTGGGATAGGTCATGGGTGTGGTCAAAACAGCTGTGGTAGACATGCCCAAGCTTATGAACATATTGATATCTCTCAGGTTGATCCTTTGGTATCAACTCAAGAGCTTCACTCAACAAGGTAATTGTTGTCTCAATATCAGAGATGTTCCCAGTCATCTCAGACCTAGACTCCAGAGCAGATGCCAAAGCAAACAAGTACTGGGCTCTTTCAGCCTTATCTGGAGTCAACTGAACTGCTTCCTCATAGACCACTATTGCCTGCCCAAGCTCATGTTCATATGCATAGGCTTGGAATTTGGCCATATATGCTGCCCCAAGGCTATAGAGCATCCTGGCTCTCCCTGTGTATCCTTGGGAGTGTTGGTCCAGTGCCTGGTTGGCATTGTACACAGGAGTGGCTAGCCCAGTTGCATCAAGAGTAGCCTTAGCCCTCTTATCATAAATGAGGTCAATGTATAACCTGAGGCAAGCTATCCATCTCTCAATCAAGAAGATGTTCCCAGGAAACTGAGCCCACTCTAGGCCAAGTTGAGTTAACTTAGACAGCCTCTCAGGATTGTCATGAAGCAGTCCCAAGATCTCGGTAGGTTTTGCCATCAAGTCATCCAAGACTTGGGTCCAAACTTAGAGAACAATCAGCACAACGAATGCTCGGTTATGGATCACTCACACTCTGAACTCTGTCCTACAGCACCTAGACCTGGGCCACCATCAACCAGATCTTGCCTATGACAGCGGTCAGCATATATACAAGGCGATCTACAGAGCAAGACATACTGCAGTATGGTTCGAAGAGTATTCATAGAGGTTGTTGGCCCTTGATCCGGAAGGATGTGGTTGACGGGTTGCGCTGCCATCGATATAGTGTCGTCGTTGGTTGGGGAGAAAAGGGAGAGGCTGCTATCAGCGTCTTTGACGAGTATATATACCCGTTATCACCCCGATTCACCGCGGCGATAAGCGATAACGGGTATCGCACCACATGCATTGAGGCTGTCATTCTTGGCCAAATTTGGCATCGAATGGAAGCCCTTTAGTTAGAAACACACCATTGCTATTCGAATGGCATTGTCCTCGGTCACAGTGGTTTTCGCAACAAATGGCACTTAAGCTGAGCCTCAGGTGTGTCAATACCACCGCATATTGCCTGTAAGCGAGAATGGTCTGCGGGACAAGTTGAGCAATCACACTAGCCATTGAGATGCCCAATGAGAGGATCGATGTCCCGGGGACGTCAACGATGGGCCGAAGCGCAATGAACCACTTACGAATGGAAGCTCCCATCGTGACCGCCACGTGTTTGCCCATATTTACTCGGATTCCACCTTCTGCACGTTCAAACGCCATTGCCGAGAGGTCCCGTGGTGGCTGATACGGTCATTCAAGGGAAGCCTGTCTAATTTAAGTTCCTTGGTGGCATTGATCCACCTGTGGATTTGACAGCGTCCGCGGCAACGAGCTGTCCCATAGTCACCCGCAGGTCGTCAACAAACAATCACAGCAGAGACGATATGAGGTGATACTAGCACCATCACTGTTGCGCGAGGACATGGGCCTTCACACAGTGCGGGTCATGCAACAGACAGCCGGTTGTTGGTCACAGGCTTGCGGGGGGTATTCCACGAGCATTAGTTCGTGGGCTGAACCCGAGACTCACATGCGTACCTCGCGAAGGCTACGATGCTGTGTCTCAAATGACGATGCTTCTGCGCTATCAAGACGCGGCTGAGCATGAAAACGACACGGTCATTCAGTGAATCCGTACGTATCGAGAGTTTCACTCGCGTCTTGAGGCGAAAACCCACTGTTCTGCCTGCGTCATTACATCTCCATCGAAGCATGAGATAACACAAAGACGTACCGATCTCATCCATAAGCCCCTCGAAGGCGTCGGGCTCCTGTGTGGCATGCTCCATACGGAGTACATCTAGAGACTAGGGTAAACTCTGGTTGATAAGTAGCCTACTACTGCGCTGATAACACCGAAACATCACCTCACCTCCAAGTTTCCGCGAGGCAACGCACCTCGCGGTATGCGAGAATCCTGGAGGCATTGAGTTGGAGGTATTGTATGGATTAGTAGAGGATAGCAATACAGTAGCGATGACAGCAACAGCGATCGCGCCGTGCCCCTCGTTGCCTTCACAAAAGGAAGGCAAGCTATTCGAGGGCCACATATCCTTGCTCGCGTCGTAGCCGAAGCTTCGAGACTGACAAGCGCGCGATGAAAGAGTACCTTAATGATAGAGGTACCGCATTGTCCAGTCCCACCGCTCACACCCGGTCTCTTTGATGCCACCATGATCCCATGCTACACTTGCAACCGGCCGACCCTCCGGGAACCGCACGTCATAGAATTCCCCGCAATGTCCCAGGAACCGTAGGCTCCTGCTCGCGTCACGGATGACCTCGTCTACCGCCAGGGCAGCCTGAGGGCCCGAGTAGATGGTGAGAGACAGGAAGGTGACATTTGAGAAGTGCCGCCACTGCGAGACGAACGGTGATGTCAATGGCGTACATGGAAACCTGGTCAGAGACACTCACGAAGGTCACCAATGTCTCTGGGCTGAGCGGCTCTGTCGCGGAGTATGTAAGCCAGAGTACGGCAAGTCGCTTGGGAAGGTAGCGCTGGAGGGCCGTAAGCTCACGAGCGGTGAGCTCGCCATTTGTATGGAGATTGACTATCTCAAGGTTTTCCAGCGTCGACAGCATATCAAGGTATGCCGCCCGTTCGTCCTCTTGGACGCGGAATTCACAGAAAAGACGACGGAGCCGGGCGCGACCACGGAGAGCCGCGCACAATTGGGCACAGGCGGAAGCCGTGAGGCGTTCAGAGTGCGTGAAGTTGGACATCACGAGCGCGGTGAGGTTGGGCAGGTGTGAGATGGCGGAAATGAGCTCAGAGATCACATCTTCTATGTTGTGTTCGATACGGAGGAGGGAGAGAGACTGGAGTTGAGGAACACGACGAACCGCCGCAGTGAGATTAGCGAGGCTGGAAGAATGTATGAGGGAGATCTCCAAGTGGAGTAGGTTTGGAAGGCGAGCCAAGGGTACTTCAGTAGGGCAGAAATACAACATTCGAAGATAGTGGAGGCTTGGGAGTACCGTGCTGCGGGAAGGTCATGTCAGTGTGATCGGTGCAGGGACTTCGGAAGACACCGTAAACACGGCTGACGTTTGTACAAGGCAGTATCCGAGTCTGAAACTCGTGCATATCCTCTGCGTCTCCGCGGGTTCTGGGTTGTAGAGTGAGATAGACGGAACACTCACGGAACAGACTGCATATGCCGCGGTGGGAGGCACGTATCAAGGCCATCGATAATCCTGTCTAGCCGCGTAGATCTCGCCCCACCCCACGTCAACGACTCCATTGACGGAAGAACATGGATTGCTCGAGCGACCTGGTCTGACCATCACGATGTGAGCTTGTACGCGTATTCTTCGAGAACAGGATGACTTGATCTCACTCATGTGCGAACCCCAGTCGCCCACGGTATAGACATCCAGATGTTTGATCAGAGAAGCAAAGAACGCGTTGGAAAGAATGTGATCGAGGATGCCCGACGTCCTGGCGAAGTGTCGTTGATTGGTAGTATTGAGACTTGCTAAATCGTCGGCAATGACGCGGATTGAGATCTCGCGGAATGCCTTGTCCGTTGCGAAGCCATTTAAAGCACGCGAGACGAGGCGGCACGTACACAAGTCTTTCATCGCCAAGAGGTATGATTCAATGTGGTGCCAAACCTCGGGAGGCATTGGCGGGCAGTCACGGCGGGCGCGCGACATAGTACTACGTAGTCACAATGTGCAGAGGCAGCTAACTTAGTAAAGTGCGAGACGATGCGTTATCGACTCCGTGACTGTCGAGGAGGAGGAGGAGAGCGGGGGTCCATTTAGCCACCGGCGCGGCCGATAGCGCACGCGCGTCTCGACTTCTTGACGGCGACATCGCTGACCAGTAGCTACAAGTTGCAGCCTGATGCAGCGTCATGAAACGGAGCCGTTGCGGTCAGACCGACTCAGACGGCGCCGCAACTTCCTGCACGTCTCAAGGGTATTCGTTAGTCGGCAGGTTGACGGCCGAGCGTTCAGCACAAAGGTCCAATCATGCAGCAAAGGAGATGAACGCATACACTACAGTGCGAACGAGAGATCACATACACTAATAGCCCCATAAAGGAGCACAAGAACCTCATGTAATACTGTGCCGCATGTACCAGTTCCACCCCTCACACCCACTGTCCTCGATGCCACGCAACGATATCTTCTGAGTCGACCACGGCTGCAACATGGCCTGCCCGTCTTCCAGTATTCCACGTCGAGGAAGTCGCCGCGGTATTGTACGAGCTGCAGACTCTTTCCCGCATAGTGGACAATGTCATGCACCCTGGATGCCTGGCGGGACACGAAGCTGTACTGTAAAGAAATGACACGGCATCTTGCTTAGATTTGATTGCCTGGGTCATAAGATCTCGCAGCGAGGAATTGAAGCGCAGTCCACGAAGGTCGACAAGGTTTTGGAATGGCCGGTGCCGAAAAACCGCAACCGACGTACATGATTTCCTCGGCCTGGTCCTCCTACGTGCCGCACCCCGCGGAAAACAGCCGAATGCTAACGCCGCTGACCACGAAGGAGGCGAAATGGGTCTCCCGGTGTGGACGGAGGTACACCAGCACGCCTTCCAAGCGATCAAGACCTTGCTGGTGTCGCGCGAGTGCCTGACCATGAGAGATCACGGATAACGATATTTTCGTCACTTGCGACGCAAGCGACTGGCCCACGGGCGCGGCCTTGAGTTTCGGACCGACTTGGGAGAAGGCGCGCCCAGTAGCGTTCGACTCCATGCAATTGAAAGGGACACCGAAATGAACTATCCAATACGCGAAAAGGAGCTGTTAGAAATAATCCGCGTACTCAAAAGGTGGCAGGCGGACGTACTTAGCATGCCCGTCCTTGTCTACACGGGCCAGCGTGCATAGAGAAACTTCAATACCTAGAACGACCTATCGAGGCGTCAGCTCTGTTGGCAGGAATTCTTATGTGAGATTACCATTGTGTGCATCAAAGGCGAGGATAACACGGTGGCCGACGCCTTGTCTAGGCTGCCTCCCACGGTTTCCGCCTCCAGTTGGATGTCTGTCGGAGCCCAAGGCGGTCAAGACACGTCTCGACGTACTCGATCTTGGGCGCGGAGTCCGCGCGACGAACCTGACAGCTAGACGTTACGCAGCAGGTAAGTTGGGAGACTTGCGCGGAAAGTGTAGAATATTTGTACTTTCTATGCCACAAGCCGAGTCCCCCGACAATCCGCGGCCTGGAGCAATCCTGTCAGCGTCGGGACGAAGGCGTACTCGCTCAACTTGTGGCGACCTTGGAAGCTGGGAAACCGAATGCCCGGAGATGATGCTTAAGGGCCTGTCCATGCATGATCGAGTCGAGTGAAGAGCCTGACCACTGCTCAAGGGTCGATTATTCGAGGAGCAAGTTGTGCAACTGCGCATTAGATGGAGCCTATGCCGGTGTGGAGTCTCGACCTTCGACTGCAGCAGAGAGAAAATTGCGCGCGGGTACTTCCCTGGATCCTTGGACGACCCGTACCGCGGAGAAGAGAAGGGTATGTGTGGCGTGTTCAGTAGATTCGGAGCTGCGCATGCTGGTGCGCCTGTACTCGACGTTTGCGCGTTGGGCGTTGGCTGTAGGTGTGAATATATGGCTGGAGCGCAAGTGAAGGGGACCGGGCGAGGCCGGGTGGAATTGACGGGAAGGCTTTCATGAAATAGAGGCATACTGAGCGATGATTTCAGTGGCTCATACCTATGAACAACGAAGTGAGCATGTCGGATTCGAGGCGCACTACCTACCTGTTGAACGCGCCTTTGCATGCAATGCTCGCATCGTTCCGCCTTCCCGCCGCATACAGTGCGAGTGAACTGCCGTTGTTTACGAACGGATGCAGGTTGTGCGGACAGCTGGCATAGATGCGGCGCTAGTTAGAAGGGGCGCGCGCCTGGGCGGCAGTTGATGGCAAGTGATGCGCCGCCGGTTGCCTGATTAGCCCAGGAGGGCGGGGCGCCTCGCTGGAATGCGTGACGAGAGCGGGCGTACGTGGTCCGTGCGCGCATAAAGATAGCCACGGACGTTCGCGCGTACGTGAGGTGACGCCGACGACGCAGATATTTGTGGCTGCGTTGCGGCGTCTCTATTCAGTCCGGGAGGCGCGTTCAGACTCGGGCAAGGGGAAGCGTAGTTTGACCGCGTCCCGTGCGCAGATGACGCGCGGCAGCACCTCGAGAGCGCAGAAGCAGCTGTGCGAGAAGAGTGACGTGAGGCGACGAGAGAGAGAGGGACAGAGGGAGGATCGGAGATCGGGGATCTGGACTGGCGGTGGGACGCAGCTCGTCACTCTCCCCAGCCACAGCCCGGCCCTTCTCAGCCCTGCCCTCCGCCGCCCATGTCCGCCCGCCCGCCGTCCCCTCCACCCGTCGTCCGCCGCCGTGTTGCGTCTGCGCGCACGCACCTGCCGGATATGGCAGTGTGGCGGCGTGTGACTCGTGCGTGACCGCGGGCGCCTGGAGAGGGAGGCTGCGGGGGCGGCCGATTGGAATCGTCTGCGCTGCCATCGCGCGATTGCTGGCACAAGGTTATCCGCACGGCCTGCTGCTCTCTTCGCCAAGCACGAGGAATCTCCCCGTCCTCCCCAGCCCCCGGCCCCCCGCGATCCCCCACACGGCTCGATTTGCGCTCGAACGGGCGCTGCTATTGTTGTCGCTGCGGCCTGCGACGCTGGGTGCGACCGCCCCCGCCTGCGACTTCCCGCATCTCCGTCCTTCCGCGGCTCCCTGTGGCTGCTCGCCCGCTCGCTCTGTGGCCGTCGTGCCCTCCGGAGCCGGCTGTCTCCACCCGACAACGTAAGTCCGCCTGTCCTGCCCCCGCCCGTCCCCTGTCGTCCCCGCTGCCCCTCCCGTGCCGCGGTCCCGTGCGTCCAGACGCGCTCCCCTCCCTCGACGCGTCCCTCCAGACCGTGTCCCCCCGTCCCTTGCGTTGTTTTGCGTCGGGTGTGTCTTCCCGCCCCACCACGCCCCTGATGGGCGCGCCGCGTGTCGCGCAGCTTGGCTGCAGGTACTGCAGGAGTCGGCAGGCAGCGGTCGCTCCTTCATACTCAGATTCCTTCCTTCACGCACGTAGCCAGTGGCCTATGCGACGCATCTTTCATGTCCTTGTATTCTTCTGTCCTTTGTCACGTTTTGCACACGGTGCTGACGTCCTTCCTTCCAGGCTTGTGATATACACTCAATATTGCGCTACGGCGGTGCGCAAAGTAGTCAGCGCGCCCCTCGTGAGTATCTTTTCATCGAGCTTCGAACACATCCCTAACGCATCCATGCCTGCAGTCACGACGACAGCGCGGCCACGCGCCCGTCTTACACACTCTCATTCGACCACTACACGACACCTAACACGACAATGAACACGTCTCCGAATCACCCGTCCGGTCAAGGCTCGCCGCAGCCGCAGGGAGGAATCAACCCCGCGCTGCTCGCCGGCATGAACCAGGGCCAGGGCGGGATGGGCGGCGGGATGACGCCGGCGCAGATGCAGATGTACGCGCGGCAGATGAACCCGCAGATGTTGGCCGCCATGCAACAGCAGGGCATGGGCGGCGGCGGCGGAGGAGGGATGAACATGAACATGGGAGGAGGCGGCGGTGGGATGGGAAACATGGGCATGGGCGGGATGAATCCCGCGATGATGATGCGGATGATGCAGCAGCAGCAACAGCAACAACAGCAACAACAGCAGCAACAACAGCAGCAAGCGCAGCAGCAGCAGAGGAACCAGCAGCAGAGCATGGGCGGGCAGGGCGGCGTGAATCCGCAGCAGCTGATGGGCGGCGGCGGGATTAACCCTGCGGCGCTGATGGGTGGAGGAGGAGGGATGAACAACATGGGCGGCGGCGGAGGTATGGGCGGGATGGGGAACATGGGTATGAACGGTGCGTTGCTCGTTTTGTACCGGATGCGGGGAGCTGACGCGCTGCAGGGACGATGAACCCGGCGATGATGATGAACGGCGGAGGGGGGATGGGGAACATGGGGATGGGGGGCGGGATGGGGATGAACAACATGGGCGGGATGGGCGGGATCAACCCAGCCGCGCTCATGGGAGGTGAGTTTTCCGTCTACCTGATCGCTCGCTGCGAACTCAATGTACCGCAGGGGCGCCGTCGCCATCCGCGTCTTCGCCGACGATGGCGAGCCCGCAGCAGCACTTCCACTCGGGCGGGTCGCAGCCGACGTCGCCCGCGCTGGACGTGTCGCCGGGGTCGCAGTTCGGGATGGGGGGCGGACACGGGATGGGGGGGATGCAGGGGATGGGGAACATGCAGGGGATGAACAGCCTGCAGGGCGGGATGGGGAACATGAGCGCGGGGATGGGGATGAACGCGCCGTCGACGCCCGGGCCCGGAAACATGAACGCGGCCATAGCGATGCAGAACTTCGGCCTGCAGCCTGCGCAACTCGCGGCGCTGGCGCACCTGCCCCCCGCTGAACGCGAGAAGCATCTCATGCAGATGAAGGCGATGCATATGCAGCGGATGGCCGCGATGCGCGAGCGACATGCACAGGGACAGGGCGGCCAGGGTCCGCCAGACGGCCTCTCCGGTCATGGTATGCAAGGTATGCAAGGTATGGGCGGAATGCAGGGCATGCAAGGGATGCAGGGTATGCAAGGCGGGATGCAAGGCATGCAGAACATGCAGGGCGGAATGCAGGGCATGCAAAGCGGTATGCAAGGCATGCAGGGCGGCGCGCAGGGCATGAATCCCGCCCACGAACGCTTCCAGCAGCTCTCGCAAGGCCAGTACGACCCGCACCAGCGCCCGTCGTCCGCCGCATCGACGAGTTCGCACCGCGCGTCCAGCGTCCAGCCGCCCGGCCTGCCCATGGGCCACCCGCAGGCGAACCAGAGCCAGATGATGCCGCCCCCGACCGCGATCCCTCCCCGCCCGCCGACCGCCGCGTCCCAGCGCCAGCAAGGCCAGCCGCAGTATGGCAACCCCGGCGCACCGAGTCCGCGACCGCATACAGCAGGCGGGCCCGGTACGACACCAAGCCCGCGCGTACACTCCGGACCACTGCCTCCTGGGACCCCGGCGCCTGGTTCTGCCGCACCGACGCCAGGACCTGGTGGGCCGATTCCTATTCAGCCACGTCCGATGTCTACTACTCCAGGCGGGGGCCCGATGACAAGGCCGGGGACGAGCGCCGGGATGCACGCCGCGTATATGCAGGCGCAGGCGAATCAGGCTCAAGGCCAGGAAGGGATGAAAGTGCCGAGTCGACCTACCACGGCGTCTGGATTCGCGCAGCCTCACCAGCAAGGAGGACAGAACGCGGCGATGCTAGGGCCGAGTGGAGGGCAGCAGGCGGCGAAGAGCCCGAGTGGTTACCCGCCGATTGCGCCTGCACCGACTGCGCCAGGTAGCCCGGTGCGCGGGGCGAAGAGGAAGGTCGGAGGGACGCCTGTACCTGGAGGACAGCCCGGTCAGCAGCATGGACAAGGACCTCAAGCACAGCAGCAACAACAACTCGGTCAACCGCACTCTCAACAGTACGTCCAGCAAGCTCAGATGCAACACCAGCAAGAGAACTTGTCGGCTCCCGTTCCTCCTCAAACGCCTCGTCTCTCGATGTCTACGGCGAGCATGCCTAACGCTGGTGCGAGCGCAAATGGAACACCGACCTCTGCCGGTCCTCAGACCGGTCTCACTGGCATGGGCATCGCCGGGAATGTGGGGCAGAGTACTTCGTCCTCCAACGCGTTGATGAACATGGGCATGGGCCTCATGGGCGGCGCGGGCGGAGGCATGATGGGCCCGCCTGTCTTGCCGAGGACCGCTAGCCAAGCTGGAGAGATGGGCATGAGCATCGGTGTGAACGGTCGCCAGATGAGCGGCGGTCCTATGGCCGGCGCGATGGGCAGGGCTTCACCTATCCAGACGATGAACGCGGGTGTGGGTCTTGGCGTTAGCATGGACATGGCTACGCCACAGACCCCAGTGCGGCAGGGCTCGCAGCCGCCTGCGCCGGTGACCTCTCCTTTCGCTCACACCGGGACCCCCGCTGCGAATGCCGGAGCAGGAGGGATGTTTGACGCGCCCGGTCTGGAACGCAAGCCCAGTGTTCAGGAGGGCGCTGGCGCATCGACAGCCGACAGCACGCACTCTCGATCTGTATCGAACGGGGCGCCGGCATCTACACCTGCGACGAACGGTGTCTCTGTGGCAGCGCCTCCGCCACCGACGATCATTCCGCAGCTACCTCCGCTCAACGTGCAGCTCAACCCGAAGATCTCGCGAGTCGCGATTGTACCCCTTGTCGAATCGGCGACCAAGATACCGCCGCTGACGCCAGAGGAGATCGCGAACGTCAAGAAATGGATGGAGGTCGACAAGGAGTACGACGGACGGTACAAGGCGATGAAGGAGAAAATGACAGTGGAGATGCGGGAGACTGTCGGCAAGCCCAAGGCATGGTGGGAGAAAGACTCGGTCATGGAGGAAGGGCGGGTGCCTATGCCGTCTCATAGAGGTCCGGGCACGAAGAGGCCGGAGAAGTGGAGCCTTACAGGCCTGAAACAAAGCAAGGAGAAGGAAATCAAGGACAAGAAGCGAGCCGGTAAGAGGGAAGGTTTCAAGCCGTGAGTGCTTCATTTCGGACGTTGTCGACCTCAAGATATACTGATGCGACCTTCCTAGACCGAGGAGGCTGAAGCCGGAAGACGCGAATCGCCCGGAGCAACTCGTGCCCATTCGCCTTGAGTTCGATGTTGACCACCACAAGATGCGGGATACATTTGTGTGGAACTTGAATGGTAAGGATTCGTTCGACAGGCCTCTGCACGCATGCTGATGTTTCCCAGATCCCGTGATTACTCCTGAGATCTTCGCCCAGTCCGTCGTAGAAGATTATAATCTACCACCTAGCTATCACTCAGTCATTACGAAGGTCATTCAAGACCAGCTCAGTGACTACAAGGCTCACTCTGCTACCTTTGGCGAGGACGGAGTATTCGTTTCATCCGACACGGAAGACATCCAGAGCGGGGCTTTCGACGATGAAGAAGCCGAATGGTGGGAATCGTGGAGGAAGACCGTCCGGTCGCCAACGTTCCACAAACGGGCTATTGGACTTGCAGACATACGCAGTCGCAAACGTCGGAAGCTCGTCAAGGAAGAGGTCGTAGATACGCCCACTCTGGCGACCGTGTCAAGTACAGAGGTCCCGATGTCCGTGGATGACTTCGACGAAGACGAAGACTCTATGCAGGAGGAATTACGGATACTGATCAAGGTAGGAAGGGTCATTGTTGACTTTGGATGCCCACTGATCGCCTATCTGTATAGCTGGATGTCGTCGTCGGCTCTGTGAAGCTGGAAGATCAATTCGAGTGGAATCTAGAGAATGGTGATCCCACACCCGAGCAATTCGCGGACATCTACTGCCGCGACCTTGGCTTGGGCGGTGAATTCAAGTAAGCATCTTTGTCGCACACATCAATGCTCAAGCTCACTCAAATGCAACAGAACCGCCATCGCGCATGCGATACGCGAGCAAGTGCAGATTTATCAGAAGTCCTTGTTCCTGGTTGGTCATCCGTCAGATGGTTCTGCGGTTCAGGACGACGACCTTCGCATGTCTCTACTGCCATCCCTCACCACTGGCGCGCGTGCAATTGACCAAGTCTCTGCGTTCACTCCCATCCTCAACTATCTCAGCGACAGCGAAATCGAACGCAACGAGAAGGAACGCGAGAAGGAACTCAATCGTCGCAGAAGGAAGACTACGAGGGGAAGGCGAGGAGTTGCTCTGCCAGACCGCGAACCTCCGAAGACGTTCCGTACCCCTGCGATCGGCTTCCCGGAAGTCGACGCAGCGACGCTGGCAGCAGTCACAGCGGCAGCAGCGCCTACGTCGAGACGTGCAGCCGCAGCCGCAGCTTCGCATAATATCGCGAACATGATCGCCTCGGAGAATGGCACAGTTGTACTGCCGTCCGCCCAGCCTACCCCGCTCGCCCCTATCGCTCACAGCGCACCCAAGGAGAAGAAACCGAAGGGTCTCTTCAAAGCGCCCTCTTTCCCGTCCAGCGTCCTTCGCCCTCGGGTCAACCTCCGTGGGGCAATCACTTCGACTGCCGCGGACCCGTCAACATTCCCGCCTCCCATTGAGGGCGACCAACCGTTGCCGAGCAGTAGTGCAGGAGCAGACAGCAAGGGTGCTAGAGTGGTCTTGTCGGCGAAGCGGACGAAGGAACTCGAGCGGGAGGCCAAGGAGAAAGAGTACGCTGACGGGCAACATGCGAATATGATCAACGGCGTGTGGCATTGCTCGAACTGTGGCTGCCCTGAGAGCATCGCTGTGGGAAGGAGAAAAGGTCCACTTGGAGATAAGTCTCAGTGCGGCACATGTGGTATGTAATCGCCGGGTCTTTCAATAGGAGGGTACTAATTCGTTCGCAGGGAAATTCTGGCATAGACATCGTCGACCCCGCCCGGTCGAGTACAACGCGGACGAAGAGTACCATCGCAACCTCCTCAGGGAAGCAGAGCAGGCCCGTATTGCAGCCAAGCGACGCCGTCCCCCACCTTCTCAGGTCGACGACCAGTCCTCGAAGGCCGCGCCCGAGGACGGCGACGCAGAACCCGAGACCCCTAAGATGCCACAGAGCGAGGTCCCTGCGGAGCCTCAATCGTCTCACTCTGCAGCAAGGGCGATGTCCCCGATGTCAACCGCATCGAGCGCGTCGGAGTCGCCGCTTGCCCAGCGCGTGACCAGATCAACTGGGGCAGCGTCGGCGCCTCCGGAGCCTTGTGTATCAGAGAGTAACGGCGACGCGGAGACGACCGCTGCTGCACCACCTACGGGCTCACCACCCCAGCCGCCGCCATCTGCACCGCCGAGCACGAGCACAAACGTGGTAAGTGTGAGTGCGCTTGAGCCCTGATGGGTCAAGTTCTGACTGGGATGGACAGAGGACGACGATGCCGGAGTGGCTTTCGCGTGCTATGCAGGAGATACAGGGGAGGTATCCGGACGACAGGTTCGAGGTGACGGCTCGCAAGCCAATGGCCCCAAATGCTACAGCACCGGAATGGCGTCTCAAGTGCCTAGACTGCCCCGGAAAGGTACGCCGTGCTACTCGTTCGAGGACGACGGGACCTGAGCATGTCTTCTCCTACTAGTTGTATACCCCTGGACCGGGAGAGACGCTCCAAAACTACGATGTCCATCTGCGCAACCGTCAGCACCGTCAAAAGGTCATCGCGCGCGTTGAGGCTGCGCGAGCGACGACATCATAAGCCTCGAACATTGTATACCATCGACCGTCTCCTGCCCGTCTTGAATGCGCTGCTGTTCGAACCTGTTGTTATCGAGTTATACATCGTCAGTGTACTATGTGTGCTTAGGTATTTATCGACGCCGAGAGCCCTTGTAGAGTAACATTAATGAATTCTCCGATTATCATTGAATAGACGGTCCGAGTTATAACAGAACTAAGAGGGCATCCGGTTCGTGCATTATGGTGTATCTTCAACCATGTTCACGCTTTACTGTAGAGCCGGAGTGAACACATTCATCTTAGATTCCAATGCTCAAATGTTCAACGGCGTTCAACGCTGTTCAACGGCGGCACGGTGCACGTGGGCGCGTTTAAGCGTGCGACCGGACGTGCGCGCGCAGTGAGGATTATCATTCACTCTGACTCTTGACTGGCTCCGTGACGGTGAGTGGCCTTCGAAACTACTTGGGTACCTCATATAGGGACTATGTTATGCTTATATATTGTAGCATTTCCATGCCGCAAGCTCGTTGCAATGCGCTGCCCCCAGAAGTATGGCACCAAGTCATATCATACCTTTCGAAGATCGACATCTGTCTGTGCCGCCTCATCTCGCACAAGTTCAACGATATGGCGGTCAATGAAGCTCTCGCTGAACTTAGCATCACCATTGGATCACGGGCGCGGCATGGAGAGCCCGCCGCATCCGAATTTCAATCTGCCCAAGAGCAAGTCGCTAGGACATCCAGCCTCATCGATCGCATAACGCATGACCCGACATTTGCCTCTTTTGTCAGACGCTTAGTGGTCCACTTCTATGGATGGAGGCAGCATCAGATGGGTGAGCATCATGAATACAGACGCTGTTTAATGCGGATGCGAAGTTCACGGCATGATGGATAGAAATTCTCGTTGATGCGCTTTGTTCCCTGCATCGACTCCAATCGTTTACTTGGTTCGGGGCAAGACTTGTACCCTCGGACAACATACTACATGCTCTTGAAAGGGGTTGTCCGTCACTGCGTGTATTGTCTCTCCCGTCAGTGTGCCGTTTAGCAGAATTTCTAGGCCGGCCCACGCTGATATCCATACGATAGGTTACAAACATACCAGAATCGGAAACTGTCACATAGTATCCTCAGTCGCCTTCGCAGCATCTCTGTGACACCCCCAGAGTTCGGGACGACTATACGCACGACACTGACATCTCTGTCGTGTAACACATCACTTGAATCCCTTTGTTTTCTCCGGATGTTCTATTCCCGACCTGCCGACATCCCGCTCGCCCATCTGCCGAACCTCCTTGAGCTCGAGGTAGCGTTCACAGATACATACGATGGTCTTGGCGAGGCCGTCCGCCAAGCCCCACAACTCCAATCTCTCTGCCTCTTCTGGATTACACATGAAGTGGACGAAGTGATCCACGAGGTCGTCGCCGCCATCTCGCATCTACCCAACCTCGCCATGCTCGCGATCCAACATGGTACCACATACACACCTATTCCGGCCGCCGCGTGTGCGCAGTTCTGTGCAGCCCTCCGGGGCCGAGCCAGGCTTCGCCGTCTCTTCTGCAACTTGCGCATCCGGCACGATGATTGCGCGGCACACCTCGATATGCTCGCCACACTGCCCAACCTCGAGATATTGGCTCTCGTAACGGAAGATGTACTCTGCGTCGAATTCCTCGCGGAACTTCAGCGGTGCCTCCCTGCACAACTCTCCGTGCTGATGCTTTCGCACACGTACGCAGATTCGCATGGCCCTCAGGCATTCTTACGCTTCGTGGGTGTCCCTCACTATCGCTAGTAGTGCTGTCGTGAACACAGCTAACTGAACTTATTCTCGTCTCGCAGTGGCAGCATTTCTCGAACCTCAGCTTCCTGCGAGTGGAAGCATGGGCAGCCCCTGGCCTGACGGCGCATGACATCGTCCACCATGCGGGAAAGAGTCTGCAGCTCGTACAATACCGCGGCGACGTCCTCGACGTGGAACACTGGGAAGATGGACAGACCATGTTGTGGCCGTGGTCAACGCAGAAGATATTGTTGCGTGGCATCGAGGACAGTGGGTGCGAGGGGTGGAACTGGTATATGCGGCACAGTCTCGCATGAGGTTCTTGTGCTCCTTGATGAGGCTATGAGTATATGTGTATAATCTCTCGTTGGCACTGTAGTGTGTGACTGTGCGTTCGTCTCCTTCGTTGCATGATTGGGATCTTGCGCTGAAAGCTCGGACTTCCGCCGTCGACTTGACGACTCACGGGTACCCTTGAGGCATGCAGCAATCCTTAAGTAATTGGTAAAGATGGTCGACGCTGGGCTGGAACTGTGAAAAATGTACGCCAAACCTCGAGTATGATCGTGGCGGCCCTTCTGGTGCTCTCCTAGCACGCATACCCCGAAGTGACTACCATTCGGACTAAGCTACTATGGGGAGCATACAACTCAGCTTCTTTCTAGCGCGACGCCACAAGGCTTCCTGTCTACGGGGCTCGTGAGTCGATCCATGGCTGGAGACTCGGCATGCGAGTCCTGTATATGATTTCTTGGTACCAAGAGGTCCAGCTGTCTTGAGTCACTGCGCGCTGCGCTCGTATTCTATGTGTCTGCAACTCGGCCGTACATGTCTGCGGTCCGACTCGACAAAGCACCATATGAAGATGACCTCACACGAAGGCTAAATGTCGCATCAACCAGTCACAACCCTCATCTGCGCAGTCCTCAATGCCACCAAACCTGACCTTTCGTGCAGACCAAGGACCCTGAGCAACAGAGACGCCTTTCCGATTCCGCCTCACGTCGTAGAAGTTGCCGTTGTAGCCCACCGCTTCGAGGTTCTTCGCGTCGCGGATCATGTCGCGTACAACAGCGTCTCGCCCTCTCCTACGCGTGACATCGACCTCTATCTGGATGAAGCGAAGGCATTTGAAGTGCTTGTGCTAAAGTCATCGACTCGGAGTCAGCGAGCACTTCTTGCAACTGCCAACAGACGGATCACTCACGAACGTCACGGTCCTGAATGTTGATTTGACTCGGACCGTCAGGGTCCCCGTCGTGCTGAGAGAGAGTGCGACGAGCCTGCTGTGTGTGCTGCCAGGCAGGTGGCGCCTTAGGAGTGCAAAGAACGCGGCATCGAGCCTCTGACCTTCTAACGCGAGGTGAAGGGTGTCGAGGCACCTGAGTTGGGCGATGGCGGAGAGATATGTAGGCAGATGTTCAGACGTGATCCGGAGGTTGAAGTATAGGCGGTGTAACCGCGAGCAACACCGGAGGGCGTCACAGAGCCTCGCAACTTCAGTTGTGCTCAGAGGACCATCATTGCTGTGCCCCTGATGCACCATATGCCGGTGCACATGGATCCCCAGAGCGGTTAATTGAGGTAAGTCGCGTATTGCCGACGACAACTCAACGAGGAGTCGGGTCAAATTCCGCCTCAGAGCAGCCTCGCGGCTGACCGCAACGGAGAGCGACTCCAGCTCCGGGATTCCACGAAGAAGATTGCCTAGGCCTCTGCAGGATTCCGTGAGCGTGATGTCCAGATGCCTAAGACGAGGCACACATGGTAGGGGGAACTCCGCGGGAGCGTTGCAGAAGAGCCCGGGCCGTAGAGTGTGGATATTCAAAGGCCTTCCCGTACGGAAGAGTGTAGCGCGGAGCGTGTGTGTGACACTCTCAAGGTAGAGCGATGAGTATTGGGACAGCGACTCGGCTGTTATGGAATGGAGACGCGCGATAATGGGCCATGGTAGTATGCTCAGCGCACTAATTCTAAGGTACATCATAGTACATATGTGAGTGTCTGCATGGCGTGCAAAGACAGGATACGTGACTTACGGAATTGATAATTCACCGAGCAGCGGCCAGCAAGTCTGGAGTGCGTCAATGACCTGTGAACGAGGAAGAATGGCGTCGCCGCCGATCCACACCAAGCAGCGCAATTGGCTGAGCGAGCGTATTGCCGCAACGAGACGGTCTGTCAACATATGGTCGTGAGCGGCACTGTACCACAAGAGCGGCGCGCAACGCCTGAGTTAGCACTGGTAGTGTGGGGCGCCAGACTCACGTATCCAGTGAGTACTCGCGAGGCCCTCGTCGAAGACGTAGACATGCAGCCTTTTGACGCCTCTGGCGAAAGACGGTTCGGACGTGATGCGATCGAGAACAGCGGAGGTTCTGTAAGCTTGCACTTCCAATACGTCTGCACGCGGATTCCAGTCGAGCCCGTCAGCGTTCAGTGCTCCTGTAGGGTCATAGATCCCCAATGATATGGTAATGCAGGATAGGGCCATGCCCATCGAGAGGCCGTTGAATGCCTGCGAGACTAGGCGACAGGTGCGTATGCTGGCCCTCGGGAGATGAGATATGATTTCTTGCCATATCTCCGGGGGTGCGCGGTTGGAGGAGAGCTGTGGCATAGACAGAGAACGAGAAGCAAAGTTGGCTTGGCGTCGAACGTGAGCTGGATCAGCCGTGGCGCCGATGTTGTTCGACTGTCGCCGGTACTGTAGCAAGTCGAGCTATCAAGACTCGTACTCGGGGCAGCCTACGTGAACCCAACGAATGCTACGGCTAGGTATAGGCCAGTAGACGCACAAACACGCGGCCGCCACGCAGGATCGAGGGTGCGTGCCAAATGAGATAATGTACGTAGCACTTACCACGTTGCTATAAGTCTGCCAATAACCGAGTTACCTCATCGTGACTATGCGAACAGAAGGTTGCTCACCAGGCGGTCCCCCGCTCGCGGTAAAAATTAAACCTGCACCGACGACGTACCTCGGAAGTACGTGAAATACCGGTGATCGAGCGATCGGGCCTACTGCTGACGCAGTGCGCACAGTTGATGAGCCATTGGATGACACCATGCTGCTGCAGGTGCGAATAGTAAGTACACCAGGTTCCGGTTGCTATAGAGGGCTATCCTCGTTCAGACGTACATCGGGACCGCAGACCGAGCGTTCCAACCTCCGTGGAGCAACACCGATGAGTGCAGTAGGGGGTGTGATCTGCAGACTGCGTGAACTGGATGTAATCTGCTGCGGGGTGCTCACCAGTGCTCATCGAGTCTTCCACCCATCACTACAGAGATCTGGTCGGCACATCTGGTGTCGGAGGGGATCGACGCGTCGACGCGTCGGACGATCGCTGTCCGACTGCACCTAACACTGGCAGTTGATTGTGAGCGGCTGACCGCGTTGTACAGGATACATTGCACCGAGGTGAGCTAGGCAATGCACGTCCGACGAAGTGTGCGAATCAAAGGAGTCGGAGCGAACTACTCGTTCAGAAATGGAGAGTTTCCAGCGCAGGCACAAGCACAATTCTTGCGCAAGACCGTGACCTCGATGGTAGATGTAGAGGTTTCGTAAACGGCGCCTCACCAACCCTTCGGGTACGTCGTAGAGGCTGCGCACTGTATGCGATGTCACCCGTCGGCCCAGTGTGACGCCTGCTAGCGATGGTCTAGAACACTCACGCGGGGGAGCACGCACCAGTAATGGACGAGCGTGTCGAGTAGTGCCTTCCATACCGACGTCCGTCGCTCGCGCGGTCTCAAGACCGAAGTATGTCCCGCTAAAAGGGGGGCCTGTGGGACGTCGTGAGCAATTCATCGTAATGGCACTGTAACGTACCGCCAGCAAGAGCCCGCCGCTACTCACAGAACTGAGACGCAAAGAGAGACGGAAGAGCGATGGCCACAGAGTACGCGCTAGCTGGAGGTTGAGATCTGAGAGGGCGGTGTATGCAGCAACACCTCGAGTGGAGCCGTGTTACTGCGTGTCACAATGTAAGCCGCGTGTCGCCGACCGATGACGACTCGACGAAGAGCCGGTCTCGCCCCAGGGTCGCCTTGCGGCTGACCGCCATAGAGCGACTGCAGCTCCCGGGCTCCGCGAAGAAGATCGCCCCGTGAGGTGAACGACAGGATCCTGAGGCGGTTCGTCGGAGGGCGCATCTTGCGGAGCATCTGCCTACCGGACGCAGGTTGCAATCAAATTGGTATAGCGGAGGAACGTCCACAGAACACTATACGCACCGGGGCACCAGCGTCTTCGTGCAAGTCGGAAGTACAAAGTTACTTGAGACGATTTCGCCGATGGACTTACAACATGCACACCGGGTTCTACTGCGTGCAAACCATGTATTTTCAGATGTCTATCAGGCAATCTACTTCGTCCGTCCTTTGGATACCACGTAACCTTCATCACTAAGCACTAAGCGAGGAATTCCGCACGATAACAGCCATGTACACACCTATTGTCTATACGAATTCAAAAACGTATCATAGTAATGCGACCGGAATTGGAGTGTACACGCTCGCTCACGGCTCAGGCACGATTGAAGAGTACCTCATGAGCCATTCCCAGCCTTCACAACCCAAGTCGCGCGCATTGCGGAACTCGAGTTTACGATGTGACCATGGAGACAGTGAAAGCGGCTGGTCGGCTCGGCGTTCCACATCGTAGAAACGGCCATTGTAGCCAACAAGCTCGAGCGTAGTCGATCCCTCCACGATAGCGTCCACCGTGATGTCTGTCTCTGCCCAAGTTCGGATGTACAGGTACTGCAGATTGGTGAAGTATGCCCACTGTTCGTGTCTGCATTAGTGCTATCGCCCATCACTCTGACCACTACTCACAAATTGCGATAATGCATTGCGGTCAGTTAGATGCCCATCGGTGGACAGGCTCATGGCCACAAGGCTCGACGGGAGACGGGAGAGCAGGCCCACACTGAATTCCTGAGTAAGAGGTTGGTCCAACATGGCCATGTGGAACACCTCCAAATTCTTCAGAGTACCGATAGCTTCCAGAAATAACCCTATACATCCGGTAGGTATATTTACGGCGTAGTCGACGCGCCGCAGTGAAAGCCTGTTCCGTAGAAAGTCGGCGAGAATTTGGGCTTCATCCATCAGCACCGTATGGTCGAGGTCTGACACACCGAACGACTCCAAGTTCGGCAAGTCGGATTGGAGAGATGACACGCACGCGTACACTGCATCTTGATGTAATGGGCCCGCGGTAGTAATGGATAGCAAACGGAGATCAGGCAGTCCGCGGAGGACACGCTCGAGGCCATCGAACGTCTTCATCAAGACCAAGTTCAGATGCGTGAGATTTGGCAGACACGCGGCCGGGATATCTGCTGGTCTACGAAATGGTACCTCCAGTGTCTGCAGGCTCTCTTGGATCGTCGTACACATCTTCGTCGAGAACGAGTGGTCCGTGATCTCCGCGTCCAAGTCCATCGATGTTGTACTTATGCCAATAGAGCAGACGCGATTGAGTCTTTCGAGCGGCAAGTCGCCAAGCGACTCCATGCTGCTCGGCGCCATGTCAGTTCGAGCATATCGATAGGTACGAAGATGCACTCACGGGACAGAGAGGTGACGCAGAGATCGACACAATCGCGCAAGCGAGTCTATAATCGCTACAGTTGGCTGCGGGCCGTGCCGTGCCAAATGAACGAGGAGAGACTGCGCAGACAACCTAGCGCAGTCACCAAACAGCCTGGGTACAGGTCTGAGGTTTCGCATCGTTCTGTTCCAGTTCAAATGCATGCACTCACGGATTTCAAAGGCCCTTCTCTCGCCATCAACTTTATACGCGTGGACCTCCATGTCTCTGATCACCGACGCGAAGTGCGGATCCACGATGATATGGTAGAGCAGATCGAACGACCTGGACGACCGCTCATCCTCCAGCTTGTCGCCTTGTATATAGCCCGCATCCGTATAGGACTCCCAAGCACCAAAACAGATAGTGAATTCATAGAATACGAGGCTGAGGGCGATGTCATGGAATGCTCTCGAGACCGAGAGGCATATCCGTCTGGATGGCCTAGGCAACCGCGCGAAGTTCCTGCCATATTTCCGGGGGTAACCCAGCATAAGCGAGCATCTTGACGGAGCAGGGTGCGTGCAGTGTCCAAATCGTTCTCGTGGTGTCAATGATGTTGGCGTTCGAGGCGGAGCCCAGTACACATGTGGTGGTAGTAGTACAAATCGAAGTCAAGTTGTGGCTGAAGTCGTACTAGACGCCCACATAAGTATCGTATCGGAGCCTCGTCGCGGCCTGGCGCAGCCCGTCACGATGCCGCATCGCCCACTATTAGTATAGCGACCCGCACCTCTCCTGGGATACGCTCCAGTCGGAGATGCAGCTCAATGTCGACGACCTGCTTCCGGAGCTTATGACTGGTACTTATTCTCGAACATGACTGACTTCCTGCTCATCAAGGTACAGTGCCACTTCCCGGTTCACCATCCTGTACGACGTCGCCCCGACGATCATAGGAGCTTCGAGCAGGTGCTGCAGATGTGAGTACCTTTCTTTGTTCATCAATGCGCTTGCGCGGAGAGGTTGCGAGCTAGCAGATGATGTGAAAAAATCGTCTTTAAGAATGCACGGTTTCGTGATGTGATTGTACTTATGGTGTCCAGAATTTTGTCCAGCTGATACCGTTACTGCCCGGGCCCTCTGTCGTTCGAATGTAATCATGCTGTGCTGTTTACTGATGACGACGGGTCTCCGATAGGTATGCGACGCAGAAGTCCCAGCGTGACAACATACGGCTGCTAACCCAGCACCACGTCCGAGTCGAGCCTGTAAGTGGTCGCAGTTCTTGGTATGACGCTATCAGTATGCTCATTGAGCGAGGATATATGTAGGGCAAGATTTATGTCGAGGAGCAAGGCAAAGGCGGGCCTCATCCGTTGTCCGTTTGTTCTGGTTCTGACGAGCAACATATATAGTACACTTCGGTTTACCCATCTGGAGCACGGGCCTCGCACTGAATCCGCCGATACTAGTAAGCACCACAGAAACTGAGACAGGCCCGAAGACTAAGAGGCACGAGATTGAGCGTGGCGGTAAAGTACGCATGTCGACGGCTGTGTGTAGCTTGATGACCTCGACGAGCACTTCAACGTAGTCATGAAGGGCACGGGCATGCCTGACCTGGACGTCTGGGCCTTGGGCGACGCCGCGATGATCAGTGAGATGCCTCTCCCAGTCACTGCCCAAGGTACCTTCTCCCCTGCTCACTTCTCACCATCTCGCAGTCGCCAACCAGAAGACGAAATACCTCTGGAAGCAGCTCAATGCCGTCACAAAGGACCAGCGTGCAAAGGACCCATTCCGGTTCCACAACGCGGGTCGCTCGCGTACATCGGCGACCGGCAGGCGTTGTACGACCGCACACGTGCGTGAAGAAGTCGAGGGGGAAGGAGGCGGGGCGGTTCGCGTGTTCGCTGTGGCGCTCGGCGTACTTCACCACGACGCTGAGCTGGAAGAGCAAGTCGTCGCTCGCTCTCTTCCTACTCTCCTCATGTTTGTGACTGGGAAGTGGTGGTCACTGACGGGTGTCTCTCGCGTTGCAGGATTCCCGTTCCGACGTAGTGGTGAGTGGGCGCCGAGTGTGCTTTGTGGGCGCGCAGGGGCTGACGGTCGACCTGTCACAGCTTCATGTAATGGATCTTCGGCCGGGGCATGAGTCGCTTCTAATCGGGACAGCAGAGCACGGTGGGACGGTGGTACAGTGGGATGTGGGACGGTGGGACGTGGTGGACCGCCGATGGCCTGTGGGTTGAATAGGGAAGCACGATGATCGTGTGTGACGATCGGGCGTGGTGGATGTGAGGGGCACGCTAGGTGAGCGAGGTGAGTTGTGTTCAGATCTTCAGCGAAACAGCCTATGAGATAGCATAACTGATGATATGGTTGAGCAGATCGCACGATCTGGAGGACCGCTCGTCCCCCAGCTTGTCGCCAGGCAATATGTAGCTCCTAGAGGACTCCCAAGCGCCTTCCAGTCATAGAATACGAGGCTGAGGGCGAAACCGTGGAATTCTCTCGAGACGGAGAGGCACATCCGTCTGGATGGCCTAGGCTTTCGAGCGACGACTTCCTGCCATATCTTTGGAGGTAATCAGCGTGAGCGAGCATCTTGACGGTGCACGGCGCGTGCAGAGTCGACACCGTTCGCGTCGGTTCAATGATGTTGGCGGTCGAGGCGGAGTCCAGTGCACATAGCACATCGCCCCATGCCGCATCAATACGTATTGGTGTACTTACATGTCTGGTAACATTGTACAAGTTATAGTTGAGTAGTCCAAGTTGCGAGCGCCACATACGCGCCGGGTGTGAAAACTTGAGATCTGAGATCTGAGCCCCCGAACCTTCACTCAGTCTCAAGCTCCAACCAGAACAACCACATCCTCAGGCTGGCTGCCGCTTTGCACTTACATTCTATAGAGCCTACGGGAATGGTCTTCACGCAACACGAGATACTGCCTTACTCAGGCTTGCCACCGGAAATATGGAAAGAAGTGATAGTTCATCTATCTAAGGCCTCTCGGCGGATATGCCTCTCTGTCTCGAGAATGTTTCATGACTTCGCCGTGCGCCTTGTCTTCTCTGAAGTGACTGTCCACTTTGGTGCCTGGGAGAATCATGAACACGAGGACATCCTGCATGGCGACGAACTAGAAGACGAACGATCATGCAGGTCGTTCGGCCTACTCAATCGCATCATCGTGGACCCCTCCTTTGCGTCCGTAATTAGGGACATGGAGGTACATGCGTTCAAGTTGGATGGTGTGAGAGGCGCGTTCGAGATCTGTGAGTGTGTACCTTCGACGCCTACAGAGCTGTGCGATATTGTTTTCGCCAGGCTGTCTGGTGACTGCCATAGGCTCCCTGCGCGAGCTGTCTTCCTTTCTGTGGCACGGAAATGCGCCGTTACCAACTGCCGCAGTCATCGAATCGCTAGAACGGTCGTGTAGACAACTCCGCGCTTTGTCCGTGCCGTATGTGTAGCCGTCAGCTCCTCTCGCTCAACAGTCTCATACACGACCCTTTGGAATAGCCTGGAATCACTCGACGCGCTGCCGTTCGAACGCCTCAGCTTCGTACGCTCTATCAGCATCAGTACGACATGGCCAGACGAAGACCTGATAACGGACCATTCGTTGACAACCGTAAAGTGCAAGACCGTCCACGAGAATTTGCAAATGCTCGAGTTCCCGTTTCACTCTCCCATGAATGTCCCGGTCAATTACCTACCGAATCTCACGCATCTAGGCCTGGTCATCGTGTCAACGCTTGATGGACTGGGGCCTGCTCTTCTCCAGCTCCCTCATCTACGCTCCCTGTCCGTCTTCTCGCCCTCGCAGCAAGAAGACACGCTATTTACTACGCTCTCGAGCCTGCGGCAGGAACTCCGTGGTCTCACCTCACTGGCGCTGCAATGCTATGACAGTAGCATCCTACCGGCTCATCATGCGCAGATGCTCGCCAATTTCCTGCGGGACAGACACTTGCTGCGACGCCTCTACTGCAATTTCGAGATACCTCCGGAGAGCATGAGTTTCTATCTCGATTCTGTCGGTACGTTGAAGAAGCTTGAGGTCTTTGACCTCCGGATGACGAGCCAGCCGTTCACTGCCGAGTTCATCGCGGGCCTGCTCGCTCACCTCCCCGCTGGTCTTGCCGCTATGAAGCTGACTAGCAAGGGATCACTATCGGATGCTAGCGTGTTCTCTCGGTTTGTAAGTATTCCAGCAATCTACACGGCGATATCGCTGATCTCGCCGCTGCAGTGGTCGCACTTCACTGACTTCCAGTACCTCTACATCCGGACGTGGGCGGAGACGGACATCAAGCCGGACGCGATCATCGCCGGTGCGGAAACCCTGCGGCTCATCGGCTACAACGGTCACTTCTACGACGTTGAGCACACCAGCGGCAAGCCGACACTGTGCCTACCGTGGTCCGCGCGCAAGGTGGTCTTCCGCAATGCGCGCGATCTTGGGTGCGAGGGATGGGAATGGCTGATGCGGCACCTCACCATTGTGCCATGAGTGCGCGGCGCGGACTTGGGCAGCGCATCGCCGTGATGGGTTGGTCTGGGGGCTATGGAGCCGTGTGAGGTGCGTACGATGTCCGTGCGTGTGATGTTTCGCACTCAGCGGCTTGTAGCTTGGTTGCTACGCGGGCACAGGGGCTGAGAGAGAAGACTTGCCTCACGTACGACATGTTATGCCGCCCTGTACAATACACACTGGGATAATTTTTTTGCTTGTCAATGCATCAACACGTCGCCTACCGAGGGGTGTGATCTCGGTAAATAAGCCCTCTCATATACTCACCGCTTCTGCTACTACCCTACATGCCTTCGAGCGCGATGTGTGCAGCCCAGATGCATCGCGGACTAAACATTAGGCGACCTAATTGCCCAAATACGCAGGTAGCGCGGCAAGCATAAACTTCATTGTACGTATCCTCCACCGAGACCAGCTCTACCCGGCGCCAGGCAAATGTACGTTCCTCGAATTTACGTCCCCTCGGTGAATCATCTCAGCGCGCCCCTCATTGCAGGCTCATCGATCTCTCCATCCCGCTCTCGGCGATCTCGCGGCTTGGGGACTGCGTTGCGGGCGCAAGGATCGGTTAGCGAGATTGCTCGTTGCTGCTTGCTGCTTGCGAGGTGGGTCGCTCGCTGCATTGTTGGGCCGCGCTCGATCGTTGTTCTAGACCACCTCACGCCCATCTTCTGTGGGATAGCGCGATCTAGGGGGCAGGCTGTGCCCTCTTCCACCGTCCTCACTCGAGGGATGTGTCCAGATTTTGGGCCACGCAGATGCATCGTGAAGCCCCCGAACATACATCGTGGACTCGCCCAGATGCGGTACGTCACGGCCCAGTGTTCATGTAAGTGTCATTTGTGAAGAGTTCGCCTTCAAGCTCTCACCATTTCGTGCCCGTGTATGTCGAAAGGCTCGTCTTGTATCGCGATCATGATTCACCATATCCGCGTCGATACCTTTCGCTACCCACCCGGGACGTGAGCCGCGGGTTGCGCTGCATAATAATGCAGAGCGGCCAACTGCTGCTGTAGAAGGTCTGAAGCTACCCGTAGCCCGTCCCCTTCTTGCCAGTGTGGCGCTGCAGCAGCAGCACTTCTGTTTCCTCCTATTGCTGATCCGGAGCGTTCGTCTCCGGCAGCTCTGACGCGCACTGCAGCCCTCACCCCGCTCTTCGCCGGCCTCATGCGCGCATAAAAACAGCGTTTAGGAGGCGTCTGTAGACATCGGATTGGCAGCATCACTACTGATCTACTACTAGAACCACTTTCGGGTTCGACGATCTCAACGGGCAGTGGGTGGCATCATAGCCTCATCGGAGCTTCCCTTCTCAGTCTGAACCTTGTACCTTCATACCGCTTAGGATTCTTGTCACAAATCGAGGCAGTCGGGGCCTTTCCCTCTTGTTTCCCTCCGCCGAGCGTATCCCGGCCACTCATCACTCCTTTGCTATGGTGGAACTCGAACATCACGTTTGTTATCACCGGCCTTTGCGGTCGCAAGCGCCCCAGCAGGACCACACACGGACACGTTGTAGACAAACGCGGTCGTGCTTCCCGAACATGCGGCCGACACGATGCGCCTTTATGGCATTCGAAGGCGCGCAGCCCAGATACCTGTGCGTCTACCTCAACCATACATATACCTTCTGGCATTCTCGCCGGGTCGACAATTCCTCCAAAGTTTTCTGCTCATCTTGACGTCTCCCGCCGCTCCCCAACATCGCAGCCATGCGCCACGCAACTACCAAGTCATCTTCGCCTTCCAGCCCGTTCCGCTCTGAGGAGGAGCGACGCCACATCCTCTCTAAGCTTCCGCCGGACGTAAAACTCCTCGCGATCGCTTCGGCTCGTATCTATCAGGCCCCATTCGGTGCGCGGGAAGACGGTTGGGCGTACACCGGCCTTCAAGGCATGCTAGTCTTCGGCCGCGATCGCGTCATCATGCATGCGGAGAAACCGTTGGGTGCAGGCCCCGGGACGAGCTTCGACCGCAGGTACTGGCTCAGGCTCATCGACCCGGCGCCGGGGAAGGGCGTCATCTGGGTGCACCCCATCCCAGCAGAGTTCCATTACCGCCTCGACAAGCCATTCTTCCATGTCTTCCCAGGCAAGGCGAGTGGCCTTTGTCTACAGATACAAGTTTTGAGACTAACTCCCCTATCTGTACAGAGTCGGATGTTCGGTATTCGCTTCGAGGAGGATGCGCACGCAGAAAGGTTCTACAAGAAAATGAGCGATTCTCACGCGACTAGTATGTTTAGGTCTTTGACAACAACTGCGCTGATTCTCAACCCTCGTGTCACCCATGCAGTCCTCCCGCCACGGAAGATATCCAAGGCCCCTTCTCGCTCCGTCGCTCGTGCCACTTCCAGCGCGGCGAACCTCAACAATGCAAACCGCATTCGCCGTTCCATGATATCCGGCCCCGTGCCCGGTACATTTGACCATGTCGCGCATGCAAGCTTCGCCAACGGACAGTTCGAAGCCTCGGGCAAGGTCGAGCCCGAGTGGAAGATCATGGTCGAGCAGATGCAGCGGCACGGCATCTCGCTCCGCAGCCTGCAGAAACATCGCGTGGACGAAAAGATGCTTGCGAAGAACAAGGACTTCGTGGAGGGCTTCTTGCAGGGCGCGCAGGCGGTGAAGCGCGAGAGCTCGAAACGTGCGTGGTTCAATGTCGTTGTTGACTGCTAGCTCATCGCCGGTGCAGAGTCGATGTCAGGCGAGGGGAAACCTCCGCAGCGCAAGTCGCCACACAGGAAGCCCGTGACGACGCTGCCGACTGCCGATGCCATCGCATGAAGAGGTTCCTAGTCGAGCAGCTTAGTTGGATATGTCAACTCAATAGTAGTCTCGTCGTTTCTTATGTTCTCGCAACCATGCCTATAATGGTTTTCATTCGTTCTCGGTATCTATGGTCACATCTGTATTGTAGATTCCTCCTGCTTCATCCACCATGGACTTCTTGTGGATCATTACGGACTGCACATCGCTGTATTCTATACGCTATGCAACCCTATCACTGTCTGGATCTTCACCTTCACCTGTTTTTCAAATTTGTAAGCACCATTCGCCTGGCTTCACTCGTGTACTGTTGCTGCATGACAATCTGAGCACCAAAGAATTCATCGGGGCCTCATCTAAATGATCATTGTCACGAACGTCGGATATGGTACCAGTCGTAGTGATGCTACCTCATAGGCTGTTTCGCTGAAGATCTGAAAACAACTCACCTCTCACCTGCCATCCACCACGCCCGATCGTCACGCACGATCATCGTGCTTCCCTATTCAACCCACAGGCCATCGGCCGTTCACCACGTCCCACTGTCCCACCGTCCCACATCCCACTGTACCACCGTCCCACCGTGCTCCGCCGACCGATTAGAAGCGGCTCATGTCCCGGCCGAGGATCCGTTTCATGAACCTGTGACAGGGCCACCGTCAGCCCCTGCGCGCCCACAAAGCACACTCGGCGCCCACTCACCACTACGTCGGCACGGGTCTCTTGCAACGCGAGAGATGCACGTTGGTTTGCACCGTCTTCAGTCACAAACATGAGGAGAGAAGGGAGAGAGCGAGCGACGACTGTCTCTTCCAGCTCAGCGTCATGGTGAAGTACGCTGGGCGCCACAGCGACCATCGTGACGCGAACCGCCCCGCCTCCTTCCCCCTCGGCTTCTCTATGCGCGCGTGTGGTCGTACAACGCCTGCCAGCCGCCGATGTACGCGAGCGACCCGCGTTGTGGAATCGGAACGGATCCTTTGCCAGCTGGTCCTTCGCGGCACTGGGCTTCTTCCAGAGTTACTTCGTTTTCCGATTTACGACGCGGAGTGAGCAGGGGAGAAGGGTGTCTTGGGCGGTGACTGGGAGAGGCATGCCTTTGATCATCGCGGCGTCGCCCAACACCCAAACGTCCAGGTCAGGCTTGTCCGCTGGGGTGCTCGTCGGTGATCAAGTTACACACAGTCATCGACATGCGTGCTTGAGTCTTTACCGTCACACTCGATCTCGTGCCTCTTAGTCTTCGGGTCTGTCTCAGCCTCTGTGGTGCGTACCAGTACCGCCGGGTTCAGTGCAAGGCCCGTGCTCCAGATAGGCAGACCGAAGTGTACTACACACATTGCTCGTCAGAACCAGGTCTAACGAAAGACGGATGAGGCGCACCTTCGTCTTCGTCTTGCCCTATATCCTCGCCATGAGCATACTGATAGCGTCAAACGAGGAACTGCGCCCACTTACAGACTCCAGGTGCCCGACGTGGTGCTCCGTATACCGTCGCACTGGGACTTGTGCATCGCATACCTATCGAGGACACATCGTTATCAGTAAACAGCACAACATCACACATAACGGTCGAACGACAGAGGGCCCGGGCAGTCACGGCATCAGCTGAATAGGGTTACTTTCGCGTCACGACACTGTGTGTTCAGTTGTATGCTTGGGAACATCATCTGCCGGCTCGAACCCGCTCTGCACGAATACATTGGACGTATCGCTGACCTGATACCAATTTCTTCTCCTCTCGCAGGGGCAGCGCTTCCCCCACATCAGCTTTCTGCAGGCAGATGCGCGGACGGGCTCCTACCCGACGGTCGGTGATCTTGTCCACGGGGCGAGCGAGAACCTGCAGCTCGTGGGCTGCGAGGGACGGTCGTACAGCGTGGGCAGCAGGCCGGTCGCGCCGCCGTGGCATGGCGCGGCATGCCATCGCGGACAACGAGTGTGAGGGGTGGGAATGCGGCGCCCTTACAATGCGAGAGACGCACATCGGTCCGCACTGCTTCCCAATCACAAACGCGCGCAGAGCACGGAGAGACTGAGCGAAACGAGCGACGGCTTGCTCTTCCAGCTCAGCGTCATGGTGAAGTACGCAGCGCGCCACAGCGACCACCGTCACGCGAACCGCCCCGCCTCCTCCCCCGCGCCTTCGCCAGGCGCGCGTGCGGTCGTACAACGCCTGCCCGCCGCCGATGTACGCGGGCGACCCCGCGTTGTGGAACCGGAACGGCACGTTTTCCAACTGGTGCTTCGCCTTCTGGTGGACGACGAGTGAGCAGGGGAGAAGGGTGTCTTGGGCGGTGACCGGGAGAGGCATGCCATGGATCATCGCGGCGTCGCTCGACGCCCAGACGTCCAGGTCAGGCTTGTCCGTGTCCTTCAGGCCTACGTCGAGGTCATCAAGCTACACACAGCGTCGACATGCGTGCTTTATCGTCACGCTCAATTCCATACCTCTTAGTCTTCGCATCTGTCTCAGCCTCTGCAGTGCGTACCAGTACCGGCGGGTTCAGTGCGAGGCCCGTGCTCCAGATGGGCAGACCGAAGTGTACTATACATGTTGCTCGTCAGAACCAGGTCTAAGGAAAGACGGATGAGGCGCACCTTCGTCTTCGTCTTACCCTATATCCTCGCCATGAGCATACTGATAGCGTCAAACGAAGCACTGCGCCCACTTACAGACTCGAGGTGCCCGACGTGGTGCTCCGTATACCGTCAGCTAGGACTTGCGCGTCACAAACCTATGAGGACGCGTCGTTATCAGTAAGGAGCACAACGGCATACATGACAGTCGAACGACAGAGGGCCCGGGCGGTAACGGCATCAGCTGAATAGAGTTAGTTAATAGGGGTAGTTTCGCGTCACGACGCTGCGCGTTCAGTTTCAATTGGCTGTAGTGAACATCATCTGCCGGCTCGAACCCTCTCCGCACACTCGGAGTACATCGACGAACAAAGAAAAGTACTCACATCTGCAGCTAGTCGAAGCTCCCAAGACCGTCGGCGCGACGTCGCACAGGCTGACTCGAGGGCCAGGCTAGCCTCAAAAGCCCAGGTACGCGTTCATGGCTCAGCAGACCTACAGCAACACCAGTCCGAGGTCAAATCGCGCCTATTCCTTCCTCTCCCTGCATGCACGGCACTGGCAGACGTGCTGGTGGTGCACGAGCGACCCTGCCAGGGAGGAGCGGCGGCGTACTATCATAGTAGTGTGCCGCGGAGTCGGACGTGTCGCGCGAGACAGGGCCCGGGGGTGGACACTCGGAGGAGAGACGCAGCCGCGTCCGGGAGGAGGGGGCGTCCGCGGTGAGCGGTGAGCGAGCGGAGTGAGGGCCGGAGCATGCGCAGGCACGGGAGGGGATACTTGCCTCCAGGTTCCAGTCGGTCGTCCCCTCCCGTCCCCCCCCCACTCTCCCTCCCTCCCCCGTCGACCCGTGGCTGCGAGGGCCACTGTAACGGCGCCTTCGCGTTCGCGTTCGAGTTCGAGTCCGAGTTCGAGAGCGCCGCGGGCCGTCCGCGCACTGTACTGGCAGCGTGCGCGACCCGGGGCACGTACAGTACGCGGGCCGCGGGGGCTGCCCACTAGTAGTACCAGTGTCCACGCGGCCCCGAGTCGATGGCGCACGCCGACACCGACCGGCTACCGCGCAGGATCCAGGTGTGTGCGTATGCCCGTTCTTCGCGCGTCCTCCTTCAAGTTCGCTTTCGCTTTCGCTTTGAACGCGGGCTTCGCTCGTCGCGTCCGCGTCCGCGGCTACGGAGGTGCATGCACAGCTCGCCGAGCCTCCGAGCCTCGCCGCCGGCTTGAGTTCGAGCTTGGGGGCTTGCCGCGCGACTCGCCCCGGCCCCGGTGCCGTCGCCGTCCGGGTGCGGGAGCGAGAGCGAAACGAGAGGAGGGGGTCGTGGAGGGGCAGGGACCCGTGGTGAGCGTCGACCGCCGACGCGCCGCGCCGCTGTGACCTCGGGTTTGGATTTGGGAGGGCGGGAGGAGCGTGCGCCGACCACGGCCGTGGCTGCGTGACGAGCGATAGAGGGTACGTACGTGCTTTCCGCGCGGACTCTCGCTTGAGGTCGAGGTCACACCCTCTCGCTCTCGCTCCCGATCCCGATTCGCTTCAAATTGCGCGGCTCGAACCCCTCCCTACGCGACGCGACGCGCGCGGCCGCGGGTGGCCGTCTGGATGCACCGCCGCCTTCGAGGTGAGCGCGGTTGTGACGCGCGGAAGTGGACGTGGGAGTGATGTTTCCGTGTCTTGTGGGGCTCGTTGCGGGCTGGTGTCCGAGTCTTCGCAGACGGGTTCTGCGGAGGTTGCTTGAACCCGGAGGGGCGTGGGAGCGGGGTGGGTGGGAGAGATGGAGATAGAGGACGAGGGTATACTCTAGGACGAGCGGTTCAGTGCGAGGCGCGTGCTCTAGATGGTAGACCGGAGTGTACTATATATGTTGCTTGGCAGAGTGACTGACGAAAGACGGATGAGGCGCACCTTCGTCTTGCTCCTTGACACCTGTATCCTCGCCATTAGCCTACTGGTAGCGCCAAACGAAGAACTGCGACCACTTACAGGCTCGAGGCGCTCGACGTGGTGAAGCCGCATACCTACGAGGACACATCGTCGTCAGTACCAGCACAACATGATAACACTCGAATGGCAGAGGGCCCAGGCGGTAACGGCATCAGCAGAATAGGTTCGCGTCACGACGCCAAGCGTTCAGTTCAAATACATAGATAGACATCATCTGCCAGCTCGAGCCCTCTCCACGCAAGCGCATCGACGAACAAAGAACGGTACTCACCTCTAGTCGCAGAAGCTCCCAAAGACCGTCGGCGCACCGTCGTACAGGCTGACCGATCCTCGTGAACCTAGAAGTGGCACTCTACCTCGGTGAGCAGGGTGTTGGAGGATGCGGCGCCACAACTCGGGAGGCAGCAGGCAGGTCCCTCACGCGCCTCCGCGCACTCGAATTCGCCGAAAGTCAGAAGGAGCGAACGCGGTGGGCCCGCCGCACCGTCCACAATGTCCATTCCATTCCCGTATCCGGTCCAGTACAGCAAGCGTCCTCGAAGAACGCATCCAGAGTCCAAAACACAGCGCATCCTCCGACCTCCTCCCATCCGAGTCGCACACGCGCACACGGCGAACTCGAAAGCACCCTGCGAGTCTCCCCTCCTGCCGAGCCGAGCCCGAGTCGCGGGGCGCGCGTTCCGTCGGCGGGCTGGGCTTGCGGGCGGGCACAGGACGGGCAGCAAACGTCAGATGCGTCAGGGCGCGGATCGCAGGGCACTCACGTCCTCTCATCGCCCTTCACCTCCCTCCCCCTCCTCCCCTCGCCCAGAGTCAGAACGACGCGGGCCCACGGTACTCGCCCTGCCTCTTCTCCATCTCTCCGTCCGCGTGCGGATGCAGGTTCGGGTTCGGGTTCGGGTTCGGGTGCGCCGTGGCGAGGGCGGCGAGGGCGGTGAGCGCGAGTGCGAGCGAGAGGCGCATTACGATCTTCCTGCAAGTGGATGTATGCGCGGGTATGTGCTTCAGAGCCGTCGTGCGGTGCAGAGGCGGGCCTGGGGGGTGGGCGCGGCGGGGGGGACTCGGAGCTATGTAGGTGGGTCCTGGGTCGCGTTGGCGGGGCGACGCGGTGCCCGCCCTCCCCGCTTCTCGCTCGGGCATCCCGGACTGCGCGGGGCTGGGCCCGTTGATCGGCGGTGATCGGCGTCCAATCGCCATCGCAGCCACGCTTGCGCGATCGGGCTCCGGCCCGGCGGTGCGCTGCGGCCTGTCTGTGCGCAGTGCTGGGACGTGTTCCGTGCGCGCGCAGCGTTGGGTGCCCTCCGAGTGTTGGTATGATGCAGCGTCTTGACCCTCATGGCTGCGATCACTGCGACATTGACCGACACTGACGTCGCCATTGAATCGTTGACAGCAGATCGGACTAATAGTCGAACACTCTGTGCGCCCCGAGCTGGATCTCCGGCGCTGCACAATGCAGAGCGCACACACTCCCCGCTCACCCTTACACTCCGACCAACGTCCGTGGGCCCGACAGAAGACGCGTCCGGCTGCATCACAGGCAAGAGCACCCCAGGCTGGCATCCACTCATCCGCCCCGATGCCCGCTGAACGCGCCCGACCCTCCTCACCCGCGCGTCCTCCCGCGCCGCGCATCGACAGCAAGTGTCGCGCAGTGCGCACGCCGCACCGACTCGGACGCCCTTCCTGTCAAGTTCCCCGCCGTCCGCACCCTCGCGTCCACCTTCCCAGCGGATCTCGCGCCGCCAGGACCGCTATATATCGCGCACTGGCACGCCCGCGCTCCAGATCACCCTGACGCGCGCTCAGGCTCGCGCTCCCGCCCTAATAGTAACTTAGGCGTACGCACGCACGACCTGATCCTTGCGGGTGCGGGTGCGCTCGCGGTGGTGCAGCGCGGCGGTGCGTCGGCGGGCTTGGACTCTGGAGCCAGTCGGGCAGGGGTCCCATGCCGCCTGCGAGGAGCGAGGAGCTTCAAGTCTGCCTGCAGCCGACCTCCGGCCCCGTACGTCACGGTCAACTTGAATCCGAAGCCAGTCGACGAACTGAGAACTGTGCACTGTGCACTGTGCACTGGCAGCTGCTGCACTCGGGCGTCTGGCACGCGTTGGCCCACCGGCGGATCGCAGCGCATATGCACGCTGGGATCCGTTCCGTGCTAAGTTACGAGTGCGGCTGCGGATTTGGAGTGAGTACCCCGGTGCATGGATCTTTCAAGTTGCCTCTGAGTCTCTGGCTGATTCGGGACTGTCCTCCAAGTCCAAGTCCAGGTCCGAGTCGGGCCAGTATGTTACAGTATGCCAGTGTATGTACATCACCCGGCGGGCCCGCGACGCGCATGTACATGTACTCACCGTACGGAACATCTCCCGTACCTCTACCTCTACCTCGTCGCGGTGCCCCTACGCCCCCCGTCCATCCTGCACAACTGATGAACCTCCGAGTCGCCGCATGCGCACCACCCAACGCCGCGCATACATACGCGTCGTTGGCAGTGCGGCCCCACTTCCGGGTCTGTACTGCAAGTAAGCTTAGCGTGGCCTGGACTCCGCTGCTGCTGGGTCCGCTTGGGCGCTGGGCGGGCGGGTGGCCGTCGTGCCGCTCGGAGGAGGAGTCGACTCCGAGTGTCCATGTCAGAGTACTACTAGGTGGATGTCCAGGACCAGCGCGACTCGGACCGCGAGCTCGAGGTGGACGCCGGTCTTCAGCTTCAGCTTCAGCTTCGGGTGTACGTGTACGCGTCCGCGTACCGCAGCCCGTCAACTTAGACTTGAACGCGTCCGAGTCGTCGATCTGAGCGCGTGTCGAGTGCGCGCGCGCGAGCCCCGCGCCGACACCAGCAGCGACGAGCAGCCAGCGCGCCACGCCACGCCGCGAATTGAAGGCGATAGTATCGATGTCGGACCCGTCAGACTCGGCGTCGGTGCGCAGCCTGCCAGTGCCAGTGCCAGTGCCAGTGCCCGGACGCGCTCCCCAACGTCACGGTGGACGCGAATCGATACCCTCGGAGGCGGACGTCCCCGAGTCCACAGCGCCGCGCGCGTCCCCACGTCCCCGCAACTCGAAGCTCGGAGCTCAAAGCTCGAAGCTCGGAGCTCGTCCCCGTCAACGTCAACGTCGACGCCGCTGGCCCTCAGACTGCCAGACACGACGCGTACGGCGAGACGATTGCGACGTGAATTCGAAGAGGCGTGCGTGCGGCGGCGTACCTGGTGGGGGAGCAGAGCAGCGACGAGCGACGAGCAAGTTCGACCCCGCGTGCCCGCCGCGCCGCAGCGGCAGGTCACCGCGTGCAGAGTGCGCGCCGATCATGGGGCCGAGTCCCGACGCGGAGGAGGGCCCGCGGGCACCGGGACGCGGACGCGGCGTGGCAGCTGGACAGTGGACACTGACACTGACACTGCGGCGGCCGATCGGCGTCGTACAGCTACTATCAGGGTGACATAGCGCTAGCACGGTCGACGCGACGAGGCACGTACGCACGTATACGCCTGCGCACGCGCTGTCCTGCGATAACGGTGAGGGCTGGCAGTAGGGGAGGCTGAGGCTCTGAGTTATCGGATACGGGGCGGGACGCACGTACCGTCGCAGGGGTCGACTCGCGCTACATACCATACCCGGCGCGCTATCGTGCGTGCGCGTCGCGCGACGTCGACGTCGGACACTGGCGCGGCGGCGGCGGCGGGCGGGGAAGATCTGCGCGCCACCGTACGCATTGACACGGTTAGCCTCGGGCCTTTGATGGCCGCACGCGGCACCTCCCACCTCCCGCCGCTCCTGATTCATACATATCCCGCATCACCCGCCATAACCCACAGTGCCTCACCACGCGCTCGCTGCAGACCACACCCCCGATTCCGCGACCCAGAGGCGGGCGCGGACCCGGAGGCTTGCACTTGCAGGAGCGAGCGCGTGCATCACTGCAAGGCCCGAACTTCGAAGTGCGATGCCGGACGCGCTCCACTCGCCGGGCGCGTGTGACACTCCCACCCCAGGCACCGTCAACGCCAGAACGGATCCCGTCCCAGTCTTCCGGGCCCGCCTCGAGGGACAGATCACCGTGCAATGTATCCGTGATATATGTAACAACGCCGCGCGCGTGGGCCTCCCCTCCCTCGCTTGCTGCTCCTCCATCGACAAGCCTCGGACACCCATCGCACACCCACGCGCCGCTTATCAGCAACACCGTACCACGATGCGCGGAACCCTCGCCCTCGCCCTCGTCGCCCTCGCCCTCGTCGCCCTCGCCCGCGCCGCACCCGCACCCGCGCCGGAGGACGCCCGCGCGCTCGACGTCGAGCTCGGCGCGCGCCAGTCGTGCTGGAGCAACTGCGAGGGGTCGTGGTGACCCCCGCGGCTCGAGGGGCGAGGGGCGAGGAGGAGAAACGGAGCACGGAGAACGGGGAACGGAGAACGGCGGGCGCAGGATGCGAGGCTAGAGGCTAGAGGAGAGGTGCAAGGGGAATCGTAGTGCGAGGTGCGCCTCCAAGTTGACCTGCGTCCGCTGGCTTCGCGCGTGCTCACAGACGTCCCAGGCAGGCGTTCAGGCTTCAAGCTTCACGCCTCAGGCCCCAGGCTTCGAGTTATGTAGCCCGCCTCGCGCCTCCGGGGGCGAGCGGCGGCGTGAGCGTGTCGTCCCGCATCCATCCCATCCCATCCCATCCCATCCCGCACCGCACCGCACCGGAACCCCAACCCTCGAACGCACGCACGCACGACCCACCTCCCTCGCGGACCCAGCGCCATCCCCCATCCGCGACACCCTACTAGTACCCACACGCTGGCTCGTCCGGTGTATCCACCCCTTCCGTTCTGGCCCCGCTTCCCTTGGCTTGTTTCTGTTTCTGTTTCTGTTTCTGCGTTGGTTTTCGTTTGTGTTTCTCGTGTCTTCGGATTCGGGTTCGGGTTCGGTGCTTGTTGTATGATTGGACTGGAAGATTGGATTGGAACTTGCTACTTACTTGGATTGGAACTCGGAACGCAACGGCACTGGCAACGGCACTCCCACTCCCACTCCCACTCCCACTCCCACTCCCAGGTCTGTCAGTCCGTCTCCCCTGGCCCGCTCCCGACCCCGACCCCGCCGTCCGCCACTGCTCCCGTCCGCAGAACCTGAAGCTTGAAGCTTGAAGCTTGAACGCCCGAGTGGCACGCGCACGCGCACGACGCAACCTGAAGTACGTACCCGAACGACGCACGCCTTGCCTCGAGTCAACTGCACGTCCCTTAGGCTCGCGTTCGCGTTCGCGGAGGCGCGAGGGACCGTCGATCGATCGAGCGAAGCGCACTAGCTATAGCGGTAGTTTGTAGTAAGTCACTCCAGGCTGCCGACGCCGACGCCGTCACCGTCACCGCTGTGCATGTGCATGTGCCGGCATACCCGTCCGCGTCCGTCTCCGAGCGAGACGTGTGCATTGTGCACGAGGCCCCCGACGCTCCGACGCGAGCGTCCCCACCGGAGCGGGGCGGACCACGCCCCCGAGTCCTCGCAGAGAAGGCGTGCACTGGGAAGACTTAAAACTTGAAGCTTGAAGAGTTGAAGCTTGAAGGCGCGGGTGTGATCGTGGTGAGCGTTGAACTTGGAAGTGCCGGGCGCAATGCGCGAAGACATCGATGGCGGTACGCCGCTGGATGGGTTGTCCCGACGCGCGGCGCATACTTCCATACATACTTACATACTGTACACCGTCCGGCCCTGGAGCGCAGGCCCGCGCAGACGCGCAGCGGCAGTTCTCACTGTCAGTGGTCCGGCGGATGCATGCACTGGCAGGAGAGGTCGGACCGAGGTGACCAGCCGTGCGCACTGCGCTCGCGCTCAGCCCGTCTCCGAGTCGGGAGTCAGGGTGTAGTCGAAGTACACCATGACGTCTGTAGTTCCGATCTGAGAGCTTAGTCGACACATACATACATACATACATACATCGCAGCGCAGCGCAGCCTGGTACAGAGTCCCAATCCGATCCGATCCAATCCAATCCAACCGACCAACCCAACCCTCGCGCTCGCCCGCGCCCTCCTGCGCCTTTTCAAAAAAGTTCAGCCCTCCGCCCCACACACGCCCTCCCTCCAAACCAAAGCGAAGCGAAGCGGCGCCCAGGACGAAGCGGGAGAAGCGAGCGGCCAGTCCGAGTCCGAGTCCGAGTCCGAGTCCGAGTCCGAGTCGAGAGAAGAAGACGTCGAGCCTGAGCCTGAGCTTGCAGCCGATCAGGCACCGACGGGCGCGGGCGCGGCCCTACACCGAAGGAAAAGACACGCCCCGTCAGCACCGCGTGCAGTGATAGCCTCCGCGCGTCGATCACGAAGCGGCGAGTCTAAATAAACGGACGTACCTCACACTGCACATTACGCGCCGCACGAACAGCGCCTCTCGACGTCAAGACTTCAGCGCTCGACTCCCGCCCCCCCTCGACGCCCGAGTCCACGGCGGAGGCTAGAACGAGCCGGGGTCGCCGTCGCCCCGGTCGATGATGGCGGGTGCGGGGGCGGGGGCGGGGCCGGCGATGGGTGCAGGCGCGGGTGCGGGTGCGGCGGAGACGAGGGCGGCGGCGCACGCGAGGAGGGCGAGGGCGAGGGTGGAGCGCATCGCGGGCGGACGGTCGGCGCAGGTCAATGCACAGCGGGAGAAGTCACGGTGCAATGCACGGGCAATCCGCCCGCGCGCGGGTTTTGTGGGTTCGCGGGGCGTACGCGTGCCTGGAGACTCTGCGGGGCGGCCGCGTGGTTCGAACCTTGATTAATAAGTATTGAGCGAGTTCCCGCCCTGTCAATGTCAACGCCACAGCGCCGACGTCTGTCAATGTTCGTGGCCCATCGCATCTGGTGGTGCCACGGCCACCCCGATCCCACAGGCGTGGCTCTCGGCGCGTGCGCCGGAGAACAGGGCGGGCGGGCGGATGGTTGAATGCCAGGGCGGGCCCCATATGGCGAGCAGCCAGACTCAGGTACGTCCTGTCACTACGCTATGAGTGCCGCAGCCGTTTCGAGACGGGCTGACAGCCCCCGTCGCTGTCTGATCTCGACTGCGGGTCGGCGTGAGTACTACGTCGCACTTCATGGTGTGATACTTCGTGCTCATCATTCAGTCCATCGATAGATTGCGTATACGCGTGCTTGCTCGAGGTTCGTCGACTCGGAAGCGCACCTCGTCACCGGCCAGTGTCCTACGCAGCCTGGCCTGGGAGCGACGGTGGCTGCCGTAGTGGGACCGGGGCAGTGGTGGTGGTGCGGCGTGCCTGGCGAGGCGCATGGCGCGGTGCCTGGCAGTAGTGGCATCGAACTGAGCTGGATCTGCCTCCGGATCCGCCCCGATCCATCTCATCCTCTCCCTCCCCCCCCCCCCCCCCCCCCCCCCCGACTTGACAAGAACTTCTGACTGGAACGACCCGTGGACGTCCTCGCCTCCACGCCGAGCCCGATGCGATAATGGAGCTGAGGGCCGGCGCGTGAAGGCGGGCTCGTCTATTGTGTGGTGGTCAGACTCAGCGATCGGGCAGGCCATGCGGCGCGCGTTCAGGTGGACACTCACGACAGCTCTTATCGCGGGTGGCCTGTCAGGAGGCGAGGATCCGCGCGAGGCGGATGCGCGGCGATACAGGGTGACGCGGAACTGTCGACGCGCCGCGAGATGGCTGAAGTTCAAGATAGAGTCGATTTGGAAGGCGAGCGCGAGGAGGTCGGCGGAGAGTGTGGCGGACGGGACGGGCAGGAACGAACGAGAAGGTGCGGATGATTGCTTGTGGCCAGGGGCGCCCCGTTCGCCCGACACTGTCCACCGGCTAGCACCCTCGCGTTCTCAGGCGCAGAGTGCGGCGTTGCGTTGCGACGCGCACAGAGTACTTACGTTGCGTCGGATGTAGCACTCGGGCCACCCACCCGTGCTCTGAATACACCTGAACTCGAGCTTGACATCGTAGACGCACCTCAAAGACCGAACGCTTGAACGCGCAGCCCAGAGCGAGCGACCAATCTTGTCCCGTGCTTTCCTCACCGAGCTGAGCCTCATCAAGTCGAGACGTTAGACCGGCAAGAGGACACCAGCAGCGTCGGGGCGATCCAGAGACGGCCGCGTAACAGCCCGAGTCACAAACGGGTCCATCGCGACTACGGGACTCGATCTCGAGCGCGACGTCGCACGTAGTAGACCGGAGGGTAGGGTAGAGCTTGTGGTGAGTCGTTCATAGCAGCACGACGACTCGGAGGGCGTCCGACTCGAAGGGAGGCGGCGAGGCCGAGTCGTTCGCGGTGACGCCGCGTGGCCTTCGATCCGTGCGGCATGCCGTCTTCAAGTTGGAGGACACGTTGGATGCAAGCAAGCTGCGGCTCAGCACCGTGACGTCGTGTAGCGGGAGAGCCGAAGTCGTAGTAAGCACATCGCGTGGACCGGGGTTCGCGTTCGATCGTCACGGGCGTTGTCGTGGACGTGCCCGGAGGCCGCTTCGAGAAGGTGAACGTCGCGAATGAGCGCAATGCGCGGCTCGGGCCGTGGCAACGCTGCTTCAACTGTATGAACACGGGCATGCGGAGGAAGTGCGGAGGTGAGGTGAGTCTTGGACCCTGGATTGTGGCTGCTCGAGTGTGTGCTGATCGGATGAAGTGGTGTGCATGCGCGGTTGCTCAGAGGGACGTGCGTCCTTCTGAGACGATGCGTGTCAGAGGGAAGCCTGGAAGGACCACGAAGAGCTGCACAGTTGTCGGGGGAGGTGAGCTCTGCGCTGGCGTGCGTTTAGTGGTCGTCTTCGCCGTAGAAGTCCGAAGCAACCGTCCCGAGAGATTCGCAGTGATCGCGTATGCGTCGACTATACAGTCTGGACCTGCGACGTTCACGTCCTACTCGAATATATGCGTGCAGCTGTGACCGCGGGTGCAAGGCGCACGAGCGATTAGACGACCCTCTGTAGTTGAAGTCAGTGACGGAACGCTGTACGGTATGAAGCAGCCCACAGTGAGATTTGACGGTCGAACGTTGTGGCAGACGTCCAGGAAGCCATGTGCGAGACCGAGGTCGCTGAGCGGAACCTTGTAAACACGACGCTCAGCTCCAACTCACCGACCTAGCCTCGCCACCACTCACCGACATGCAACGGACCCGTCCTCTCAGCCAGCGCGTCTGACCGAAGTCTAGGATACGTTAGGCAGGCGCCAAGGCCCCGGACGAAGGAAACCACACGAGGTTCATCCGACTCTACAGCACCGAGGTCAGTGCGCATACACGCAGTGCAACCGAATTTCCAGTAAGCACGTCTGTCTCTGTAGACCAATGACAAGCACGATAGATATATAGTTACAGCGCTAGATAGCGAGGTCATACTCGTACTCGGAGCTGGCACTTTGGGATATCCACAGGACGACAGCGGACAGCATGAGTGCGATGTTCTGCGAGACGTTCGCGTAGCCGTAGTAGAGGAACTGCTCCGGGTAGTCCTTCACCGCGTACTTCAGCACCAGAACCGTCTACATCCCAACAAAACCCATCAGCATCCCTTCCAGTGATGAACGCGAGAACGAGACGCACCACGCTGCCCGCAAGACCGCCCGCCATGAGCACGAACCCGACAGTGAACAGAATGAGACGCGCGCGCCAGACCGCAGCGGCGTCGCCGAAGCCCTCCTCGCCGCGGACGCGGTCCTTGTCAATGAGGTTGATGGTGATCATGCCGAGGAGCGAGCAGATGCCGGGGACCCAGTCGACGAAGGCGACGTGCAGGCGCGGGTCGAGCGCGTCGTTCCACGGGTCGAGCGCATCGTTCCACGGGTCGAGCGCGTCGTTCCACGGGTCGTGCGCGTGCGCGGAGAGGATCGCCGCGTCGAGGAACGTCCACTTCGCCAGCGCAAACTAACACAGGGCGCGGTGAGGTCTCAGCTGTGAGTAACAATGCATGGAGGGACGTACGAGACCGCCCGCGAGGCAGATCCCGATGACGTGTCGGTGCTTGCCCAGGCTGAGGGCGGGGAAGGGGTTCAGGCAGTCGAAGCAAGCCCGCCCGTTTCGCCTGTGTTGCTTCCCTTCGCGCGTCTTGCCCGACGCAGAGCCCAGAGCACACCGACCGGCTTTCGCGTTCCGCACACAAGCCATACGCAGTCAAGAAGCTAGACTGTTGCGCACAAGTACGGTTTGACCAGCTAGACAGCCCGGATGTCGGTCGCGTCATGGCCAGCGCGGGTTGGTTACACCGCCAGGTCTTTGCCAGTCCCATTCGCCTACGGGCCTTGAGTAGAGAGCAAAGTAACAAGCAGCAGTACATGCAGGTAGAGCCTGCAGGAAATTGGTCGGCGATGCGAGGAGGGCGTGCGATGCGAAGGCAGGCGGCGAGTCCGAGGCAGGCTGAGTGTGCGTTGCGTGTATAGTGTCGTCACGGCAAACTGTGCAGAGCTTCTGACTGGCTTCCAAGGTTGAACTCGGCGCGCAGACTTGGAGCACGTACCAGATGCGAGATACGACTCGAGTTGCTAGGCACTGAACAAGACCGGCTGCGTGGCAGGCGAGCTCATGCTGTGATGAGAGCGTCGAACGGACCTGGGTTCACGCTCAGTCGTCATGGATACAATGAGCATGTGCGACGCACCTAGGACCTGCGAGTGAGGACGAGTCTGTACGCGGCCGGCGTTCATGACGACGGCACACCCCAGCTCGACTTGGGAGAGATTCCGCAGAAACCATTGCGCTCACTGTAGGCAATGAATGTGCGGGTGTAGGGCGCGGTGGGGGGCGTACCGAGCACGAGTGGATGAGGGCATTCGACTGTTCGCAGCGCGTACATCGAACCGAGGAGACTTGCTAGTCCACCGAGTGCAAGAGGTTGACGAGTTGGTGGGGAGGGTTCGTGTCAGTTGTCGATTCGACGCTGGCGCGGCATAGCCTTGAAGTGCAGGCTGAGGGCGGATGTGGCTGGGTGACGACGCTCGCCAAGCGGGACGGCTATAGCCACATACGTAGTGCTCGCTCGACGTTCCGGGGGACCTGGTGGCCGGATCGGGGAACGCAAGCACACTGCTTCGATCGTCGACCAAAGGCTGCTAGGACTGACTTTGTAGACGTCAGTTGTCAGACTCTGAACACTTGTAAGCTCACTGGGACCTGACGACGCAGTGAGTCTCCTAACCGCCAGTCCCCCTTCCCGTACGGTGCACTCGTGCTGAGTCGCGGTGAAGATCATCCTGCTGTTTTACCGGGGGTCGTACCAGATAGTGCAGCGCTCACGGCACACTCTGTTCATACGTCGACTCATGGTGGTTACAAGCCTAGTTCAACATTGCGGGCCGCGCCGATGCACGGTTCGCATACAGATGAGCAGCATACAGGTGAGCAACGATACCTGGACCAAAGATACCGATTCCTTTGCCTTCCATCGGACCAGAGTTGGGTAGGCTCCACAGGTAGTCGACATTCGAAGGTGGAGAGTCAGGGGCGCTGCTCGCCGTGGTGGCTGCGAGCACTCGGAGCGGCTGCAAAACAGGGGAAGCGGATTCAATCTCGGCGGTGGATCTCGCTCTTGCCGAACCCCGCTTCTTGTGGCGTCCGGACTTGCAGATAAGTTTTGGACGCCGCATCCGCCCACTGCCCGTCGGCAGTGACCCCTCGCCTCTCCCAGCGTCCGCCAGCAATGCAGCTCGACGTTGACGACCTGCCTCCCGAGCTATGGCACCACGTCCTTGAGTACCTCCCGAGGCCCGACCAGCGCACCTGCCGGCTCGTCTGCCGTGCCTTCCACGGGCTCGCCACTGCTATGGTCTTCGACCGTGTGGTAGTCACCTTCGGCGACTGGGACATCTGGGATGCGTTCAACGGAGAGACGATGGAAGGCACCGTCGTGACCAACCCGGACGCGCAGGCGCAGCGAGAGGCGAGGACACTCGCAATCCTCGACCACTTCGTAGCGGATCCGTGGTTCGCGGGCATGGTAAAGCACTTGGAGGTGCATGCGTTTGAGATGGATGACGGGCTCAAGGCGGACACGACGTCGCTCATGGGTGAGTGGTCCGTTTGTATCCTAGTTGACTTTGATGGCTGTACATTGCTTTCGATTGTCTGTAGCCCGACTGACGGCAGCCGTCCGGACGCTGCGCCAACTCCACTCGTTCGTCTGGCACGGGCAGGATCCCAGTCTGCCACTCACCCTCGTAGAAGCACTCAGTACGTCCTGTCCATTCCTGCGTATCCTCTCCGTACCGTAAGTCACCTACCCTCACCGTCCACCACCCCTAGCTCATGGCAGGACCACAGGATGAAATCGCTCCCACACCTGCCACTCACCACCTTCCGCACGCTACACACCATCTCCATTACCGACGCGGAGTACACACGGGACACAATCACACACACCCTCTCCACCCCGCACTGCACCACCGAGCTCCCCTACCTGCACACGCTCCAGCTGCCCTACGCCCTCCCCGCGGACATCCCGCTCGACCGCCTCCCACACCTCACGCACCTCGAGCTCGTCTCGATGCACGCATACACGGGTTTCGGCGCGCTCCTCCGGAGCGTCCCGCGCCTGCAGTCCCTCGCGCTCTTCTCGCCCGTGCACGAGCACGACCAGGCAGCCATCTTCGGCGAGCTCGCCGCCGTGAAGGCGCACCTCCCGCACCTCGCCGCGCTCGCGCTCCAGGGCCCGACCCCCCGCGTCTCCGTCATCAGCCCGCCGGAGCTCGCCCAGCTCTGCGAGTTCGTCCGCGGCCGCGCCGCCCTCCGCCGCCTCTACTTGACGTTCGAGATTGCGACGGCGGACCTGGGCGTGTGGCTCGGGACGGTTAAGACGCTGCCGAACATGGAGATATTCGACCTGAGGATGCAGGACCAGCCGCTTGACCGCGCGTTCCTAAGCAGTCTCACGCGGTACCTCCCTCCAACCCTCTCCGCGATGAAGCTCACCTCGGGCGGCCACCTCGTGAACAAGGATGCCTTCGACGACTTCGTGAGTCCTGTTCTTTACTCCTCCGGCGGACCCGTGTTCCCGCTGCGCAGGGCACGGGATACTGATGCGCAACCGGCAGTGGGCACACTTCACGGCACTTGGCTTCCTCTACGTGCGCACCTGGGAAGCAACGGCTGTCTCCGTCCAGGACGTCGTCCGCGGTGCGCGCAAGCTCGAGCTCGTCGGGTACAACGGGCTCTTCCACGACGTCCAGTACGCCCGCCCCGGCGCAGACGCACACCCGGCCTCGGACTCGGACTCGGGAGCGGACGTGGACGTGGAGCCGCTCGCGCGCCCACCGTGGTCCGCGCGCAGGACGGCGCTGCGCGGGGTGGACGACTTCCGGTGCGAGGGCTGGGAGTGGCTCATGCGCCACTTGACGATCGTGCCGTGAGCCCTGAGGCGTGGGGCCCTATGCGTGCCTGCGGGACTGGTGTCGTGAGTGACTGATTTAGAGGGGTTTTTGGGGCGGGTGTTGGGTACTAATGGGCGGGTATTTAATGCTTTGGTGCTGCCGCTTGTATTGGTAGTAGTGCATTGCGACGTGCGTGATTTATTTTGGGGCTTTGGCTGTTTTTTTTTTCTTTGATTCCCTTTATTGTCCGCGAGGGCCGAGCCCTATGTAGACAACGCTCTAGCGTAAGTAGTGGGTGCAAGTCCGTGCTGTCCTAATCAGTCTTAGCATGTGCTCGTCGCCGAGGCTGGAGCGAGTGTATGTACAGTAAGGAGGAGATGCGTAGGAATGTGGGACCGTGTGTGTACAGTAAATGATGACAGTGCAGCGTCGAATGTAGTAATCAAAGCGATGTTCAGATTGTGGTCACATACGATGGAAGGGAACTCCCGCCCGGGAGACGACACGCGTTCGATACGGCTGTCGGGCTGGACGAGCGGTCGGGCTCAGAGCGAGGCATGAGCGCGGTGCACGGGGCAGTTTACAATGGCAACCTGCCGCCCTCAGGTGCGGCCTCGGCATCACGACACTCTTCCCGGCTCCTACAGTGACCGTCGCAGGCACCGTGTGCTTTCTCTCCGGCATGTCGGTAGAGTCGGATGTATAGTAGTATGGTGGCTGTAGAGTAACACAGTAGCAGACAAGCGAAAGATAGGGGAGACTCGAGGGGCTATGTCGGTCGGTCGTCGAGACCGAGGTTGCCGTAGGTGGCCGCGAAGCGGCCCGTCGCGTGGATGTACCGGAATAGGTGTCGGACGGCTTGGGGATGGGTGAGGAGTGACTGGATCGAGTTCGCGGCGGGTCCGAGGGTGAACGCAAGCTGCGCGCGTTGTTCGTCGTACGTCGGGCACTCCAGTAGGTAGTGGTGGACCGTCTCCTTGGTAAGGTGACACGAGGGGCATAGAGGGGAGTCCGCTCTCGCAATTCGGTGAAGATGAGCCTGCAGGGGGACGTGTTCAGTGCGCAGCTGAATAAGGAGGCTGGAGTGTTTTCGTGGGAGAGAATACATTAGCTTCACATAACGCTTAGAAGGGAGATCCGGGTCTATCCGATCCATCTTGGTTAGTGATTTTGAGGGCCGGGCTGGGCCCAAAAGCCAAGGTAAGGGCCGGGCTTTGGACGGCTCAGGCTTCTCAATGTACAAGCCCGACCTTCGACCAGGGCTAAGGCTGGGCCGGGGCCGGCTTGGGCTTGAGCCCGGGCCCATTACTAATATTGTGATACTCATACAGTAGTACTTACCGTAACGATGTATCTTCCTTTCACATTGTGGTGGCCTCTTAAAGAGCTCTCATCAGGAAAGCGACTTTCGCGTCTAACTCGTCTAATCCAGGCATTTAGGTGATTAGACTCGTCAGACCGGGTGTCTGGGTTAAGTAGATCCATTTCTAAGATTAGACATCAATTAGACACCTGCGAGATCATTAGGCCATTAGGCTGAGAGGCGTGCATGTAGACGTCCCAGAGCTCGGTTGAATCACTCAAGCAATCAGGTATAAGCAACAGAAATATATTCCTTTCAAACTATACAAACACAAAGTACGGTAACGATCCCTGCTAATAGTGCTAATGGGCCTCGAGAGTATGTTCGCGAGCTGCGTAAAGAGCACCACTGCCCACGTCGCACTTGTTGTGCTTGAGAACCCACGTTGACCCACAAGCGACTCGTTCATGTACTTCAATCACAGCCGCGCTTGATTGTACACGAAGACGTGGCCCTGCTGTTTCCTATGTAAGAATCAAATTATCTTCGGACAATCTGTGAATACTCACCGCACTAGCGTAGGATACGATGGTGTGCGAGCTCAGTGTAGCCTGGGATCTTAGACAGGAAGCTCAGTATCAACGACATGCCAGTAGAGCTCCTTCAAGCTCACCATGCTCATCTTTGCGAGTGTGCAAAGAATGGCGTTGCGGAATGTGTCCAGCAGCGATGTACGGTACAGCTGTCATCGTGTCAGCTAAAGGTCAAGATTCAGGAGAAGGTGACGCACCTAAGTGGGCCTGTCCTCGATTGCCACCGTTGTGTTCGTAGTCAGGCCGCGGTACGGACCAAGCGTTGACCTGAGTCAACATCGTTATGATCATCGCAGCCGAGCCATTCAAGGGCACTGAGAGAACACATACCTCATCCCTCTCATGAGGGGCTTCTGCCCCTAACGTCGTGATCCGGTTCACTTTCCATCTCAGTGCAAGGGACAACTGGTGCTCCGTGAGGAACATCACATTCCGAACGCGCTGACGTTGCTCGCGCTGCGGCCTACGATGCTGTGGCTGACACTGTTGATGAAGAGGTAGGCCTGGGCGCATTCGACGACCTCGTAGATATTGAGCGAGTGAGCCGGTAAAGCCGCGATGCAGGGTGCGAGGGTGATGTGGAACGTCGCCCGTCGTTGTGAGGGAGAAGAAGGGAGAAGTGCCAGCAACGCAGGCCGCACGCACCGTGTGACTCAAAGCGGAGTTGCAATTCGCTTTAGGGCAGACACGCGGCGGCCTTGCGCGAGTTTGCGCAACACGCATTGCCAACAGCGCCGTCTCCAAGCCTAGTCTCAACGTTCAACAACGATGTAAGTAAAATCCTCGCAGCCATGCATGCTCTCGGTGCTCACATCGTCGGGGTCTACATCCCGCTCATCCATGCTCGCTTCGAGGAGCTGTGCAACGACCTGTTCCCCTCAAGCCCGTCCAGAAGGCCTCCGTGACTCCAAGATCAACAACAGCCATGGCCGAGTCCACGGAACCGTCCTCGTTGGCGGTTCGGCTCGCATCCCGCCGCGCGGTCCAGGTCTTGCATAACGTGTATGCAAGTCCAGTGCCGAGCAACAAGGCCGCGCGGAACATGAAGAATGCGGGGCAAGCAGGAGACACGCAGAACGCAAGGACCGCGCAGCATGGAGGACGCGAGGAGACCACGAAGAGGAATGAGGAGGAAGGGCACGGGGTGTACAGGCAGAACGAGCACAGAGGCTTATTACTCAAAGGTACGCCCTTGCCGAACGCACCTATCTCGCCCCCACCCCCTCTCGTGTCTCGGCGAACACAACGTTCGCTGTGCGTGCTACTGATCGCGTCAATCGCGTGGATGCGCCCGGGAACGACTTAAAGGTCGTTCTGTTGAAGAAAGAGGTTTTAGGCTTAGTAAGCCCAGTGGCAGTGAAGGACTAATGAGTGAGTGAACAGACCAGTCCCAAAGGGAAGATCCTATGCTGGCAGGCAGAGGAGAGGACGAAGGATCGTTATCATTACAGGGCAAACCAGCCCAGTATATATACACATTTGATACAGGTCACATGCTGTATCAGTGGTTCATCAGTAAGCACTAAGTCCGAGGTTTTGGGGATATGAGTAAGCTGGTAAGCAGCATGAGTAAGCCAAAACTCGGAGTTTGATGTGGAGAGATATATGAAACGTGATGGAACATCAGGAATAATATGAGACATGATGGAACATCAAAGAGTGATATAGGACGTGATGGGACATCAAGGAATGATATGGAACGTCATGGAACATCAAGGAATGTCGTGGAATATCATGGAATGATCCGGACTAAAGTCACATGACGTAATCTAGGCAAAGTCCATCAAAGAACGTATGTAATCTGACATCGCAGAACATAAGTCCATATCCGTACATAACTGATAAGATAAGAACACTGAAAACTCGGAAGTTCAACACTCCCACTTGTTCAAGATGTCGAGTATCTCATCATGCCAACCGAAGACCTGAATTTCTCGATTCCGCTGAAGGGAACATTCTTGGTCAAGGCATCAGCAAGTTGGTCTTCACTTGCGACAAAATAGATGTCCATCTCCCCACGTTCGTAGAACTCTCGAATGTAGTGATACCGGATTTCTATGTGCTTGGTGCGGCGATCCACGGCGGGGTTCACCGCAAGGAAAATGTTGCCTTGGTTGTCAAGACAAAGTGGAGTTGGATGAGACATGTTGTCTCCCAATTCTTCTCCAAAATGACGCAGCCAAGCCATCTGACGACAGCAGTCGGAGCTGGCCTTATACTCTGCTTCGGTTGAAGACAAAGATACCGTTGGTTGGCGTCTTGACACCCAAGAAACGACACAATTGGCCATGAGGAAAACAAAGCCAGATGTAGAGTGCCTATCATCACGGTCTTCAGCCCAGTCTGAGTCTGAGTAGGCGATCAGACCAGAGTTTGAGCCTCCATCGTAGCAAAGTGCAAGTTCCTTTGTCCCTTGAAGATATCTCAGGACATAGTACGCAAACTTCATATGCTCTTTAGACGGATTTGAAGAAAACTTCGCCAGACGCGTGACCGCGAACGAGATGTCTGGGCGAGTACCAAGCATAGCATACATGATGCTGCCAATGATGCTCTGGTAACGGGTTCGGAAAATTTCAGATGCAGTGTCGGTGTTCTTCTCTAATACTGCTCCAGCGGGAAGAGGCGTCCTTGCAGACTTGCAGTTGGACATTTGGAACCTCTCCAAAACAGACTGAATATAGTCTTCCTGGTCAACGAAGATACGACGTGCAAGACGTTCTCGACGAATGTGTAGACCAAGGAAACGCTGGACAGCTCCCAGATCAGTCATCTGGTATTCCAAAGACAGTCTCTGCTTGATGTTGTCGATGAACAATTTCGAGTCGCCCATGAGGAGCAAGTCGTCGACATACAATATGATTAAGCAGGTGTGTCCTTCAGATTCACGAGAGAAGACATAAATTCCGGCATCCGAATACGTCCGTTTAAACCCTAAGTCAAGGAGAGACTTGTGGATCTTAGCGTTCCATTGACGAGACGCTTGCTTCAAGCCATAAATGGCCTTCTTGAGCAGACAGACCCAGTTCTCCTTCCCAGGTACAGCCCATCCTTCGGGCTGTTCCATGTAGATTTCCTCGTCAAGGTCACCGTTAAGGAATGCTGTTTTGACATCCATAGACTCAATCTCCCAATCTTCAAGT